CTTCCTTCAAATCATCCTGATTTGGCTACTTCATACAACAACATCGGTTTTGTATATGAAAATATGAAAGACTATTCGAAAGCACTGTCATATTATGAACGTGCTCTAGACGTATACCAGCGTGCATTACCTCCAACTCATCCTCATATTAAAGATGTGAAAGAGAGTATTGAAATTGTAAGAAAGAAACTCTAAATAATGGTTGATAAATAAAAGAAAGTTGTATCCACTTATTTTTGAATTAATCCTAGTTTGTAGTGATCAATTTAGCCATATTAAGGATGTAAATGAATCATAGTGTATTCTATAATGTAAGAAAGTTAATTATAATCCTCACATCTCGGAATCAGACTAACAAGGGAACCTCACCAAGTGATACCCTCCGTTTGAGCTCATATTTTGCTCATAGATAGGGCTCATAGCGTAGATAAAAACCCTAAAAGGATTCGCGCCACTAGCTTGTTTCTATCGAGATATAGAATTCTTAGTGAATTTTTCCTATAGGACCCCATTTTTCGAGTCAAATTATATTTTAGAATTTCGACCTGAAACTTTGTCCAAATGAAGGTCTCAACTAGACTAGCTTTCATAAAAAGTTTCAGAAGTTTTGGACAAAGTCTCTCCGAGTTACGCATTTCTCAAGTTACAAGCGTTTTTTTATAGATACTAAATAAAATATGCATCTTTCGAAAATCCATAACTTGGAGAGACTTCGTCCAAAACTTCTGAAATTTTTTATGAAAGCTAGTCTAGTTGAGACCTTCATTTGGACAAAGTTTCAGGTCGAAATTCTAAAATATAATTTGACTCGAAAAATGGGGTCCTATAGGAAAAATTCACTAAGAATTCTATATCTCGATAGAAACAAGCTAGTGGCGCGAATCCTTTTAGGGTTTTTATCTACGCTATGAGCCCTATCTATGAGCAAAATGTGAGCTCAAATGGAGAGTATCACTTGGTGAGGTTCCCTCGTAAGAGAGAAATTGCTCAAAGAGATGTCTCACACTGATTTCTCATTTTTTAATGGTCATTATACTTAGGTGTTTCACAGAGGACACTATAAGTTATAGAAATAGATCAACTAAATTAAATGTACGCAAGAAAACAACTGATCTTTACAACAAAGTAGCATTCTAGACGTTTATTAAGCTTTCTAATCACTAGGTTAATATAGTTCTACTCACGATATTTATATTTAACTCTCGGTCACCGTACTCATTTTATAACTTCAATAGTGCCTTGGGGTTCGCATAGACCTGTCCCTTGAAAACTACAAAAAATGGTGGTTTTGCTTTATGAAAAGTACCTATTTATGTATTATAAATTTCTAAATACTTCTCTCTAGAAGCAATACAAGAACGAACGATGCGAGGAAAAAGCATTTACTCATACTATTTTTTATCAAAAAATAGCGTAAATTTAACAGTTTACAAAGAAAATGTGAATCACTATTACGAGAAGTGAACGTGCAAACGAATCAAAACTTATTTTATTTGTGAATAGATCGATACAGAACGAAAGACAGTTATGAAAAAGTGAAAAATCATATATAAACCATCATTGTTGTCCTAAGGTCCACGTGGACTCATATCCGTATTTTTTCTCTCTTAGATCTATTCATGATCTTTTATCAGGATATTGACAGCTACCGATATTCAGAGGTTATAAAAAAAATGACCCGAAATAGTAAATTGTTGTGTAGTGTGAGACGAAAACCTGTAAAGTGAATCCAGGTAGACCCCACAACAGTAACCGAGGATTAAGTACACATAAGTACTAATACTCTAAGTTTCAGATTTATTACAAAGTTACGCATGAGAAAAAAGTCTGTCTTCGAAGTTTGCCGGAGAGTTTAATAAAGAAATTTATATGAAAATAATTCTGGTACTTTTATAATGATTATACTTATTACATCTTGAAATAGTATCAACGTCTTTGTAAACTAAAACTTGAATAACTACATAATTTTGTTTTTATTCTTATGGCAATGTACTTTTTTGTCTTCTGCATACCTATATATGATGAAAAACTTACTGCATACATGTCAAATGAAGTAACAAATATAATTTTTAAGTAGATAAATTCTCCATAGGATGGTTATCCGGTCATTTGAAATTAATAGATGTCTGAGACGACTAATCATATTATAATTATATACTAATGTATTTGAAGTATAATTATTGATTTAGAAGAATAGTTTCAACTCGATAACTCTACTCATAAATGAGCTAATTTTTTAACTAAAAAGAATTATTATTACTTGTTTCTTCGAACTATCACGATTAATTCTTATTCAAAAGTGAATTTATATATATATAATGTTAGAGTTACTGTTGTATATTTTTTGTATACCTCATTATTTCACCAATATACGTATAAGAAATAATTTCCTTCTTCTAATATATTAACGTGCGTACGTAATTTAAGATTGTAAGTGATCATCATAAAACTCTTGACTGTCATCTAGACCTTGATGCTTAATGAAATTGAAAGATTATATGAAAAAACCAAATTATAAATCGGTTTAGGTTATATTAATAAGGATTCTACCACTCATTTTTCTGGGGGTAACATAAAGGTTTATGGCGAAACTATTACTACGCATAATTTTAAAGAGAAAAAAAAAACGTCATATATCTACAATAAAAATAGACAGTCTTTATCCTTAATATACCCTCTATATATGTAGTTAATTAGAAAATGTTAGTTCGCATTCTTTATTTTCATATATGAAAGAAATATCTTTTTAGACATAAACATGTCAAATACATCATTATATGAAAATACAGTCGAACTATTCGATAATTTAACAGTTCAAATTGATCGATATGTTGCAGTACTTATATTTATATTTGCTGTTGTGGGTAATAGTCTTAATGTTCTTGTTTTATCACAACAAACGCTACGTTCAAATCCATGTGCTTGGCTCTTTCTTACTTCAACTATAGCTGATCTTATTTCAGTACTATTTGGTCTTACAACACGTATTCTAGCTGGTTGGGCAACAGATCCAACAAATACAAATTCTTTATTATGTAAATTTCGTGGATTTATTTTATTTAGTTCACAAACAACTGCATTCTGGCTTATTGCATTAGCTACTGTTGATCGATGGATTGCATCAAGTCGAAATGCTCGTTATCGACAAATGAATACATTAAAAAATATAAAAATTTGTTTTATAATAGTAGTTTTTATTTCAATTTTAATTTATAGTCAAATATTCTATTGTTATAAAGCAGATCTAGTTAATACACCATTGAAATGCTATGGAAAATCATTTGTATGTCAAGTTATTTCGGATACATTTTATGGAGGCATCGGTGTAATATTATCTTTGATATTAATGATAGTTTTTGGATTAAAAACAATTTTTAATATTCATCAAATTCAAACTCGTATATATCCACGACAAATACCAATTATAGGTCAAAATAATCCAAGTAAAATTATTCATTCAAAAGAACAATCGATTCAATGGAAAAAACAAGATCGTCATTTATTTTCAGTATTAATTACTCAAGTTATTGTACAAGGTATATTAACTCTTCCACAAGTTGTTGCTAAAGTTTATATAACATCAACTATGTTTCAAATACAAACACCATTAAAATTATCTTTTGATCATTTTATATATAATATTGCACTTCTTCTATCTTTTCTAGCTAATGGAATACCATTCTATATTTATACATTATGTGGAGGTAGTAGTAAACTTATGGATCATTGCATTAACTATGTCAAGCAAAGAGAACTTACACTTACTTGAAATTACTAACTTTTTAGATCAATTCAAATCATGTTTCACAAAATAATAGCTTTGAGCTATATACATTTATTTTTTTACTTATCTCCTCTTCATTTGTTCAAGAAATCTTTTGAGAAACATGAAGCTATATTTGATTGCTTAGAATAAATAACAAATTCAATGACAAAAAAAAGACAATTTTATAATTCAACATGAATATTCGAAGAGTAAAGTACCAATTCCATTATCTTGATCAGTCCAATCCGTATCGGCCATATTCATAAATTGTTCACGTGATAATCGTTTTTTCTTACTTTCATCAACCATTTGAATTAAATGAGTAATATGCCTCTGAGATATATTAGCACCACTTTGTTCATCAAGCGGATGACCAATAAGTTCAAACATAGAAGCAAAAAGTGGTTCAATTGCTTCTCGAGACAAATATCTAATTAGATAATAGAATGATGAAAATAAACAAATAAATATGACAAACAAACCCTTCCTTATGGATATCAATTATATCAAATAAAAAGCCAAGATATGATTTATCTAGTAAATAAAAAAATCTTAATTATTCTGTAAAACAAAATAAAATCTACTTTCTCACCATTATTCAATTGACAATTAAGAATTATAAATTCAGTAAATTCAATAAATCCTCTTCCATTTTTATCACTAAAAGAAAAAAATAATCTAACGTAATATTTTTTTCTATAAAAATATTTCTTAATTTACCATAAATTAAATAAATAATTAGAAAATTTTTCAACATTGCCTGTTGGCCAAATTTCTTGTAAAACAGTTGTAAATTGTTCTTTTATCATTCGTCCATCTTTACAAATATTTAAAAATTCAGCATACCTTCGATGAACTTCTCTATCAACTAAATTTGTTTGTTGACATATGTATAGAATTTGACGAGGTGCCAGTAACATATTATGTTTTACAGTGTGTTGTTCATAAATAAATTTTGATTTTTGATGTCCCATGATAATTGATAAGACCTATTAGAGACTTAATATTTATTCAAACATATAAATTTTCAACGTAGGCAAAAATAAAGCACGTTCCATTCTAATGCATGACGTCAAACTCTAACTTATCAAATGCAAATAAAAGAATATTTTTTTTTCTTTATTAGTAAGCTCTGGAAAAAAAAACTCTGACGCATATGGCATTAATATAAAATAACTAAACTGCTATATTCTATGAAGATTACCGCGTCTGAACATAAGAAAGACTAATAATATGACTCAATTTAAAGAAAAGATTTCTCAAGCATGAGTCTTAATCACATACGAAAGAGTAATTAATGATAATGACACACACATATATATATATAGAATCTCAACAAATTGTTCTAATCTTAGACATCTTTTGATGAACTTGTATAAGATCACACAATATATTTCACTATTAGTTTCAAAGCATTGCATACTAATGGCACGACTTTTGTTAATGTTCTTGTTACATTTCAAATAATATTTATCAAACCTATCATGATAGAGAGTAAATACAGTGAGCAATTTTAATATACAACAAGTTCTATTGAACTAATAGTAATATTAAACGTCAATACTTATGTTGTTTTCTCTATTGCTAATACCCTTATAGTATATCTCATTATTTACTGAACAGTTATATTTCGAGTCTTTTGCTTATATCCTAGCAGACAAAAAATTAGAAAAACACGTTTAAACGCTCAATCGGGGACCGCGATTGTTACCCATTCACGCTTAATAATAAAATGCTATAAACGGCGTTTTGAACGTAAAATCACCACCTTTATAACGTTAAAACGGTCAAAAACTCATATTTTTAACGCTTAAACGCATGGGTTTTAAACTCTAGAATAAATGCGCGTTTTAATGTTATAAAGGTGGTGATTTTACGTTCAAAACGCCGTTTATAGCGTTTTATTATTAAGCGTGAATGGGTCATAATCGTGGTTCCCAATTGAGCGTTTAAACGCGTTTTTCTAATTTTTTGTCTGCTTGGGTAGATATACGTCCAACTTGAAAGGTCGATATTCTTTTCATCGTTCGATATTTGTATATGTATTTATATAAAAAAAAAGCGTTTTATACAATCCAACAGGATCCATACACGAGAAAAGTTCAAATAACAAAAAACAAAACCAGAAGACTTAAAGTCAGCCAGTATCTTTCCATAAAACAGCAAGATATAGGCAAGCTATTAATAATAATAACAAGAAAACAAAAAACAAACAAGAGGATATAAAGTAAGATAGATCTTTAAGTCCACTCGGCAATGACTCTTCTTCACTTGTTTCGTGTTTTTTAAAGCTTTAATTATTCTTTGTTCAATACATAATGACAGAAAAAAAAGGAAAACAATAGCACCACACAAACATACACACGGTTTAAATTTTTTGATTCATGTTTTTCTTTGATCGTTGTTACATAAATGCAAGATCACACATTTATATATAAATATATATAAATAAAACAAACGGAAGAAGATAACATTGCACAAATTGAGCAATACATAATGAAAAAAAAGAAACTGATGATCATTATTATTTGTTATTTTTTTTTGTTCTGATTATCAGTAATAACACATAAACAAAAAAAAGGAACTGATCTTCACTGTATGTATATAGAAGCAAAGAATGGGAAGCACAAATATGTACATCAGCTGAAAAATGATTATAGCAAAAAATCAAAGATAAAGTAGAACACGGACAGTTTTGTTTGATTTCGATGGTAGTTACTGTTCGTTGATCAGGACAAAATAAACATTATGGCATCAATGGATTAATAAGGAGCATAGCGAACATTATTACGCATACCCTATCGATAGAAAAGTATTTTATAATTATATTCAAAGAAAAATAAACTTACGGTGATAGGACCGATTGTTCCAGTTGGTGTTGCAGTGATATATGCAGTTTCCGGATAAGCATGGCTAAAACAATAAGATAAATTATTAAGAATAGAATACTAATCATTAGCAAATACATTCAAAGCTGAAAAAAAGCTAATAGAAGACAATATATTGACCAAACATGCACATAAACATATATATATTCATATTCAATAACTTATTTTTTTTTGTAATCGATTTCAACAAACTCATGCATCATGCTCAACTAATATATATAAAAATAAATATAATTTTTTTTTCTATCTCATTATGTCGAATCTGATTTGTATATCAAAAGGAGCATACCAACTGAGCAGGAGTAGTAGAAAACATGGTTCGATATACTGGTAATGATGATCCAACTGCTGAGGGATTTAATGGACTAAGAACGAAGGATATGATCATACGAAACAAAAACCCACATATGGGCACACGATACACACAACAAAACAAAAGCAAAATTTGTTTTTCAACATACCCTAGTTGAGTAGCAGCTGAATTCATATTAGTTGCTGGTCCATTAATAAAATATCCAGTGGGTCCTCCAACACCATTACTCATTGGTAATACACTATGAAAAATAAACGATAAAATGAATGTTTTCCAATATAAGTTTTCATCTTACCCAATTGTATAAGCTCCAGTCGGTTGCCCTGCTGTAGTAAGACCATGAGGTGCAGAAGTTGTTATATATCGAATGCCTCCTTGTGGTTGAGTCGCAATGGGATATGCTGTTAAACCACCTAAAGCGGCTAATTGATCAGGATAGATTCTTTAAATAAAGAAAAAACTTTGTAGATTCAATTACAAAAGAACAACTAATCACATACGTATATCCACCCGGTAAAGTAAGTCCAGTAAATGCAGTAGCTGCACGTGTAGCTTGAATTAATGTTGGACGTTGCCGAGTATTCATGACTAGACCTATTTTATCAATATATATTTAATAAAATAACAAAATCGAAAGTGAAACTAACCAAATGGATTTGCAACAATTGGTTTTGGCTTTGGCTGTGATCGAGCCGTTGCCATATTGACCTAATTGAATCAAAATATTACAAATAACTAAATATTAAACATCGCACGAAATAAAGAAAATGAAAAAAAGAAAAAGAGCCAGACATCCACCGACAAAAAGCAAAGAGAAAACAACGAAATCTCGCGAGATCGAACGTTCGAGCCATTCAAATACATGGTGTAGTGTATAAAAAGAAAAAATGTGTGCATTAATAATTACTACGACAAAATAAATAAATAAAATAAAGGAAATATATGTATTAAAAATTGTTTTTTATTCGATTTTATTTACATATTAGCTATCAGAAATAAGTAAACGATTTGTGTGCATGGTGATAAATGAGAGAGATAGATACATGCGAGCGAATATTTCATCTCTCGTTATAGATTTCGTTCGCATTGATTTTAACAATTAATTTAGTTTGATTTGTTAAATAACGAACAACCATGCATACATTATCATCATCATCATCATGCGATGAGAATTAAATTTTGTTTAATTGTTTTTTACACAAATAAATGTTTATACATAAATCTAAGATTTCGGTATTTTTTTAATCTTGAATACTGGGTAACAAAAAGGGATAGAGCATCGAAAAAAAAATGTCAAAATTGATAGGCAACAGACAACAACAATATAGGACACAAATTTAGCTAAGTATATAATCTAAATATAATTCTAAGGTTAAACTTGCACTTGATGTGTATATGTATATATAGATATATGTATAATATGTGATTGAATTTCATCATGCCCCCGAAAATTATTATTCATTTTATCTGACTAATATCAATATATATTAAAAAAACATAAGAAAAAAAACAATAGATCAATATAGAAAGAGACGAACAAGCAGCCACGAACAGGCATGCAACGAAAACAGTTGTTTGAATTAAGAAATAGAGAGAAATATATTTGGTTGCCTTTTTTTTATTATATCGTTATCTCTACCTCCTATCGCTGTAGCGATTTCTGCTGTTAACATTGATTCGCAAGTAATGTAAAAGAAAACTAGAAGAAGAGTTCTATTTTTTAAAATTGTTTAACATTGATTTCGAAAGATAAATTTTCGTCATATACATACCTCAATTTTACGTCCTTCCACAACAGCTCCATGTAGTTTTTCACGAGCTGTATCAGCATTATCACTTGAAGCAAATGTTACAAAACCAAAACCCTAAAAATAAATTCCAATATAATAGAATTTCACAGATGTGAATTGATTGATTCTAATAACCACATGTTATTTATCAATACAAATAGCTATTTCATATTTTCTTTCTCCAGATGAAACTTATCAATGTAGCGAATTACTTCATAATTGATACTATTCTGAGAAAACCCCTTCTCGATTTCATTTCAATGGAATTTCTTTTTGGAATCTAAGTATGCTTTTCTTCGTTCTAAATGAAATATCTTTGTATAAATAATAATCTGACATAGTTTCTTCTTTTATTTAATATAGATATAAAAATAACATTTACTCAAACAAAAATCAGTTAATTAACGTCTGGTTATCTTACGCTCATCCAGGCATGATAACATTTATATCATCATCTAAACGTCTTGTATTATTTTAAAGTTAAAAATCTGACAAATTCGAATCAACCTTGACTTTCTCTTGAAGAACATTATGAAAAAAGGAAATGTCTAATGCAAATGAAGTACTAATCAATCAATTAGTTTATAAAAAGACTGATGCTGTCAGCAACTCTCTTTTACATAGAAGAAACTTGAGAAGCGAAGACGTATTTCAACAAGTATAAAGAATTGCGCTCTTGATGATGGCAAAAAGATATATGCCTTGAAAGATAAATGTTATTATATAAGCATACTTTTGATCCTCGTTCATTGAAAATAATTTCTGTATCAACAATTTCTCCAAATTGCTACAAAAAGAAATAAAAATAAAAATATTTTCTTCGTTTGTTATTTAACAAACTTCAAACATTGCTTTGAGATCATCATCTCGAAATCGAAATGGAATATTTGATACATGTAAACGTTTTTGTGTCGCGCCAGATGATGTACTACCGGTTGTTGATGAACTTCCATTTGGTGTTATTGTACTTGTTGATTGTGGTGATTGAGATGATGAAGAATTTGATTGAGCCTTAAAAATACGTTTGTTCGTTTTTTCAAGAAAAATAAAATATTCTATAACATACATTATCATTATTTATCAATTCATTAGTTGGTATTTGTTGTGTATTACTATTGGTTGTTTCGATAATTGATGAAGAAGATGGTACATTAATTATTTCTGGCAAGTGTGAAGTCGAATCGACAACAAGATTTGTAACTGCTGTATTGGATAGTTTATTCGTTGTTGTTGCCATATTTGTATATGCATATGGATGATGTTGACTAGATGACGGATCAGTTGAGGATGATGATGTCACATAAGACGATGGATGAACTAGATGAGAATGATTAACATTTGTTGGCGTCGTTGTTGATGTTGTTGTACCATTATTATTCGTTGTTGGATTTGAATTCGAATTTGACGATGCAGCTGCAGCTGCTAATAATGTTGGTACTAAAGGCTAAAACAAAAGAAAAAATGAAACCTTTAATTTTCTGTAAGCCGATCAATTAATCTTTAAGTTAATAGATTTCCGGAAGCTTGATCTTTCGTTCTTCTAAATTTGTCTGTTCAAGAGATCTTTTCATGCGTAATAAAATGTTCTTTATTAATTCGTTTAGAAACTTACATTCAATGCTAAATAATTATCCGATGGCAAAAATGAATAAAGCATCGTTGTATAATTGTATGTAGCACCGAGAAAATTCTTGTATAAAGATCAACAGAAGAATATTCTTGTATTTCTCATTGCTAACAGACAAGTATGAAAATAGAGAACGAGAAAGAGAGAGAGAGAAAGAGAGAAAAAGGAAAGACGATCTATATTAGGAAAATAGAATGAGAGAAAGAAAAAGATAGCAGTGCCATCAATACCGAACACAGTATTAGGAAAGAAAAAAATTCGGTCAGCGTTTCTCGTTCATTAATGGCCCAAAGAGAATGAATATAAACAACTGTTAAGAAAAAGAAATGCTATTCTTCGATCTAATCTATCTTTCAGCCAAATAAAAAAGATGAGCAATGTATAATTAAGCGTCTGGAAGGGAGAGAGAGAGAAAGATATATATATATATATATAAATATTGGTGATGATAGTAGTAGCTGTACTTTTTTTTCTCGCTCTTCATCCATCATCGTTCTCGATACACATTAGCTGAATACCCAACATTGCCACTACATTTCTTTTCTTTTCTTTTTTTCTTCTAATGTATAGATATCGCGCCTTTTTTTGTTCGTTAACCAACCAAATAACACGTACGCTCGTTATCATCTATCAGTCGTTTATATATACATGCCAACAAATTTTCGAGAAACAAATCTGTATTTTGTGTATTGTATATTTGTAATATCTAAGCATTCTATTTCTTGCTTTTTGTGGAGTTTGATCATTATTCATTCATATAAACATTGGACATTGTTATTTTTTCTTTTTCTTTTGTACAAGATCAAAAGATATGTCTGTTGCTTCTTCTTCTTCTTCTTCTTGTCTGTCTGTCAGTCTGTTTGATTTGTTTCATTAACGAGTTTGATCTCGACATAGAGCAAAAGACAATAATATTGTCTGTTGTTATAGAATAACTTCCGTTTTGTTACTTTTTACTTAGTCGATCTCAAGGCAAATAAAACAAACAGACAGTTAAGACGAGTCAGTGGCAAACTAATTGCGATTTCTTTTCACTAGAGAACATTGATATACTTAAACAGATGCTCTCTTTACACTCAGTTGTTCTCTTCAATCAATCAATCAAGTTTACAAGCACGCCTGTTGTGCGTTGACCGAACTTTTTTTTCGTATATATATATACATATATATATATATATATATATATGTGCATCATCTTCCCCTTCTTCCTTATCTGTATTTCTCCACCATGCACATACTCATCCAATTAGAGTGTTGAAAGAAAAGAGAATGAAAGATGGATGGGTGGGTAGTAGTAGTAGTGGTGATGGTGGTGGACAAATATAATAAGAAATAAGAACGATTTAAATAATAGTGTCAGTGTGTGAACATGTGGCCGGAAGTCATATTTCTATTTAAATGTATATATAATATTCCTACCGAATTGGTTGATACAGCATCGAACTGTTGTTGTAAATGATGAAAAGCAAGAAGATTGTTCTTTGTAAGAAGACTTGTCGTGGAATTATTATTAGTTGTTGAATTATTATTGTTTCGATTACTCATAGTGGGTGATGAAACAGTTGCTAACATTTTTGAATTCTAAATTATTAAAAATAAGAATTCGACTTTTCTTTTCCTTCATATTAAATAAAAAAAAACTGAAATATGTTGATTATATAGGATGAAATTCTTTTTTTTCTTCTTCTGAGTCCAACAAACATGCACTTACAATTAATAACATATTGGTTGCGTGCGTTTAAACAACCAACATATATATATATATTATATATATGGCGAAAATATGATTATTTAAAAGTAAAGATTTCTTGTTCACAGTAGACTAACGAAGAATCGTGTTGTTGTATGAACGTAATCGTAAAAGAATAGAAGATTAGCTGAACACTGCAAGTGAGAAGCGTCGTATATATATTGTTATTGATTGATGCGTATATACCTTTCAACTTTCTTTTTCTTCTTTTCTTTCTATATAATATCTAAGATATATTCGGTACGATTGACTGATCACTCGTAGTAACTCTTTTCTTTTGTTTAATAACATCGGCGATACATCCTCACTTTTTTTCTCTTGTTTTATGTGTCTCAATTGGATTCATGTGATGAGCGTGTTATGAAAACGGACGTAGACGACAATGAGAAAGACGACGATGACGATGAAACAATCAAAGATATGAAATATGATTTTTTTCTCTCTTTCCTTTTTTTTTTATTCTCTCTATTTTCTATCTGTTATTCTCTCGGTTCGTGAATAGTGAAGAAGCATCATCTACTACATCCCGTAACAGAGACTCTTTTTTTTCTATAGCTCCTCTCTTTTTATATCGTTCTCTTTCTTTTGTTAACAAAGCCAATTGTATTAGTATGCGTGTTGTGTGTATATATATATGATCGGATTTTTTCTTCATACATTTTCTCTTTTCTTTCATATACAAATCAACGAATAATGTCTGCATTCGCGCGTCCATACACATGAATGTTAGATTATACTTACTTACGTGAGATACATGCTTTTAAAAAGCATAATAATGAATAAAAAACGAGAAGAAGAAGAAGAAGAAGAAACACTGATCAATGTAGAGTCTATTATTTATATATTAATTACAGAAAACAACGAATCTTTTTTTTTGAAGTTTAAATATTTTTCCAAGAAAAAAAAGTAAATGACAATCGTGACATAAACAAGGATTAATATCAAATCGTCCAATTGACACGTCTGCAATAAATAAACCTTGCGTTATAAGTATATGTCTGCCTTTCTCTCTCTCTCTCGCTATATATATATATGACTAGCAAGGTTATCATTAGTTTTGCCATTCATATAGATTTTCTTTTATTTTGTTTACAATATTATTTTAAATTAAAAATTTACTCTAATCAGATTTCTTTCTTAGAATATTCTATTGATTAAAGAAAAAGAGTATGCATCATGGAATAAATATAACAACAATATTTATAATGTGTAAACAACAATAAATCTTAAATATTATCTCATGTCGGACAGACCAATAAGCTCAGATTAAATTAATATGACAAGGAAAGATATATATATATATAAATAAACTACAATGATTGCTTGTTTCTAAATTTTTCTTCATCTCTTATTAGTATGAGGTATTTTGTAAGCAGGAACACTTTTTCTACAACTTTACTACATACAATAATTGTCAAATTAATGAACAAAAATTTTCGGGAAATTTGATTTATTGAAATAATAATAAGATTTTTCATGGTATTATTACGGAATAATGTGATCACTTTTTATTCTAAGATAAGTAATAAATCTATATAAAAAAAAAGGAAAGAAGAGAAGGAAAAGAAATCAGTAGACGTCTATTAGCTTTATTAGATATATTTCCAGAAGTGCACTACTGAGAGAATAGTATACTATTAATCGTGCAAATGTATGTATGGGAAGATAGAATATTCTGAATAAAATAGAAAGAAAGAATTGTTATTAGGATAAGTGTTCGAATAAATAACTTTGATGTCGAATACATTCGTAAGTTTAAAGATTCAATTTGTTATAATTCGATTCGTGTGTAATACTTTCATCAAAATTTAACTGACGAAGAGATTATTATGATTAGGTATTTTGTTGATTTATTAATTAAATATAAAGAACTAGAAAAATAATCCAAGAAAAGATCTCTTATGCCCTAGTTTTCAAACTAAAGTGTTTCTAATTGTTCGTAAGCCAAAATAGACGCAAATAAATTTATAATCATTCTCGATTAGTCATATACGTATATATTTATCAAAAAAGTAAGTTTCTATTTCTATAGATATGATAATATACGAGTCAAAATATTTGCTGATAAGAAATATTAAGAAGAAAGAAAAATAACAGTTAAACAGTAAACATGGGTCAAGAGCGTACTGAATTTGATAAAAGTTCGAACTTTTAAAAAGTAAGTTCGAGAAAAAAGACATGTGATGAGTCTGTCTACGAGTTTTATAAATACTAATTTCAAAATACATAAATATCATATTTTTTTTTTACAATGTCAACGACAATAGCTAAAACAGAAACAACAGAATTTGTAAATGAAATCGAAGCGATTTATGAACAACCGGTTACATATAAACTTCGGGCATCATCAACATGGGTTACTAAACCTAATAAAGAGCGTACTATATTTGAAAGTCTGGCTACAATAGACCTCGCTGATAAAAAAAACTATACAGTTCAACCTAAAAATCCAAATCCACCACCAATACATAGTATTTGGCTAGAACGTTTTTGGTTCTTTTATACAGTTTCTCCACCACTCATTATTCATGCATTATGGTATTATATTGTACCGGAAAATAATTATTTTCATACATGGCATCCTTTATTTGCATTCCTATTTTATTCTGTGGCATTTTTTCTTATTATCACACGTATTGCTGATCATTGTCATTATTATATGAAATATTATGGAACATTTGATGAACATAATCGACCACGTGATTATGTTCCAGATAAATTAGTAACTCGTCTTGTTATGAGTGTTCTTATTTATATACTAGCACGTACTGGTGGTGGTCTACTTCTCGGTGGATATGATCGTAATTCTCCACCTTCACTTGGTCATACTATTTCATGGTTTTTTCCTATTAAAATTGGTGTATGGTTAATTGTTTTGGATTTTTTCTTTTATTCATATCATCGAATGACTCATACAATTCCATTCTTATGGAAAATTCATAGTTTACATCATTGTACAAAACATCCAACTGTATTACAATCGATTCTTGCTGGTGATATACAAGAATTAATTGAAATATTTTTGATACCATTAGCTACTTCATTCGTTCTTCCTTTAACAGTACATGAATTTTGGATTGCTCAATGTGTACTTATCTATATGGAAGCAGGTGGTCATTCAGGTATACGTGCTTATTGGCCACATATAATTTTATATGAAGTTCTTCAACCATTTGGTATGGAAATATGTATTGAAGATCATGATTTACATCATAGATATGGAAAAAGTGGTATGAATTATGGTAAACAAACAAGAGTTTTCGATCGAATTTTTGGTACAATTTCTGAACGAATTGAATGTTTACAAAAATAAGAACAACAGATCAACAATAAATTTTTATTTTATATAATAAAGAATTTTCTTATTGAAAGAAAAAACTAATTTTGTCTTATTAGTATAAATATCGAGTCAAATGTTCATCATATTCAGACGATTCGTATAGTAATATTCAAATTGTATTGATTTCTCGTATGTCTCCGAAATCTATAATCATTTATCGAATAAGAGAATAAACCTACTGAGATGCAATAAAAACTACAGGTGTTCGTCTATGCAAATTTAGAAAATGCCATCTTTTTAATGATTAATGAATTTACTTCTCTATTCGATATGTCCTTGTAAAAGAAAATTTCTGCACTATAGAGATACCATTATATTAGAGATAAAAATATTTATAAAAAGGTTCCTAATTCGAAAGAATTCACCAACATATTTTGTGAAGAAATGATAGTAACAAGAAAATGTGAAATTTCAAGCTGAAATAGATTATAATCAAAAGTGAAAATACGAATCAATAAAATGGAGTAATCATTGACTAAAGTAAATATAAAGAACACAGTTATAAAATTTCGTAAAAACATCGTGAAGGACAAACTCAGAATTACAGAAATTTTGTTTTACATACTCTTCACGAATAAGTGAAAACTGTTTTATGACTGTATCACTATTAATACATTGTTTTTTATTAGTAATGATACATTAAATTATGAATAATAGTTATTAAGATAAAAATCCTGATGAAGATTTTTTTTGTTGATAAAAATTATTTTATTTTCAAACAATATCAAATATAATATTTAATTCTGTTATATGAATAAATTTTTTTTTATTTCAAAAGAACACTAAAATACATAACATATCAACATAAATTCAAGGATAATGTTTCATTAAAAGTACATTTTATTTTGACTGTCAGCATGATGCTTTATTTAGATTATATTATTCATCTATACTCTTTTTTTTTACAACTAACATATATCGAATTGCGAATAAGCAAAAAGAAATAACCGCATAAGTGCTCTTTATTCCGCATGATTGTTGAAGGTTGCCGGCATGTTTCGTCTTCTTTTTTTTTTCATTCTTCACGTTTTTTTCTTTCGCAAACGTTAAATGAGGTGTATAAAAAAAAAAAGACCGAAAATATTTTTTTGTGTTATTGACTATTAACTTAAGTTGGTGTATGTACGTATATGTCTGAAAGCAACCTCACGTCATTAGTATGCGTCATAGCTGGATGTGGACGTCCAGCAAATGTTTTATGTCATTGTTGTAAAGAAAATCTTTGCCGAAATCATTATAATGAACATGATTATCTGAATTCAAAATTAAATCTCTTAGCTGATGAAATTGATACATTTGATCGACAATTATTAGGAGTTGATTTAAAAAAATATACACAAAATTCCAATGATAGACTTCATCAATGGCGTCTTGATAGTTATAAAGCAATTGATCAATATACAGATCAAAAATATCGTGAAATTGAACAAAATTTAATGAAAATAATCAATCAAAAACGTGAACATATCGAACAAATTCGTGCAAATATGCTTGATATTGTACAGAAACGTAAAATGACATTGGAAATAATTGATTCATTAACAACAAATCTTCGTTCAGTTGAAAATGAAATGATTGATATTGATCAAAAACATCTTACAATTCATACATCACCATTAAATATTGATAAAAATGCAATTCAAATTGAAGAATTAACATCACAAGAATTTGATGTTGCATCAATTCCACCCGTATATAAAACAATTGAATATCCAAAACCAGGTATATATCCAATAGCAAGTAATAATCAATATTTATTAATTCATCGTGAACCAAATTTATGTATAATTGATCGATATATTAAAGTAATGAAACAAATTCCATGGACTCATGGACAAATATTTGATATGTGTTGGTCATCAGCATTATCAAAATTTTTTCTTATTACATTAAATCAAATTTATATATTTGATATTAATTCAATATCGATTGAACGTATAGATACAACACAAAAATTACGTTGGCTGTCTTGTACATGTTCGGATTCATCATTATTTTTATCAACAAATGAAAATGGTTCATCAATATGTGAATTTAATCTATTAAATTCATTACAATCAGCTAAACGATGGGATGCACCTGATACATGTCGAGATGATGAACGTATACATGATATGATACATAATAAAGGAACACTATTTTTAATAATTGAAAATTCGGTAACAGGAAAAGTTCGAGCAGAATTAAAATCCGCAGCAAGATTTGATCGTTTATGGTCGATACAATTAGATATTAATTATCAATCAAAAATCGTTAGTTGTTGTTTACTTGATCATGATCAATGGTTAATAGTTGATAGTAATACATCACGCCTTTTTCAAATAAGTATGGATGGTAAAATGAAATCATCATCGTATTATACTCCAGTACCGTGCTGTGCTTGTCTTTTTGGTTTTGATTTATTAGCTATATCAACACTTAATGGTATTACTATACATAAAGTTTAAAAAGAACAAATATTGACTCTATACTAAATAGCTGTAGAAAATAAAAAAAATTATTTCCTTCTATAACATTGTATATTCTTTTAATACTATAGATAAAGATAAACTATTATATCCATGTGTCTGCATATTGATTGTGATTGAATTTATAAGTAGAATATCTTACAAGTGCTATTCTTATTAGCAAATTCATTGTTTAATTTTAATAGAAAGAAGAACTATAGTTATAAATGAGATTTATTTCATTTTATTTAATCAAAAAATATTTGCACAAATGTTAATTCTATTTGATTATAATTCTTGAGTTTTTTTTTCGATAATACTTCTTTTTGATTATTATCAAGAAATAACGGAAGTCTACATCGGTATTGAATATATGTATATATGAAATATTTCTTTAATCAAAAATAAAAATATTGAAATAAATTTATCCCATAAATTCTCTTGGATCACCTTTGACAATTGCTTTAGCTCGTCGCGCAAAAGCTATTGATGGATCTTGTTTATATGGAAATCGATGTTCATTTCCAATAGAATTAAATAAATTTCTTGTATATAATAATAATTTCTGAGGAGTAAGATCATAATATGCATTTTCTTTTCGTTGTTGATTTATATTTAAATCATTATCAAATTGATTATCGAAATCAAATGGAATATTTCGTCCACTAAAATAAAAAACTGTGGTTAAAAGAAGAAGAAAAAAAGAAGAAGATATATCTACTGAATTAAAACAAAAGTAATTGTTAATATCAAACCAAATAGACAGGAATTTATGTGCATTTTTCGGATTGTATTCGATGCAAATGATAAATATATATGTTATTATTTGATAATAGAAAAATATTTTTCTGTATATAAACAAGACTCTTTATACTTCCTTGCTCTAATGTATGAATGTATTATTTAAGAGAATAAAGAAAGCCATGTAACATTGTGCTTTTATATTTACTAAATTATTAATGATCACCCCCGTCTTTTTAAGTTCACTTTTGTTCTTATTTTTTATCTAAATGCATCACGTTCAATATAGAAACCTGACATGTCAATTTAATGAAGCAGATAGAGAAATGAAAACAATGAAATAATATATTTTAATGTAAACAGAAGATGCTTCCTTTTCATCGATATTCAAGATATCTAATGGAAAGAAATGTTTTCTACATTATCCAAGTATTTAAAAGGTTTTGAAATATGAAAGACTTTATTTCTTTTTTTTTAATATAAATAATGAAATAATAATGATTCTTTTTTTTATGTTTCTATAAAATAACAAAAGAATTTATGTTAACGACTGAAGAAGAGTCTGCCGTTCATCGATAATATATGAATATATAGAATGACGTCGTTGTTCATCTGTCCATTGTGTAATATTACTAACATGTTGAATAATTTTTTCAATAAATTGTTCATCTGTTAATTTATTACTATCATCATTATCATCTAATTTTCTTTTATTATTATTAATTGTTATCCAACGTCGTTCTTTGGTTGTTGTTGTTGTTTGAATATATTTTATTAATTGTCCAAGTAATTTTTGATCATAGATATAACGAAGTGACATTGGTGTTAATGTATGAAATAAATTTTTTGGATAAATTGTCAATGAAGATGAACGTTGTTGTTCAATTTGTAAAAGAATAAGTGTTGGAGAAATATGTTGAAGAATAATATCTAATACATAATTGAAAAAAAGTTTATATGAACGAGAAATAAAACAATAATCAGATGATATTGGTAATAAAATTTGCTCTTGATCATATGATCGATAATTTTCATGAAGATACATTAATGTATCAATACAAAATGATACTGTTATATGCTGTTGATGAGATAGATGTGTTATTGAATAAATTGAACAAAGTTGAAGACGTGATTCAAGTGAATTATTATCATTTAATTGTTGTATTAGATTTTCAATATCAGGAACAATTAATGAACTTTTATTATGAATAGAATTTGTTTCAATAATTGAATCATCTTGCATTGTAGGACTTTGAGGTGTATCACTAATAATAAATATAAATAATAAAATTCATGGATATAATCTATCAGATCTAGATATCGTAGAATAAAGTTTTTCTGCAGTGGAAAACGTAGACAAGTTCTTCATATAAGATTTTCTATTTTCTCATATATAGCTTTTCCGGGAATTCTCTCCTATGTAATGTTTAGTATTGGAAAATATCGATGAATATACTAGCTACAAAGATCTCACATAATGGATACAGATTTTTATTTTGTATCTAACTTACTCAATGACTATTGTTTTATTTTGATTTGTTTCTGTAATAGATTTATTATCTTTGAGTTTTTGTATGACATAATAAAAATAAAAAATTTTTAATAAACGTTGATAAATTTGAATATTCGAATTTAAATGAATTTTATCAAGAATTTCTTGATAAATTTTAATACATGAATTTATTTGTGATTGTTGTAATAAATTTAAACATTCAATAAATAATGAAAAATTTTCAATTAATTCTAAATTATTGATTTCATTTGTTTTATTTATTAAAGTTTTTAATGATACTGTTGAATATAGAAATATATAATCTTTATATATTTCATTATTAAATAATGATGATAAACTAACTATTGATTGAATATATATTGGAAATGATGTACAAAATATAAAACATTCCAATGGACATCGAATTGTTGAATTATGATCACGATCAATAAGTATACGTAATTCTAATAGTTTCTGACGACGATTAGAAGATCCACTAAAATAATAGAACAATTAATTAATTAGTTCAAAGAAAACTATATAAATACATACATTTGATTTGCTTGATGAATGATTAATTGTTGCCAATTAAAATTTTCTTGTGCATTAATAGCTAAATTCATTAATATTTCAATTTGTTCAATAGGATTTTCACAAAAAAATGTTTTATCAAAATTTCCTTCTAATTTAATATGAATATATTTAATTTGATTATATTTTATACAATTTACTAAATATTCTATATAAAATTCAATCGCATAAATTAACCATTTATGACATAAATGTGATTGTATACCAAAACCTTGTCGATTTTTTAATATAATTGGTAGAAGATCTTGTACAAATAAACATCGAAGAATATTTAATGATGATAATTTTGTTTTAAAACCAATTTTATCTTCTGTATTAATTATTAATTGAAGTATTGATGATATTGATGATGATGATAATGATAAACAAGCAAGTGCTTTTTCTCGACATTGATTTAATAATTCATTTGAATTTATTGATAATAAAAGATTTTGTTCAAGTTCATTATACCATTTATGTATTAATATTGATGAGATTATTTCACGTGTTGATAATGATAATAATGAATAAAGACGTGAATAGGAAAAATTATCTTTTTCAATTGAACTAAAATTAAAAAGTTTGATTTTAGCTTTTAGTTAGAAATTTTTTGATCTTACTTATTTGAAGAATTAGTGAAAATCAATTGAAATTCTTGTTGTAAATATGTATTTTTATCAATTTCATTGATATGATGTTGTAAAATATGTTCAATTATAAATGATAATAGAATATAGGAATTTTGTTCACGAAATAAACGATATAATTCTAATAAAACCGAAAATTTTTCACCATATATTGATAATGTTGTTAATAGCCACGCATGTGCACGTGGAGTTTCTTTTAATATTTCATTTCCATCAGCAATTAGAAGATTTGAACGAATTTGATCTATTAAATACACTAAATTCGTATCTAAAGATGTAGTCATTTCAATCGTCATTGATCACAAGTAAATTTTTAATGAACAATTCTCTTTTTTCTTAATTTTGATTTTCATCTATTGACAAATCAAAGTAAGTCGATAGATGACTCGATAAGACGAGAACAATTTTCTAACAATTAATTTTAAGTGCTATACATTCAGAATAGACAAATCGTTATTATCGATAATCAATTATAAGTTCTGTTGAAATTATCGAATTTGAAATGGTCAGGTTAAGTGAACTCCAAATTTAGAGTTTTTCGACAAATTATAGCTTGTAACTATGTGCTTTTTTTTCTTGAGCATCAACAGTCGACTCAATACAGCCCAGAGTATCTATTAGAGCAGTCAAAAATAGATGATTACAGCTTTTAGGTCGAATTTTTTGCGAAAACTTAGATATCCGTAAACTCCAAATTTGGAGAACACTTAACCTGACTATTTTAAACGTATTAAAATCATTTTCTACCTTGAAATTTTAATATCATTTAGAGATTGCTTTTAACAAATGAAATTTAATTTAATCATAATTAAATAAGCGGAAGAGACACTATTGTTATAAATGAGTAAGTGTACAACATTTACGTATTAAATTATACTATTACAATTTGAAAAGATTTGCTCTATTTGAGCAAGAAACTAATTTAGTTCCTAAAAATGACCTTCGCATAGCTTTCAATTTGATAGACTATTGTAATTTACTACATAATGAAACAAAACGAATCTATCATGACTATGTACCATCGGTGAAATTTTGATTTAATGTATATTGATTTTATTTATTCACTCGTAGTAGAAAAAAACTTGAGTTTTATTTTCGTTGTAAATAGAGTAATTGTGAAAGTTTTTATTATGTAGATTTTTACCTTCATGTCTTGAAGTCGAATATTATTATAAACTTGTTTACTGTCTAAATTTTATGAATAAAATATACGATATTTTGACTTGAAGGATATATCGTTTGATTCTTTTTCAAAACAGAAAGAAAAGGGAATTTATTTCATCTGATATCTATTATTTTGTATAATAATTCAAGAAAATTTGACAAAAAAGAAAAGAATGAAATTCAGATCAATTCTATTCACTGTTATTATATTTTATACAGCATGAGTAAGAACTGGTGATGATGGAATGATTGTTTGATAAGTATACGTATTATTATTATTATTGTTATTATTCATATTTTCATCAGCTATTGTTGGGATAACATATTCTAATGTACTAAAAGTTGGCGATGACCATCCATCTTTTTCATTAATAAAACTATCACGTTTTGTTGATACATGTTCAATAATTTGTTTTTCTTTATGACCAAATCTAACAGCTTGACGAAATGAATCAGCTCGATAAAATGGTTTGCTTGTCTTCTCATCGTTATATGATAATTGATAAATTGGTGATGTTGACGAGAAATAATTTTCTTGTTGTTGCTTTTGTTGTACAGGTGAGATATAAAGTGATGATGAAGATGATGATTCAAGTGATTTTTCCGCTGTTAATCGACATAATTTTTGTTTACGACGTAACCAATAAAATGCAACTAAAAGAATAAGCACGGATGTACCTAGTAAACCAGCTATAACACTAAGAGCTATACGAAGACGTTCATCTATTGTACTACTAAAACGAAGAAATATTTCTGTTTTATTAAAAAATCGAAACAAAAATTTTTTTTTACTCATTTATATTGATTGTTTTTAATGTTGTTGTTGATGTTGCTAATGAACAATCCATACATTGACCATTAAGACAACATTGTCCAAGTGAACAACGACGTATATTATCATCAATTGAACAATTATCTGAATTAACAGGTAATTCACAAATAAAGATATTATTTCGTTGAATTTTTAATGTATCACTAGGACAAATGCATAGATAATTTGTTGTTTGATTACACCACATTATACAACGTGATGGGAATATATGACAATTTGATGTATTCAACATATCAGCACAATAAAGTGAATCGGAATACGATACAACTGAACTAGCTGATGAAATACAGGCACATTTTGATGACGAACAAGTTGTTAATGAAGGTGAACCACATGTTGTACTCATTGAATCACATGGAGTACCTATAGAGACAAATATATGAGATTCTATAAGTAATATAGTTTACAATTTGAAAAATAAATCTCAAGGAAATATGACAAATCGCTATACATTGATCAATCAAAGCATTTTTATCTAATCTAATCTTTATCAATATGAATAAATAGAAAGAGTATTCATTCAATTTCATATTAGAATCAAAATAATTGGATTCATTAAACTATTCAAAAAAATTTCTTTTTTGTGGATTTATTAAAATACAAGAAAGAAAATACACAATGCGTGCTTTTCTATCATGCAAATATGTTGTCTACACATGTCAATTTAAAGAAAAACGTTTGTATATTTATTTTTCAAGGTGAAAAAATGTCTTTCGACTTACCAACAGATTTTTCATAGTCGATTTGTATATAAAATATTGTTTTTGGATCTGTCATTTGTTGGTCATTATTTAATGAACAATTGCTCAATTGATAACGTCCTTGTTTTAAATATAAACTCATCTGATTAAATTGACTTGATGTTGTAGTTTTTGTATAATTAAATGATGTTAATTCAACACGTATTGGTTCGGAATCACGTGTTGATACTGTTGTACCAGTTATTGTTTTTAGTTGACAAGAATGTACAATGGATGCACAATTAAATATAACAGGAAATGGTACAAGATAATTTGAAGGGGAAAATTGATAAATAAGACCAAGTTCAAATGTTGTTGATAATGTAAATGCGTAACTAGCAGTAAGACTAACTGATGTTTGATTAATAAATTGAAATTGATCAGAAACTGCTGAATTTGTTAAATATGTATTATTTAAAAATGAACAATTGTAAATAAAATCCGGCCTTGTTGTTGCTGTTGTTGTTGTTTGGCAATATGTCATATGGATGTAAAGGAAAAGAAGAAACACAATAACCATCGCACAGACAACACACCATTGCGGCGTGTCACAAAGCAAGAATAATAGAATCAAATATCTGAAAGGACTATAGCTCAATATAAAATAGACAAAGAATGAATGTAACTAGAAAAATGTATATGTCACTTGGCATGCATCATCGAAAATGAAAGAGTGCTCATGAGAGTGAGACACTCCAACCGAGTAAAGCAACAAATAGTTAAATGATGTTTTTTTTTCTTCTTTTTTTTTTTTATGAAATGTTATAAAAAAAAGAACAAGCTTGGTAATTATTTAATGATGTTCACTACTTGGAGTGTCATAAAAAAATGTTGTACTCTTATCAAAATACAAATTGAAAAAAAAAATTTTTTTATAGGATTATTTTAAAACTCTAAGGGAGATATGGTCGGATTTCTTAAAACCTATTTATCTCAGACAGTAATTAAATTAAACGAGATACTTACTGATAATTTTTTGATGATATATAACAATCGTCTGTGTTCACTCATAAACAAATTTTCAGCTTTTGATTTGATTATATAAGACGAATATTTTTTTTTTTTTCGTCTTCTGACTTTTACTTTTTACACTCAATAAAGAATAATAATTATCGTGCTGAGTTAGTAATATTCTCCTACATATACATATATATGTGAAGAATATAGAGACTGCTGTTATCGTTGCACTCAATTTAAGTTAAGAACGATTATGATCATGAAAAAAAGAAAATATGTGAACTCTTCTCTAATCTTTAAGAGATTACCATAGCTTTTTTCTCCCTCTCTCCCATTAATGCATATTTTTTCTCTTCCGATCGATCGATCGATCAATCAATTGATGTGTACACTTTTCTTTACATACCTGACTGAACTTAAATTGTCGGTAGATTAGTATCATTTATAATCGAACTGTTACTATTATCATTGGTGCGAATAATTTCGTATGTCAATATCTACTACTGAACATTTAAATCGAGAGTATAACACTTTAAGCACTTTTTATTTATCAATATTTCATATTTTACCTTGTAATAAAAAAAAATGTATACTGATTTTCATTCTTTTTTTTCTTTTCCTTCTTTCTTTCTTCTTTTGTTTCCTCATACGATGATTGATGTCATATACACACACTATATAATTATTCGTTAATGACTTTAAAAATGTGTGTGAATTCATAATATGATTACGTATTACCTTGGCACTAAATGTCTACGTACAAAAAACTAGAATTCTGTGTCTGAGGCTTTTTTTAATGAATATTTAACGTATACTTATGTTCGTATCAATGAGAAAAAAAGGAACGATCGTGTTTGAATATCAACAAAAAAAAAGAGAAGAAAAGAAACCCAAGAGAATTCATTATGACAAAAAATTTAAATATTCAGATCACCTTCTATTCATTATCTGTCTTATTTTCTTCTTCGTTACGTTTATGAATAGCACAGACATGAAATATATGTTAAACATGCTCATAGAACTAAGTGAACAATTCATCATGCTTGAGAGGTAAATTTAAAATGTATAGGTGTTGTTTGATGTTCAAACATACATATATATATATATATATATAATAGTAAGAGCGATGAAAGTGGACACTTGTCATATTGTTATACATACAAACAGGTGTAAAAGAACTAATGAAATTAAAGAACATGAGACATGTGTATACATGCGTATATCATGTCTATGTTTTATGTTAAATATTTCGATATTATAATCACAAGAAAAGAAAAAAAAAAGAATTGATCTTTGTAGGAGATAAATTTTATGTGTACAAAAAACATTGTTCAGAATGTAACATTCGATTTTGCACGTTTCTAATCCAAGGACATTCTATAATATCTAATTAATAGAGTATTAAATAGTTGACAAATTATTCTAACAGAGGGATATTTTAAATGTTTAAATATATAATCAGAAAAAATTTCATAATCTGGCGATACATGTGAGTCTTATGAAGAATAAAAGAACCTTCAGTAGTATATACATAATTATATAGTCATACTATTAAATTCTAAATATAGATATTAATAGATTATTTTAAATCTACTTACATTTATTTAACAGTTTTTCATGTTAAATATGTCACCTTTCACGATGTCTCTCTTTTCGTACTGTACTTATTCATTTAGTTGAGTGTGTCTGTTATTCAGTCGTTTTTTTCTCATCATCATCGTTGTCGTCATCGTCATCATCAGCATTTACTCGGTTTCTGTTACACTAAGTGATGCCGCGAGCCAATGTTCGTACATATAGCAATGTCTATTTACAATGATATTCAATCTTTCGTTTTTACTATATTGAGAACTGAGACGAACATATGTACAGAATTTTTGACTGATTTTGTCCTATATATTCTTTTTTTCATTCTTACTTTATCAAATATACTTTTTCTTTCACATATTAAAATTGAAAGGTAGCCTTTGAACTGCAAAGATTTCCAAGGATGCTATATATACATACATGATCTAGATACACGTGCATACAAATAGCTTCTTAATAATTGAATCAATCGACGACAATGATTGTGATAGACAGAAAAAATAATTGACATATAGTAGTATATTGAACATGTTATATAAGTTTTTTTAGACACCGGATGATGAATGCGTGTGCGTGTGTGTGTGGCAATGCTCAGGTAAATGAGAAGGAAAGAAAGATTGTGAATAATATTTAAATGGATATAGTCATATGAATAAATCTGTCTGCACGGCATCACGCTTCATTAGTTTGTCAATAAATACAATGGATTGAAATTGTTTGTCAAGAGTCAAAGTAAAAAATAATGAGTAAAGTCGATTCAATAATCCGCCTCTATGAACAATGAAAATTTTTTAAGTAAGAAGGCATGTCTAGATAATCATTTTTCCATATCAATAACGCTTATTATATAATTGTGATTTCCAAACAATAAGACATTTGTGATTTAAGATTTTACGTCTCTCTCTCTATATATATATTCTTTCCGGTTAATATATATTCTTTCGATTTATTTCTCTTATGTAATTATAATTCTTCATTCAGCTTTCTAGTCGTCTTCAATCAAGCATATGTACTTTATATAATATATGATTGGCATTTTTTCTTTCTATCAGCTTTGCTTATGTGTAATCAACAGAACCGAATTCATTCGAATATAACAAAAAGAAAAAAAACAAAAGTTTCTTCCCAATAATCTACATTTGAATCAATTTCTATGATTGTACAATATATATAAAACAGTTGTAAGATACCAAGACAAAACAAATGAAAGCTCGTACAGGTAAATATTTGAGTACAAGTCATCATTTGTCAATGTTAGTGAACATATCTTCAGTATTGAATTCATGGAAGTAGATATATCAAATATTTTTGAACACATGATTCTTCGTGTTTGATTATTGTTGTTTTTTTTAGACAACGAAAGAATAGAGATTATACAGCATGTAAATTAAGAAGAATTAATAGAAATCATTGAACGAATGATACAAAATACTTGTTTCGGTAAGCCTATATCAATCAAAGAACAATACATCACTACAAACTCATGTCCATTAGTAATAGACTAAATCGTGTTCATATATTCTCGAGTAGAACAACTATTACATATAATGTTCTACTTTTCACATCTGTATTTTGTTGTACGTACATACACGAATAAGTCATTATGCTTGACAACTTCGTTACATAATATATGTTAATAAACACAGGTGTTATGTGTTTTGTTACAATTATGCCATGAAAGTTCGAAATATATTTCAAGATCAATTACGAAAACTAAAGAAATGGAAGTGAATGAAATATTGGTCTTTGTATTTAATACTAGATTCTGGTTACATATTTTCAAGGTTTGAAATGAAGTATACATAGATAAAAATAGTTACTAACATTCATCTATGAATAAAGTCTAAGTACTTGTGAGGTAACCTGTTCGATGTAAATATTAACGATGAATTCAAAATGAAATTTATGCAATAAGTTTAAAGAAACAATTGATATTTATTGTAAAGTACGTTCAAAATCGGTGACTTTAGAAATAGGTTTAAATAAAGTATAGATTTTCTATCACCTTTATTCATTTCGCTGAATAGTTCTTCCATTGAATCGAAAAACAACTAGTTTACATTGAAGAATATGATCATCCACTGGATGTTAAAACCTATTTAGCAATATTTCTTATATCACGATTAATACCAGCTGTATATGATACGTTGATAGCAACATGTAACTCAACATGCATTGGGGTCCTTTGGACGTATAAAATGAATAGTATAATTATATAAATTTGAATCAAACGTTATTGGTGTAAGTGTTAGATACGCATCATTCGGATGACATAATCTATGAGTAAAACAAATATTTAAAGGAAGATTATCTTCCGATGATGATGATGAAATAAATTCAAACAGTAAGACAAAACATACAAAACCTTGTACGATACTCATTATAATTGATAAGTTATATATGTCATCAAATTATAACATTTTATGTTCTCAGTATTTATTCTGAGAGAGATTGAATAGATTTAAAAACAAGATAAAATTACGAGGAAAAAAAACATTTTATTTCGCATGTTTAAATACAATAAAAATAGTTATACATATAGTATCTATGAAAATATAATACAAGCAAGAATAACTAATTTAAGACTTTGAGTGTGACAGTATTTTAAAATTTTGTATTATCTTTTGGTGGTTTGACTTCAGTTTCAATATGTCCGCCAGAAGCAACTGCTGCATATGAAGCTGTCGAAGTAGATGCTCTACAGAAAGATTAATATTAAAATAAATAATTTTTGTTTGAAAAGATAGACAAAAATAATTACCCAGTAGCTGCACCAGAAGCAGTTGTATGTTCTACAGTTTTAGTGGATGTAGCTGATACTACTTTCGATGGACTAAAATATGAAATAATTTATTTGTTTTCATATTGAAAAAGTTAGTTTCTCAAATTTTACCTATTCCCTTTTTTTTTGTTATGATGACCAGCAGCAGAAGAAGCAGTTTCATGTTCTACAATTTTGGTTGTAGTGGACGTAGCTGATACTACTTCCGCTGGACTAAAATATAAAATAATTTGTTTGTTTTTATACTGAGAAAATCATTTTTTTTAAACTTTACCTTTTTACTGCTATTTGTGTATGACTATCAGCAACAACGGATTCTGTTTGACCTGAAGCTTGTGTTTGAGAAGTAATTACTGTCGTAGTTTTTGATTGTAATAAATTTTGAGTATCTTGTTTGCCTAATATACCGACTTGATCTGCGAGATTCGAAATATTTTCTCGTACTTGTTCTTGTGCTTCGACTAATGCATGTAACTTAGCTGCATTAGCTTGATCATTTAAAATATCAATTTGTTTTTTAGCATCAGCCATGATTACTTGTTGTTTAACTTGTAAATCATGTTCTAATTCAGCTAAAGTTTTAGCTTTAACAACATCTAATGCTTCAACTGCTTTTTGTAATTGAAGTTTATAATCATTGTCAATAATTAAATGGCGACGATTTGCATCAAGTACTAATTCTTCTTGTAAACGTTGAGTATTTGTCAGAACATCAGCAATTGATTTTTGAACCTATATAAAAACAATTAAAAATCTTAAATTTGAGAGAATAATAAACATACTTGTTCATTAATTGCAGCTGTACGTGATCGAGAATATTGATCAACTTGTGCATGTGTTGTATTCAATTCTGATAATAAATTATTAATATTAAGTTTAGTATTAAGTGTTGCATTTGCGTGAGTTTCAGATGAAATAACTGATTTAACATGAACATCATCGGATACAGCAGATGTATGTAGACGTTCTGTAGTAGCAGCATTACTACCTTCAACTGTTACTTGTTGATCTGCATCAGAGTGTGTGCCGAATATAGCGTTAATAATAGCTGACATCTTTGTTATTTAATAGAATAAAATCTAGAGTTATTGTAGTAGTATTGAGATGCTTGGGTTAGCGAATGAATGGTAATGATGATGCGCAAAGAATATATAGTACTCTTGTTTTCTCGTTGTTTATTTTTATGCTTAGTACGTTCTCTCTCTCTTTTTTCTCTATATTCGCAATAAAGATTCACTCCTATTTTTTTTTTCTATCTATACATGAGTATAAAGGATTCGTAAGAACGGAAAAGAAAAAAAAGAAAACAAACGTAAATTATTACGGCGATTGCTACTCAGATAAAAAATAACAGAGAGGAGAGAAAGAAATTGGATCTGTGCATATGGGATGTTGATATGATGTTAGCATATAAACATGAAAGGTTGAAAAAAAATGATCGCATAATATTTTTTTCGGGAGAAAGATAAAAATAGATATGATGACTATGCAATGCAATGCTTTGATTTAACTTATACAACTATTCCGCACTGAAAACAATAAATCAAATACGTTTATTATTGCTGTACAAGAGAAATGCGTATTTTATCTCTTTCTATCGTTACTAATAAAAAATGAGAAAGGGGTATACAGTACATTTAGTGAGTCATCTTCTCCATTGTGTTGATGTTTTTCTCTTTCTTGACGTCACATGAGATTTGTTGTTGCCAAAAAAAGGCATTATCTCTGGATAATATAATAACATGCATACAGTATTTTTCAGTACTTTTCTGTTGAAGGACTATTGTAGTTCACTGAGTATTATGTTAATAAATAAATCGATAAAAGTACACATACATAAAAATAAATATGAAATTGATTATCAATTTCGGCAAATATATCTTTGTAAAATTCGGATGATGTGCACATATTATATTCAGTCACGTGTCGGCTACTCGTGGATATAAATTTCTAAAATATAAAGAATTATTTATGATATTTTTAGTAGAAAAACAAATTCAAAGATTTTCTAATACTACTCAACGATTAAACAATTATTTTTTGATAAAAATTTTTTTTCATTAAAAAATACAAATGAATATTAAATTGATAAGATTTTATTTTATGCGTCGTCGCTATTCAAATTAAGCAAATATTTTTAATTTAAAATCTTTTTTATTTACATTGTTCAATCTGTATAAATATTGAATTTTTCATAGTAGTATATCGATTATTTTAGAAGTATTAATTGTTAATCTTTAATTGTGTTTAAATTCTACTCATAACTAATATATACTGAGTATCGCATATCTTATTAATAATTATGGAGATTGATTTTAATACACGGGAGATGTCAGTCATATTATCAGAATTATTCGTACCCAAGACTATATAAATCTGAAAAGTAATATTAATTTGATTACCAATATTATTTTGAAAATAGTTATGATATAGAGAATACACTTCAGACTATGGTCAGTATTGGTTTTAGATAGAAACAGTTAAACTACAAAAATGGAAGAAAATAAGAGTCGTTGTCTCCATCAGATAACTTATAATTTTAATAACGGGAGTTATATAGAGCCTCCACTTGTTATTTTGAAAATCAAAAATATTTTAGTTAATATTATTGTTCTAATTCACTTTATTTTGTACCAATATGCTTGCTCGTTCAAGTTTTTGGTATTTCCAGTTAATAGTCTTATATACTTGATCGTGTTTCTTCTTGTTCATTAGTTCATACAAGAATATCAATTTCTTTTTTTTTATAAATTCTATAATTAATTTAATAGTCAATGTAGTTCTTCTCTTGTCTTTCTTTGTTGTACTAGTCACAATTGACCAATGCTATGATGTTTAAATTCAATATAAAAAAAGGGAATTTTAGTGATGTTCAAATGTCTTCCAAGCATCATCTATTTGATGCTCTGCCCATGTAAAAATAATTGCAATTTTAACGAAGTCCCGTAACGTGAAAATCCGTTAAAAATTCCACGGCTTCACAAGAATTAATGTTACCTTTTTAACCTTCAAAACGCGTTAAAACTGGGAAAATCTAACGCTGTTTAATATATTTGCAATCTTTCAGGCGTTTTCATGGTTAAAAAGGGCAGCATCGATTTTTATGAAGCCGTTAATTTTTTAACGGATTTTTACGTTACGAGGCTTCGTTAAAACTGCAATTATTTTTACATGGGTAAATATCAATCAAAGATCGAACTATATTTGTAATACCATTTGTTGAGACAATATGTTGAATTTTCTTGGATATATTTTACAAGCCTTTCATAAAACATGCACCATCAATTTATTGTGATAGAAAATGATGAACTAAATAAATCATTACTTCATTAGTAATGACAATAGACAATACAGATATTGGTGAAATAAAAGAATTCAGCTAATCTTTTATTAATTAACCTATTAATTCTTAATTTCAATTTAGACACTATTCTTTTTATCGAAGAAGTATATTTAAAACTATTACTAATTTCAAATGCAACTACGTAAAATACTTGACTTATATTTAAATTATTTACCAATAATAAAAAATTTTTTTATAATGAATCAATTCATATTTTTAACATATGATTGTTAGTCTACACTAGGTTTTTTCAACCCTTTTTTTTCTCTGAGTACTTTCTCAAACATAATTAAATACAATTAAGCACCATCAACTACACTTAAAGAAAAAGAAATTTATGACATGTCAATTACTAATCTATATAATAACGCAATGAAATGCTTATTTATATGATTGCAACAATTGAAAGAAAAATCTGCATTTCTCATTATTAACTATTAGGTATTTTACTAAGGTAAACAGGTACTAATACATTTTCAAAAATACATTGTAATTAAATATTTTTGAGATGTTGTTTTTCTTCAACTAATCTTATATAATTTAGATAAATGTAACATCTAAGTTTCCTCCAATATAAAGTAAAAACATCTGTTTTAACCAGAAAAAAATCTAGACACTCATTATAATAATTTTCTTCCTTTCTCCCCCGAGATAGACAACTAAAGAATATAATGAATCTAAATACTATATATATAGGATCATTTTTATAGTTTTCTATTCCATCATTTATTAACAATTGCATTTTCCATCATTTTTACTTTAATAAAATGCCATACAATCAAACAGAAAGTGATACATCAATTCGTTATATTAATATTTATATTAATCTTTTCTATCTTATTTTTGGTAATATTGGTAATTTACTTAAAGTTGCATTTTTTCTTCAAAAACCATTACGATCTCTTCCTTGTACGATGTATATTCTCTTTTCAACAGTCAGCGATTTTGTTACATTAAATAATTTACCTGTTCTACAATTATTAATTCATCTTTATCCAAATTATCATTGGATTAAAATAACTGTCGATTGGTCAAATAATCAAAATGATACAGTGCTTCTTTCACATTCAATATCTAATTATGATATTATTATGTGTAAAATACGTAGTTATTTACATTTATTAAGTACGGATTTATCATTTCAAATGCTTTTATTTGCTTCAATTAATCGATATTGTTCAACATATCGTCGAGGAAAACGACATAATAGTACGGGTAGTGCGGGTAGTTTTAATAAATGTTTTTGTAGTCATCCATATATACAAAGATTATGTATTATTTCATGTATAATTTCTGCATTATTATCTTTACAACATATATTTAATTTTACAATAAAATCACCTTCTGAAGGTTGTGTTCCACATCATCGTATTTTATGGGTTGTATGGATATCATCAATTCATTGTTTTATTTTACCAATAACGATGACAATATTCGGAATATTAACATTGAGAAATATTCATTGTTTATCTATGTTTGGTGATTATTTTTTATGTTTAAAATGTCATTGTCATAGTCGGAAAAAAAAGTATAGTATTGATTCAATGGGTACATATTGTTCTCGTTGTGAAAATACAATTCAACATCGAATTGATCGACAATTAACATCAATGATAATAAGTGAGATATTTGTTACAGTATTAACATCATTACCATATGGTACTTATGCTCTTTATTCTCTTCTACATACGATACAAAAAAGACCAATACTTAATGGAAATCAATCGATATGGATTCCGTTATTTGTTAGAACTACTATGTATTTGGAACCTAGTTGTGGATTTTATATTTATTTATTAACATTAAGTACATTGAGAAAACGTTTTCACAAGACATTTATCAGTAAAGTAACAAAAAGAGGTTGGTTTTGTTGGAAATAGAAGGAAATTTATTTTGTGAAGTTTCACATAAATATAATAAGATGTTCCAATTACCTTTTAAGTATTTTATTAGTTGTTTTTTTGGATAGTTGACATAATTGAATGTCATGAAACAGAAAGGAAGCGTGTTTGAATGATGTTTGTTCTGAAATGTGGCTAGACTTTTTAACAGAAAATGTGAGAGTCATATATGATATGTAGAATCTTTTCAAAAGAATTATATTATATGTTTTCTATTTATTCAATTAAATTATAAGGATATATGACTGAAAGGTCAAGTTATGTTAATTAAAAAAAGTTTTCTTTTGAAATAATTTATAATTCAAGAAAATTAAACTTTATATATAATAGTATTAACAGTTAGAATATGAATCATAATTAAATTACTACGATATCGCTGGTGAGTAATAAAATATTGTTGTTTGAACGATAGTTACTATTTTTATTTAATCACGGACAATTAATGACAAACATTAAGTTAATTTTATCTCAAGGACAACAGTACTATTACGAAGTATAATACGATGAAAGGTATTAATTGAGTATTATAAGCTTATATCATTCTGTAGAGCAAACTGAATAATAAACGATATTGATTTGAACGTATATAGATATTCGTTTTAAAGAACTTATCTTCTGTATCAAAGATCAATTACCATTGAATGTATATGTGGTATGTTGCGTTTGATAGATTTCCTAGAAAATCATCGAAATTTCAGTATATTAAAGAATGAAAAAACATAAATAGGATACTTGCCTAATGTTAAAATGTCCTATATCTTCATCTCAGGTCTAATCAATTTAGTACTATCAATCTATAAATATGTAGAATTTATATTTACTAGGAGTAGGATTTTGTATATATTTTTAATAAAACTTTTCTACAAGCGTCTAAGATATTCCAGTAGGAAGATATAAACTTTAGTCACAAAATCAATAAAATAATAATATAACAAAGGGATCCAATTTTAAATACTTGTCAATCTTACTACCTCAATAAGATATATGTATTGAAATCCCTTCTATATCATAAAAAGAACTCCATCTTGATATATTTTCTTACATGTACGCATTATTCTAAAACTCGGAAGAAACCGTACATTACCAAGTGCATTTGTAGTACGTAAAGGGTAAAATGTATAGTTAAGAAATCCGTAAAAATCATTTACTGTCAACAATAATGTCCGTCATAATATAATATCTAAAACTAAATTACAATTTATCATTGTAAATATTTTAAAATATATTTTTGCAAGACATAATAAATAAGTTTTATTAAAATAAATTTTCAAAAATTTTACACATTGCATTTGCAGCATTGTATTTGTAATAGCAGAATAAAAAAAAAGATTTTTACCCATTTTTTCCCACAAATATTGTTACAAAAACAGCAATAACTATGCCAATAATAACAATTACTGCTATTATTGAAAAGATAATCAACATTCGTTTCGATATACATGATTTTTCACTACAAAATCAATAGGAAATCGAATGAATTATAAATATATATATATACCTATTATGAGATTCATCAGTTGAATAATCTTTTGATTGTGTTCGTGATAATTCACTCGATTCTTCTATTGTTCGAATATCATCAATAGATGTTGCACTAGAAAAACTAGACAAAGGAGTAGCTTGACCATTTTCGATCATCGCTGGACTAGAGATCATTTCATGTGGTAATCGACTGATATTCTATATATATATATGTATTTTTTTTTCTTTTAGGAAAAATAAAATCTAACTGAATTTCTGTTATTTGGTATTTGTACAGGATGAATTTTTGTATTGATAAATTGAGATGATAAAATCTTAATTAAATAAGATATAGATTAATCTATTAAAAATAAATCAAATAAACCTCTATTGGTTCAACTCTACTGGATTTTCTCGATGTAAAACTATGTTTTTTCTTCTGAAGGCAAAAAAATAGAATTTATTTTTATAAAATTATTTTCAACTTACACTGGATGATTGTTGTTTTATATCTGTATACCATTCATTTTTATTCACTGATTTTGATTGTTGATATGTTTCTCTAGCCGCTATAACATTTAAAATCCACCGTCCTGTTTGTGCTGCTTTTTCTTTATCACTAACAAAAATTTGCTCAGGTTGTTTTGAATGTACATTTGAGTTTGAATTTAAATTTATATGTTGAACAGAGACACGATTGAATCGATTAATAGGATTACTTTGTCGAGTATTTAAATCAGGAAATATTATCATACTATTACCAGATACTTTCTGTAATCGATTCGGTGATATTTTTTTATCGAACTGATGTGTCATTATGTCCGAAATAAGATTATTTCAAATGACAGATTCGATTTTATGGATGTATGAAAATACTCACTTAAAGGTTTCTTCTTGATTCAGATTGTTAAACTAGTCTGATTATTAATAATAAAAACAAATAATAGATGAAAAAAGAAACCAATCAAAATTTTCTTTGTATTCTTACTGAAAGACAAAACATGTTGTGAGTCTAGTGTCTTTACATAGATCATGATAAGTAAAAAGCACTTTATTATATAGAGATATTTACTAGATTATTGGTTTAGTACTGTAGATATAGTTCATTCAAGGATAAATATCATTTGAAAGTGAAATGAAACCTAAGAAAAGATTAATTTTCATTATAATAAATATATTCAAGTTCGATATATTTTTCATGAAAAAAAATAGAATATATAATTATATTTGAATATTACAATTCAACCAAAAAATATAATTAAAATATATTGAAAATTCCGTTTTGACATATTTCAAATTCATTTTTATTGACAATTCAATCAATATATTAGTTATAATTATTAGTCATAATTAATATTTAATACTTGAAGGAGTAATTTACATTGAATCAAATTCTATAGTTTATAAACTTTCAATTAGGCTATTAAATCTTTTGCTAACATACGATTGAGATTTTAGTTGTATTCTCTCTTTTCCCCTTTATTTAACAACTATATTGTTTTTACAGACGCTTGCATATTTGTTTGTAGACTTACATTTCTACGAAAAAGGATACAGACTGATGTCTTTCTCAGAAATATGTCCATTTGAATTAACTCAACAGTATTTTTTGCAAGTACAGTAGGCATATCTCTATACTATGAGATTACTCCAACCGCACTAGTTCTCCGTATAGTAAAATTCATATTTTATCGTTGACTTTAGCAGAAAGTAATCTGTGCGCATCATGTGTCTCATAGATGAAATGGAATACCCACGCCCATCCTCAAGGTAGAAAATTCGACACATAGTATTTGTAATATGTTTTATGAATGGAATCTTGACTTTATCTTCAAATGGACCTGAGTCTCTAAAAATAAAACTGACGAGTATGATGAATTATTTAATGTTTGTGAAGAAAAACAATTATAAATAATTTATACATGTTGAAAGGGATTGAATTTATTCTATTTTTAATAGTCTATAAGAATAACCTCAACAATTTTGATTTAAACGCATGGTTAAGTGCATCTAAAGAAGCAGAAGTATGTTTTTATTAACCCATAATATAAAAAGAAATTATTCTTTTTGTAAAAGTGTACATTGACATTCAAATTGCTTTGATCATAATCTATAATTTCCCAAATTGAATATTTTATCACAGAATTTTGCACTTTATTTCAAACACTTTTCTTTTATTGATTCTCTTTAATTTAAAAATCATATATAATACATTACTTTAATTAAATTTTTTCTATGAATATTCTACTTCACAAGCAGAATATTACTCTATTTTAAGTTTTACTATGTCGATTGATTTTAAATTGATACCATTTGTTACGTATTTCGTTTTTTTAATTGTTGTTTTCTTTGTAATTGTGGATTACTTGTAGTAAATTTAACTGTTTGTGTTAATGTTCTTAATTGATGATCTGTTCGTATTGCTTGTCGTCCTAATTTACACATAAATTTTCTTGTTATTTTATATAATTCTTGACGAAACATTTTTCCACTTAATGTTAAAAGATAAAATGTACATGAATGATTAACAAATGATACTGTTCGAACAACAATAATAAAAACATTTTCAGCTGCTTTTGTAAAATCATCTTTGGGTACATCTAATGTTAATGTTGAATATAATTTTTGTACAGCATGTGGTACTGTCGTTATTGTTATTAACGTAACTTGCAAAAAAAGCATTAACATAAGTGTATGATCTCGTTTATTTAATGGAGAAAGACGTCGACCTCGTGGTACTATACGACGAAGACGTCTTGTATTACCTATAGTCCATATACCAAAAATTAACATTAATAATGGAGGTGCAAGACTATAACCCACTAAATAAACACTATCATCAAATAAACTATAAAAGCCTGCACGGGCACCACAATTATGATTGGAATCAATGATATAAAATACAGGTACATAAGCATAAAAAAGAAGGCCAACTAATGTGGTGATAGCTATCATCCAACGTGCTATAATTGGACGTGCAAATGCTCGTGAATGAACACTTTGTGAACTTGACATTCTTCTATCAAAACAAGCAAGTACAATAAACCATGATGATAATGATTTAGCAGTAAAATATGTATAAAATCTTAGTCTGCAATATGGTAAATTATATTGACCTGGATCAATATCATAACCATCGGAAAGTATACGTGATGGTAAAATAAAAAAGACAACAAAATAATTGGCTATAGTTGATGCTAAAAAATAATGAACACATGAATTTTGTCTAAATGTTCGACGTGTAAATATTAATGTATTTAATGTTAAACCAATTGTACCCAAAATAAATAAGACCATAAGACAATAACGTGAAAATATGTCCGATACAAGGTTAAGCATATTTATTGATACTAATCGAGGTTGAATAGCTACAAATGACATTATTGTTCTTTATATATTATCTGTATTTACAATAGAAGAAAAAAAAGGAATCATGTGTTTTTTTAAATGAATTAACTCAGTAGGATATAGACGTGATTGAAATTAATAAATATTCTCGTATTGTTTTTCCATGAATAGAAGAAAAATGTCAGACTCAGACTATTTTATATATCAATTCGAGCTGTTATAATTACATTCATAAAAACAAAAAGAATGCAAGCGAGATAAAATAGCATGAACTACGTACGTTTTATATTATTATTCCAAGATCAAAGCATTGAAAACTTACTTTATAAAAATCTGTGGGTTTTTAAGTACCTAATAGAATTTTGAAGATGTCATGTGCGTCTTTTCTTTTTATATGATGATAGAGAGAAAAGAGTTAACTGAAGTGTTGACGTACTGGATAGTGTGATTATCTCGGTACTATTTGACTTACGTGCATGTGCTAACATTGTACGTAATAAATTATAAGTTCAATTACGATGGAAAAAGAATTCCTATTGCGAGCTTGATTGTCATGTTAACTTTTAATAATATGAACGTTTGTGTTTGCTAACTATTCTCGAGACTTATAATGAGTCATAAACTTAAAGACATTGCAAAACCGTATTAGATATCACAAATAGAAGATTGTTATTTATTATTTCTTAAATGAAATACGTGAGATAGAAAACTTTTCCGCGATTTGTTTAGTTACCGATTACAAACAATTAGCAAGTCAACGATATGAATAAGAGTAAGGATTTTATTCATAAATTAAATATAGTATATTCGTTGCAAATAAACTAAGAGGTTTCTGTATCTGTATGTTACTAACTATTTGAAAAATATTACTGACTGAAATTAAGATTATTTAGTATGAGTATATTCTATTTTTGACAATAATTCAATGTTTATGTAATTAGCAAAAATTAGTTTCTATTCAAATCGAGATGTTCATCAGTGCGCTTTAGTACAATATCATTCATACATGAAATGATGATCTTACTAGACTCTTTGATTATAAAAATCTATTATCTATACCATGAGTTTGTACTTATCAACACCGTCTACTTATTTTCAATACTACCGTTAATTTCGTATGTATTTAAGTTCATTAAGTAAATGTGATTTATTCAAGGATTTATGCTAAAGAAAGGTTCTAAATGTGTATTGATCTACAAATATTTAACTCGGTAATTACTAACTAAGTTTAAGAATTATAAATCGAAAAGAGAAAGTAGATATTTAAAAAGATTATTGAGCAGTGAGTGAATGTATTGTATTATTTATAATACTAATACTTTCTTTTATCCTCAATAGAACTTGACAAAAAAGAAAATAATTTGCTCTAATTCATCTCACTAAAACAAATTAAAATTTTTACTCATGTGACTAAATCTTTTATGTTTATAAAATGTTTTTCTAATATTAAAAACTATCATTATGATATTCTATAGACTATTTTTCAGTTTGAACTGATTAACACTGAATGCCTGAATTAACAAAAAAATACTCATCTTTTCATTTCGATCATAAAATAACTATAAGCTCAATTTTAACTATTTGTAATACTTGTTATCTATACTATGATTTATAGTGAAATTCTTTATGTATTAAAAAAAGTGTATAGAAAACATGACTTACTTGTGTATTAATTCCTATCTTACTATACTCCGAAATTGCTATGAAAAGATATTTTCTTTACTTATTCATTTTTTTTTCTTCTACACATTTGTTATGCTCGCTTAGGGTCTATCTTCTGTGAGCGACAAATAATGCCTATTTTGTCAAAGATTGAATTAATACCGGCGAGGTTAATTTTGTTCATTCAAACGCCTAGAGGAACTGTCAATATTTCTATTTGAAGAGAGAAAAAAAGAAACACTCCATTTTTGAAATCTATTTCAAGATGAAAACTTTTGTTTATTATATAGCAAAGTAGAATGGCATGGTAATTATAGAACTCTTATACTTACATAGTTGATCAATTCTATATTAAACATTATTTTAATAATTAATAAAAATATTTCTCTTCTTTAAAATAAACACTATATACTAAACAGATAGAAAAAAAACATATATATATAAAGAAAAAAGTATGAAAATGAAGTTTATTAAATATGTCTTTTACTCATGATTTGTACAAAGAAAAAAAAATTCTCTCAATTAACTAAGCGGCGACATATTTTTAACGCTATAAAAAATGTTAATGAGGCGAGTTCGATATATATAAAAATAAATTTTGTAAGATTATCATATAGACATAAGAAAGAATATTCAGCATGTAGTTACACTTCCGTATAGATCATTAATATTTTGTTTCATTGTAAATCTTTACTAAATTCGTATCTCATAATCGACATCGTGATGTTCTAAGATGTTGTGACTATTTTGCTTATAATTAATCTAGAAACGCAATACCTTTGTTATTCACATATGCATAAGTAATGCAATATATAGAAGCTCATTAAGTAAAATTTTTACCTTGTATCATTTATATTCGATGTAATAGAATAAACTTCCGAAGTTTTATTGTAAAAAAACGTTTACTTATAGGAGAAGAATTTTCTTTTTAGTATTCATAGACAACCTACTTGACATAGACTTTTTTGTATACATATTCACCTTCATCACATTATAAAAAGTATTTCTATAGATGCTCAAGGTCTCTTCCTGTCTTCAATAATCTCTTATGTACTACTCTCAAAATTAGGTTTCGTAAAGATAAGCTTTATTTCATGATGAATTAAATTTTAATTATCTGCCTTGCAATTTTCAAATTAAACTCATGTATACCTCGAAAATATAACAACGTCATAAAGTAAAAATAATATGCCAAAGTAATAGAGACCTGCACGGAGTCATTTTCGGAGTTACCGTCGCAATCAGATAAATTTTATGTTAATAATTCAGCTTTAATGTTAAAGAATATTGAAGTTCATAGATTTGTTGCTCGACATTTTCTCTACAAGATGATCTATTTTGAAGGATCAGCAGACGTCTTAGTGAGCCTTACAAAGCAAAATAAAATACAGAAAAAGTCGGAGTCGAAAATGACTCCGACTTTTCTTTTGTATTGGCGAGGCTTAACAAAGCATCTACCTATACTTCGAAATACATCATTTTGTAGCGAAAATGTCGGGGAACAAAACTATGAGTTTCAATATTCTTTAACGTTAAAGTTGAATTCGCGATATGAAATTTATTTGACTCCGTGTAAGTCTCTACAAAGTAACCAAATATTTCCATCGTAGTTTTACATATTCTCAGAATAAACGAGTAAAATATCACTTCACTAAAACATAGTATACATGATAAAAGTTTATTAGCTGGATTTTTTGATATTATACGAATTATATCATCAAAATTCTCATGATAATATTTAAACATAGTGCTGAGTCGTATAATCTAAGAATCGGTTTTTTTGTTTGTCTTTTATTTATTTTTTTAATATAACTACTAAGTAACATAAAGAAAACAAGATTTCACATAAATGGAAGTGAAACAAAAACATAAAGCGAAAAAGAATAACAATGATTATCAGATCTATTTTCCACCTGCTTGTTTACGTAATAATTGAAATATTTCCTGTTTAATCCATTCTTTATTATGAGGTTTGTATTGACCTGTTTGTTTTTGAAAAACTAAACAACTTAAATCAGATATTTCATCAATAAATTCGAATAATTCCGATATATCGTATGTTATTGATGGTGACATTGGATTACGTTTTTTTAAATGTTCTTCGAATACTTTACAAATACCTAGAAGTAAAAAACAAAAAGAAAAGAATGTCTTCTTATTCGATTTTGATTTCATACCATCCAAACTTTCATCAACTGATTCATAGTCCGAATAAGTACGAGAATCAAGTTTATTTGTAGATTGAAGAAGAAGAATTGTATGTGACATATCTAGAACTTATCTAATAAAAATATCTTTAATAATTATATTCAAAAATAAAGAATAGCGCAAAAGAGCATGAGACAAGTAGATATGTGTACAAGAGTAGATTTTAGTTAAGATAAAATTAATTTTTCTTCTGCTCGTGACAAACAAATGCAACGATATTTACTCTTGAAAATGACAATGTTTAATAATCAAAATAAAAAAGGTCAAAGTCCCATAAAACTAATTTATAACTACATTTGATATAGTGAAGAACGAAGTTTTCATCAGAAAAGTCTAGACAAACTAGAATAAAATAGCAAAAAGAGTAATTTTAAATGTTCTAAACAAATAAATTTATTCTTTCATGTTTCAACATGAGTTTATATCAAGTACACAGGAGCAGATCTACCTATTAGACGAACCGGCGACCGCTACTAGTGGCGTAACCAGAAATTTAAGGATGATGAGGCTTAGCCCAAAACTGTCTAGTCTTTTGGATCTTTTGTTTGACAAGTTCAGTAACTAAAAAATCCTGGTGATGGGATTAAGCCCCATCTGGCCTTAGTGTAGTTACACCACTAACCGCTACCCCCTTGAAAATAGATACTTCGACAAATACTGAAAACAGGTAGAATACTATAGGTTTCTCTCCTAAAAAATGATACTATCCACTCTTTTTTCTATAAACCGCCGCTCACTCATGAAAATCTCGGAGCCGCCCCTGCAAGTACAAACATAAATATTTCTTTCGAAACTATATTTACAAGCATAACAATAATTATGTTATGCTTAGTTGAATGAACTGTTCGAAAACATTCATTCTATATCGAGATAACTTTGCCCTATATCCTTGTCTCTTTTTATCTCAATCATTATAGATAAAATTATGAATATATTTACACTCCATTTATTAATAGAATCATCGTTTGTAGAAGACATTCTATAGTTTACCCATTAGATGCTTAATTTGATTAAAAATATTTCTCAGCTAATGTATTAGATCGACTAACTATTTTTATTCTCAGAAGAAGAAGAAGACGAACAATTCTCTATTGGCCTATAGAAAAATATTTCAATGCATTAATGCATTTACATTCTATTCGAAATTTTTATCATAAAAATAAAACATAAAAAGTATTTTATGAAATTAAAATAATCAAATACTTTATTAAAAAATTAAAAAAAGTTTTGTAGAGGACAATAGAATATTTCCATGTCGATCAACTGTCAAAATTCAATCAACTAACCGGAAAAATATCTCTTTCCGGTTCTTAAAGAAAATTTCGAATAGAAGATATAATTTACGCGCTATTTCTTGTTATAATTCGTTTTTATTATTCGTCTATATGTCAAATTTTATTCCGTACTTAATAAATTTCAAAATGTTCTAATTAAATCGGCAATTTATTTTAGATTAAGCGTACTTAATCATCAATGGAATGATTTTAATCATCGTTTACAAATATTAATTCATTCACAATCTCAATATGAGAAAATTCATTATCATCAACCTATTAATTCTTCATTATCGAATTCAAAACAAAGAATTAATGAACATTCGAAACAATATGATAGAAAAGAAAATAATCAGTTAGAATTATTGACAACAGGAAAAAGAAAAAAATTGTTACAAGATATTAAAACAAATGAAAATAATCTTGATAGAGTACATCAACGACTTGATGGTATGATCAACAATAGTTTAATGTTAAGATTATTTTTTGATAGTTGTTCGTCAGGAAATGGTTGATACAAAATTATTTCTAAATTCAATAAATGAATGGAAGAAAAAAATTTTCGAAAATATATAAATAAGTAAGTTACAAGATTGAACTCTTCATTGTCTAGTTTATAATAATCTAGACAGCGATATTTCTATTAAAAGACTAGACTATTCAACATACCATGAGAATACATTCAGCTAATAAAATATGCTGATCACGCGATTTTTTTGTGGTAATAAAAATTATTAATTCTTAATCGATCATTGCTGTCAAACAAAAACTAACCCTTAACTATTTAGCGACAGAGGTGTTTTTTACAAAGATGACAAATATCTTGCTTTTTTTTTCATCGAAACTTACAACTCATTATTCATAATCAAAAAGAAGAATATATTGTAATGGAACCTCATAAGACTCTGCAATTATTATCATTTAGAGAGAAAAAAAAGCTAGTTTAATCCTATACAAAAATAATGTCTATGAAATTAAAACAAGTAACGCTCGTCCGAGGACTCGCTTAGCTCTTTATCGTAGAAATGCATCTTCTTCTCATTTACTGGAAAAACAATTAAAAACCGTGAAAAATAGGTTTTCGATCTTTGTCCCCTCTTCACCGTGGCTACCCAACCGACCTTAGATTCGAAATACTTCTAGAAATGTCTTTTTTGAAAAATCGATTTTCGATGTTTTTTTGACCCTGCGGACACACAAGCAGACAATTTATTCTTACTGTACTCTTCTCTACGAGAAAGAGAATATCAGCAATTTATACAGATTTGTATGTAGTCTTCAAAATTCTTTATTATAGATTTTTATGAATATCACGTGAAGAGTCCATAAGACAGACATCATCGAAATAATAAGGATTATAATCTATGTAAAAGCTCAAAAATAATATATACGTTCGATCCCTAAAGGGTTAAACGTGATCACCTTTCTCATTTCTCTTTGAAAAATTTAATCAAAATCATCTTTTACTTTACATTTCTAGTTATTTTTATGATTCATTCAAGATGCCATAAAAATAATTTTAATTAAAAGATATATTTTTTTTAGCTTGTGTTTTTGATCTTATCTGTTTTATCCGGATAAATTCCATTTAGATTCTTAGTTATATTTCCCTTTTACCAACTGTCAAAATAAGGTTAATTATATCTTCCAGTACCCATTTGGCAGATTTTCTGTATCTACTACACTGATTATGGAAGTGTAGAAGTAGAATCTCTTGTAATATAACGAATGAGTAATTTTTAATAAATATGGCTTTCCAACCACGCATACAATTAAGCATCTGTCAAGGCTAGAAGAAAACGATAAAATAACACATCATGCTTGATTAACTCGGAACTCATATTGAAATGCTAATGTTTTTTTCTTTTTTTGTTTTAGTATATACATAAACATATATATATGATACATTGGAAATGATCGGCTAATTATTATCAGATGCTATGTATTTAATTGTATTTATTTACAAAAGAAAAATATTGTATTAATCTTCCAACCTCTATTTTTTTTTTCGTCGTCTTTTTATTAGAATAAAATAATTGGAGATCATTTATAGGAATATTTATGATTAAGAACATATTTTTTCTCTATTACGGTTTTTTTTGCTATTATACTGTGTCAATAAAATTGATAAATCTTTGTCAACAACCGGCGAACGAACATAGTGACGATCCATTTTTTTTCTCGTTCTTCTATCTTTTCTTGAGATAGTTCACTTATTATTTGATCTTTATTTTTCTCAGTTAATGTTAAGAATTATTATCGAAGGCAAGGCTATACAAATATCAATAAAATAGGTAACATATATCACTCTACAGATTTAGAAAAGTAGTACGAAATGCGAGAAAAATGAATGTACTCATTCTAAATGCTTATGTAAGGTTTAGTACGAATTAATTATTGTACTACTGAAATACAATTCCAACAAATAGGAAGTAGTTTTTTTGCCTGAGAATTGGTATATGTGAGAAAAGATGGAAAAAATGAACCGTGCGGAGCATGGACAACCGATCGTAAATGATCAAAATTTGTCACAACTCAATAGCGATCTAATATATGATAACGTGCAACCATTCTATATACTTTACAGATGCAAAAAAAAGCAAAATAGTTTCGTCCTTAAGTTTTCTGATATTATCAAATCATACTCTAATGCTTAAAAGATCTTATATTGACTTTGCTTTAATAATAATAATAATAATAACGTCCCATAGGCTTATCGCCCGTAGGGGCCGGCCGCAGTTATTATTAAAGTTTCCACATGCACCCGGGTTCTTTCGTCTTTTTCTTTTTACAGACGGCGGTATCTGCACCCTCTTCCGTCCAACATACTGACTAAAGATATAACCAGCATGAATGACTCATGTGGAATGAGTCATTTGAGACAACTTGGCCGTTATTGACTTGTTCAGGGTCATTCCATGGATGATGTTACTGAGGTTTAAACACAGTACCTTGTGGATACGTGTCAAACAAATTAACCACTCAACCATGGTGGCGACTTTGTTTTATAACCTATATTTCATAAAAAAAATTATGGATATTTAAATATCCATTCAACATAATCTTCTATGAATATACGTGGACATATATAGATTAACATAGATAAATAGGAAAAGTTATAGTAATAATCTATAGATTCATATTTAGATAATTTCAGTAACTTGCTGTTAAATGAAATAACATTCATTGTAATGATGATTTTAATTATTGCTGATAAAATTCCTGAATAGATGTATTTTCCCTTTTTTTTCCTCATCTATTTGTTCGTGCATGTTCGCTTGCATTATCAAGGAAGACAATAGCGCTCAATCACATTCTTATTTTTTCTTCTTATTTCTTTCTTTTTTTCTATTAGGAACTGATGTTTTTTAGTTTCTTTCAGATCGTTCGCCATCATCAATAGAAGATGACGTCGGTCAAAGTGGCCGTTCGTGTTCGACCATTTAATGCACGTGAACGAACACGTCAAGCCAAATGTATTATACGAATGGATCAACACGAACAAACAACATTTATACGTAATCCAATTGATGATTCAGTTAAACATTATAAATATGATTATTCATATTGGTCATGCGATGAAAATGTTAATAATCAAAAATTTGATACACAAAAACAAGTTTATGAAGATTTAGGAATTGAAATGTTAGAACATGCTTTTGAAGGATATAATGTTTGTATATTTGCTTATGGACAAACAGGTGCTGGAAAATCATTTACAATGATGGGAAAAAATGAATCCGATCAACAAGGTATTATTCCACGTTTATGTGGAGAATTATTTCAACGTATAACATCATCAACATCACCAACAGCATTATCTCGTATAAAACCACGTTATACAGTTGAAGTATCATATATGGAAATTTATTGTGAACGTGTACGAGATTTACTTTCGCCAAAAAAAAGTCAATCGACTAATGTTGGAAGTTCACATAATTTACGTGTTCGTGAACATCCTATTATGGGTCCATATGTTGAAGATTTATCTCGTTTACTTGTAACATCTTATGATGATATATCAAGATTAATTGATGAAGGTAATAAAGCACGAACAGTAGCAGCAACAAATATGAATGAAACATCAAGTCGATCACATGCAGTATTTACAATATTATTTTCTCAATCAACACATGATGAAATGACAGATTTAACAGCAGAAAAACAATCAAAAATTTCCTTAGTTGATTTAGCTGGAAGCGAACGTGCTGATGCAACCGGTGCAACAGGTGATCGATTAAAAGAAGGAGCAAATATCAATAAATCATTAACGACACTCGGAAAAGTTATTGCAGCACTTGCAGAAATGGTTCGTACATTGTTCACAAAAGAAAAACAAATATAATGCATAATTTTTCTTCTATATTTAAGAGTTTAAAGAATCGTAAAACAACACGTTCAGAAAAGAAAGCTGATTTTATACCATATCGAGATTCAGTACTAACTTGGTTATTAAAAGAAAATCTTGGTAAGAAATATATTTTCTCAAATATTTATAATTAATTTAGCCTCGAGTTATAATCTTGACTGCATATGAAACTGATCCGTTTATCACATTCAGCTTTTAACATTATTACTAAGCCTTCGGATTGTTTTTTTAAACGTATGAAAAACTAAAATATTCTTTTCCATTTAGGTGGTAATTCAAAAACAGCTATGATAGCTGCTATATCACCAGCTGATATAAATTATGAAGAAACTTTATCAACACTTCGATATGCTGATCGTGCGAAAGCAATTGTTTGTAAAGCTGTTATTAATGAAGATGCTAATGCAAAACTTATACGTGATTTAAAAGAAGAAATCGTTAAATTACGAGAATTATTAAAAAATGAAGCTGGAATTGATATATCACCTGATGGTACAAGTACGTCTGTATTACCTGCACCAACAACAAATAATAAACATCAACGATTAAAATCTTCATCATCACAAAGTAGTGAAGATGCTTTAGAACGTTTAAAAGAAAATCAAAAACTAATGGATTCATTATGTATGTCATATGAAGAAAAACTTCAAAAAACAGAAAAAATTATGGCAGAACGGTAAAATAGATATGCGTAATTTATTGAAGTTATAGGATTTGTTGTCTTTTTATCTCTTTAGAGAAGCTGCTTTTCATGAACTTGGTGTTTATTCAAAAAATGATGGAAATGCTGTTGGAATATTTTCACCAAAAAATGTACGAACTAAAATCATGCTGTATAATTAACTTTTTCTGTATTTTAGTCACCTCATCTTGTTAATCTTAATGAAGATCCATTGATGTCCGAATGTTTGATGTATTTTATCAAAGATGGTACAACTCGGTACGCTATATACAGATTATTTTCTATATGAGTTAAAACGCTAAGAATGATTTATGTTTAATGATGAAGAGCGTAATGTTAGTACACTAGACATGGGAGATCTTCATGCCATAATAATGATGTACTTGTAATGATGTATATTGAATACTGAATGAGAAAACTAAATCCCAAAGGTATAGTGACAAAATCATAACCAGTTAACAATAAAAAATTAATAAGTTAGAAAAAAGTGTCAGGTTTTATATTATGTTATTTAAGTAACACTCGAATATATTGCTTTTGTAACCTTTGGGTACTTTGAAGAAGAAAAAAAACATTTGATAAGTACCGTAATAAATATACCAGTTATCCTTTTGATCTTTCGAATAATTTAAGAATGTCAAGGTAGCAATGATGACTGATTAGTTTGCTCATGTAGTATTTATTATTGTTTTATTATTCTATGTCCACTCGTAGTAATGATATTAATCAATTAATGACTTGATTTTTATCTAGTGTTGGTCGTCCTGATGCACCAGTACATCAAGATATTTGTTTATCAGGTTCACATATTGAACCTGAACATTGCATATTAACCAATTCACAAAATATTGTTCATTTAAAACCATGTAGTCAAACAGCTATGTGTTATGTTAATGGAAAAAAAGTTGATGTTGATACAACAGTTGAATTAACGTCTGGAGCTCGTGTTATCTTTGGTAAATCACATGTTTTTCGTTTTCGTAATCCTGAACAAGCACGAAGAAAGAATACAAAAACAGAACCAACTGGTGGTATGTTTATTGATTTTATTTTTAGTATATGTATATATTAAATAATATTGATATCCTATAGAACCAACTGATTGGAATAGTGCTATACAAGAATTATTAGAAAAACAAGGTGTTGATATAAAACATGAAATGGAAAGAAAGTAAATTGATTTGATTAATAAATAAAACAAAAAAGCAATTTTATTCTTTTGTTTTTAGACTTGTAACAATGGAAGAACTATTTAAACGAGAAAAAGAAGAAGCTGATCGTCTTTTACGTGAACAAAAACTTGAATATGAAACAAAAATAGTTGAATTACAAAAACAAGTTATGGAAACATCTATGAGTCAATCAATGTTATCTTCTATATTATCATCATCAGGTTTTGTTGATACATCAACATTTATTTCACATCCATTACAACAAGATATTAATGAAGATGAACATGATACACTTAGTTGTAAGAAAAAAACAATAAATTAAGACAACAAAACTAAATTTTGTTTTACTAGTAGATTGTTCTTGGTCAGAACAAGATTATCAATTAGCTTCATGGGCATGGAAAAAATGGCGTTATCACCAAATGACATCATTAAGAGTAAGTTTTTGTTTTTATTTCTAAGATTTTTTTTTGTGAGATTAATGGTTTTAATTATTAAATTCAAATAGGATTATTCAAATCGTATTCAACCTATTTGGTTGATTAAGGTATATTTTCTATGTGTTTGTTAATTGATGTTGTCTGAGAATTTATAATAATTTGAATGAATTATGATCGTTGTGTGTAAATAATATATTTTGAACATCAAAATTCCAGACTTGAACTCGTAAGAATAAAAAACGTTTATCTCCTATTTTGACAAACATTAAAATAATAATTCATACTGATATATACGACATAAAATACTCATTCAAAGTTTCAAATGAAATTTTATTTCGTTCATCAAGACAATGTTTAGTGCATGTTACTTTTCTCTATAAAACTAATAAAACATATTTTCTATCCTTTGAATTTATGGAAAACGGTTCGTGACTAGACATGACCCAAACCCAAACTGTTTGGGGGTTTGGGTACTAAACCCAAACTCAATGCCAAAACTCGAACCCAAACTCACCAAACTCAAACAGTTTGGATTTGGGTCATGTCTATTTGTGACATACATATATCAAAATAGCTGTACTCATACTCGAAAAAAAACTGTATACGCACGTAACTAAATCATCTGCTAAAAACATGTTCACATTGTTCTTGTTCAACTTGCGCTTTTTACTTGATAAAGTATCTTCATATTTTTTATTTTAGGATCTTTTATGGGGTAATAGTGTTTATTTAAAAGAAGCAAATGCAATAAGTGTTGAATTACATAAACGTGTTCAATTTCAATTTGTTCTTTTAACTGATACACTTTATTCTCCATTACCTGCTGATTTATGTTCATCACCAACATCATCACAACGTACAATAGTTGCTGTTGAAGTACAAGATTTAAAAAATGGCGCTGTACATTATTGGACATTAGAAAAATTTCGGTAAATAAATTTCATTTTCTTATTTCAGAAACATAAGGGTTCTTCGACCTTCAAAACATTAGTCATATATTTCACTGAATCTCGTGTGATGAGTTGTCTTCTTTCTCATAAACTTTCTAAGATATGATCTTCAGATGTATTTTTCTTGCTAAAATATAATATAAATATCCTCTTCATAATACGCACGTACATATAGATCACGTTTGGAAATCATGCGTCATATATATAATTGTGAACAAATATCAATTCCACGTGCAATAAGTTGTAATGATATGAGTGATTCACAATCGCAACATATTGTTATGACATCTGATACTCGAAATTCAAGTTTTGATGATTCAATTCCAACTCCAACTGTTAAAGGACAATTTGATTTTTCATCTAAATCGAGGTTTGTGCGTGTTGTGTGCTTCTTGAATATTGTCCTTCTTGAATATTTTGTTTTTGTTTAAATTTATAATTAATAAAACAAATTCTAATTATTGTTTGTTTGTTTTTGTAATAGACAACGATTGGAATTAATGCGTGAAATGTATACAAATGAAGCTGATGTTTCACCAACATCACCTGATCGAAATCAAGAATCAATAACAAGTGGTGATTCATCAACAACTCATATGCAAGCTGACCCATTTTATGATCGTTTTCCATGGTTTCGACCTATTGGAAGGTAAATTCAATTTTTTTTGTCTTAAATTTTATATTTTCATTTGTTTTTAAGAGCATTTGTTTATCTAACAAATCTCTTACATGGAATACCATTAGTACAAAATGTTGCAATTGTATCTGAACATGGTGAAGTCAAAGGTTATTTAAAAATAGCTATACAACAATTACAAGCATCAGATACAACAAATGATCAAATAAAATTAATGCGAACATATAGAAATGCGAATGGAATGACAAAGATTGTTTTTGATGATGAAACATATTTTCAAGTATGTTACAATCTCTATTATTTTCATGATATAAGATAATCGTTTAAATCGTTTTTTTTAATCTAAGGCTATAACAAGTCCATCTTCAATTGATTTAATAAAATCATACGATTCTCTCGATCCAAATCTTCGTTATGTTGAAGGACAATCACAATTTAATCTTAATGATGTTTTACAACAAAAAACTACTTTAGATACGCAATCACCATCGATTCTTCCAAGTAAATTAGTTTTCTTTAATATTTAATTTTAATTGATTTAAATAGAAACTCAAATAATGACTACAAGTGACATTCCATCGAATGAATTATTACAAAAACTTGGTGTTGAATATCAATTTCGTGTAACAGTTTTAGAGGCATCACAAATATCATCGGATTATGCTGATATTTTTTGTCAATTTAATTTTTTACATCAACATCAAGAAGCATATTCAACAGAACCACTTAAAAATCAAGGCAAACCTGGACCACCTCTAGGTTTCTTTCATGTACAAAATGTAAGATTTATTATCATAAAATATTTATTTTTCTCTCGATTTTATTTTATAGTTCAGTGTTATTGTTACACATTCATTTATTGATTATCTTCGAACAAAACCAGTTATATTCGAAGTCATGGGTCATTTTCAAGAACATTTAAATCCAGCGCAAAATAAGTAAATAAATATATACATCGCATAAAAATGAATTTATATATATATATTATATTTAGTTCAACAAAAACAAATGCATTAACAGCATCTGCACCATCAATGGCTTTTTCCAAACCAGTTCCTGCTCAAACATTAAACCCAGTGACACCTGTTAAGTAAGATAAATATAATATCAGCATTGACTTCTCGAGTTCAAGAGAGAAATTTGTAGTTTTTGTAAATAGATTTATTCTACTAGGAATAAATCGATTCACAAGAAAATGCTAAGCACAAATCTTATGAGATTTATATATTGCTTTTTTTCTTGTAACTAAAAATAATATATGTTTGACAAGTTACTAATACTCAGCATTCTATGCTAAATCTGTTTTTTTCTCATCAATGTTCTCTTTCACGTAGAGAAGAGTCCAGTAAACATAAACTGGCGGATTTCTTGTGTGTCGACAGGCTCAAAAAAACATCGAAATCCGATTTTCTGCAAAAGACATTTCTTGAGGTATTGCAATGCGGAGACTTCGAATCTAGGAGGAAAGGTCAAAAAAACATCGAAGACCGATTTTTCACGGTTTTCAATTATTTTTCCAGTAAATGTGAAGAGGATACATTTCTACGAGAAAGAGCTAAGCGAGTCCTAGGATGGGCGTTACTTGTTTTGTTAAATCTTTTTTTTTTATTTAGTACAACAAATCAAGTTCATGCAACTCATGATCTTCTTGTTTGGTATGAAATCTTTGAATTATCACCAACTGGAGAGTAAGTTTCGTATGTTAATTCGTATTTATTCTTATTGATGAATAGATATGCTGCTGCAACTGTTGATCATTCCGATGATGTACCATGTTCTGGTCGATTTATTCTTCATCAAGGTATACAACGTCGTATTGGAATTACACTTTGTCATGAATCTGGTTCTGAACTTATTTGGAAAGATGTTCAAGAAGTTGTTGTTGGTAAATAAATGTTTAATAACAAAAAAATATGTTTTATTTATTTAATTCATAGGTCGTATTCGCGGTCAACGTGATTCAGTTTTTGATGAATCTGATGGTCAAGTTTTATCATTAAATATAATATCAGCTCATTACATACAAAAACAACATGATGAACGAACATTTTATCATTTTGAAGTTGCATGGGATTCATCATTACATAATTCTTTATTACTTAATCGTTGTACATCAAGTGGAAATTCAGTTTATTTAACAATATCATCTTATCTTGAAATAGAAAATTCGTTTCAATCAGCAATAATAACGAAAGATCTTTGTCTTGTTTTATATCCGCGTGGTGGTGATTCAACATCACGTATACGTTCATCATTAAAAAATTTCTTCTTATCAACTAATTCAACAATATTATCAATGAATGATTCGATAAATGAACATGCAAATCGTGTGTCAGCTGTTTATGAATTAAAATTACGTCGTGCCACACCTATGAATAATTTAATATCCGATTCATCATCGATGAGTCCAAGTACACAACGACGACAACGAAAAATAGTTGATACATCAAAAATTTATGTTCGTGGTGAAGAAATGTTAGAAGGTTGGAGACCAAGAAGTGATTCATTAATTGTTGAACATCAACATGATTTAGAAAAATTATATAAAATTGAACGTGTAAGTTTTAGTTAAAAATAAAAAAAATATTTTTCGAGTTTTTTCTATTTAAATTAGGTTGAATATACAAAACACTTTTTATTGGTTAAAAATCGTCTAGACAATCCTTTATCATCACCAAGTGATAATTCACCAGATAAACTTAAATATTCATTAGCATTTATTGATCCATCAAAAGCAATTGATGATCGTCAACAAAATTTACTTCGTCGATGTGTATCAATGATGATTCCACCGCCACCAATCTTATCAAAATTAACTGTACCTGAAATAGAAGTAAATTTTCATATTTTCATATAATAAAAATTTTCAATTATTCAAATAGGTAACAACTGATCGTTTATCATCGGAAGATTTTGGAACAGTTCATTCATTACTTAAATCAACATCAACTTATTCATTTGGTACACAACCATTAATGAATACAGCACATATGATTAATTCATTTATTAAAGCATCATCAAGTAGTTCAGACCTTTCAAGGTATAAACCATAATATCGTCTTTCTCGTGGAGAAGAGTCTTGCAAACATGATTTGTCTGGTTGTCTGTCGGAAGGGTCAAAAGAACATCGAAAACTAATTTTTCGAAAAAGATATTTTTAGAAGTATCTCGATGCGGCGAGTTCGAATCTGAGGTCTGTTGGGGTGATCATGATGAGGGAAGAGGGGGCAAAGGTCAAAAACCGATTTTGTACGGTTTTCAATTGTTTTTCCAGTAAATGTGAAGAGGATGCATTTCTACGAGAAAGAAGTCCTCAGACGAGCGTTACTTGTTTTCTAATTATAGTTAATTTAAACATATAATACTATGAAGAAATTATCTATTTCTTTTGTACGATAGACTATGTTTTGAAAGTTCTGTAGGGGGTTGAAGAATAACTTTCCTTTGATATTTAATAGATTTACACATCTTGATCCATCGTATTCAATATCTTCATTGAATCAATTTGGTAATATGGGTGGTTCAATATCACCTAGTATGACAAAATCTCGTTCTATGGAGAGTCTAATGAATACATCCGGTATTGCTTTAAAATATATAACATCAATTGAAGAAGTTCGTATATCACCTGTTGTGTCTCGTCGTGGTTATTTAAATTTCTTAGAAGAAAAAGGCACTGGTTGGGTTAAAAAATTTGTTGTATGTATAAAATATTTTCTATGAAACAAATTTCAATAGATTTTATTTTTAAGGTCGTTCGACGTCCATTTGCATTTATATATAATCATGAAAAAGATCCTGTTGAACGTGCATTAATTAATTTAGCTATAGCTCGTATTGAATTTAATGATGAAGATATAACAAATGGAACAAGAGTATAAAATATAGATGAATATTTAAGTAAAATTCTATATTATTTTTTGTATTTTAGAGTGCTCGTAATACATTTTCTGTTGTTTCAAAATATCGTGGTTTTCTTATACAGCCATTAGCTGAAAAAGATGTTCATGATTGGCTTTATGCATTTAATCCTTTACTAGCTGGACAAATAAAGTAATGAAATTAATACGAAGAAAAATTGATTTATATTTATTTTATTTTTTATGAATAGATCTCGTTTATCAGGTCGATCAAAACCTATCGAACAATAAAATTTGAGAGTATATAACGCTCAAATTGTCAGATTAGATAACAACTACTTCACGAGATCTGATCTTATTTCAGCAATCATGTCGACGTCATTTCTAATTGCTTTAATTTTACAATAAACTCGTTTTTTCTTTCCATATCTTTAACATATATAAATCAAACTCATTAATTCTAGTCGTTTCATTTTTTTTTCTTAAATTTAAATAATTAATCAAATATATTTGTTTCCTCTTTTTTTCTGTTGCTGACAATAATTTGATGCATATATTTTTTTTTCCATGGAGTTTTATTTGTGTCTTTCAGTGTTTTTTGTGTCTTTTTTCTGTGTAATATTACTTATTTATGTGTGTATGTAAATGTGTATGAAGATAAGTCAATGTATGTAAGTGTATGTATTACAGCAACAGTGACAAATTTGTGTGGCGTATGTAGTCAGTTTCATTTGAAAAGATAATAAAATAATATGTATCTTTAAGATTAAGATGTAAACAAATGAAGGCTTATATGGAAAATAAAAGATAAAGATTCACATATTTTCCGTTCGCGAGATCATCGCAAGATAATATAACAAATTTTTGAATATATCATTATAGAAGTGCTTTGCGGTGCACTTGATAGTATACCAAAAACCATATTACTGAATGAATGGTATTATTTAACATAAGACTTGTTAATTGTTTCTGTTCTATTCTTTCATATGAATACTTTCTTGATTGTGTAAAAGTTAACAATAAAGATTGATTGAAGTTGGGACTATATTTGTAAAGAATTCATGTAAGGTTCAATTTGATTAAAAATAAACATTTGACAAAATTCATCCGGTACTACAAGTGGAATAGTATTTTGAGAGATTTTTATAAGCTTATCTGTATGATACTTGATAAAATGAAGTGATCGTATGAACTAAGCCCAAGTAGAGTTCATCGGTCCGTATTATACTGTTGTTTATGTATTTGTATTTGAGCAATAACAGAAAAAACTATCTTGGATGTACCTGATGATGTGAGTATGGTTGTTGTACCTATCCGCCCACATCCTCAAGAAATCAACATCTAATATTTAGATTTCGTAATATTCTTTTTATGAAAAAATAAATACTGATACTTTATAGTAAAACTTGAGCTGTTTTTATCGGTATAAAGTTATCATCATAATATATATATGTTGTAAATCTCATTGAAATACTGATAAGAATTGTCCTTTTTATTATATTAGAATTTATTACGTATATATATAGTCAATTTTGTTAACATTTGTTTTTTATTTTCTAATATGGCTAATTTAACTTTATCACGTTCTATTTGGTCTCCACAACGTAAAACTACTACAACTCATAGGACTACAACTCCCTCTAGCCGAGTTGTTAAATTTAACTTCGTTTTTCTAATATTTCTTATTGCATTCGTTGGCTTTGTTGTAATCAGTTATTGCCTATGTCGTAGGCGTTTTATGAAGAGAAGACAGAAGATCAGACAATCACCAGTGCGTTCAACAGGCATTTCTTCGATAAATATGGTTCCTGTTAATAATAATATCATGTGGAATGGGATCGAAGAGGAACAACCACCATCTTATGGTTCCATTATTGAATTACAAGAAAGACAAACAGATCCAGCATCACGCTTCTAAATTTAAAACAATACTTAATAAAATATATAAAGTAAATGCATTATTAAGATTATCTGTATTATATAAAGTTTGTGTATAGGACCGATGCTTTTTCTTTTGTATTCGTATCAAACAAAGTAATAAAATCTTTATTGAAATTGATAAATTTTCTTTTCAAGTATTAGTCGATATATACTGATAAACAAAGTTTTATTCACTAAAAGATTTAATCATTTCTCTAAGAATCATTTTTTATCATTAGAACTTATAAACAATAGGAAAAAAATGGTATAAACTTTTAGAAACAAACTATTGCATTCATAGTCATTTTAAATCTTTAAAATTAATAGATTTTTAAAAACTGTTATAGATTGTAGCTGAAATTATATTATTAATGCACTATTTTCATAATTCATTGATATATGAATTGAAAAATATATAAGGCTAATCAGCATTCAGTCCAAGATTTATAATCTACGCTTTAATCTTCTGCGTGCTGTTACTTAAAATGAACCCATTTATAGTACACGTGTATACTAGTCTAATTTTGTTTACTCTTGATTTAATACTAAACAGTGAATACGTAGTTCATCGGCAGTCTTTAACCAGAAAAAGGAATAAGATAAAAATTCGTTTTTCATCAAGCAATTTGACAACTAGGAGAGTTTTGAAATAGATCTTATCAACTAATGAATGTTAAACGCTCTTCAATGAAATGTAATAAAGAATTAATAAAGCGAAACTACTATTAAGTTAAGATATTTCACATATGTAAGACTATGATACAACTTAGTTTTTACTAATCAATTCATTATATCTATCTGGATGTACTTAGTCACTTTCAGTTTAAATACTATTTCGTCATTATTGTATTGAGCAGCACAAGAAATTTTAATTTTATATAACACAATATTGTAAAAAATAAGATCTATAATTCTCTCTTAGACTTTATTTTATGTATTTCAAGAAAGTAAAAAAAAATATTTCATATATTATATTTTGTCTTTGCTAAATTTTTCAAGTTTGTTCCAAACATCTGTATGTCGAAAATAAATTCCACGTAAATGTCTTGGTCCAGTAAATTCTTCTCTTGCATGTAACATTTTATAATTATCATAGAGAACAAAATCTCCACGTTCTAATTTAACTCGATATTGTGATTGAGGATCATATAAAATCGATGCATATTTACGATATGCATTATAATAAGCAGTTGTAAACCAAAATGGAAAATTAAATGGTGCTAAAGTAAAATAACTATGACGAACTTGTTTAACATCATCATTATCTATTTCTATGATTGGACCAATATGAATACTTTGAAATTCTTTTTGTTTTCGATGAAAATGAACTGGTGTAGTCGTTAATATATAATATGCATTTGGATCAATTTCACGAAGATAAAGTGCAGCATAACGAGCATTAGCAAAATAATTATCTCCACCTTTATCAGCTGAACGAATACATTGTAATAATTGCATACCTAATAAATTCAAATAAAACGAAAAATAATAATAATTCGTTTATTTCTAATATATACCTGGTGGATCAGCAATAAATGGTTGATCAGTATGTAAATTAATTGCAGAATTTGTATAACCTAATTGATCATTATTTTGATTTGTTGTATTATCCGGACGTAAATCTTCAATACGACCAAAATGTGTTTCAACAACTGATGCACCACAAGGTAAAAAATCTTTACTAAATTTATTCCAGATTAATTAATGAATATCATATCCTATAAAATTTACTTACATAATATCTTCTGTATCTAAACCACGTTGTCGAACAACAACTAACCCGTATTTTTTTAATCGTTCATAACAATTTGCTAAATAAGTTTCATGTGGATTTTTTTCATCATAAATTAATTCAATATCTTCGATTTTTGTTTGAGGTTTTTTCGTTTCCAATCGATTTTTTCCATATGCATTTGATGTTAAAAATGCTAGATCAAATAAACTAGTATGATCTTTTGACCAAGTAATTTTTAATTTTTTTTCATTTTCAACTAATTCTACATGTTCAGGTTTGATTTCTGATGGAATTGCAGCACAATCAACAATTCGTTCATTAGTTTTTGGATGGATAGATTTTCCTATCGTTGGACAATTATGTCGTAACCAAATATAATGAAAATCCATTGTATCATTTTTATTGATTAAACGAAGATAATCTTTATGTTTTTCAACATGAAGAAAACGTTGTTGACCTTGGAAGAATATAGAATTTTGTACTAAACGAAGACATGGACGAATATTATTCATTATCATATGTATATGAATATGTTTTTATAAGACACGCTTTTTATATGTCAGTAATAATGTGGATTAGAAATAAAAAAAATAGGTAATATGTAGTTATTTTTTTTTCTTTTCGTTTGATGACATTCATATTTAATGCAGTGTGAAGTAAAGCATTTATTTAGTCCTCCACGAGTTTCCTTTCTTTTTTCTCTTGTTTTTTTCTTCCTCATGCGAAGCAAAGCATTTTTGTAGTTCTGCGCGAGTTTCCTTCCCTTCTCGACGTACCCAGTAATAATAGTTGATATTTTGTGTCCCCATGACCTCAAGAACGGAACATCAAAATACTCGTTTAAACGCGAGATGAATATATATTAAGATCCAGCTGATACCATTCGTTTTCCAATTTTGAACAGGATACAGTTTTAACTATAGGCTTATTATTTTACATTTCGGGATAATTAAAACGAAAACAAAAGGCAAAAGTTAGGCGCCATTTTGCCCCAACATATGTTTTTCAGCTGATGATAGATAACGAATCATCCGTGTTCCTTCAGCATGTTAATTTAAAGTTTTAATCTAGATAAACTTAACCTTATATTTATTATAATTGTGAAAACTTTAAAATCATGATTTCGATATCGAGCTTCGAATATTATCTGGGTTATTTTATTTTTTATAAAAAGGTTACGAACAAAACAACAAAATAATTATAACGAATGAACTTTATCTATCGACCTTAGAGACATTTTATCGAACGAAATAAATCCTTTTCAAATAGAATCAGGTGATAAGATAATCTTTTATTTTGGATAAAAGTTTTTATAATAAACTTTACAATAACTAATACATTGTATCTCTTCTAATTTTTCATCATATTACATTTACATACTTTAGTTCGCCTGTTTTTTTTCTTTTTTATTCATCGACCTATGCATAAATTATACATTCTTCTTACCTTTTCTCTTTCGCATTCTTACCAACTCAAGCAATTCGTTACGGTCGAAATACACCACTGATATAATCGATCATGCACTATTATTTATTATTGTTCAAACAATTTTTATGATGATGGATTTCGGTTAGAATAGTCGAGTTTTTGAAAAAATCGTATTTCAATGTATTTATAAATGTGATTTATCATTATTTTCGCTTAAATTTCTGTCTTGAAATCCTATGAATAGGAGTAAAAAGAACTGTTGTTAATAAAAGAATGTTTATCATCGAAATTTCTACGACATTACCATTCATTATCAAAAGTGATGCAATTCAAATAATGTAGACATAGCTGTAAGACATTTTACTAATCCAACAGAAATATGTCCTTACAAAAGCTGTTGAGTACAACACATCACATATAGACATAGTTTTCAAAACTAAAACTATCATACTTTAATTGGATATGACTGCTGATATCCGGTAAGAAAATTCTAATCTAACACGTATACTATCCAATCGAAAAACAAATATGATTGAAAATTATCTTTATTAAAATATGTCTTCGAAATAGAAGTCTGTCATCATTATTTTCTTAACTATCATTTTAATTAGTTTTATTACGTATTTATGCAAAGATTCCTTTCAGTGAACCGTCTTCCTCATAAGTAGGAAGGCTTTGACACCTCGAATGTTACATATCAGAATTAATTTGAATAAGTATCTCATGCAAAACAAAAAAATAGCAGCTGTATTGTATTAAAAAATAAAGTTATATTCAAAGGTACATTATATATATCAATGTTTTTCATTAATAGTTCTAACCAGTGGTTGAATTCGATTATGTTGTTGATAGCATATAAGAAAATCTTTGATTTGTTTTCGAAAAGTCTTAGATGATAAATAATAGATATAGAATGGTGATGATTGTGGCATATAAAAAATAATATTAATAAAATTTAGAACTAAAGATTCTTGTGCAAGTTCAATGGTAGATTTAATACGTATTGCACTTGTTATTGATTGATATGCATAAAAACTTGCATAAGGTAATGTACCTAAGACATATGCAGTCATTTGAAGAAGTAACATTTTACAAATAGGTTGTTGTTCAAATCGTCGTTTATGACGTAATTGTTGTAAATTCCGATGCGTTAATAATCCAAATACACTCAATATACATATCGGAAAAATACCAACTAATACTGGACGAAGAAAAAATGCTGTATAATTCGAAGCGATGAGATTCGTTAGTGAACATGTTGATAATTTACCAGTTGCAGTAATAAGTTTAGTTAGACATGGATTAAATAAACCATGCATTATCCAAAATATTACTAATATGAAAATACATTGACGAGATATTGATAGCGAAACAAGACGACGCCATCGTATTAATCGACATGTTGAAAGAAAACAATTTATTGATGCTAAACAAGCACATGATTGACAAATAAGTACAGATGTTTGTCCGAAATAAACACGTAATTTACACCAAATTGGTGATAATAGAATAGGATCAATACCAACAATAGCAACAAGAACTCGATTTAATAAACCAACAATAAGTGATATACAATTAACAATTGATAGAATAATTAATATGAATGTTATTGGAGTATGACGTGTAGTACGAAAAAGATAGATAGTAATTAAATTACCTGAGAAACCAAGTAAAAAAAGAAATGAACCAGCATATATTGTAAATTCTGATCCAATTGTATTAAGTATTGCTGTAGACATTAGTTTTATAAATAAAAAAGCATCAAATATTTTGTACTAATGTAACAGTCCTATTCCTAAAGAGAGAAGAAAAGAAAAGAAAGTTGATAAGACATGAAATAAAATTCTCATTGGATGTTACTTATGAATTTTCCATTGAACTAAAGTCTACTTTATTAAATTATATATTTTACAGTTTATTTACTAAATTTATAATGACGACTATGAAATATTTTGTGTCATATTAAACAAATATTTTATTATAATGGAAAAATGTTTAAGCTAATTATACATAGAAGAAGTGAAACAGAAATAAACTCTAGTTAATTACTTATTATTATAATCTGTCTTAAAATAAAATGCACTGTAACTGTTAAGATCATTCTTTTGTAAAACTTTTCATGTATGATTAATTATTATGTCAATATTTTTGTTAAATATTTTAAATGAAGTAACATTTATTATCACGTTTTTCTTTTTGTACGACAGTATAATGAATTAGCAGTTTCCAACGATGAAATATGCTTATTTATGTTTAAGTTAACTTCTATTTTCATCTGAAATAATAGGAAAATTAAAGATTATATATAAAATAATTTAAATAATTCTTAAATTTAATTAATTTCATTTACATTAACTACATTAATATATGAAATTGTAGAAAAAAATCTTTCTGTAAATAATTTCTTAGAATTATTGGAGTATAATATCACATGAGAACTATGCATCAATTAAGTTTGTTGATGGTTACAGAGTTAAACAATCTTTTAAAACATTTTTCTTTCAAAATATAAAACACGAAATAACGTGTGTGCTCTTGGTCTTTTACTTTTTTTTATCTTATCAATATACTTGCTTATGCACGCGTAATATTGAAGTGTTGCTTCTAAAACAACGAAAAATATAAGAATTTCATATTGTTTTAAATCAACTTTCAGTTTCAACTATGGCTGCTCATTTCAGTGAAGGCACATTAAAAAGGTTTGACTGTAAATTATCTAATATATCAACTAAGTCTATAATCTTTTCTATTAGCATATCCACGGATTCTGCAATGTCTCAAACCCGTTCGAAGAGACCTTTTATTGTACTAGGCATTCTAGTCGGAATCTTTGCTCTTTCAACAGTTGTCTTAGCTGTTATATTAGCTATGAACAATAAAACAACAACTGAATCAATTGGTACAACAACTGAAGCAACTGGTACAACAACTGGTATATTTTGAAAATAATATTTTAAGATGATCATTTTTTTTTGTTTATAATTTAGTTAATAATGAGTTATGTGTAACTCCATATTGTGTTAAAGCAGGTAGATTCTCTTCAAAATATTATCAACTGTGTTAGCATTAATTTATATAATTCTAGCAAATTATTTAATTGAAAGTCTTGATGAAACAGTTGAGCCATGTGAAGATTTTTATCAATTTGTTTGTGGAACATGGATTAAAAATAATCGAATACCTGATGATTGTAAGATAAAATATTTTAGATAAATAAAAAATAAATTTTCAATTCTATTTCTAGCAAATGTAGTAAATACATTCAATCTATTACGAACACAATTAGACTATAACGTAGTTGGTATGTTTTTCAGTTTCTGTATGATTGTCCTACTAAATATTATTTCTATTAAGATATATTAACACCATCATCAACTAATGATACAAACGAGCCTAACGCAATAATCAATGCTCGTAATTTATATCATTCATGTATAAATGAACAACATATTGAAGATGAAGGTATTAATCCAATACTTTCATTGATTAATAATGAATTTGGTGGTTGGCCTATTATACAAAGTTTGTGGGATAATTCAACTTTCGATATATTAGATCTTCTACTTAAATTACGAAAATACAATAATAATATTCTATTTGGTATTGGTACGTCAGTTGATGATAGGAATTCGACAGAATATGATCTTAGAGTAATATATAGAAACTATGACATATATTATCTATTTATAACGATACTTTTAGATCAGTCAAAGTGATCTTGGATTAGGTCAACGAGAATATTATATGAATGAATCAAAAATTACTGTGGCTTATCGACGATATATGTTTGATTTAGCATCATTATTATCAAATGATACATCAACAATCGAACACGATGTGAATGATATGTATGAATTTGAAAAAGAAATTGCAAAAGTAATTCATTTTATATTTTGTTTATGTATAAAATCTTGAATTCTACCTGCTTTTAAAGATTATTCACTCTATTGTTGTATATCATAAAGAAAATGATTGTCAGTCATTTTTCCATACGATCTTTATAGTACTTTGAATATTCTTTGTCTTATTAAGATTTGATACAAAGAGTCTAAAATTTTGATATCCATTATGAGTACAAATAATGATTAGAAGCTGCATAGATTCAGTAATAAGATATATTCTGCTTTTCAATTAGCATTATTGGACAACTGTTGAACAGCGACACCGACCAAATGCAACAATTCGTACAACTGTTGGAAAATTACAACAACTATTAAATACAACTGTCAGTTTTTTTCTAAATTAATTTATCTATTATTTCCTTATTTCATTAGTTTGACTTCACTAATTATTTAACTTCAGCTTATGCATCAGCTAATGTAACTCTCATGGATAGTGATCTTGTCATTGTTGGAGAAATCGATTATTTATATAATGTTTCATCAATTATTGAACAAGTGTCACCACGTACATTACAAAATTATGTTATATGGCGATTTATGATGCATCGAATTGACACTTTACCGAAACGATTTCGAACCATTAAAGACAATTTTGATCACGTATTCCGTGGCACTACTACTGAACGAGCACGCACAGTTATTTGTGGAAATTATGTAAATACTTTTATGGGATTCGCAGTATCAAAACTTTATATAAAAAAATATTTTGATGATAATGCTCGAAATCAAGTAAAACAAAATTTGTATATTTATTATATTTTCAATAATTTTATTTTAAGTCGTATGAAATGATTGCTAATATTCGAAAAGCATTTATTGATATGCTTGAAGATTCAACATGGATGGATAGTATGTCAAAAACTAAAGCCATAGAAAAAGTAGAATCGATAATAATTATTTTACTAATAAATTTTAATGTAAATTTATTTAATAGGCTTTAGCTATTGATGAAAAAATTGGATATCCAGACTATTTAGCTAGTGATAATGTTACACAGTTAGAAATACAATATGCTGACGTATTTATAATATATTGAAAATGATAATTTCAGTATTGTATTATTGAATAATTTAGTATGTCTTCGATTCATCTTTTATCAATAATATCTTCAAATTACTTCAAATAAAAGCCAAAGAAGAATTTCAAGTTCTTCGAAAACATGTTAATCACAAAGGATGGGGTTCTTCTCCACCGACTGTTGTTAATGCTTTTTATACACCATCAAAAAATCAAATTAGTAAATTAATTTTTTCATTGTTTCACTTATTATATAATTATATCGTTTTACTATATTTAGCTTTTCCAGCTGGTATTCTGCAAATGCCATTTTTTCATAAAGATGCACCAAAGTAAACCCATTAATTTTTCTTTCCTATTTATATAGTTGATAAATTTCAAATCTTGTAGATATTTGAATTATGGTGGTAAATATTTTTCAATTTGTTTTTGATTGTTTGTTCATTTTTTGAGATTGACGGTTATTTATAGGTATTGGAGTTGTGATTGGACATGAAATAACTCATGGATTTGATGATAGTGGTCGTCAATTTGATAAAGATGGAAATCGAATTCCATGGTGGACACATGAGACAATAGAAAAATTTATTGAACGTAAAACATGTATTGTTGATCAATATAGTAATTTTACTGTGCCAAACCTTAATATCCATGTAAGAATTAATTTTTTTATTTGAAATTCTTGATTGAACATGTCATTTTTTTTGTAGGCAAATGGGAATCAAACACAAGGTGAAGATATTGCTGATAATGGTGGATTACGTGAAGCTTTTTACGTTAGTTCACTAAATTGTATACAGTTGAAAAGATATATTTCTATTTTATTTTTATTCTAAAGGCTTATCAAAAATTCACACAAGCTAATCCAGATGCTGACAAAAGACTGCCAGGTCTTTCAAAATATTCACCTACACAAATGTTTTTCATTAATTATGCACATACATGGTGTACAAAAATGACTGATTCATATGCACTTAATCGTGTTCTATCCGATGTTCATTCATTAGGACAATTCAGGTACAAATATTTACATTAATAATAATTTTAATTCATATACATATATTTATTTATCTTATAGAGTCATTGGTCCTACATCAAATTTTGCTGAATTTGATCGAGCATTCGATTGTAAACCGGGTCAAGGAAATAGTCGAGTGAAAAAATGTACTGTATGGTAATGGTATTTTTATAGATATTTTTAAAATGAACACTATTCGATTTTTGATTAATAAATACAACAATATCACTACTTATTTATATTTATATTATATGCATTGTTGACGAAGCATGTAACTCTCAAGAACTATTTCAGAATTTAATAATTATAATCATCTATCGATGCATAGAGTGTGATGTTATGATTAAAAGTAGCATCAATAATAATAAGTTTTATAGTTAAATTAAAATATGTTAACGATGTGATTTTATTTACAAGAAATAGTAAGGATTCATGCAATGTTTAAATGTAGAATTCAACAAATTCTTGGTATTTTATATCATATCAACATAGAGAAATTACTTCCACGAGACAATTCAAACTACATATTATTTGTGTTTTAAGCGTTGATGAGCATAACTAATAAACAGTATGATTATTATCATCGTTCTTTCGAGCATGAAAATGAGTCAGATGCGAATAACATACAATAATTTCAATTTTATTAAATAATAAGATTCATAATTTCTCAAGCATTCTTGATGCGAGAATCTCTATGTGCTTATAATCAAATGTATGAATAGTTCTTCCAATTAACTTTTTTCTTTCTTATCTTTTATTTTTTAATGCTTGAAAACGTCATTCTGCTTAATATTTCTCAAGAGTATATAAAAGTAGCGTGGTTAAAATGACAAAAACACATGACACAATCTATATTTTTAATTCTATACTGTTTTTCTCAAGAACATTATAGATTATCATATATATATTTCAAGCATAATGCATCGCTCAAGACAGTATTTATAAGAAAAAACTAATCCAACAACAAAAAAATAATATATTATTTAACATCCATAATCATATGCATGAATGAATTTGTTATACACACTAAAAAACAACATTGGATAGAATATGTTTTTATATACTTAGATCGGTTTGTATTAGATTTTTGACAAAGAAAGACGTAGTCAACTAGATTTTACCTGTTTTAAATTATACAATTGAGATTTTTAATAAGTATCGAAAATAATAATGAGTTTTTTTACATAAGCTGATAAAGAAAAAACATTTAAATATTTAACTATACTTCGTTTGTTTTTAGCTTCATCTTAATTTGAATTGCTATAGAATTATTAGTATGTAAAACGTTAAGTGAGAATAGTTTTAGTAATTGTGTAAGTTAAATATAATCTTTAGAGAAACGTGACATTTAATCTACGTTATTCTACATCAAACAGTAAATCAAAAAAAAACCTTAATCATTTTTCTAAATTAGAATAAAACATGAATATTTTAAGTGATATTCAAATAACTTAGGAAAAAAATCAGGTTTTCAGTTGGCTAGAATATATCTCTTCTATAGTCGAATTAGATTTCTGTTATGAACGATCATTAATCAGTAGTATGACGATTAATTATAGTCTAGTCTGTAAATCGTAATGACGGTAGTATTAGTTATTAAATAGAAGAATATTATGTTTCTCAAAAAATGAATGACATCATGCATATATGACAGTTAACTATGATGATTATTCTCATAAGATAATACAGAAAAATATCTACACTGTCGTAAATGTTTTTATTCTATTATATACTACATATTAATAAATACGAGTTGATCGATAAATAGTTGATTTATACTGTAAGTAATTGTCTTGCAATTTATATTAAAAAAATATTTTTTCTTAATTAAACATTGAAGTATGTCTCAATTAAGTTTAAGATGCATCTTGAACTACTCTTTCTTTTTGTAGTTATATTTTATGAATTATTCAATATTCTTTGTTAATAAAAATTTTTAGATTTAAAAGACATTTTATTTGATGAGACATACGTTGTACAGATGCACTATAGAAGTTCAATGAGTATGACAGTCTAAAACTCTTCTTAATTAGAAAAATAATAATTGTTAAATATATTTGATAGAATATGTGAACAATCAGTATATGTTTTTGCTTACATAGACATTAGTTAAATTGCAAATACAACAGCTTTATATAAGAATATAGCTACTATTGTAAATTAATTTTTTGTTGACAACTTTTTCTGTCTAGTTTTTAAATTGACATATGAAAAGATGATTCTTTTCCATAAAGCTACTTCATTAATTATAAAAATTTGTTGACATTCAAAATATCTTATATAACGGTAACAATGTATATCGTTATAATTTTATTTGTAGATTTTGATGAAAAATAAGTATACCTGACATTTATATATTTATAAAACATCATAACTTATAATAATATAATATAATACATTCATATCCAGTCACTGGAAAAAAATAATGAGTGCTTACTTCTTCACGGATAACATATGTTTGTAGTTAGTATATTTTCTTTGTAACAATTTTTTTCATTTGAGAATCTAACAAGTAAATTCTGTCTTTCTTTTTTCTAATATAGATCAGTATTAACATTATCTTCAAATGGGTGGATCATGTTCAAAATGTTGTGCAACTGTTGTGTTACCTACAAATATTTCATTCAATCAAATATCAGTTGTACCAGGAAAATCTAGTTCTTCAAGATCGACACGATTCGTTGAAAATTGTATTGTTATTTGGTTATTTGATGATCCATCAAGAAAATTTGAAAATGAAAAAGAACAATTACGACGTCTTGTTTATGGTTTTCAAGTATTTACTAATGCTGATATATGTATTGATTATATAAGAGATATTCAAGATGAAAAAATCTTTCTTATTACATCTGTAACATATCAATCAATTATAAATTTTTACCATTTACCACAACTTGAAAAAATTTATATATTCGATACATTATCTCATGATGATAATAAACGAAATTTGCAATATAATATCTTTCGAGATATGAATAATCTTTGTAAACAATTAGAAGAAGATGTTGAATTATGTGAATTTGATTTATTATGTTTTTCAACATTTTGCGATGAGACAAATTCATCAATAACTTTAACGAAAGAACAAATAGGTTTTGTTTTTATACACATTTTAAATGAAATTATGGCTCGAATGAAATATGAGAGTAATGCAAAAAATGTTTTTATTGATTTTTGTCGAATATGTTATGAAAATAATGATGAACAATTACGTATTATTGATGAATTTGAAAAATATTATCGTCCACATAAAGCACTTGATTGGTTAAAAAGACCATGTTTTATTTCTAAAATATTAAATCGTATAAAACGTACTCATGAAATCGATATTGTATATAAACTTGGTTTCTTTCTCAAACATCTTAATATGCAACTTATACATTTACATGAAGAAAATGCATTATTAATGAAAAATATTTCTATTGTCTATCGCGGTAAAACTATGTTAAATGATGAATTTGAATTATCAATAAAAAATAGCTGTCATGGTCTTTTATCGTTTGCTAATTTTCTTGGAACAAGTATCAATAAAGAAAATATGATTGATTTTATTCGTCGTCGACTTGTAATACATCCTGATAGAATAGGTATTCTTTTTGAAATACATCTTGATTCTATGATGTATAATGAAAAAAATCCATTTGCTTTACTCAATGATAATGATTCGAAAAATAGTGAGATTTATTTTGATACAGGCTGTGTTTTTCGAATTGAATCTATTGAACAATTTAATGAAGATTTATTAATGATGTGGTGTGTAAAGTTGCGATTAATTAGAAATGATGATCCACAATTACTTCGTATCGTAGAACCTTTTCGAACTGAAGAACAACATGAAAATCCATTATCTTGTTTAGGTAAATTACTTATGAATATGGGAGAATATAAGCGTGTTGAACAATGCTTTCTTGAAACATTAAATGATGCTTCTATCTTAAGTCAACCTCGTCGTCTTGTACGTGCACGAATTGGTCTTGGTGCTAATTATTCACATAAAGGTGAGTATATCACAGCATTAATTCATTATGAACAAGCACTTAAAATTAGTTTGACTTATTTACCATCCGATCATTATAATCTCGCTCCTATATATAAAAGTATTGGTGATTGTTATTCAAATCAAAACAATTATGAAAATGCTTTCACAAATTATGAACGAGCCATACATCTAATAGAAAGTAATACACAATCACCAAAATCTTCCACAATTACTGAATTACAAAATCTTGTTAATAAAACGAAACAATTAATTGAAAACAATAAGTCATTATTGTTAACTAAATCTCAGAAGTAATTCGACAATATAGAAATTAATTTATTGAAAGCTCTGTAAGTTATGTTAAGAACTCTATTTCGTGCTGGAATGTTTTGTTTTTAAATAAATTCTTCTAAATACTCAACGAATTTTTCATGTGTTTTATGAAAAAGTGTGTTTTTAAAATAAACTGTAAAACTTTACATGTTGTTGGGCCTTATCGTATAATGTATTTCTAATATCAACGTGATAGTTGATACAAATACGAAATATAAATTTGTTTTCATTCATCAGGTACTATTTGTTGTGTGAATTTGCACTTATAATAAGCAAGGGATCTATAGTATTAACCATCATCTCAAATTTTTTCGATCTTTCAATTAACTTATTTTATTAATTGAGGACAAAATTATATTCACGATGTACTTTGAATAATATTCACTCTTAATTCATGTTTATTTTTCTTCGTAAGTTACACTGCCACAAACTCTGAATATTGAATTTGATACATTCTATTTTGTTATATATCGATTTTATTCATATCATACACTGTAGATATAATTAAAAATGAACAGCTGATATAAATATTAGATATACAACAGAAAAAACCATATAACTTTAGACATATACGAATGATGTGATACTGACAAGTATTGTCTTAATATTCCAAGCCCTCCATCATTCGTCTATAATAAATTAAGTATCCAATAAGACCGATGATACTAATTAATCCGATAATTGTCATTATGATGTTGAATACCAAAGCTAATGTACTCATTGTTTTAGCACCTGCGGCATCATTTTTTTTCTTTTTACTTCGGCATATTAAAGAAAATACTAGAGGAATAAAACCCGGTATTATTCCTCCGAGAACTAAACTAATAATAGACCATGGTAACCAATCACGAATCTTGCTCATATCCTGTTGTACGGTGGATGTTACCGGATTTTGATATGGCTGATGTTGATATGGAGAAGGCATGTAGACAGGTGCTACCATTGGCGCTGGTGTACCTGCATTGGTTAGTTGTGATCCAGGATATTGATATGAAGAAGGTACATACATAGGTGCTACCATTGGTGTCTGTACAGCTGTAGATTCTAATTTCGGATATTGAATAGTAGAATTTGTATAGACAGGTGCAGCCATAGGTGTTGGTGCAGATGCTGCTGTAGATTCTACTTTAGACGGATCCAGCGTATACATATTCATACTGGTACAATTTTTTTATGTGATTGAAAAAATAAAATTGTGCCTTTATACAGATATCTATGTTGCAGGTATTTATAAAAAAAAGCAGTAACATGATTATCAATATCAAATTACGTTAGCATTCAAATACGAATTCGATGTTTGACAAATAAATACATGAATGAATGATCAAATTTTCTCACATTTCTTTGACTTTTTATTTTGGTTCTTCTAAAATAATAATAATGACGTGTATATATCAATGCTTTTAAGATATTTATCGTTGAATTATATTTTCATTTTTCTTTTCGACATCGGTTAATCTTGAAAAAGATTAATAAAAGAAGGTATAAATAGAAAGATGATATTCGAAGTAAATAGAATCAGGTTAAGTCAAAGCAAAAAAACAGCAGCTAGTTTATTATTTTTTTACCTGTCTTGTTGATCTATGATTTATGTTAATATGAAGAGTGATTTGTTTTGGATCTAATTACTATTGATTTTCTAATATTAATCTTAAGATTAAGTCACTTTTGCTAACAGATGGTGCCTCAAAAACAACGAATTATTTTTAAATGAATCTTTCTAGGGTATTTAATTATAATACAATAATTTACATCATAATGAAAGAAAAATGACTTGTTTTATCATATTATACGTTTTATAAAGAATGATTGCGTTAATAATATATCTATGTATCAATAAATCAAACAATTGTAGATAATAATAATTACTAGTGGGTTTATTTATCTAGAAATGTGTTAGTAATTAATTACATTCCATTAATTTCTATTTTCCTTTGTATAAGGCTCGACAGTTCTGAAACTGTATCTAGCATTGCATTTATTTGCTTAGGCAACTGATAAAACTCCTGGTGTATCAAGAGAGGAAAAGCATATTTATTAATAATATGATAGCAGATATTTACAAAAAGCAAAAAAGCATTATGTAGATTTAGTCTTTAAAATATATTAGAACATGATTTATAATCAGTACAAAGTTATCATCAGTTGATGGTAACATTAATACGAATGGCTGATCCACTGCCAGTCCATCGAAGTTTAAAACCAATATAAAGAACAGTTCCTGGTGCAACATTGAATGTTTGTGACAATGTATTTCCTACTTTATTATAACTACCATAGCAACGATTATTGCAATAAGATGATGTTGCTAGATATGATAAACCTTGCCACCCGAAAGTACCATTCTCAAAATTACCGTTGGCGAGTAATTGATCTCCATTGGAGTTTGTAACTGAAATGTCATCAATATATGTTGAATAGTAATCATCTTGAGTAAAGAATGACAATGTCGCTTGACCAGAATGTGCAATATAGACTGTATTAAACTGAACGAGCTCGTCCAAACTTGAGTACGGGTTATTTATTGAAAATAGAGTAGCATCTCGGCGTTCACTTGTTGTACTTGACTGAGTCTGACTGACTACATTCGAAGATGCTGATGCAGCTAGACCAAAAACATTATTTATTAATTTACTACATAAATTTATAAAAATAATCTGTATTCATTTACTTGAAGTACCACGATTCAGTGATGAATTGCAGACAGAATTCATTATTTCATCAACTAACAAGAAGATATAATAATACAAATCATTAAAATAATCTAAACTTACTCAACCCAACTCGAACAGCACGATATAAAACCGGTCGTAATATAATTGCTCCAATTCCAAATCCTAATAATATAATTGCAACCATCAAAAATCGAAAGCGTAGTGTTCCTGGACGATGACTAAAAGCGAATAATAGTTAAAATGTTTTGTAATCTATTATGATACTCACGCTTCATTTTTACCGATGAAAACAGTCGAATCTTTAATGGTTAATGGTTGCACATCATTTGGAATATTAATCATCTGAATCAATTTTAAAATTCAAGTAGAGTTCTTATAAAACTTATCAAGAATAAACTTACATGTCCTTTAATTGATGGAAATAAAGTTTCACTAGATTTCTCATCCATTTTTTCCGAAAATGAATATGTATTCATCAATAATGAAAAGCTTCTTGTCGGAGGAAAAATAACTGAAAAATTGTTTTTTAATGATAGTCAATTGTGTTATTACAACTGATATAAATAGTGAACAGTACGTGACTTGATAAATATATCTGTTCAAATATTTTTAAATGAAGTAAACGATGAGGCATGATTTAATCTATAGTAAAACATACCACTTTGTTAACTGAGTAAATTTTTATATTTGACTTCCGAGAACCTAGTCTCACAGCATATACATAATTTTACTGATTAATTCTTTTTATGTGAATAAAAGTATATATGGATATTTTATTTTTTTCAGTTAAATTATTTTATATAAAAATATATTATTCATTTTTACGTCATATCTAAAAAAAGCTAATAACTTGTTAATGGAACTGATTTAAATATTTCAAAATAAATATGTGTTTTAAAAACTTTAAATCTATGAACAGATGTTTGTATAGAATATCTTCTATCGGAATTTAATACATCGTAATAGAGAATATAGATGGTATTATATCTCTCAACTTATTTTGAAATGATAGAATGTATGATAATAAAGTTTTACAAAGATTTTACAAGTATAATTTAAAAGGGACTGATAACATGTATAACAAAATAGAACATATAATTAACAGATGGTTAAAATTTGCGTATTTTTATTACGGAACAAGGGTCGGTTGTTTTTATATAGTTGTAGAAAAAAAATTACCGTTCTATTATTAATTTACATATGTAAAAATAAATATTTTGCTATGTCTAGTTCAAGATAAATACTAATATAAGACATGTATTTGCAAAACAAGACTTTCTGTATTTAACATTGATATATAATAGAATTCATATCTTTAACTTCGTCATGGAAGAAAAATACAACGATTCATAATTCTAAGTTTTTCTCACGAAGCAGTTTTTGTTGTCTATCGAACGGTATACATATACATATGCTTTAAAAAGGCGTTAACTTGATTCTAAACTATTGTAATTTCACTATAAAAAAGCTTTTCTTATAGCATGTAAAATATATGAGTTTCTGATTTAATTTTCTCTCACAATACGCAACAGAATTTTATAAATCTAGATACAGGAGAAAATTTACATAGAATAGAATCATTTTTTGCAAATAATATCAAGACTATCTTAGATTTATAACTAATATTTTTCTTATTATATATTATTTTCAAAGAAAAAAAATGAACATAAATATACATTATTTGTACATAGTAAATACATTCAATAAAATCGATATGTTAAGATTAACTAAGATGTTCTAAATAGTTTTAATTCATGTTCATATTTCAAAATACTTTGATTAAATAAAAATAAATTTTTAATAGAAAAACTTCATCAAATATAAATTAAGAGATGATCCATGACTGATTCGAGCATTTTCGTATAGGGTCGTCATACAAAATGTTTTGACTCCCATTTTTGAGTATTGCAAATGAAAGAGCATGTAAAAATACATATAAATTCAAAGTTTTAGCCTTCTTGAAGTTACCGTTGTACGGAATTGAAAGTCACCTTCTTCAATAGATTAAATTGATTATTTTTTAATGTTATGGCGTGTTCAGTATTTGATTATTTTCTCCCCAAAAATTATTTAATTAAATCAAGTAATATATCAAACGATAGAGCAAATCGAGCTCTACAAAACTACATATTTAGAATATTTTTAAATAAATTCTAAATACACCTATGAGACAAAAACCTGCCAAGAAATCGCCGAAATTTTTTTAGTATTTTTATGATAAACTGGAGAGAAAAAGGTTCAGACTGATAATAATTCTTTATGGATTCGATAGAGCGAAAGAAACTACTCAAGATACACCTAAAAAAGAATCCAAAAAAGAGTTTCTGAACGTGCTACTGAGCAAAAAGAAGGTTCTGCAGCGCTCTATTTTTCTATTATCTTCTAAAATTCCAATGGTTTTTATACACAAACGGACAAAGAGATAATAATAAAGAAGAGAAACCTAGAAATATTTTTCTTTCGTCTCGCACGTGCTACATATAACATGAAAAAGAGCTAAGAAGTAACATATGAATAATTATCATTTGGTTGCAAAAAATGATTCATTATTTAATGATACAAAGAGAGAATGATAAATAATCGATAAAAGGTGAATATCTATGAAAATAAATATTTCGAAAAAGAAAAATTCTAAGAAAACTGAGTCATGTGGAATATATTATTTGATCACTAAAGGGATTTGATATTTAAAAGTGTTGGTGTAGATAGTAGCCTTCCTGTATATCTCAATGATCACCATTAATACTTGAAAACACATTCCCATGTTCAGATCTAGTTACACATACAAATATATGCATAAACTCATTTTATTTTATACGACTAGTCGTTCAATCGAACAAATGTTTAATTAAATACTCATATTCAACTTTGAAAACAAATATTCGTTAATAAAGTAGAAGAATTCAAGCGGACTTAACGAAAAACTATTTGAGCACTGACATAAACTTTGACAGAAAAGAAAAATAATACATTTTCATAGGGTTTTTTTAATATCATACAATGTAAAAATTCAATATTCAAAAAATGTATTTACGTCTCTAACACGTGTTTTTTATATTTATTGGAAATTTGCTACACGTGTTTATAATTCTTGTTCTTGCTTGTCTGACTCAATAGGCTCTTTTTTTCTCTTTGAAAAGTGTATATTCTTCCTTTTCACCTAACGATAATAACTTATGAAGAAAGCAAAGTACAAAACTTGCCGTATTATTGAGTGTAAAAAAACCAAAATAGAAAACGTTCTATATTATCGAGTGTAAAAAAAGCAAATACACTTTGCAATGACTGTACAATCTTTCATTCTAATATACGCCTGACATCACTCCTACTAGACAAAAAAAACCTTGTGCTTATCGCAAATATCTATATAAATGCACATGATATTTTATTAAAACATTATTTTTGTGTATCAATATCAGTGAAATACAAAGCATAAAATATGTTTATTGTATTTCTCATTCTGCTGTTCGGATTTATAGCTTTATTGGTCTACTATTATTTTCTCATTCAACAACGTTATCAATATTTTAACCAGCGAGGTATTGCTACTCCGCCCTTCAATTTCTTCTTTGGACATTTGAAAACAGTATGGAATCATCCATCACATCATCGTCAACTTGAAAACTGGACAAAACAATATGGCAAAATCTATGGAATATATGAAGGAACTCACCCCATTTTGGTTGTTAGTGATCCTGATTTTCTTCAAGAAGTCTTTATTAAACAATTTTCTGTTTTTCATACTCGACTGATTACTATGCTAGATGATGTAAGCCATAATCTTGGTTTCTCAACTGGTTCACAGTGGCGTCGTCAGCGTCATGTAATTAATCCGTCATTTACTGCAGTAAAACTCAAGGAAATGAGTCCTCTTATCAATGGATCTATCAGCGATTTAATGGATAAACTCCTCGGACATTCAAATATTGGTGACGAATTCAATATTTATCTATATTACAAACGAGTAACTATGGATGTTATATGTAAGATAATATTGGAATTTTCAAGCATAAAATATAGGTTATTGATATCCTTCTTTTATCTAACGCTAAGTTCAGATTGTATTCTCTAGTTACACTATCTTATAGTCACTGCTATACAGAATAAGTTCTATCTACGATATAATCATATATTATTAAAAGTAAATGTCCAGAGTCTACCTCGTTCGTGACCAGAGCTATAAATAAAGGAGTTGTTGAAAGAAAATCTAAGAGTATTCATGTCACTTTAATCTGCAAAGTAAACTTAAAAATGGACTTTAAGAAGGTTTTCTAAATTAAATATTTAGCAAAGTTTGAATTTTCACCAGGTAAAAATCAGTAATGAAGTTAACATGCGGTAGTGTTTGATTCGAGATTATGAATGATGTATAATAACAAGCAATTTTAACTCTTTTTATTTCTGATATGATTTTAGGTCGCTGTGCATTTGGAGTTGATATTGATTTACAAAACAATCCAAACCATATTTATTTTCAGAAAGTAGAAGAATTGATTGGCGTTCATACTATTCTGAAAAGTTCTATATACAAAATGACTCAACTAGTACCTGAAACTAGAAGTATCCTTGCTCGATTATATATTGCTCACAATGCTGCACGGAAGTATATTAATACAAGAGTTTTACCATTAATATCATCAACAAAACAGTTGGATGAATCAGCATTTGCGTGGCTGCTAAATCGACTACACACAATTGTCGAACAACGACAAAAAACACCTATATCAAGAAAAGATCTTCTTCAACTTATGCTACAAGCAATGAACAAAGAACCAAATCAGGTAAACGAAATATTTGATGTTTAACAGTTGTAGTAAAGAGTTAATAGCTTAAAATGATAGATGGAAAGAAACTTCATCATAATCTTGTATAATTGAATATAATCTGTTATAGTGTTCACCACAGGAAGTCTCTGTGAACAAGTACCGTTCAGAGTACTGCATAATTATCTCAAATATTTAACATATCGTATTTTCTTCGAACTGACAAATTTTGAAATAATACTCCTGTTGAAAAGTTCTTTATTTTTTCTATTTGACTTGAGATCAAGTATACTGCGAGTCGAATTTTAGATTTCAGAGCAACAGAGAGCTCTTGTAACTAAACTTTTACTATAGAATACGGCAGAAGATGATAACAAAACAAACCATTGGCTGTCGAAAGATGAAGTGATAGGTAACACTGTTGCCTTCATGGTAGCAGGATATGAAACAACATCAACTGCTTTGGCTTATGCTACATATGTACTAGCCAAACATCCAGATGTTCTTAAAAAACTTCAAGATGAAATTGATCAATTTCCAATAGACAGTGATGATAATACTAATGACGAAAAAATGAAAGAATATCCTGACCATAATATTGTTACACACTTATCATACATGGATATGTTCATTTCGGAAGTATTAAGAATGTATCCAATTGGTAATTTCACTGTTCAACGATGTGCTATGGAAAATACCATTGTACAAGGAATTAACATTGAAAAAGGTAAGATTTTTTTAATGTTTCACAGATTGGTATGTTTAGTAAAATAAATAAAAATGAACAAAATAACTGCTTATTTTATTTATTCAACTGGTAAAATTTATTAATATTAATTAGTAGAAAAAATGAATGATTTACTGTGCATCCTTCTGCTTTACTTATAAAAATAACACAAATGATAACTTTCCAATTTTTTATAGGTACTACAGTGTATGCTGATATTTATTCGATTCATTATGATCGTGAATTGTGGGGTCCTGATGATCCATATATTTTTCTGCCTGAACGCCACAAAACAAAACGTCATCCAATGGCGTTTATGGCCTTTGGAGCAGGTCCACGGAATTGTGTCGGTATGCGTTTTGCATTGATCGAAATAAAAATGCTATTGACAAGGCTTCTTCGAGAATATACGATTCTTCCAGGTGAACATCTTGAAAGTAATTTCAACATCCATGAAGAAATAGCTATCGTACCAGAAGCAATTTGGATTAAATTACTCAAAAGAGAAACATAACTTTTTTTAATATATAACTCGTAGTTAGATTTCAAATAGTTGCTAGCAAACTTCGTATTTTCATAATAAAATATACATTGAATCATGCAACTGTTTAACAGTAATACGTAGCTAATCTAGCCTTGAAAGTATAATGGTTTATAAGATCATTAAATAGAAGTAAAATGATCTTCTAATCAATTCTGGGATGTTTCAAAGGAGACGATTGAAATGAATTCGATATTGTCTGTTTACTACTTATCAACAGAATAAAAACAAGATAATTATTCATTTAAAATATGTACTATATAGTTTCAATATTTTGAATAAATAAATCAATCGAAATAATTGTAACATGCAAATATGACTTATTTCAATAATCTTTTTTCCTTCCAATTATCGTCATAATAGAATACATCAATGTGTGTTCGTTCGCATCTCTTTTTATTCCTAGACATCATTATTTTGTTTTCTATGATATACCAAACAACATAAATATACGTTTGTTAGATTACATTAGAATGTAATCTAAACTACTGTAATTTCACTATAACAAAACTTTTCTTGTAGCATTTGAAATATATAAGTTTCTGATTTAATTTTCTCTCACAATACGCAACAGAATTTTATAAATCTAGATACAGAAGAAAATTTACATAGAATAGAAGCATTTTACAAATAATATCAAGACTATCTTATATTTATAACTAATATTTTTCTTATTTTATATTATTTTCAAACAAAAAAATGAATATAAATATGTATTATTTGTACATAGTAAATACATGCAATAAAATCGATATATTAAGATTAACTAAGATTTTCTAAATAGTTTTAATTCATGTTCATATTTCAAAGTACTTTGATTAAATAAAAATAAATTTTTAATAAAAAAACTTTCTCAAATATAAATTAAATTAATAAATATTCTTTGATAAAAAAAGAATCATCAATGATAAAAATACAAAATAAATAGTTGATTTCGAACTTGGAAGAGCTGTATTACAAAAATCGTGACGACAGCAACAAGTATATGTATTAACACCCATAACTGATCTCCAAGTACACCCATTATAATTATATAAAGCACATACACCTGAATCAAGACCTCGATTAGTATCTGCACTCGAAGATGGAGACGAACTCATTTTCTATAAAACAATAAATTATTTTCATTTCTTAATAAAAAAATTAAAATACATACAGCACACCATCCATTTGTAGAAAGTGCAGTTTTCACATTAGGATCATATCTATTAAACGGGTGTGGGCAATTTAGACATACGTAACACATTGATGGTGATGGACGTGGAGTTGTTCTTGGTGTCGTCTTGGCAGTAGTTTGTGATGGAGTATTTGGAGTTGTTCTTGGTGTAGTTTTCATAGTAGTTTGTGATGGAGTGTTTGGAGTTGTTCTTGGCGTCGTTCTCACAGTGGTCTGTGAGGGGGTATTTGGAGTTGTTTTTGGTGTAGTTCTCACAGTAGTTTGTGATGGAGTATTTGGAGTTGTCCTTGGTGTGGTCTTAACAGTAGTTTGTGATGGAGTATTTGGAGTTGTTTTTGGCGTAGTCTTCACAGTTGTTTGTGAGGTACTTGCTTTCGCGGTCGTACTTTGCAAATCAGCAATACCTTGAAAAGTTAATTAAAAAATCAGTTCTATTTAACATCTTTTTTTTTCTTACCAATTAAAGTAAAAATAACACAGAACAGGATGATAAAGTTTTTCATGTTTTACTTTAAATTTATTTGTAACAATGATTTAAAAAATAAGCACTTATATATAAGATCTGCCTTTTAATGTTTTATCATTTAGTGTTAAAGTCAAGAATGAATTGACTCAGATAAAATTGATAAGAGCAATGACGTATTCTTTCTCTGACATCATTTTAGTTACTAAATAAATATGATGGAATATACGAGAAAGAAAAAAAAACAAATTACGTCAATATATTTCTCTTCGTTTATCTGTGTTTGTTTTGAAAGTGTTGTTGAAAAATGTGTAATGACATCATACAAGTTTATCAGATAAATTAAATATTCGTTTATAAACTATTTTCTCGTCATTAAATAATAGGTGAACTTTATCCAGCGTTATTAAAACGACTTTGATCTATCCGTAGAAAACAACTACTACTTTGAAAGACTGAATATCATCATGATATTTCATTCATATCACTCTCAGTTATCTCCACCCATACTTAATTCTCATATTTTAATTTTATAAAATATCTAATAGTATTTATGTTTTAATACCTGTAGTTTTTCATATCAAAATTTCGTAACTTATTCTCAAAGTTAACTATAATACATTCATTTATATTTTTTTTTCACTTTTCATTGCCATTATTACGAAGCATATCTTTAAAATGAACTCCAAGTTTTACCATAAACATGTTGACAGAAATTTATCTGATATTTCAACTTAATGTATTTGCCACAATAGAAAAGAAGATTTACTTTGTTGTAAATGTATCTTTGAATTGTAATAAGTAGATTTCACTTTATGCTCTATAAAAGTAAATTTCAAAATTGAATAAGTGAATATATGTGTTTGTATAACAAATTTTATTTTGATTCAACGCTGAAAACTTGTATAAAATAATGTCATTTATACTTCATGTATAAAAAGTATATTTATAAGTTTCTTTTATCACTGTTTTCCATTATTACATTAAAGAAATTAAGTATCTAGGTATAGTACAGAGAATATTATTAGATTTTATTTAAGATTTTGGTTTATCATAAATACATGCGATAGTTATTGACCATTGTATTAAATTGTTATTTAAAAAGTATAGAAATTTCTATTTAAACGACAATAATGCATATCTTTTTATATTCATACTAATCGTTTAGTATAATAAGGGAGTATTTGGTAAATAATCTATTCAAATTCAAGCGGTATAATATTACACATTATTTTAACAAAAAAAAGGAATGTCTTTGGACCTAACTGGAATTTAATGTCATGCATATTTACATTAAATTATATTTAGTGATACATTAAGCAAATCTTAGTTACTATGCTCTTATAGATATGCGAAAATAAGAAGTTCTATTTGTTGAAAACTAATTATAGAAGAATAACAGCTACAAAAACAAAAATGTTCAAAATCAGTGATAATAGATTGATATATAGTCCTAGTTTACATCAATCTACGGAATACAATGGTTAACATTGATTTAGTAGTCAATAGTGTATGAGATTAAGCAGTTCTCTGCGGAAGTCATGCAATACGAAATGTTTGAAATTAAAATAGAAAATTCCAGAAGGAGAAGTTGATCTTATTTACTGAATTTTATATGTATGAGTATCCAATGTACAAATCTAAAATAATGCATACGATATCCTCGATTTTTAATGATCTTTGATTCGAAATAAACTGCCTCTATTTTTGCGGTATTTTTTTGAATTTAATACATATTATTACAAGAGCTGAAGATTGAAGTTTCTGTCATATTAACTTATCAATTTGGTGTTAACAAAATCTAATAATTAAAATCGTGCCTCTTCGTCATACTACAACATATGTATTATATTTGTTTCTTCGTAAGGTATTTTTGTCAGTCACACTGTATTCTTAATATAAACGTGCGTATAGAACAGAAAGACAAAAATCATTTGACGAACATATGTATTGTATAGTTACATATTGTCTCTAAAGAATAAGCGCATGGATAAATAAAAAAAATAACGCAATGTGTTATTGAAGAAGCATAAACCATGTCATTGCCTTTCGAAATAGTATTCAATGAGATTCTGACGATTAATTTAAAATATTATAATAATGTTTACGTGATATTTAAAATATTTCTTGCTTTAAATAAATGTCTGTATAGAATCTTAATAGATAAATATCTGTATTTGTTAACAATTTCTTTTAATCATCAAGATACATCGTACATCATTTGTTAGTTATTATAATTCGGTAATACTTCATGAAATCTCTCACAAAGTATTATCTATAAATGGTACAAGAAATGAAGAATAACTTCGTTAATATGTTTGATTGTTAATATCTTTTCAAATACAATAACAATTGAAGTGACCAGGAGATGAACTCGAATAATATTAAATCATGCTCAAAGTATTATGTCAACATCTCACCAATGATGAAATCCTCGATGCAAATAATGAATTAAACCAAATACTGACCAATTCAAAATACTATCCAATCAATATCAATAATATAAGACTTATCGCATTACTCGTATATTGAATAGAAGTTCATATCTATAGTCTAATAACTCAGATAGAAAATCAACTGATCATTTTCTCTTTTCTTTCTTTGTTTTTTTCTCATATATCACATTTTTACTGAATATATTGATGTTTAAGGTTATAGTACAGGTATAAATGATTGAAAAATATGCTTTGTCAACGATTACTTCGTGCATATTTTTTGCACTGACGCTAATATATGTTCGTCATCACTTTGTTTTCGATTCAATCGAAAAGATTTATAAATAGACAAGAAACAAAACAAACATATATACAACGGATGATCAAACGATAATTTTTTCTTTTTTTCTCTCTCTTTCACATATTATATTTTTACTGAATATACTGATGTTTATAATATAACGCTGTTATAAATGATTGAAAAATATGGTTTGTCGAGAATTATCCAGTGCATATTTTATACAGCTGATGCTAATATATGTTCGTCATCACTTTGTTTTCGTTTTAAACAAAAAGATTTATAAATAAATATATATACAATACATGATCAAATGATAATTTTCTCTTTTATTTCTCTCTCTTTCACATATTATATTTTTACTGAATATACTGATGTTTATGATATAACGCTGGTATAAATAGTTGAAAAATATTCTTTGTCAAGGATTAATCAGTGGATATTTTTTGCACTGACGCTAATATATGTTCGTCATTATTTTGTTAATCTATTCAGGTACTGATGGACAATGACTGTTTGCATGTGAACTCTATTCGTACTTAATTTCTTCATTTCTTCGATACTAAAGTTGTGAGTACGCTGCATGAAATGTTACTTAAGAATGATAAATACTTTAGTCAAACTGTTTTATCATTTCTTTTATTTAAACTAACCTTTAGAATTGTTTTTTTCTTAATAACAAGTAAATATAATTCTATTACTTCTGAGATACGTATTTTGCAGTAAGATTCCTACGATTTGAGTTTAAAAACTTGATATTTTTTCCTACAAGTTCATTTTGATTCATTCTCATGATTGACGTTATGCTAAGTATTTTATACAGTTTTGTCATCCATATAATTATAATTGATTTTTTATTTAGTACTTTTACTTAGGATGAGAACAATAGGATATAATTAATAAAATTTAACAAATAACTGACTACTATGTTCAGTTGCTGATTTTGTTTGTAATTGCATTATAAACAGATAGTGAGAATAGAGAGAATTTACTTTTTGACAATTGCAAATATTTTATTAAATATTATACTGATAATAAATTTCTGAAAACGAACTTGATCAATGTAGAGAGAGGGTATTTTCTGGTGTACCTACGTTTTTCTATCTTCATCTATGTCAGCTTCTAATATATATTTATTTTTAGATAGATTTGTTGATTATCTACACGAAAATGGTATTTATCTGTTGAATAGATAATTTTATATTATTTACTATATTTTAAATGGCAACTTCAGACGATGAAATTATTATACTACCAGATTTGATCAGCAGCTGTCCTTTCGAGCTCGAATGTAGTCCATACTATGAAGCTGTAGCAAAGGAAACTGATGCTTGGCTTTCTTCGCATGGCATTTATAACGATGAGTCAGTGACTAAATACAGCTTGTTCGAGGCACTGGCATACCCGCGTGCTAGTCGACGTCGGCTACGCGATATGTGCGAACTCGGCGTACTAATATTTGCGTATGATCAAATACATGATTCACGTTCGAAAGATGACATCAGTGAGCAAGCCAAGCAACAAATGTTGTGTAATATATCCGATGCTTGTCAACCAGCTGGCACATTCAAACCATTGACATTGTTTGCTTCAGTTACTCATGAATGGTGGCAGCGAATACTCGCCTACGCTACACCCGTATTTCAACAACGTTTTAAAACTACTTTTCGAGATACAGTTGAAGCTTCTTTTCGTCAAGAAACTTATGAGAAGGATCATCAAACACTACCTGATCTAAAAACTTACATTGAGCTTCGGCGTAATACGTGTTACGGACCCATGACCTACACATTAATTGAATTTTCTCTTGGTTTTGACCTACCAGACGAATGTTTGGCTAATGAAACATTGAAAGGTCTTATGAATTGTATGGTATATGCTGCTGGATGGGCAAATGTGAGTTGTATTTTTCTTTAGATATTGCTGTAAAAGGTCATTTTCACAGGGGACAACGTAGGAAACAGACAACATTGCTAACTTCCGTTATTCTTGTCAAGTTAAATGACCCATTAAAAAATACTTCTAGCAGAGTTAAGAAACGTTTGCCATTCGATTTAGTTACTAGAAACTCAAACTTATATTTTTTTCAACTGATAGTAGACTATTTAAATAAAAATATGAATAAAAAATTTATTATTTGTTAAGTGTATGTAAACAAAATAACTACTTTTGTTGAAATGTAAATGTTTTTCTAAGAAAGTAGAAATGTGTAGTGAATGATAAAAGCTACACTTAATCAGTATTATCTATATATTCGTTGTCTTTTCGTTTTATGAATAGGATATTTATTCATTCAATGTTGAACAGTCTGAAGGCCAATACAACCTGATCTCAGTGCTTATGAATGCGAATCCACCACTGAGTATTCAACAAGCAATGGATCAAGCCGGACAAATGGTTATTGATGAATATGCTCATTTTGAACGTCTTCAACGCCAATTACCTTCATGGGGAGCTGACATTGATGATCAGGTGGGAAAATATGTGGATGGTTTGGCCAAGGTAATACGAGGAAATCTTTGTTGGTGTTTTGAAACACAAAAATATTTTGGATCCGAAACAGAAGAAGTCAAACGAACAAGACGCATCAAATTATTACCACCGACAACAACAGTACAAGAGAATATTTTACATTCACAAAAGAATGCTAAGGTACAGAGAAAGATGGTTTTTTTTCTAAATTTCGTTATGACTAATTTACTAGATATCATCAAGTAACCACAAAGGCAAAGGCAATGCCCATCAACTCAATGATTCTCAAAGTAAGAAAATAAATAAAAGGAAAAATAAACAGAATAATTAAAAATCATTCGTTTTTCGAGTTAGTATGGTAAAAATTTCTCTCGAAGAAAGAATGTTGCTTTAATATTATATTTAGTTATTTCCTTGTAAAGCTGAGCATTTGATCCAAAGTTGAGTTTAGAATGGAGAAAATTTTTAAATACTTGAAAACTATAGATTGAATTGTGAGGGCATCAATGTTTTGAATATCATATCATAGAATATTTTATTATTTTTATTGTGTAATTTTTCTTTTTATAGACGAAATGGATCATAACATGGATATTAATAGCTGTGGAAATCTAGTAAAAATCTTGTTTGTAAAGTTATACTTGAAAATACAATTTCTTTTCTTTTTCATAGGATGCTATCTTGGAACCATTTAATTATTTAAAATCTTTGCCTGGCAAAAACGTTCGATCTAAATTAATTGAAGCATTGAATTATTGGTTTCAAGTATCCGAAGAGAAATTCAAAGTTATTGATGAAATCATGAGCATGCTCCACAATGCGAGCTTACTAATCGATGATATTGAAGATGGTTCCGAACTGCGACGAGGCTCACCAGTGGCACATTTAATTTATGGTACTCCTCTAACAATTAATGCTGCTGAATTAGTCTGCTTTCTTGCCATACAAAAGGCATATACATTAGAGAACCCGGATGTTGGACGTATTTTGATCGGTAAGATTTTTTTTTCTTTTGAAAGTTACGAAACTATGAAGAAATTTGAGACAAAAATTCACATATTTTCGTTTCTCTAACAACTCTTTCTATTTAATAAATCTTCTTAATTTATTTAGATCATTTGGTTGAATTACACAAAGGACAAGGATATGATATCTGGTGGCGAGAGAATAACATTTGTCCAACAGAAGAGAACTATTATAAGATGATCGACAACAAATGTGGAGGTCTTTTTCATTTGACCTTGGATCTTTTGAGAACATGTTCATCAATTAATCTTACTGAAGACAAAACTAAAGCAATTAATGAGTTATGTCAAACTTTTGGTTTATTTTTTCAAATTCGAGACGACTATTGCAATTTAGTTTCTACAGAATATACACAAAAAAAGACGTTTTGTGAAGATCTGACCGAAGGCAAATACTCTTTTCCAATTATTCATGCAATACAAAATCGTCCAAATGATAACCGAGTTCAAAATATTCTTAAACAACGTACAAATAATATGAATCTAAAACGAGAAGTGGTCAAATTATTACATGAATTTGGATCGATTAAATATACGAAAGACAAATGTATGAAATTAGCTGATGAATGTTATGCATTAATTAAAAAATTAGAAGATAATATACATTTTAGAATAATTATGAATTACCTAACTCTCATTTTAGATGATTCAACTGAAAACGATTCTATGCAAAGCAAACATACTTAAATGACTATTTAACAACTAATATTAAATGAATTTTTTTTTATTTAATCTAATAAAATGATGAAATACAATTACCTTTTCATATAGATTTTCTTTGAATTATTTTTTTCTGCAGAACTTCATGTAATGTTCGAAAGTGCTGCTCTAACTTTTATTATCTAATACGTTTGTAATTCTAGTTAAATAAAAGCCTCATGTGCAGAAACATTATATTCTTACAAAAAGATTCGATATTTGCGTTAGACGAAAATAACATAAGATACAGATAATTTCAATTGAATTTGTTTGTAGAAGAAATGATCAATGGACTCTTGATCCATAAGATATCAATCAGTCGCACATGGTTAAAAAAGAAAAGGTGTCAATAAATTGCTTTAACACTCATAGTAAACAAAGATATTGACTTCGTCCTTCTCACATTCATTTCAACTCTATCGGTAGTAAACAAATGTTTTATTTTCTATGTGACGCAACAAAAGTTGCAATTTTTATTTGCATGATATCGAATAGAATTAAAAAACTTTGTATCAATTTTCATGTTTATTTGAAGAAGAAAAAAAATGTAACAATTGCTATGGCTGAAACAGAGAGAAGAGAATATTAGATGTACCATTCAAATGAAAGAAAAAAACTATCAGTATTCTAATGAATTTTATAATACAAAAGTAAATTAAATAATTCAGGAAAAGATGATGTTTTTCTTCTTTAAAAAAAATATTTGATAAATGTATCATGTTAATTATATAAACAACTCTTGCGATGTCGTTTTTTTTATAGTACAACTCTCAATCATTTTTAATGTGCTATATATATTTTATGATATGAGTGAATAGAATAGATAGAAACCTAGAGTTTGATGAATAATACTAGTACATTTCATCTTTAATAATTCGACTTGAATATTTTTTTCAATTTGGAAAATGAACAATCAATTCATTAGATTTTATATATAATAATAATCTAGAAATAGTTGTGAGCTTTACAATATTTAACTATAAATATAATAATAATATCTTAGTTGCATAATGATGATGAAGAATAAATTTTGATTAGTTATTTACTTTAAGATAATTTATTCTGACATCATTTTTTGAAAATCTTTTTTTTCTACGTAATTTCTGGAAATTTCCCGTATTGAAATTGACTTCCTATCCAATGATAAGGTTTTGATAAAAACAAATATTACTTCACATTAGTTTACTAGAAAAAAAATTCAATTATACACAACCTTGATTTACTACTAATCAGTTATAAAAGTTCATTTTTTTTCAATATAAATAGTTCCGATGTATACAATCAACAAGTATATTCAAAGAAAAAAACATAAACTAATTGTTTCTATATTTAGATATTATAGAAAAGGATATATTCTAACTTCTAAAATATTTTTGTGTTTAATATTACGAATAAAATGAAAATTTTCGATTTATATTTTCCTTCATTGTCTCTATATTTGACTGAATTGATTCAATAATCAACGTTATAATCTATAGTTCATTTTTGGTGAATGCACTTTTTAATTTAACCTATGACAGTCATCGGTTTATACGTGCGTTGGCGACAGTCATAGGGTTACCAAACATCTTTTTTTAGTTTATGAAAGACTATGTGTAGGTGAAATTTAATATTAATTGAGTGGTCGTAACTATTCTAACATGTCAGACAATATCATGCATACTAAAACCAGAAAGCTGAAAGACACGATTTTTCTCTCTGTAGATCACACTTAAATTTCAATCTCATAATTACATCTGTGTAAAGAAAAAAAAATTTAAACGAAATTTTTTCAGAATCAATGATAAATCTCTCTTGAAATTTTCTTTTAATAAATTACATAAGACGATATTTCAATCTTACTGAATATCATATAGAAATACATCATACTGCAAAATAGATTTGTATTATATTAACTATCAAAGTAACTGAATAATGATCTTTAGAGAAAAAAAATATATATGTAAACATAAGTAATCCATGCCTTTATTATAAAATATAATCATGAAAAAGAAAACACATCAATATTTTTCAAAAATATTTTAGTAGCTTCAAATTATGCCAGCATAAAGGACTTGCTAACATTAATAAAAATATGTGTCTTCTTGTATTACTATGGACAATATCGTGCTAGTTCAGCAACAGTACATGAATTTTCACAGCAGGCTTCAGAAAGTAATTTTTCTTCTGTAAATCTTCGTACAGGATTGTTGTATCGATGCTTTCCTTTTTGTGTTTCTATAGCTCCACAAACGATATTAAGCATAAACCAAAGATGAGTACTACATGCTTGATAAGCACGTTGAAGCTGGCAATCTTCAACTTTATATAATTTGCCATTCATTGTTACTTCTTTACCTTCTTTTAATAACCATCTACCATATTTAAGATTACAAGTTTTATCCGCAATTGATGTTGCGTTTTGATTTGCATCCGATTGATTGAAGAAGAAGAATACGAGGAATAAAAAACCGTAGAAATACATAATAATAATGAATAGTAGGAGAATGAAAGTAGTTTGTTGTTTAACTAAAAGACAAAAAAGATATGCATTGTTTTTAGAAAACGGTAAGAATATATATATATATATATGTGTGTGATCAATGTAAACTGAATTTTTTATGATTATTACTGATGACAAAAATGCACATGGTTATATATTAGGATAATAGCGGGCGACAATTTAGTGGAATGACAAATGTTAGTTAAACATTCATGGAGAGAAAAATCATATACATCAAGCGAAGTCATGCAAGTAAATGCAGAGGTTTTGCTTATGAAAACATTTTTATAATTAGTTGATGTAATAGAAAAGACTTAAAATGATGAACTATAATATATGACTAGTATCTTTATTTTTAATAGTAGATAAAAATTATTTGTATATTTATATTAGTTGATAGGAAATATCGATATTATTAGACTTTCCGATGAATATTTTTCTTAAACATATGTATTAACAATATACCAACAAATTTCGAGTTCAAATTAATTAAATAAATTTACTTACACTTTGACTACATAAAAAGAAACATGATTTTTCACTTTTCTAACCAAGAGCTATTAAAGGAATTGCTTTGATGTTCTTACTTTAAAATTTATTTTATGTAAACGTTATTTTTATCTGTTTCTTTTTTTGGTTGTAGTTCTTGTTTAAAAAAATCAGGGATTATAAACACAGTATACTAGCCTTATTACGATTGTTTTAATTCAATAAAAAATACAACGACAAAAAAAACAAACAATGGTTGTCATGTGTAAATTCTCACGTTTCGTTAATGCATTCAATTTTGTTGGCAAACAAAAAGGTCTTCTTTTTCAACATATTAAAATATCGATTGATCTATTTGAAAAAAAAGACGAATATAATATATTTCTAAAACAAAACATGAAGTATATCATCAATTAATTATTGGAAAGTTTTTTAGTAAAAAACGATATTGTTATATTCATATAAAGGCCATAAGTCGAATTAATACATTTTTTTCTGATTAAAATTAGATACGAATAGAGTTAGAAATTATATATTTCTTCTTATGTGATCAGACATTCTTCTTTTTCAGTTATACTAAAATCTTCTTGCGTTCTGTTTAAAAAAAATACTTATTGTTTTATTTCATTTGTTGTCACAAGCGACGCATAATCGCCATAACTAAAACGTTGTAAAAAAAGTGTTTGTAAAATTTACTACTTATCGATTGATACGATCGACAAAATAGTATTTCTATATTTATTATCATTGCGGTTATTTTGATGAGGCGAAGAATAATTTCAGACAATACATATCATTTAGCACTTTAAAAATAATTAACATTTATTCGATACTATAAGTCTTTTCTGCATATTGTTTTACAGTATTTTTCTATTTTTTATATAAAAAATACCTATTTCATATAATCAGCTTTTGTCTATTTTAATATCTTCCCACATTGTATTCATATTTACAGCTGATTACTTTCGATATTATATTACATATGAAACTCGATATTTTTTTGTCTTTTTTTACTCCTTAAACATGGTTTATACAAGTCATCGTGTTTAAAATGCTATTATAAGAATGTTTATTAACATAGAGATAATTTCGGTATCATTAGATTTATTTAAATCATCAAAAATGGAATAATGTAGTATTTTCAGTCTGAAATATAATTCTGTTTTTTTACACTGATGGACAGTATCGTGTCATTTCAGTAATTGTACATGTATTTTGACAACAAGCTTCGGAAAGTAATTTTTCTTGAGCAAATCTTCGATGATGATTTTTAAATTTACGACCTTGTTTTTGTGATTCTACAGCTCCACAGACGATATTAAGCATAAACCAAAGTTGAGTACCACATGCTTGATAAGCACGTTGAAGATTACAATCTTCAACTTTAAATAATTTTCCACGAATTGTTACTTTTTCATCTTCAGTTAATGAATGAGTATCATGTTGAACAGTACAATTTATATTTAAAGACGATAAAGGAGTAGGATGTCCACCATTTTGATTAACTGCATTTAATATAATCAATAAAATAAATGGGAACGATGAGATCATCATAGTAAAAATATATATTGAAGATAAATTATTATTGCTCAGCTAAAATATAAAAGATAAATATATTTCCCGATTCAATTCTATATAAGGGTGCATTCAAGATAATGTCAGACTGACAAAATTAAGACTTCTATAAAAATAACATGCCATATTCATTTATAATTCAAATAAAAAGGATTATAGTCAAAAATTGTTTTTATCAAATAATTTATACATAGAGAAGATACCTGATATAATCACGTACGTCATGAACTATGATATATAGGTAAAAATCTGTCTATATCTTGAAATTTTTCTTTGAATCTTTTCCTTTCATTACCTATTCAAATCATGAAATGTTTTTTTTTATATGTCATATCGTATTATCATCAAGAAAAAGAGAAAGATTTAACAAAAATAATAAATTATCCTGTTGGTTGAACAAAACGTTGTCGTATATACTAGACATTTCTGAATCATTAAGCCATATAAATAGTGTACTCATAATACATTAAATTGTATGTTGCATGTTTCACTTCTAGATAGTGCCTTATATTAATTACTGTCAAAATAATTGCTGCCCCCGAAGATTAGATTATATCAAGGATAACGAATGCTGATAAATCTGATGTTTTAATGACGTACATTCACTAGAATAATAAATCTTGAAAATCAAAATTAAAGAGTATCTTTTTAATAAGGTTAGACTGACAAAATATTGTGACGTAAAATAAAAACGCACTTTTTTTTTCGATTAATATTTTTATTTTAAATATAAAAAAAAAAGATTTATGTAATTAGCTGTCATGGATAATTAAATGAACCGATAAGAGTATTTGAGGTTATATTACAATTGTATGAATTCGTTATAGTAGAAGTAAAAGTTCGTGTAAAAATAAGAGTAGGACTTGATGGACGTACGATACGATAGATTACTGTGATCGGATTGATAATACTAATAATTGGATTATTGAATTGATAGGGTTCAAAACAAACATAATAGGTACCTGTTGGTGGTAGTGTACCATTACTTGGCCAATAAACATTTTCTGGACCTTCACCTACTTGATCATCTCTATCTAATTCTCCTTGATCAGTTGCGTTCGAAGGACCCCTGTTTGTATAGCAAATAGTTTTTCCACTTGGTGTTGTAACTACAATATCTCCATCGCCTGGTCGAGACCATGTCAATGTACATGCAAGATATCCAACATTTGTACATACATTTTGTATACATGTTTGTTCCGAATTACATGAAGGTGAACAAGGAATAGCTAATCATAAGATTTAATAATGAAATAAATTATGATCATAATTGAACTACCTGTTGTTTGTGTTGTTGTAATTATAGATGTGGTTGTAACTGTTGTTATTTCGCTTGTAGTAGTAGCCGCTAAAAATGTATATATTTAAGATCTACCATCTGAATTTCAAATAGGAATTAATAAAATTCTCATATATTTACATAAGAGCAAACATTTTATTTCATTTCTATAAGAAAAATTATCGAGTTTTTTATTTATACAAAAGCCTTTTTTTCTGCATATTCATATAACCTCACTTGTAGTTGTCGTTTTTGCTAATGATAATAATCCTATAACAATTGCTGCAATGATTGTACCAAGACAAATTAGACTAATCATTAATAAATATATACATAATGGTAAATATACGCAATAGTATTTAAGATATCTATATATATAAAATATTTGCTCAATAAAAAGATTAAATTAAAACTATTACTTTCGTTTTTGTTTTCTATCATTCTGATGATTTAAATCAGTGAATTCTTTTTGATTTGGATGTCTCTCGATTAACTAAATGAAAGAAAAAAAATTTATTCTGATATCATTATGATTATAAATAATCAGAGTGTGAGAATATGTATATAGGAGAAGTGGATTGTCTTACATGCAACGGTAAAGTTCGTTGTGAATTATTTTGTTTTCTATTGATAGCAGACATATATATAGAGTTTGTAGTTGATGCATGCGTCAATTGATTTGTATTTTTAGAGTCGAGAATATTAATTGAAATCTATAGACGAAATAAAATACAGTTTGGTAAATAAATTATATAAAAGATTTAACTGATTGCAAAATATCATTAACATCCGTTGATTTTCGATCTGTACAGTGGATGTTATTCGTTGATGGAATGATTCTATGGATGACATTGGTAGGTTGAACGTCGATTTTTTGTATTTGACGATTGTCCTAAATAAAATATTTTTTTTAAAATCATATGTAAATAATCGTACTTGAATTTTCAATGATTGATGATGACATTGTCGAGGTAATTTTAGAACCTGGACTAATCTTAAGGATGAATTAACCGGAACACTTTGTCTTCTTTGAAATGCAACCGATGGTATTTGACGATAATTATCAGAAATAACTTGCATATGTATACGATCTTTCATTAATACAGTTTATATCTTGTATATGAAGTCAAAAAATTCTTCTTTTTATGAATTCTTATTTTTAATAAATGAATCACAACAATTAATTATATTCATAATTACCATATAGATGCTATATTTATATACAAATCAAAGATTTGGTGGATGAATTCGTGCATTGCATATAAAAAAAATATATAATACCCGTCAATAGTGAATTTGTATTGATAGAAATAAAGCAACTATACATAGTTTTCTTCTTATTTGAAAATCAAAAATATATCAAAATGGCTTCATTACCATTGTATTGTTATAATATGAAATTCTGAATCCATTCAAAAAAATATTCTCCGATTTTTTTTCAACAATAATAAACAAAAAATAAATTTCATGGCTTTGATTCGAATACTTAGATAGTTTTGTTTATTGAATCTTAACTTTTTCTTTCGTTACAAATTTTAGATCTACTAGAATATGAGTTTCTTTATTTTATCAATATATTTGTATCGAGAGTTTTTATCTAGCAATAAATGTCAGGTATAAGATTGTTGACACGAAAACTAAACGATTGATGTATGCCAACTGTAAATATTTTAAAAATAGATTTGAAATAGTCATATTTATTACTTAGTGTATATATCGAATTAATTTAGAATTCTTAAAGCATTTCTAATACAACGAAATAATTTTCTTTTATGAAGTATTACAAATGATGATCATTGCGATCAATGTAAATGACTTCTTCTAACGGTTTTTAGAAAAAATTTTTTAGAATTCGAATTAACTTTCATCGCAGTTCCTGAAGAATATGATGTTAAGCTAAATCCACGATTCGGAAGAGCTGATCTATTCATATGAGAAAACTAAGTAAACTTATTAAAAGAATAAATATATATATATTGTCAAAATTTACTATACTCAATCATAATATTGGAACATGTTCAACAAATACTTCTGAAAAAGAAATTACAGGTTCACAAATTATTTATAAGCAAGGTTCTTCTGATGTACCATATTATCAAAGTATTATATTACATTGCGATGTATTAACATCTGAATTACAAGGAACTATTACTGATTTTATGACACCAGATAAAATAACGTTCAACTAAGATGCAATAATATTATATATTAATGATACTTCATCTTAGATAAATGTGCCTATAGTTGATGTTTATCATCGAACTAAAGATAGATCATCCATACATTGTTGAGCTAATATAGAAGATTGTCATAGTTTATAGTCAGAAATGATTTTAGAATATAATTAATGTACAAATGATAATTCTTTCACTTTCTCATCATCCAAATATATCTTTTGATAAGCAGATCTATAAATAAATAATTGTTGACATTGTTTTTATGTATGTCTTGATTTTTCAGGACATGAATTGTAAATATTAACTTTCAAGTTTGTACTGGATTTATATAGGAATCTTTTATTTGTGACAATATTGATAAGTATTATCTGTACAATCTAATGTTATAAAAAGATTAAAAGTTTGTAAATCAGTTGTCTAATATCGATTCGGAATTTTGCATTCTTCTGTAATATTCTACAAGTAAACGTTAATCAATTAAAATACTTTATCAGTAAATATCGATAAAAACGAACCTTGCTCGAATACACATTCGACTGTTCTGTACATAACCTAACAAAGAATGTGAATTTCAGTTGATTATCAATTAATCGAACAATAAAACTAGATCAGCAACTCACTACAAACAGGTAATAGTCGTGCAAAATACCTAGACGATTAATATTTTCTTGCAAATAATGGTTAAAAACAACTAAATTTTATCGATAATAATGATAATGGTAAATATTTGCTTGTCGCTCATTGGTATATATATATAAATTTAAAAAAAAATGTTTACAATCACTCAGACAGTCAAAAGCCTTTTTAATAGAAAATCATCATAGACATATACAAAACACTTCTTAATCTATAACAAATACACAATTTGATGTCTTCATCAGAAATATTCATATTCTAATCATACTTCTGGAATCAATAAACTTTAAAAATATAGAATAGTTCGGTACATTATTTTTTTATTCTATATTTAATTATAAGCATGTCATAAAAAAACAATAAATATAAACGATTCTTTCCATATAATCAACATAGACAATTCCATCTATTGACGTCATGATGTTAATATATATTCATAGAGTATTTGTCATTCATACGTCGTTTTTTTTTTATTGAACAGATTGTCATCTAGTCAGAATAAGGAGAAGAAAAAAAAGATTTAGATCAATATTTAAATAAATATACACCCCTTAACTCGTGCTACGCTATAAAGAATAATAGTACATGATTATTTTATGCTAAAAAATGACTACAACTATAGACCAAACTAAACCTTTAGTTTTTTGTCTTGATAAATCAACGAATTCAAATTTAAAACGATGTCTTTTTAATTTTACGACAAGATTTTTTGCCGATGGTAAATATTTATTGAAAAGTATTGTATTAAATGAAAAAAGTGAATTTGTGCCATTAGCACTTATTCTTAATGGTGATTATAATTCTGTTCAAGAAATTCTTTCGAAACAAAAAAATTCTTCAATAAAAATTTTTATTTTTTGTCAAAATTTTAATCGACAAATTTATGAACCATTTATGAAAGAATCAAATTCATCGACTCATATTATTGGATTATTTACAACAATCGAAGATTTACAAGATACACTTGAAAATATTTTAATTAAACAAGTTCATAATCGACAACTTATTCGTTTTATTACAGATAATTTAGAAACATATTTATGGTATGAATTTTTAAAACAAACATCAATGAATATCGATACAGTTATATCAAAACAATCTATTGATATACCAATTATAAATAGACAAATGGAATATAATCCATTCATAACTTTATATACTCTTCGTTCATCGATACGTAATCTTGTACAAAAAACAAGTGCAAATAAAAAGATTTTTTATGGAAGTGTTATAAAAAAGAATTTAATTGAAAAATTAGAATCAAATGTAAATAATCTTATTTCATTTAATTCATTTATTCATCTTCAAGGACATACTAGAACAGTTGATGCACGTCATCAATCACTTCAATGTTGTTCTCGTTGTAATGATGAAGTTTCAATAATATTTGAACTTGAATTAGCTGATCAACCAACATTTAAAATTATTCGAGTTTTTAATTCAAATGATAAAAATAATCTATGGATTGTACAATTAGTTGGTACAAATGAATGTGTTAAATTATCGAAACAATTTTCATATACGAAGCGTACAACAAGTTCTTTATGTCAATGGCAACAATCGGAAATCTTATTTGGACATATTTTACTTGCAATGAATGAAATAGATGAAGCTTATAATTTTTTTTTTCAAATACTTATTAATCAATATGATCAACTTAGTAAAATTTTTACAACAGCTAATAAATTATGGATAGAAGAACAAAAATATAATGAAGCTATTGATCAAATTGCAACAGAATTTCAACAAATTAAATCTATAACTTCAACAAATAAAACGACAACTAGAGGACCAGACGAAATAACTTATTTAGAATCAGAATTTGATTCAACATGGGAAACACCAATTGCATTGGAAGATGGAAAGAAAATTAATGATCTTTTACCGCCAATATCCTATCGAGTTGATCATATATTATCCAAAGAAAGTATACCAAAATTATCAACGACAACAACATCAACACGACGACGTTGTACATTATTCTAATTCTTATTTTCTTTATTATGTACTTAAAAGTTTTGTCAGTATTTATATACATATAATTTTATGACAGATGGTCAGTCAAACTGATACATTTTTTTCTTTCTGTATCATATAGCATTTGCTTTATATAATGTTAGTTGAATAGTATAATTAAATACGTATTCTAATCGAAAAAAAACAATTTTTACATGATCAATGTTGAAAATTCATTCATAAACAGTGCATAGAAATAGAATATTTGAAAATAAACTTGACTTTTTCTTAATGTCCAGTGTAAATCGAAAAAATTTATTACATAAGAATTCTTGTTTTTGCATTTGATTTTGATGTCTTATAAATGAGTGTAGAAATATTCTGCAAATTATAATGTTTTTAAAAAATCATCGTCTGCTTGATTTTATACATATATTTTTAATTGTATTGACAAAAGGTTTATATATCACCTATGAGTTAGCATTAATTACAAGAAAAAAAAATATAAGAAATCGATCTCATTTTGTATCATCCAACAAAAACCCTAGATAAATAATGTGTGAGTAATAATGGAATAGTTTCTGTATGACTCACACTTACATAGTTATGGTGCAATACTTTTTTTTCTTTCTACATGTGTCAGTGAGAAACAAAAAAAAATATTGTGCTGTCTCAGTCACTTTTTATTCGATCGCATCTACCTTGATGATACATTTCTTTATGTATTTTTAACATAAACAACAATACATAAAAATCTTTGAAGGTTGATTTTGTATTATAATGGTAAATTTCAATTGGATTATAATTATAATCAGTATTTTATGTATATCTACAAATGCTGAATTGGATAACAATTCTCATAATTTACCAAAATCAATAAGTGAACTTAAACAACATTATGATGTTGTTAATAATTTAGAAAAACGTGGTATTTTAAATTCCGATGTTGCTATTCAAGAAAAACGATTATATATTGAATCTGCATCGAAAATTGTTGGAAGTAAAGAATTGTTAACTGAAGAAGAATTTCTTACTTGGCAGCAACGACAACTGATTGTATCGTTTTCAAATATAATAGCTATTTTAGCTGGAATTATTGTAATTATTGCATTATCAATATTAGTAGGTATTTTCATAGTACCAATATTAATTCATGTACCAGTTATTATTTGGGAAATATTATTTTATATCATATCCATTTTTTTAATGATATTTATAAGTAATTCATGGTTAATATTCTTAGGTTGCCTTACATTTGTAGCAACATTATCATTTACAATAACATACCATTTTTCAAGAGAAAAATATGCTGGTTTAGTCGCATCTTGGATATGTTTTCTTGTTTGGACATTTGTTGCTCTATATCAACAACATCGAGAAGCTGGTTATTTAGCTGTTATGGCTTTAGAATCTGCATTAGGTTTTGTAATATTTGTTGGACAATTAGTTATTGTAATTGGTTTTCAAAATGAAAAAATTATTCCAAGTGCTACCATAGCTTCATTTATTTTACTTCTTATTGGTTGTATTTTACATATTCAACAACGATCAAATATATTAACAATACCATTTACTCGACCATTATTACTTTTAGGTACATTTGTTTATTTTATTGGAATGCTTATTCTTACATCTCGTTTGTATGATGAGTGGCGAGAAAAAAAATATATTTTTTGGATATTACAAATCATTACATTTTTCAGTGGACTAGCAACAATGTTTTTCGGTCCGATGCTTGAAATACCATTTATTCAAGCAGTTGGTGGAACAATGTTTGTTATATGGTTATTAGAAAAATATGTTGAATTTGCACCATGGAAAGATACATTTACAGTTGTTTTGAGTTTATTAGGTTTTGGAATATTATTATATGGGTTTGCATATTTTTTACAAACAAATCCTCAATATTTTATTTTTCATAGTTATTCTTCGAAATAAAAAACTTTATATTTTGTTCTTTTAATCTTATATGTTTAATAAATTAATTAATAAAAATTTCTAATACTCATCATGTCCAAGAGAAAAATAGTCAATAGAAAAAATGATGTTAGTCTCAACATCCTTTATACTAATAAGTCTTTTTTTATTAATTACTAAACTAGGAACACGATAAATTAATAGAAAGTTCCTATTTTATAAATTTGGAAGAATAATTCTGTAAAAAACAATAGAATTGTTTAGACTACAATCAATCTTTGATAAATATAATACGTAAATTTATAGATTTGCATATTTCACGCGTATCAAATGAGCAGTTTCTTCTCAATGAATCGAAAAGTTTTGATTGAAATTAATTTATTCATTACATTTCGCTCAATAAGTGCATTCAGTTTGCAACTATTTATTCATCAAATAATATAATAGCCTATTCAATAGCTCAACTTTTGTTCTTATTTATCTAACAATTAAATCTATCCTTCGATTAACATATTGACTTATTATCTTTATGAATTATATTGGTAAGAATCATACAAAATTTATTATTAATAGATCAACTATTAATAGTGATTCAATTCCTTATATAACTATCTATGAAATGATGAATCATCTCTCTAATGAGTATACTACATCCATGATTTAATTAACAATGTAAAATAAGAGGTACTGAAGATTATTCAAAATCTCTATACATAGTAATTATAAAATTCGATTATAGATATCGTAAACAAACTGATCCATATATGATAATCAGTGTTTAATTAAAATAACTGGATCAATATTTTGTATTATTCTGTTTTCTTTATAAATTACTCAAAATCATATAATTTGTTTTCCTATGAATTAGAAAGTTAATAATAGAAAAATGACTCATCTGTTTTCTACTTACCTTGCTATGGCGTAATTACTTGACGTATACACACAATCTACTTTCTTTTCTAATTATATAAGAACATGGCATGTTGTCTTTTGGATGCTCGTAGTAGTCGTTACTTACCAAAACAATTAGCTTCTACAACACAAAATTATGAAACAGAACATTTCTTTTTTAATTATGATACCAACTCACTCGATTGTAAACTTCTTACAACAAATATCTATTATCCATACTTTGAAAATATTTATCCATTTCTTATTAATGAATATGAATTAACTGATGATATGTTAAATGTAATTAAATCATATACAAATAGTCAAACAAATGAATCTTATAAGAAAACAAATCTCAATTTACTTAGTGCGAATTTCGATGATATCGATTGGATATATGTTAATAAACTTCGATCATTAATTCGTAATCTAGTTAAAATAAATCTAAAACCTATTTATTATCGTGGTTTAAATCTAAGTGATAATGAAATTAAATATTATATTGAAAAACAAAATAGCTATTATTATACAAATTCATTTTTATCATTTACAATTGATCGTTTATTAATTTATCCTGGAAATGCTATATTAATACTAAAAACAGAAACATCAAGTAAAAAAGCAAAGAAAAATCTGGCTAATATATGGAAATGGAGTACATTTAGTGACGAGAAAGAAGCACTTTTATGTGTCGGAACAAAATTAAGAATTATAAGTGTTCATTATTATGGTTGTAAATGGGAAATCGAAGTTGAATTAATGGAAGATGATCAAGAAGAAAGTTGAATGATTTATGGTATGAAAATATTTTAGAGTGAGACGATGAACTGAAATTGTAAAACATATCAATATTTTTTTTTAACTTGCTCTATTTATTATTAAGTGCGTACAATGGGTATTATAAGTATTCATAGGTGTTTGATAACTATGATCAATTATAATATAAGTATATGCACAAGCAAATAGTAATATAATCGATTTGATGTGGATAGAAAATCAAGCCATTTCAGAAGCAGACATTGATGTCTTTCTCGAAATTGTTTACCTCGTTTCATTTGAAAAATAAAAGACCTAATCGATCATCTATAGCCTATGAAATAATTCCCAATAAAAGATATTGTTGTAAAAGAAGGAACGACTTAAATCAGATTCTTCTATTCTTCCTAATGTTTTCTTTAGCTATTTCGAAAAGGGCAGTGGTTTATGCTTGTGAACTTTAGAGAGCTGTAATCAAAATACTTTTTTTTGTATTGTTATGTGTTTCTTGGATTCTCAATAAAAACTCTCGCCATTTACGTGATTTATATTTTGAAATTTCAATTTTTACTTCTTGTGTTAAGACTCTTAACAATACTCTTGTCTTTTCATTTGTATTTCATATCTTTTTCACATGATAATCTTTGTTTTTTACTCTTTTCATTTCTTTTGGCTTCTAAACAAGATAAGGAGACAATGATGGATGGACTTTTCTTTTTCTTTTCATTTTATAAGTCTATTCTTTAGAAAATTAAGCAAGAAAGTGCATATAATTCGTATACCACACATCTACTCCTTGATTAACTCTATTCTGCAGAATTTCGACTGCAAACGCTACATGTATAATGCACTTTAAGGATCAACTTTAGGTTGATATGCAACCCGTGTCTGTCAATGAGAAGCACCTTTAGTGAGAGACAATAAAAGAGATAACACTATCTCCTTTCACTTGTGCCAAAATTACACGAGAATGAGTTTACGAAAGAATGTTGTTTGGTTTTTTTCTTTTTTTCTGCTGTTGCATCTACCACACAAATTAACATCAGAAAATCCTTGCATTTACAAATTAAATGGAAAAGGCGTAATCGATTTAACTAGCGTGGGTCATATAGATGGAACACCTGCATGGAAACGTATGACTCCTGAGATAAGTGACGGTCATGGTAATGATAATTATCACGTGTTTTCATACATAGAAAATCTCATTGTTTCTAGTATATTCGTACAATCCGTGCCATTCGTTTACTGAAACTGCATGTATAGATGTTGCTGGCTGTCAAGGTAAAGGGCAATAACACTACATTTTTAATTAGTACTTCTGATAATTTCACCTAGTTTACGCCACTGACGAAAAAGTAGCTTATTCATTAGGCCCTCAAAGTAGTGTTCAATGGAAGACGACATCGGGTCAAGATATTCCGACTCTGGTCTACATATCGGATGAAAAAAGATCATTATCTGTTGATCTTCGTTGTTTGAATTCAGGAGAGCCTGACAAGCTAGAAGTGCACGGACATCATCCTGTTAGTGGTTTGTATACCATGACATTATCATCGAAGTGCGTATGTTGGGATGGTTGTAAAGGTCAGAAACCGATTCTGTATTGTAAACCAGTCTAATATTATTTTGTCTAGATAGTTCGAAGCCGAAAGGACTGAGTGGAGGATCACTTATCATCATTTTGTTCGTGGTTCTTGTAGTTATCTATTTAGTTGTCTTCATGTCTTATAACAAATTTAGACGACAAGCAACTGGTATTGACATCTTTCCACATCGTACATTTTGGACTTCACTACTTGGTTACTCAGTAGATGGAGTGATATTTGTATTTCGAAAAGCAACTTGCAAATCAATAGGATACAACACTATCCCATAGACACAACTTATCAAATACTGCAGTGCGCATGTTTACAAATTTGCTTTGTCTCTTACAAATATTTTATTGAAAGAATGAATTTAATAAAACAAAAGTAAAATGTTGAGGATGTGTAATATTTATTCTAACTATATCCTTTTCTAATTATGCATTGATCAAAATATTTTTTTAGTTTATACTCTTAGGCATTCTCTGCTATTGTCTTCAAACTGGAACATCCTGTACTTAAGCTGTAATTCTTATAGTCGTCAATATTCTCTTTTTAAAATAGTTTCGATACCGACCATTGATCTGACTCTACCAGCAATTTTAGAATGTTATTATGATGATTACAAAGTGTAAAGTTGGTGATTTTCGTCACTCACGAAATGAAATGAAAACCGATATCTGAAAGTTTTCTATTAAGTTTATTGAAATATTAAAATTTGTCGAGTTTTTATAGTAGAACAATCACTGGTTTACAAATAAATATTTAGAATCGATGACTGATTAATGCTAATAACATTGAGTTTTACACAATGTACATATTATTAATTAATAATTGCTGTGTATCCTTGACAACTAAAAGATGAAAACTGATATATTGCACAAGATTCTGTTGCCAACAGGAGACGCTTAAAAATCTGATATATATAATTTCATATAGTTTCTTTTTTGTCTTTTAAAATGTGAAAAAGACACTACGTTCTAATTTATTTCTATTGGAATTTGTTGAAATAATACTTACTTTCTGTTCTTTTAAATTAGGCAATTATTTATTATCACAAACTTATAATAAAACTCAAATAATTTCGTCTTAACGATTATTCTTTTCTTACCATACCATAGAAATGTTTAAAAAAGACGTTATAGTCTTAGGAATATACAGTATCACTTCCACTAATATAGACATATCTGATATATCTATAAATCCCGATGTTTCAACATGAGTATTTTATTGAAGTTTTACATTCGTCAACAATTAAAGTTCTTTAATATATCAATGTGCAAACATTGTCATTCAAATTTCATTATAAGTGTAACACTACTAAATTATATTTTATAAGATTAAAGGAATAGTAGATAACTATTACTCGTAAATGCTCATTTTTGTATAATTTCTTGTAACAATAAAATAATTGAAGAAGCTAGAGATATTTTTTAATAGTAAGAACCATCTATAAAATGGAACAGCATATCATATAATTTGTGAATAAATTATTTCTCATACATTCACTAGTATTTATAACATTCGAATTTATTAATCACATCATCAAACTTTTATATTCAGATTCCAATCAATAAAGAAGACATAATTGTGCAATGATATCTTCTTGAATGACAACATTTTTCTACAATCGAATAATATAATTTGGTGTATGATATGTAAGGTAACAGTTGTTACCTATAATGACTTTATCTCAAACTAAAAGATATATTTTATGAAATATGAATTAACAAGGGTACTGAAGTGTTATGGCTAGAAATTTGTACACATCCATCACCTCTTTCCCCCTCCTATAGACGTGACAGATATTATTAATTCTCATTAACTGATGCTACAGCAGCTACTTCGTGTTTCACACTTTAACCTCTCGAGAACTGCGCTGACACCTATTCTTTTCTTCTTATTAATGAATGAATTTTTCTGAATGCCAAAGAGTATTATAATAAATAACAAAAGAAAAAAAAAACTTATTTTATTCATTTATATAACATATAACAAAAAAGAATATTTTTTTCTTGAACCTAAAATTTTTTCTGAACCACAAAATAAAATAATAAAATTACTCCAAAATAACAGTGTGAATAATAGTATTGTTAATTTTTAAATCTTCAATTGAATTTGTTTCATTTTTAATTTGTTCAACAAATGGATAAATATCTTTTAGAAGATCGCATTTAACTGTTACCTGTTCTTGTTCACTTTCATTTCTGTGATTCCAAAAATGACTTCTACATTCATCAAAAGGATCGAATTGAAACATACGTTTCGGTCTTTTTGGTGCAGGCAACCACAATTGCCCGAGTGGTCTTAGAATTAATGGAAAAATATGTCTTTTTCGAATTTTTACATCGGGTGTTTGTAAACTCCATAAAGAAGATTGATCTTGTTCATAGAAGAAAATATCAACAAATGGAAAATGCCATTCAAATTCTCCAGCAATTGGAGTATTAATATAAAATAATTTATAAAAGTCTTGTTCTGATGTATCACCTTCATGTAAAACTAATCCAATTAATGTTTTATTCACTTCTTTGAATACATTAGTAAAAAGTTTTCGTTGTCGATTTGGTATTATTATATCAACATCATCATCCCAAGGTATAATATCATGATGTCTTATAGATCCTAGTAATGTTCCTTCATATAAAAAATAAGTAATATTATGTTGACGACATAATCTATCAATTATTGTTAATAAATGCATTACTAATGTATGTTCACAGCGAGAGAATGCACGAGGAAGAATAAGTGATGATTTCCAATGAGAATAACGATAAGGAAAACGAAATGTTTTTGTAGAAGGATACGAAGGTGGAAAAATTATTGGTGATTGAGGTAAATTCTGTTCACTATCATAACGATGTGACAACTCTAAACATAATATAGATAGATCATCAACAGCAGTGCTTTCATCTTCTGTATTTGAAAAATTATTAAATAAAATCGTTGGTTTAGTGGAGTTTCTTAATGATGGACATGATAAACATTTTGTATGTCGAATAGATGAATAATTTATTAATGTAATAGTTAATACAAACGCGAACAGAATTAAGATAGGTTGGTGTAGTGTCTTAGACCGACGATACATAATTTTTAATTTTGTTAAATTTAATATTAGTGTGTGGCAGATGTTATTATCATTAATGTTGTATTGGTTATATTCATATGATTTCTTTTCTGTTTTCTTTGTGTAATGAAGAAAGCAAAACGCATTAGGGAATTACACTGAAATCGAATGAAGAAAATATGATCAGTTATATCAGTTTATACTTTTCGTTCCATTTCTATCATTTTTGTTAGAATTGCATTTTCAATGTTCAATAAACTATTTAGTACAAATGTTATTTATCAAACTAATCTATATATTAAAGAATTTAATGTTATAATTTGTAATACTATGGATTTCGTATGAAAAGAAACAAACAAGAAGCTGAATAATGATAATTACAAAAGTACCACTAATTAGTCTCTTGTGAACTTTGAAGGAAGTCAAATCATGATTGTATTCTTATTTTTGTTTCTGAATAAATAGGAAGAAAGTGAATGAGCAAAACAAAGTATTAATATTCGAAATAATTATTTTTCTTCAGCAGCTGCTGAAATGTCTTTCGAACAACAACAACTACATATAGTATCTTTACATAATCACTTAGCAAGATACAAAACATTGTCATGATTCAAACAGTAAAAAAAGAAATACTTCATATAAGAAAAATTAAATCAACAATTATTAAATGATAAAAAAAAAACATGAAGACAGACATAATAGCCATCATTACATGAAAATATCTTCACAAGCATCTCAAGATTCAAGAATTGTTCATTCATAATCGAGAACAAGTTTTAATTAAATATCTCCTTCAAAACTGAAAAGAAAAAATATTCTATATATAATAATCAACTTTCTTCTTCATTAATCCAAAGGACTTCAAAGTAAATTATTCTGATGCTATATAAAATATAATTATCAATATAAAATTGAAAATGATATTTACGGGTTCAGATGATAATTAGGATGACATTTTGTTGTCTATATATTTGAAATGATAGTAGATGTGGATAATAGACAAGAAAGTTATTTTTCTCTTTAAAAACCATATGTCGCTCCCATTCAATATATCATATAACTACTTTTGAACCATTTTTGCTGAGAAAAATACAAAAACAGTTGAGACCGGGTGTAATCACACCCTCGCATCCTTGATCCTGGAATAAATACACAAGCCCATTTATTTCATATGACTCTCTCTACAGTTGAGAGAATAGAAACTTATTTTATTCATTTATATCGATACAAGCATCACAAATTTTTTATATAACATTCAACAAAAAAAAATTGATTGCTTTTAAACTCAGCTGAATATTGTTCTGAATCATTAAGCACCATAACGAAGCTTCTTAAAGATAACTGTATGAATAACAGTATTTTTAATTTTTAAAATTTCAACCCAATCTGTTTTATTATTTTGTACAACAAATGGATAAATACGTTTCAGACGATCGCATTTAACTGTAACCTCTTCTTGTCCACTTTCAATTCTATGATTCCAATAATGAATTCTACATTCGTCAAAAGGATCAAATCCAAAGAAACGTTTAGGTTTTCTTGGTGCAGGTAGCCATAACTGTCCAAGTGGTCTTAGAACTAATGGGAAAACATCTCTATCACGAAATTTGTCGTCAGGATAATTTATATTCCATAAATAAGACTGTCTTTGTTCATAAAAGAAAATATCAACAAATGGAAAATGCCATTTATATCCTCCAGCACTTGGAGTATTAATATAAAATAATTTATAATAGTCCTGTTCTGATGTATCACCTTCACGTAAAACTAATCCAATTAATGTTTCATTTACTTCTTTGAATACATCAGTAAAACGTTTTCGTTGTCGATTTGGTATCATTATATCAACATCATCATCCCAAGGTATAATATCATGATGTCTTATAGATCCTAGTAATGTTCCTTCAGACATAAAATATGTAATATTATGTTGACGACATAGTCGATCAATTATTGTTAATAAATGCATTGCTAACGTATGTTCACAGCGAGAGAATGCACGAGGAAGAATAGGTGATGATTTCCAATGAGAATAACGATAAGGAAAACGAAATGTTTTTGAAGAGGGATATGAAGGTGGAAAAATTACAGGTGATTGACGTAAGTTTTGTTCATTATTAAGACGATGTGTCAATTCTAAACATAATATAGAAAGATCATCAACAGCAGTGCTTTCATCTTCTGTATTTGAAAAATTATTAGAGAAAATCATTGGTCTAGTTGAATTTATTAATGTTGGACATGATGAACATTTTGTATGTCGAATAGATGAATAATTTATTAATATAATAATTAATACAAAAACGAACAGAATTAAGATAGGTTGGTGTAGTGTCTTAGACCGACGATACATAATTTTTAATTTTGTTAAATTTAACATTAGAGTGTGGCAGATGTTATTATCGTTAATGTTTTATCGATTGTATCGATTCAATTTCTTTTGTAGTTTTTTTTGTGTAATAAAGAAAGCAAAAATGCATTAGGGAATCACACTGAAATCAAATATTAAAAAAATGTGGTTAGTTATATCAGTTTATACTTTTCGTTCCATTTCTATCATTTTTGTTAGAATTACATTGTTAATGTTGAATAAAATATTTAGTATAAGTAATAAAAAATCATATCTACTGATATGAATATTATTTATCAAACTAATCTATATTTCATAGAATTCAATATATTATAATTTGTAATATTTTTGATTTTGAATAAAAATAAATTGTTCTCATTAATAGGAAGAAAGTGAATGAGCAAAACAAATTAATGAAACAAATTTTTAATTGCAGCCCAACAATTGAAGAAATTATGTGGAGCGTTGTAATTAGATGCGTTATTTTCTATTTATCTATCATTTTTAAAATAAGATCATTATACTGGCTTGATCAATATATATTAGTATATTCTCATCCAGGTCAAAAAAATCTTGTTATTCAATTATTCAACATGATCTTGATGAACAATTATGAAAACAAAGTGTAAGAAATAAATTCTTGTCATCTAATATTTAATTATAAATTCATTGATTTCTATAGAAATAATGAAATATAATTGTCGTGGTTATATAATTAGTGGACTACGTGAAGGTAAAGATAAAAATCAAGCTTGCTGTATTGTTACTGATTCAACAGAATATTTACTAAAAAATAAACTAAGATATATAATAGATGTTGGCTTTGTTTAATTAATTGAAACGATAAATTTGTTATTGATTTTTTCAAGTTCATAGTTCTGCAACTGATCTTATTGTTATATGTTCAGCGCTTGGTTGTGACATGTTTCATTATGTATTTTCAACTTGAACAACTGTATATATAGATTTTCTTCTGATTCTATATAAAGTTTGAAAATTGTTTTTTAAATAAACAGATTTATAAAAAAGATCATCGTTGAATTGATGATAAATGTGTATGTTCTATTTATCAATTTGGTTATACACGATTATATCGTAATACAACTATTAAAAAAGAACAAAATGCATATCATGTTGCGGAAAATCAAGTATCAAAAGGAATAGATTCTTTTTTTTGTTGCTTAATTTTTCCTCTAGTATCAAAACGCAAATATATATTAATGAGAAATTATGTGTCGATGATGATCTTCCGCGCTTGATGACCTGATAATTTGCTACTTCGAATAAGTCAAAGTATGTTGAATATTAATGATTAAAATAAATTAATTTCAAATTAAACATCTTTCTCATCAATGATAATAATAGTTCAAGTTTTGAAATAAGGGTGACTAAATCCGCTGTACATAAATACTGATATATTAATATTATACAATAATTAAAGTTTTTGTCTAATAAAATAATTCGCTAACATCCATATCTTAGTATTTTTCTGATTAAATGATATCTATTCAAATATATTGATATAAAGATATATTATGAAGAAAAGAATTTTTTATCTATATACATTTGTTTATTTATAAAATTAATATTAAATTGATGGATATATTGAAATTTGATCGTTATATTAATAAAAACGTGTATATAATATTATATAGAATATAACTTAGTTACACATATGTGACTGTTTAATAATGAAATATAGTTGACTTTCTTCCATTTTTGTTATTTATTATATTATTTCGGACGGAACAAAATCATTGATCTGAACGAAAATATCAAGACAATACCATCAAATCAATAAACAAAATCAAACCAGATGACATCATCGAACATCTCTTGTAAAGGATAATATGCTCTATATTGTTGATTAAGAAGTTCAAAATTTGCAAAACTTTAATGATTTTTTTCTTCAACAACTGCTGAAATGTCCTTCGAACAACAAAATCCACATATACTTCCTTTATGTAATCATTTAGCAAGAAAAAAACATTGTCATGATTCAAACAGTAAAAAAAGAAATACTTCTTATAAGGAAAAGTGAATCAACAATTATTAAATAATGAAAAAAACACAACGACAGAACTAAATAATAATCATCATCTCAAGATTCAAACACTGTTCATTTAGAATCGAGAACAAGTTTTAATCAAATATCTCCTTCAAAATTCAAAAGAATAAATATTCTATATATAATAATCAACTTTCTTCTGAATTAATCTAAAGGATTTCAAAGTAAATTATTCTAATGCTATATAAAATTGAAAATGATATCTACGGGTTAAATTAGTGATCAGATAACATTTTGTTGTCTATATATTTGAAATGATAGTAGATGTGGATCATAGACAAGAAAGTTATTTTTCTCTTTAAAAACCATATGTCGCTCCCATTCAACATATCATCTACTGATTTTTGAACCATTTTTGACGAGAAAAATACAAAAATAGTTGAGACTGGGTGTAATCACATCTTCGCATCCTTGATCCTGGAATAAATACACAAGCCCATTTATTTCATATGACTCTCTCTACAGTTGAGAGAATAAAAACTTATTTTATTCATTTATATCAATACAAGCATCACAAATTTTTTATGTAACATTCAACAAAAAAAATGGTTTCTTTATAACTTAGCTGAACATTGTTCTGAACCATTAAGCACCATACCGAACCTTCTTAAAGATAACTGTATGAATAATAGTATTGTTTATTTTCAAAATTTCAACGGAGTCTTTTTTATTATTTTGTTCAACAAATGGATAAATATCTCTTAAAAGATTGCATTTAGCTGTTACTACTTTTTGCCCTTTTTCAATTCTATGATTCCAATAATGAATTCTACATTCATCAAAAGGATCAAATCCAAAGAAACGTTTAGGGTTTCTTGGTGCAGGTAGCCATAATTGTCCAAGTGGTCTTAGAACTAATGGAAAAACATGTCTTTTTCGAATTTTTGTATCAGGTGTTTGTAAACTCCATAAAGAAGATTGATCTTGTTCATAAAAGAAAATATCAACAAATGGAAATTGCCATTTATATCCTCCAGCACTTGGAGTATTTTTATAAGATAATTTATAGTACTTTTTTCCTGGTATATTAGCATAATTTATAACTAATCCAATCAATGTTTTGTTTATCTGTTTGAACGCATCAGCAAAAATTTCACGTTGTTGATATGGTACCATTATATCAACATCATCATCCCAAGGTATAATATCATGATGTCTTACAGAACCTAATAATGTTCCTTCATATATGAAATAAGTAATATTATGTTGACGACATAGTCGATCAATTATTGTTAATAAATGCATTGCTAACGTATGTTCACAGCGAGAGAATGCACGAGGAAGAATAGGTGATGATTTCCAATGAGAATAACGATAAGGAAAACGAAACGTTTTTGAAGAAGAAAATGAAGGTGGAAATATCATAGATGTTTGAGGTAAGTTTTGTTCACTATCAAAACGATGTGCCAACTCTAAACATAATATAGATAGATCATCAACAGCAGTACTTTCATCTTCTGTATTTGAATAATTATTAGAGAAAATCATTGGTCTAGTTGAATTTATTAATGTTGGACATGATGAACATTTTGTATGTCGAATAGATGAATAATTTATTAATATAATAATTAATGCACAAACGAATAGAATTAAGATAAGTTGGTGTAGTGTCTTAGACCGACGATACATTTTTTTTAATTTCTTTGAATTTAACATTAGAGTGTGGCAGATGTTATTATCATCAATGTTTTATCGATTTGATTTTTTTTTTAGTTTTTTTTGTGTAGTAAAGAAAGCAAAAATGCATTAGGGAATCACACTGAAATCAAATGTCGAAAATGTAATTAGTTATATCAGTTTGTATTTTTCGTTCTATTTATATCATTTTTGTTAGAATTACATTTTTGAGACTAAAAAACTATTTAGTATATGTAATAAAAAATCATATCTACTGATATGAATATTATTCATCAAACTAATCTATATTTTAAAGAACTCAATATATTATAATTTGTAATATTATCGATTTCGAATGAAAAGAAACAAACAAGAAGCTTAATAACTATAGTTATAAAAGTACCACTACTTAGAATAAAAATAAATTGTTCATAATCATAGGAAGAAAGTGAATAAGCAAAATAAATGAATGAATCGAAGTATTAATATTCGAAATAATTGTTTTTTCTTCAGCAGCTGCTGAAATGTCGTTCGAACAACAAAAACTACATATACCATTTCTATGGATTATTTAGCAAGATAAAAAACGTTGTCATGATTCAAATATTGAAAAAGGTATACTTCGTATAAGAAATTAATAAATGATAAAAAATAACACGAAGACAGCAATAAATAATCATCATTATCACATGTAATTATCTTCACAATCATTTCAAAATTCAAACATAGTTCATTCACAATCGAGAATAAGCTCTAGTCAAATATCTCCTTGAAAATTGAAATGAAAAAATATTTTACTATATACATATGATCATAGAAAATTGAAAATGATATAGAGGGGTTAACGTGATAATTAGGATAACATTTTTTGTCTATATATTTGAAATGATAGTAGATTTGAATGATAGACAAGAAAATTATTTTTCTAGAGGGCGAGAGTATTGGTGAGGGTATTCTATCTCATTGGGAACCACATCCGACAACCTATTCATTTATATGTAGAAATAAACAAAACTGGACTTATATATATGTACATGTCAGAGATGAATATAGAATTCAATTTAAAAACATGAAGAAATAAATAAAATCTCTAGCTTTATAAAATAAATCAAAGAGGATTGTTTTTTTTAATTTTGTTTTTGATGATAATTATTATATATCTTTTGGTTTTATTGAATATATATATTTATATGTTCATTTTTTTGTATCTTATAAACTACTGGTCTATTACGAATTACCTTCTTTAAATTTTATTTTTGATATTGTTATTCGATCAAGTGCTTATACTAATTTTGTACCATTATATTAGTTTTAATACTGATACTTTTTTTGGATAAGTATGTTCGTTGGTATTTATTGTACACACGCAATAAGTATTGTTATGAGAACGTGAGAATTTAATAGAAGAATACCAGATAAGTAAATACGTGCCTGTATGTGTTAATAGATCGAAAATTAAATACTACACATTATTCTAAAATACTCACTTACACAGCACAGTCGAACAAGAAGAGACCATGTAAGTAAAACTATTGATATTCTTTATTTTCAAAGCATTTTCTCGACCTTTTTTTAAATTGAAGACTATATATTTAGAATTTAAAATGATGCAGAAGATAATTTAGCAATGCGAAAGCTTAAAAATTTTAACATAATGCCTTTTCTTTCTACTCAGATCAAAAACAACGACAACGTAAACGATCGCAAATGATATAAAACTGGTATAAAACGACGAAACCCAGCGTTTTCACGTCACCGTAATCCAGCGTCCCAGAAAACGGTAAAAATAGTTTGAAAATTAATGCAATAATACACCATTTTATAATCTTTCAGGTCGTTTAAGATGCTGCTTCTTTTCAATGGCAAGTAACGGCGAAGGCGACGAAAACAAGGATCTTTATCCATCAGTAAGTCGATTCATTTCTTGCTAATATTTTTTTGAGTAATAAAAATATTGGAATGAGCAATAATGAAAATACGATTAAGGAATAATTTTTAGATAATGAAAAGACTTTTCCTGAGAAATTTTTGTATAATTGTTTTTTCATTTAGTTTACTGTGTCGTGAATATAGTTCACAGGTATAAAAGGAATAATAAAAGACTAAGAGAGGTGATAAATAAATAAACATAGGAGAAAAAAGGGAAAAAACAGTAGAAAGCGAAGAAGTAGATAAGAAAAAGATGATAATAAACATAAACTTTTCAATTTTTTTAAAACAGGATGATTAGATAAACACGAGAAACTATGAAAGGAGTGATTATCGGCTATTTGTGATATCTCTCGCTTTACTTATCGATCTATCTTTGTTAGTTTGATTTAAATATAATTATTCCTAAGTTAAAGGTAGTTCTTTTTTTTAATGATTTATTTGTTCAAATATAAAATAATCTTATTCTTTTAGATTAAACAATTATTAGAAGAAAAACAGAAGCTGCAGGAACAGCTGGATCGAGAACTGGCTCAACTCTAGGCAGAAAATGCTGCAGCACGGGTTCAAAAAACTCAACAGGACATATTGGGCCTGGAAACAGAAATCGAAGAAGAAAAAGAGGCTCAAGACCACAAATAAAAGCAAGTGTAAAAGTCTAATATATAGACATAACAGCATATTTAGATATTTAATAAATCTTTTTTTCCTGAAACAAAATCAAACTAAATACAGAAGATTATTTTCTTTTATTCTTTGTTTTATTTGTTCGCCTGCATTTCGTACCTAAAACATAATCTATACTATTCCTGTGATTTTCTTATCTTGGTACCATTTTTATGATACTGTTTCATATATATTTTACAATTAGCTTCAACCTAATGAACAATAAAGTTAGACTTGTGACTCATATATCTTAGTATTCGAATATGAAAAAGAATGATCTCCAAATAAAAGATACTTTTCTTGAAACGGACAGTTCTTCTAAGAATGCTTGATCTATATCATTTAACATCGTTTCTGTGTGTGATATTAATAGCGAATGGATCAAAATTTTATTAAAGAATTTATTAACAAATATCTTTTAAACAGGGAAAATATAAATAAAAATCCTTTGCATGTGCTGTAATTGTGCGTATAGTAAATGATAAATTTTGTACGTTGGAACAATTACGACGAGTTACATCACGTGTAAAATTGTTTGTTACAGTTACTAAATTATTATATGAAATCTTAAGATCAATAAGATTTGGTAAATATGTATTAGTATCAACTAAGAATTGTTCCACGTAAATAGCACGTTGAAAACGAATTGATAAAGAAATAAGATGATGAAATTCAACAACTGAAGTCAATTGATCATTGCTTTCGTCGGTATTATTGATAATTCTATTATTCAAAACAGTTAAATGAGTGATAAATGGAAATGCACGAGCAATACGAAGAAAAAATTCATGTTTAAATGGATACTCCCTATCTGAAAGATATAAAATTCGAACATTTTTGCATACATCTCCTTGAAAACCATAACTGATCATATATATATAAGTCATATTGCATGGAAGTGAAAAGATATGACATTGAGCAGCATTATCTGGATAATGGCTTATATAACAATTGACTCGACCATATTGCCAATTAAGAAATGTACGAGAAATATCATTGTTTGATTGCATATACATATAATTACTCATAGATTTACTATGTGTCTTAATATTGAACATGAATATTTGAAGTCGAGGTAGATAAATGAGTATTTCATTTTTTAAATGAGTACCATCAATGAATGTTGATCGATGACTAACATCAAGACATAATTCTAATTCTTCCAAATATATCATTTGATGAATTAGAGGTAATATATAACTATTATATTCATTCGTTTCCGAATATGAACATAAAGAGAAACATTTCAGGTGAGTTACTGCAGTCTACAATAATATTGAATAATATGCATTAATATTTTTATATTAATTTATTTTCTTACCAAATTTTCTATAGATAATGATGGAGTATTGATTTGGTCAATTATAACATATAATTTATGTAGTTGAGAAAAACGACCATCAAGTATGCATAGACAATCATTAAATGATTTTACACTAATACTTAAACCAGCTAGACTTGCTGAATAATAAATCATCGAAGATAATGTATAGAGAGATATTAATGGACGCCCTTCAATACTATTTTGATTAAAATCAAGTTCGATAAGATTTGTAAATGTATGAAAAATACGTGGAAGTAATATTTCACGTAAATCAATGCGGGATGATGATGTAGATCCTTTTCTATCGATTGTGAGAATAAGATGTGTAATATTATTTTTAAAAATATTGACTAATGGTGACTCTTCTATAAAATAAATAATTTTTTATTTAAACAATAACCAGTGAACATATAAATCTTACCAGTGAAATGATGAAGTACAAAATCTGTATTAATTTTAGTAAAAATAAGTTTATGTAAACGAGGATACATAGTCGAAAGAAGAATGCGTTCTATAGAAAATGGTTCGAGAATGAGACATTCAATATATTGATGTATTTGAGGTAAAATATCCAAACAATATCGATCTATGATTAAATCAGGTAATGGACAATATTTATTGGTTTTTGAGTCTTTTTCTGCTAATTGTATAGAACGAGTGTAGACAAGAGCTCGTACCAGTTTATCAAATCGTTTATTAACACCAACAAAAGAATAGAGTACGTCAATATTATTAAGATTATTCCAAATTTTAATTATCATTTCGTCAGGAAGATCCATTATATGAACGAGTGAATGATTCATCGTGTTTGTCAAAAAATGGTACATGTATAGAATGAGAATGCTATTCATATAGCAAAGACAGAACAATAGAAATATTTGGCAGAGAAAATTTAATAATGAACCAATAAGAGATTATTCAAAAAAGACGTTCTCTTTTCTAAAAAGATGTCGCATGTATAAACTTACATAAAATTTAATATCATTTGATATTTTGATTTGAAGTTATTCTATAAATGAAAATGTTTTTTTTATCTAATTAGCTTTTGTATAGAGTTTTATATAGTATTTGTTTTACTCATAATAAAGGATTCTATTGAACCTTTTTATAAATGAATTATTCTTGTCATTAAATATTTGAGCATTCTTTTAAGACTTTATAGATCAGTAATTTGATTATTTACTATCGAAAATCGAGGATATTATAATAGTCGTCATTCATTAGATAAAAGACTACATTTGAAGAAGAACGTGTACAATACACACTATATCATATTCTTCTCAATAGCATAAATAAAATAGGTAAGAGTAACAATCATGGTCACAGTAACTACTCTCGCTCTATCAAGGAATACAGTATGAATAAGTATCGATATTTGATTGATAATTAAGAAAATAATTACAATAAAGTGTTTGATGATATGTAAAGACTTACTTGTATTAATTACAAGCCAATATATTAGCATTTATCGATTTTCATACAGCATCTAATGGTCAACATGGATTAAACAAAGCTAGTGATTATAATGGAACTCGAGTAACTTGTAAACCGTTACAAAATCTCGAAAAAAACAATAGAAAATGATTTTTTTCATCAAGCATCAGCATTAAAAGATATATGTTCTTGTTCAAAAAAATAATGATATTATAAAATATATTACAATTCTTGAAGAACGACAAAAAACTGTTGGTATTAAGCACAACACTATATTTGTAATAATCGATCAAAAAATAAATAAAATTATATTCATGGTAGCATGTATTCAGTTGTATTATCTATAATAATTATTATACAAGAAATAAAAACTGATTATTTGAACAATACATTTATTGTTACATTCAAAAAATGAATTTAATGTGACAGTCTAATAAAAAAAGAAATCAGAAGCCCCACCAAGTTTGTTTGTTAAAGAAAAATTAATTATACATACACCTTCTGAAATAAAATAATCAATCGTTTGTATCACTGCATTGTTTATCATCAGAGCTCACTTTTTTTTCTTTAAACTCTTTTTATTACTGTGATCATTTGGGTGATGTTATATCATTATTATATGCATTACTTTTACCACTTGTTATCATAAGTTGTGATCCTGTTCGATAAAGTAAATTTAAAACACCTGTTCGTTCAAATAAATCAATAAAACTACGAATATATTCTTTACTACGATCTTCCCAACGTTCCATAAATGTTTTTGATTCTTCTTCATATGTACGAAATTTCGATTTTACTGTATCAATTTTTGATTGAATTTCTAGTTTATTTTTTTTTATAAATCCAACATTTAAATCTTGAGCAGAATAACCACGAGTTAAATTTCGTCGAACATACATATCATAATCACGAACAATACGATTAATTAAATCAGTTGTTGAAATACCTTCAGTACGTTGAGTAGTAACAAACATACCGCGAGCCTAAAAATATACCAAATAACAAGAATTAATCATTTAGATTATCTTGTAAAAGGTTATTCATCAAGAAAATCAAAAGAATTTAGAAAAGTTTGTCGTGGTGAAAGATTATTTTTAGATTAATATCTGTTCTTTGATCAGAAGTAATTTTTGACGAAGTCAGAGAAAAGCTCAAAAGTTTTAGAGTTATGATTGTTTCATTAGACTTTGACCTTTATCAAGCTATTCATAACAAAAAATTTCAGTGTAGCCAGTCCATAGCTGGGGATGTACAGAACCCGAGATAAAAAGGAGATTCTCGGTCTTGTTACCTTATTCTATAGTATATGAACATTTTTTGATATTCTAAATTTATTCGTTTTCAGGTGAGTACTGCGTTAGTTCATTTTGTTTTGTGGTAATTTTTCATGAATCTCAAATATAATTCAGCGATAATAATTGTTATAAAATAGCGAAGTTGTTTTTATCTTTTTGACACTATATTTGCTGACCTCATCAAAATCTATTTCTAGATAAATCTTTAACGTACCATGAAGATTAAACTTGACATAATTCTTTATTAATTTTTCATCTTTATAAAGATATAGACAAAACGTTTTTAACTACTCAAATCTTTTTTTTTATCGCTATTCTATCTCATATCGTTAAGGATCACTCTTGGATTTAATAAGTTAATCTACACCACAGCTCGTACTTGGAATAACAATTCGTATTAATATAAAAATGCTTAGAATGGATCTCAGAAAACGATATGCTTATCAATATTACAGAAAGTTGTGCAAAGTATTCTATACAGATCTGCTATTACTCACTTTAAGAAGTTTATAAACATCATCACGGCCTTCAGATTCATATGGTATTTCATCATGAGCCACAAAATCAATTTTATTTTTTGTTAAAAACTCATCATCAATTACCCATGGTGTATCTGTTACAACTTCATCAACATATTGACAATGTCGAACACTTTCATAACGTTCAGCTTCATCCATAACTGTTCTACCTTTTTTACTATGTGTTACCTCATCATTGCAAACACCAACAAGTAAATAGATATTTTTAAATAAATTTTTTGCTTGCATCAATTGTCGAGTATGACCAGGATGAAGTAAATCATACACACCTAAACATTAAAAAACAAAAATAATTATCAAAACAAAGATTCAATTTGATTTACCATCAACAAGTATACGTATTTTTCGTGGTGCTGTACCATTTTTAGCCATATCTAAAGTAATTTTAATTGAATAATCACAATTTTCGCGTTCTTTTATAGCTTTTTCTTCATAACATAAAGGTGCGGGACCTATGCCGCGATCTACATTAGTATTAGTGGTTCCACTATTAACTTTCTTTTCTGATTCTTTCGATGATGTTGATTGTTCACGATTACTATCTTTTACTATAGGATTATTCCTATTTGTAGTAGCAGAACTTTCTGTTGATGCATCATGCCATTCGTCAACACCACGAGCAGTTCGTATTGATCGATCACCCATACAGTCTTCAATGCATGAATTTAAAAGAAATCTGAAATACAGAACATTTTTCTTTTAATTAGAAAAAGTATAGAAGAAATTTGTTTTGAAATGAAGTAACATGAAGAAAGGAAATTGTTTTTCATTACGATATTTTATTTAGTTTATAATCCGTCCTCGTAGTACTGAGTTGAAAATGTCTTGAGTAGTGGCGGAGCCGGGTTGTGTGTGTGGAGGTTCCACCCTCCTCTCCTGAGGACCTTTGAGCTCTTTCTGTCAAGAATTTTAAAAGTATTTTTCCGATACAAAAATGTATTAGTCTTTGCAGTGAAATATTTCAAGTTACGGACATCCCTTTTCTGGACTCAAAGTTTTGAATTTTTTTGACCTTGTCATATATTTTTAAATGCTCTCTATCCAATGAGCCCATTATCGGTACTAAAACCCTACTTCTTATTCACTAAATATTTCAAAAAAAATTACGATGTTTCGCTTGAAAAATCGAAAAAATACAACTTTCGTCGCATTTTTCTGAAAAGCAAGGCTCTGAACAAAAATTTGGAGTTTTTACCCTTTTTCGCTACACGATACGATTGATCAGTTAAATTGAGGCGTGTGTTTTTTCTCTTGAAAATATTGTTCCGAGGAAATTTGACAGATGTAACAAAATTAGTACGATTAAGAAGAACACATTTTTTGATAGTGTCGTTAGTATTTTGGTTCTTCCAGACCTGTGGAATGGAGAGAATATTTTTCAAAGAGAAAAAACGCAGTCCGATTCCTTCCTGGTTGTCACAAAAATACTTTAGCCCTTGCGACACCCATATCTTCTTAAGGGAGTGTCTGAAAATTTTGTGTCTATCAGAACTTTTGCTTCCCTCATCAACAGCTATTCGTTCAGAAAGTTTTATAAATTTTCGTTGAGCCATTTCTCGTTGGATTAACGGGAAAAGTTTATACTACAAAGCCGAACTGAAAAATGTTTGAGGAGCTGAATCTCCCTCTTAGCACAAAACTCTGACTCTAACACTGATCTTGAGACAGTCTGTCTTAGTTCGAGATGTACATGTTATTAATAGAACTAGCTAAAATTGAGTTAACACGACCTTGTTGATTGATAGGACAGCAAAAAACCAGAAAGCGCTCCTCGTCGATTATAACTCTATCGAATTTCTTTAATACTTACTTGAAATATGTTTCAGATCAATTCGTGCATGTTTATTTATCGGCTCTCATGAAGAGAAAACGAGCAATCTGTTGCCAATAATCATAAAATGAGTATATACAATGAAACTAATATCTTTTTTTCTCCATTATTGATCATTTGTTCTCTAAAACCATTTCGAAAGAACGAAAAAAATTTAAACGGCAAGGAAGTGTTATTAGTGTCATATCATCAAATAAGATTAAAATTTCATTTTTTTTGTTTTATTTCCGTTAATGTAGTTTTCATAACAAAAAGTTCAATTTTACTCAAGCTATCAAAACAAACATCAATTTTAAATAATAAAACTATATCATATTGTTTTTTATATATATTATTATCAAAGAGGAAAAAAGGTTATTTCTAGCCATTCGATATGATCCCTCTGACTCAATCGATGTGATAAAGCATCTGATTGTCTTGATATATGTCTAAGGATTAAAACAACAAAATAGACTTTATTTCAATTTCAATCTCTTCTTAAAAAATATGGATAATATAGTTGAATAAAAAAAAATAATTCTTTATTTCATACAAATAAAATATTTAAATAATGAGTTCTGTATTACACAAGATTTCTTTATTAATAATCAATATTAATAGAATCTACCTTGTCATTCCAATCATCACCAACATACCATTGACTATTTTTTAACCAATCACTATGACCAGCACCTTTAGGTTTGAATAACATCATTTGATGACTAGGTCCTGTTAATATTGCCGATACCTATTGAAGAAGTATCTATGAATAGAGGATTGTGATAGAAAATAAGATTATTTACTTTTTCATTCCAATGATGACTACCAGTTGAATCTTTATGACCTGAATCATTAAAACATTGCATATAATGTCCTGTAGGACAACCAACATCTAGATTAAACAAAAAATTCATTTTTATAAAAAAATATAATGTGTCATGATTTATTTATGAAAGAATGAGTGACTGATAATAATAATAATTTATAAACTATAATGACATACCATCACATACACATCCAGTTAATCCTTGATGTGTAATATCAAATGGTAACAATCCATTAACAGCTGCATCTATATTTGGCACCACTGGTGGAGCATATTTATATTTATATACTTTCATCATTGCCGAAGCAAGATTAAGATCTCCAATAGTAACAACAATCAGATCTTTACCAGTAAAATTATTATTATTATTGATCAATGACAATGGATAACGATTACCGACTTTCTATATAGACAAATGAAAACAAAAATCAATATTGATATATGTATAAAAACAGTAATGTAAATTTACACGAGAGAGCATTGCGAGATACGATGCTTCAATAACTTGAGCAATTGCATCATCATGTGTACGTTCATATAAACGGGCTAGACCAAGATAAAATATTCCTAAAATAAACAAATCATAAATAAAAATTAATCAATTTTATATACTAATGATTCAAGTAAACTAGTCTTAAGCTGTGTTTGCTGGTTAGAGTAAGATACCTCGAAATGCGATTTGATCTCCTGTACATGTGTTTGTATCATCACATCCTTCGAAAATAATATTATTTCGTGTAAATTGATTGATAGCATTGCGAATATAAGTCATTGCATGTGTCATATATTGTTGATTGCCTGTTGCATCAGTTAAAGCTATAAGTGCTTGTACTAAAACACCATATTCATAGGTCAAAGACTATAAGAAAGCAATTTAATTATTAAATAAATGAAAAAAAATATTATGATAATTACACCGCCTCTTAGTTGACATTGCCCATTAGCAGTATCTAAAGTATCTCTTTGATAACCTGTTTGATTATTAAGTAGATCTGTTGAGACTAGCCAATTGTAAATATCAATGGCACCACCATGTACACCTCCTTGAAGTAATGTTGGATCATGTGTAAATGAATACATTGTTGCCATTGTATATATAGTTAAAACATTAGATATTGTCGTTTTATCTGTAGTAGATGGAGGTGATTTTCCATAATACCAGTAAAGTCTAATAGAAAAAGTTTAGACTTGTAAAAGATCTTTTATTTTTTTTGACAACATCAAAATAAAATACTTACCCACCACCACATTCTTCTGTTTCATGATCAACATTATCATTAATAACAGCTTGAGCAGCATTGATTAATTCTTGAGTAGCATCTCCAATTGATCGAATATATTGTTCGAGACGTAGAGCACCATTTGCCCACCATGCTTGATCATCTGTAAATTTAGTATGAACATAATTATTTTGTTTTTTTGCTGTTTCAATTGCAGCCCATCGTGTTGCCAAATATAATTTATCTGTAGCTAGTTAAATAAAAAATCTCTGTATTATCAATATTTTTATTTTATAAAAATACCTCTTCCACCCATCGTATTAAAAAATTCAGCAAATGCCCATAGACCTACTCCACTAGGCCACCATATAGCGGGTCCACCATCTGACCATAAACCAGTTGCTCCATCACGATCATGCCAATTACCAGCTAATTGCGTAGCAATATCATAAGCAATAGCATATGGACAGAGTCCACCTTGAAATTTACCCTTACAAACATAACGTAATGCTTCAAAAACATCTGTCGCAGGTGGATTACTGTTTGTATGAACAATGGTAAGGAAAAGAACAAGACTGAAAAGAATTGTTTTATACATCTTGAATAAAAATAGAAAGATTTTATAAGTAGATTCATCATACCTTTTATTATATCGTCAAAAATATGTGTAGAAATAAGAATAAGAAACCGAAAATGTATTCGTCAAGAAATGAGAGAAAATGTTTACAAGTAATGAATAGTGTGTAAGATATCTGTCTATTGAAATAACAATATCGTAGAAAGTATTATACATTATAAAAGTTTCTTTCATACAGGTAAAATATTGAATTTTAGAGTCAACTTCTCATTGTACTTATTTTTATTGTTGACCATCTTATAAAACTATAATCTGAAAATTTTATGATGTTATGCTAACAAATGCATACACATGTTTTGTATATTTATTATCATATCAAAAGGTATGAAAAAAACTGTCACCTGTTTTTAAAGAGACACAAAGATAACGAACTTTGTCTTGGTCATAATCTTATCTTAGATTTTCTCTTCAACCGCTGTTAATTATATACAAATATCAAATTTTCAGTTTTTTAACTATTGTTTTAATAAGTGGTAAAATAAATCGTATCTATATTGTCAGTATAAAAACTAACCTTCTCTAATATTCTCTTCATTGAATTAATCATTCGCTGCTTTTTTTAATTAGTATATATACAAAATAAAAAATATTCAATCGATAGATATACTACAGTTTAACAAATACAATATTATAATACATTAAGAATAAATTATTATTGTTTAATAGTATAGATAAACCAATTAACAGTTGTCTCAATCAGCTGATCAATACATAAAAACCTTTGCAGTAAACTAAAGTAAATTGTACTTTTTCTTAATATTCGTGAATTCGTTGCATTTACCAATGTCATTACTTCTGATACTAAACAGAAAGGTCAAATCGAATAGTACTTCTCATTTTGTATGATGATTTCCTATATTCTTTCATCTTTTACGTGAAAATGGATTAACTATCTGTGTATGAATCATGTATAATAAATTTCAAAGTTTATTTGATTTATTCAATGTAAATATATAAAGTAAACTGCAAAAAATACGATGTTAATATTTTTTACTTTCTCTCATATTACTCATTAGTCTTAAATTATTTTCTTTAGAATTTACGTTCTTCATAAGATGATATTTAAAGATAATAGAAGTAATGAGTTTAATGAATTGTAAAAGAGGATGTAAAATGATTTATTTATCATAGAATTGATGAGTAAGGTTTATCTTTGAGCTTTTATATCTAATAAAATTAATACCAGAAATACATACAATACAATAAGAGAAAAAACGTTGATTGCAGACTCGTTCTCATTGATAGATAAAAAATAATACTTTAAATATGAATGGATATATCAGCTTACAAGTCAAATGTATACAATGTATAATATGTTATATTCGCATATATAAATTTTGATTAGCGTATCTTTTTATTATAGGCTATAGGAAAACATCTTTCCTTGACATACCAATGTAATCAAGAATTTGATGTGAAATCTTCTGAATAGACTAAATTTATCGGACTAATATCAAGTAAGTCAATAAAGATATAAATAATTAAGTATGAGTTATATTTTATTTAACGTATTAAAACTAGTCGATATACGGAAAATAAAAATAAATTAATGTTTAGAGCTTTTGAAATATCCTTGAGTTATCAACTATAGCGATAATTGATGTTATTATAATTTCGTTCGATTCAAATGAATATTAAATTTATTTTGTACATAAATAAAAACAAAAATAATATGTCTGATAAGTACGAAAAACAAGAAAATCGGAGCAATTTAAAATATAAAAATAGTATATATTTACGAATGTATTAATATGTTAAAATTTACCCTTATATCATACCCACTGAATAACTCAACTCCATTAATAGTATGAAAAAGTTCACGAACAACAAAAATATGTCAATATCGAGCGCATACATGTTGTATACGAAAGCAAACATGATAGACACCATGAAGAAAAAATAGTCGTGACTTATTAACATATGAGTTGTTTTCGATTTTTGCTTTTTCTTCGACATTGAAGAAATAGAAAATAACGATTCTTATCGAATCATTTCCACATAAACATATAATTTACTGACTTCTTTCTTCATAATAATCATACTTCAGCATAGAATGAGAAAAGGAATGATATATTTTTCAATTAAACTATCAATAATATATGCATATTTTTATTTACACCTGTCGTTATGTTGTTGATGTTTTCTTAAATAATACACTAATTTGTTTATGACCTTCAGATTTCTATCAATATATAATTATATTGTAACCACCGTTAGTATTTATTTCATTTTAATTAACCTTGATGAATGTAGAATAAACTAGTTCTTTTAAAATAAGTTATTGAAATATTACTTTAAAATTTCAATGATAATAGATCAACATAAATAGTTATTCGGTATTTTTGTACAAGAGATAATAAATCTTATGAAGATAGAAGTTGTGTTTTTGACAACGTGTTTGATATGAAAACATAGTAAAACGTTTCAATAACCCATGAAATTGTTTCGTTCTTTTCGTTACTTACCTTTTTTTTTCTAAGTTATTTTTGAAATATTTTTCTCTTTAGAAGGTCGTAAGTCTTTACTAAAAAAATTTTATTCTAATACTAAATATTCTCTAGTAAATTTATAGATTTTAAAATATCTATGTATACTCAAGTAATTACCAACACAACGAATATAAGATACTCTACTATCGGTTTATCATAAGATTTTGATCAAGTACCACGTGGTGAATTATCTGAACTCAACAGTATTGTCTACGAAACCTGCTCTTAAGTGAATTTGCCTACATATTCAGTGGCATCTGAAGGTTAAGCTTGAAAACTCCTAAATATTCCTAAAGATTTTTTTAATCAACTAGAAACAGAAGTATCTTTTTGGATACATTTAAACATGTAAGTTCATTGAGATTTATAGATATTATAGTTTATTGAATGTAAGAAATAACTGAATTTAAAAAAAAAACTATTTAGAAACTGAATGTCTTCATATCAATAAAATAAATTGATGATCAGGTTATTTTAAAGAATACTGAAACCTTTTTTTTTATTAATTTAGATAAAAAAGTGTAATACTTTAGATTAATATTATGGCTGCTGATTCTATGGACATTCGCTATGCTTTTCCTTTATTTCCAATTAATGATATGTGGCCATGTCCAGCATGTTCTTTCAAAAATACATTATCTGCCTATCCTTACTGTCAATTGTGCAGTCAAGGAAATTCTCAGTCTTCAGAAGACTTTTACCCTATGGATCATCCAATACCTACCTGGCAATGTTCTCGATGTACACTAAATAATAGGACTAACAATGAACGATGCGAAGCTTGTAGTTATACAAAAGAAAAATCGGTAAATCATTATTTTTATTTGCTATAATCGAGAAGATATTTGTTTTATTTAGAAACCTGATGAAACTGTTCTTGTTAATACAGCACCGACTACGTCGCGAACACTTACATCACTGGCTGTTTGTGAACGGGAACACGACGATGAATTAAATGCTGAAAATGTATTTCAACATATTGTTAGTTTTTGTAAACAGGTATCTAGCAAATATTTATATTGTTAGCTTTCATTAGAAAAACAAATATTTTATTGAATAATTCTGAATTGACATCAACTAGCTCATCTATTTATATTTAGGCTCAAACACATTTTGTTGATGATGGATTCGTTCCATCGCCTGGATCTATTGGAGTAGGATCATATGAAAGTATTTCACAATGGTTACGAATATCAGATGTTGCTCCATTACCTGATGATCCTCCTGATCTACCATGGACAATATTTTCTTCACCTCAACCAAGTGATATTCAACAAGGAGTTCTAGGTGATTGTTGGTTAGTCGCTGCATTAGCTTTAATCTCTGAACGACCTCGTCTTCTCGAACATATTCTTCTTACAAAACAAGTGAACTCTCAAGGTGTCTATCTTGTACGTATTTGTCATAATGGTTTATGGAAAACTATTATTGTTGATGATTGTTTTCCATGTACAAAACATAAACGTCTTGTATTTACACAAGCTAAACGTCGTCAATTATTTGTTCCATTGATTGAAAAAGCATGTGCAAAACTGTTTGGTTCTTATAGTAGTTTAAAAAGTGGTAATATGCTGGAAGGTCTTCAACTATTAACCGGTGCTCCATGTGATTATATTGACCTTAAACCATCTAAAAATCTACTTGAAAGTGATATTGTCTGGGCAAAACTCTTATCTGCTTGTGAATCAAAGTGAGTTAAAAAATAAATACGAAGATGAAAAAATGAATCTAATTTTTAGGCTATTAATTGGAGCATCAACAAGTGGAACTAATGTAAGTCGAGATGAATATGCTCGTGTTAATATTCGTGGTAATCATGCATTTTCTCTTCTGGCTGCTCATGCTCTTGTTAATGATACTTCACGATTTGTACTCATTCGTGATCCCCATTCACGTTCACGTTATACAGAAGATCTTATTACTGAACCTATTCTCGAACAGTTACGTTTAGTTAATCCTACACATCGATCTACTGGTGCTTTTTGGATATCATGGCCTCGATTTCTTCATTATTTTTCATCAATAACCATATCATGTTACAATAGTAATCATTTCGATATACGTCAACAGGGTCAATTTACCGAATCAGCTACACAACCCATTTCAGCTTATTGTTTTCATGTACCAGAGTAAGTATATACTATTATGCCTCTATTTGTCTGTTGATTGTATTCGTTAACATATATTTAGAACATCTTTAATCAATATAAGTTTGTTATATCATCGCCATAGTCGAACAACACATTCTACTCATACACAATCATTTGTTTTGTGTGATATTGACGAATCTGATTCGTTTAATAGTGTCGGAAAGCGAGAAAGTATCTTAATATGTAGACATAGACGATATACGTATTGGACAGGATTATTACGCGCTGGTTCTTATGTACTTGTACCTTTTTCAATTAGCTTTTGGGGAACAACTGGAAAAAATCGAGATTATACAGTTGTTATTCATTCTAGTGTTCAACTTGATTTAACAATTAAAAATAAACGACCAACATTTCTAGCTGATTGTCTTATTGCAGCTGTCATGAAAACTAATCATATGAAGAAGCAAGTATGTTTATTTGTATCTCTTGTAAACATTATCTTGTAAGAATAATAATTTTTTTTCTAGGAAAACGACGGCGTCTTTTATATAACATCAAGTAAACTTGGATTAAAACTATTCATTGCTGAGAATTTATCAGCAAAAAATTATCTAAATTTGGATATTGATGTATTAATAGCAGAAAATGTTCGTCATTCTCGTTTTTCTCAACCTCCTTTCCATACTCGTGATTGTATTCCACCACGATATCGTCAATTGGTATTTATTACAGAATGGACTGATAAACGAAGTGGATCGGCTCAATTAAGTTATTCATATTCATGTAAACATGATACTCAAATGAGTAATACAATACCACCAATTAAAACTGTTCGACATGATCTTCATTCACCACGAGCATTTTAATTCTTATAGAGTTTATTTAAATAATTGTATCATTTATTTGAAAATAAATTTCGTCAGATCATTTTTGAAAACGGACAAAATGTTTTCTTAATGTTTTGATTGTAAATATATGAGATAATATACATATATATGTCTATTGATTTTTTATTATTAAATATAAAAACACACATGATTTAAGGAATATTATTAATGGTACCTCATTTATATACAGTGATCTGTAAAGATATTTATAGGAGAGAAAAAAATATAATCAAACATATTTTGTAGGATAGTTCACTAATATAGAGAAAGTATCAAAATGTTGGGGAATAATTGTGATCAATGACCGAAGTGGATGTGAATCAACCGATTTACTAATTTAAAATGCATTTCAAATTATTTTTAGAAGAAACCTAGTTAAATGATATTTGTTTTTGAGAACGTTGATACACCTTATTCTAACTTTCTTAAACAATATAAAATGATTATTAATTATGATAATCAGTCAAAATAATATATCTGAGTATTTTTAGGTAATACTACTAATAATTCTCAACTGATGTATTTTTTTTTAAAGAGAATAGTATCAGTTTTTTTAAACATATAATTATGTATTAGACATATTTTTCAAGAAAACTATTTAATACTATATAATTGATGAGACAAATAATAAAATAATACGAAATTTTAATTTTTTATTGTGAGGAACTATAAAATTATGAAATAATAGGATAACATCTATCATATCGACGTTTCGACCAACTTCAGTGGTCATTAACAAGATACTCCTTATTCCAGCACCACCATCTATACCGATAATCATTATATTATTTGTCTCATCAATTGTATAGTTTTAAATCAATTCGTGAAGTATTGAGACACAGTTATGATAATTATCAGCGTAGGTGGTGGTGCTGGAATAAGGAGTATCTTGTTAATGACTACTGAAGTTAGTCGAAACGTCGATATGATAGTTGTCATCCTTATATTATCAATCATAATTTACAGTTCTTCACATTCAATAAAAAAATTAAAATTATTTCTTTATAAACACTTTAGGAGGAAAATAAATAAATATTACAAGAGAAGATCGTTGCTATGATGCTGTACCACTGCGTCATTAAAATGGTAATTCATTGAATAGAAAAAATTTCCACTCTTATTTTTAATACAATGTCATATTCTCAATAAAATAAATTTATGTAGTGAGTGTATGGAGAGAGGTCATGACTCATTATTATGCCTTATCAGTCTGTTTTTTAAAACCATAAAAAAAATGATTTTTCTTCTTGAAGAACCACGTGCAAGCAAAGACGCCATAATTTATTTTTCTAACGTGATTTATTGTCAGCAAGAGAATAAAATTTTTTTTTCCTTGTATTACTTTTGCTCCGGTTATCCATAGTAATAAACGTATTTATTTACGAAACTAATATGTTAATGAGTAAGAAAGAGATTGGATAAACGTATATAATTTATTTTAATTTATTATAATATTTTACAGAAAGAAGTAAGTTAATGTATGAATGATTAGTTTGCTTGGTAGGAAGAAAAACGATGCTTATAATATTTTAACTTTTACTGTTGGAATTTCCCCAGTTAATAAAGTTGCAAAACTAATTGCTTTTTTTTTAAATAGGTTTTTTCCTTAGAAAATAAAATTGTAAATGAAAAATTGTCATCACTCAACCTTTTAGAACATCTACTTTTTCTTTGTTTGATGATATTTACAGTATTCTTATAATGTATTTCGATGATTCTTGGGTAAAAATTTTTTTCTGTTCTCTGAAAAAATAACGTTGTATTATTAATAATGTGTTTATTCTTACTCGCCTTTTCGTATTATATAAGATTGTGTAACTTTTAGCAGTAACTAACAGTTTTTTATACATAATAGTTATTAAATATAAATGACAGACAAATCATTTTTTTAAATAATCTATCGATTAGGACATACTTTTCTGCAGATATTTAATTATTTTAATTACATTCATTTCGATAGAACTTTTTAGACGAGCACGGCATTTATAAGAACACTAAAGTATTATTTTCTGTGAATCTTTACTATGGCTGGTAATTTGTCTAACATTCAAAGTAATTTACAATCGCTTTCAATCAATGGTGAATGGTCGTGTTCAAAATGTTCTTTTAATAATCCATTGATGGCTTATCCATGTTGTCAAATGTGTGAACAAGTAGATTCTCATTTTGGACCAGGATTCTCAATCACCACTCAATCAATACCAACTTGGGAATGTCCCCGATGTACATTAAAAAATCTAACTATTAGTGAACAATGTACAGCATGTGGCAAATCAAAATCTATATCAGTATATCATTTACCTTGAGACAGCATGCATCAGAATTTTTTTTGTTCAAATTTAGAATAAAAATGAAACCACTCTAGTCAACTCATCAACAAGTTTATCACAAACATGTACATCACTATCTGTTCGTAATCGTCGTCATAGGGATGAATCTGATGCTGAAAATATCTTTCAACATATAATTACATATTGTATAGAGGTATGTTATGAAATTATATTAAAAAGAAGTAGGATTACCAAACGTCGTTCATATTGTTCAATATCAAGGATGTTGGGAGAAATACTTTAATAATATTGTATTATTTATTATATGTAGAATAAAATTCATTTTGTCGACGATCAGTTTGTACCATCCGATCGATCTATTGGAACAGGATCCTTTGACAATATTTCACAATGGTTACGAATATCAGATGTTGCTCCATTACCTGATGATCCTCCTAATCTACCATGGACAATCTTTTCTTCACCTCAACCAAGTGATATTCAACAAGGAGCTTTAGGTAATTGTTGGTTAATTGCTGCATTAGCTCTGATCTCTGAACGACCTCGTCTTCTCGAACATATTCTTCTTACAAAACAAATCAATTCTCAAGGTGTCTATCTTGTACGTATTTGTCATAATGGTTTATGGAAAACTATTATTGTCGATGATTGTTTTCCATGTACAAAACATAAACGTCTTGTATTTACACAAGCTAAACGTCGTCAATTATATGTTCCACTGATTGAAAAAGCATGTGCAAAACTGTTTGGTTCTTATAGTAGTTTGAAAAGTGGTAATATGCTGGAAGGTCTTCAACTATTAACTGGTGCCGCCTGTGATCATATTAATCTTAAACCATCTAAGCATCCACTTGAAAGTGATATTGTCTGGGTAAAACTGTTATCTGCTTGTGAATCAAAGTAAATTGAGGAGGAAATATTGAGATGAAATAAAAAAGTGAATTTATATTTTAGATTATTAATTGGAACATCAACAAGTGGAACTAATGTAAATCGAGATGAATATGCTGCTGTTCACATTAATAGCAATCATGCATTTTCGATCCTTGCAGCTCATGCTCTTGTTAATGATACTTCACGATTTGTACTCGTTCGTGATCCACATTCACGTTCACGTTATACCGAAGACCTTATTACTAAACCTATTCTCGAACAGTTACGTAAAGTTAATCCTACACATCGATCTACTGGTGCTTTTTGGATATCATGGTCTCGATTTCTTCATTTTTTTGAATCAATAACCATTTCAACTTATAATAGTAATCATTTTGATATACGTCAACAGGGGCAATTTACTCAATCGTCAACAGAAGTTATTAAAAGTTATTTTTTTGATGTGCCACAGTATGTATAATATTGTGTATTATCTTGGTATTAAATAATTTTATATTATCTATTTAGAACATCTTCCATAAATATAAGTCTGTTATATCATCGTCATAACCGAAAAGCACGTAGTTATCATACTCAGTCATTTGTTCTGTGTGATATAGAGAAATCAGCGTCAATTACTGTTGTTGGTAAACATTATAGCAAATTAATATCTAAACGCGAACGATTTACATACTGGGAAGGATCGTTACGTGCTGGTTCTTATGTACTTATACCTTTTACTACTAGTTTCTGGGGAATAAATGAAAAACATCGAGATTATACAGTTGTTATTCATTCTAGTGTTCAGCTTGATTTAGAAACTGAAAATAAACGACCAACATTTCTAGCTGATTGTCTTATTGCAGCTGTTATGAAAGGTTCCAATAAGAAAGAGAAAGTCTGTCTGCACGTATTTGTTGTGGTTATTTTTTTTTCAATGTCTTTTTTTAGGCAAAGGAAGCTGCGTTTTATACGCCATCGAAAGATTCAGCAATGGTAGTATTTATCGCTGAGAATTTGTCAACAAAAAATTTTCTCAGTGTTGAAGTCAATATGAACATTGCAAGATGTATTCATCATTCTCGTTGCTCTCAACTTCCTTACAATACTCATGATTATATTCCACCACGATATCGTCAAGTGATATTTATTACAGAATGGGCTCATAAACATAATGAATCGGCTCAATTAAGTTATTCATATTTGCATAGATTTAGCACCCAAACAAGTGATTCGATACCAACAATCAATACCTTTAAACATGATCTTCATTCACCACGAGCGTTTTAACTTCATATGTTTTTTAGCATAATGGAATATCTCATGGTAATTAACAATTACTAAACTGCTTATATAAATTTTATTTTAAAACTTTTGAATTTTTTCTGTTCATATTATAATAAAACTCAGTAATTGTGTTAATTTATATACTGTGTTGTAGGATGTAAATTAATTCTAAATACTATGTGAGAATTCGAAATATATCTAATAGAGAATATCAACTTTTGAAAAGTGAAAGAAGTATAAATGATCGTCATACTTATTACTCATGGAGAATTACAGATTGTTGTAGTTTTTGGTATTTTCTCTACGTACCGATCATGCATTAGTCTAATTATATTTCATCAGAAATATATTGGATATTATTGTTTAAACTGATTGGAGAATGAGAGAAAATATAAAATAAGTTTATTTCAAATAATTTCATGATTTAGATAACAAAAATAGAAGTCAATGAATTCACATGTTTTCTCTTCTTATCAATTTGATTATATTAAAATACATTTTTCACGAGACACTTCCATCAGTCAAAATTCAGATGTAAAATGGAATCATAATATTTAAACAAAGTTATCAACAAGTTGTTCATATTCAAATTTTGAGGTAACAAAACTAGTTAGCATATGATATGGCGATCAATGTTGTTCTTGATCTTATTGAAGTCAAATTTTGAATAATACAGATTCAAAAACTCATTAAAATAATATTATCAACCAAACAAACTCCTTGTTCGTTTGTTCTTCTTTGATTCTATATTGACAAATGATAATTGTTAAGGAATTTTTGAAGAAAAACAAACTATCAATTTTCATTTGAGTCATATTAACATATAGATAATCTTGTGATTATCTTCTATATTTTTGACTTTTGTATACATGAAATTTAACAGGATATATTTTCTATTCGACAATCAGAATTTCCAAGTTACATAAATTAAATATAACCATTTTCTCTAAACTGAATCATGATAAAAAAAAATTCTTATCAGTTTACACATGGTTTTTTCTTTTCATTTTCTAACGTTCGAATTAGTCATTCTTTTCTTCAAACGTCATATATAAGGTATAGGAGAATAAAAGAAAATTCCAACATAACAAACATGTAAGTTTATTATTATCAGTTACTTGTCAATGAATATCAATGCACTGGTAAATTATCTATCATCAGTTACAAATCCTAATTTATATTTGAATCGTATATATGATGATAAATATATGCGGTGTCAATAATTGCATTTTTGAATAAATACAAACATATAATGCGTATGCTACTGTGTCGCTATCAGTCAGATCTGGAAATATTAAATAATGTTATAATCCAGGGTAAAAAGTCAAATCAACAAATATTTTTGACTTTATAGGCAGCAGTAAGAATCAATAAAATGACTTGTTAAATATGAAGCTAATATGAATCATACAATAAGGACTATTTCGAAATCAATACGCGCTGCTTGCTAAAATGACAATATAAGTATGTCTCGATATTTAGCACGACACAGTTTATACCAAAGACAAACGAGTCGCAGTATCACGTTGTTTCATTCATCTCTGACGTTAATTATACGTTTAACACAGCTATAAAAATATTTTTGTAAATAAAGTTATTTTAATAATAAGATCCTGAAAATAAATCTGTACGATTCAGTATCATATTTATTAGTTCTTTACATCCTACATGTCATTATAAATACAACTGACATGATTCGAACTTATTTACGCACATAGTTTTAATTCAAACTATCTTTTAACTTCTGTGTGCTATTGTACTCATATCGATTATACTACTCAGTTTAGACAATATATCTACGTTAAAACGATATATCATTTTTTATAATACAGTTTTTATTTCACTTGTAAATTGTACAGAAATAGATGTTATGTCCTGTCCTAATTCTTCATCTTGTCTAAAAGCATAGACGCATGTTGTGTACTATTTTTGCCACTAATAAACTTTATAGTCTAAACTAATCGTTCCAAAAATATATGACAAGCCTAGTAGCATCTTGTTTTATAAAAGAGTCAATTTACCAACACGTCAAACTGTTCTTCTTTTAACTATTAAACTAATGAAACTTTAGGTATTTATGAATGGACAGGTTTTAATATTAGATATCTTTTGATATAATTTTTATTCATAAGTTTATAAACAAAACAATCACACAATAAAGATATAGTGAGGTATATACAAATATATTTGTTCGTAAGCGAAAAATAAACAAAAAATAGTCATATATAAAATGTAATCATTTTTATTATGGTTCTGTTATTAGTTTATTGATATTCTTTGTCTAAAAATGAAAAAGAAAATAATAAGAATCTTTTTTAAATTCCTTTATTTTTTGTTTACCTGTTAACTATTTGTTCAATCGTTTCAATAAGATGCCTTATTTGACTTTCTAATAGATTTAATTTACCATTTTGTATTTGTTCAATTCTCATCATTTGATCTCGCAATTGATTTAATTGAACACGTAAACATTTATAGTCCGTATGTTGATCTGCATTTTGTCGTTGATAAATACTATTACATTCTGGACATGTTAATAAAACTGATGGACATGTATAATAATGCGCATTAAAATGCATTCTAATTATTTTTTCTTCACATCCTGGACATGTTTTTTGTCGATAATTACAAGTTTCTTCATGTGTTTCAAGACTTTTATATGGCACAATCGCAGAACATCCATGTGGCTTGTAATGACAAATTATATTGAAGGTTGATAAAATATGAATAATTGCTCCAGGACATGGACGTTGAATATATTCAGTAGAACATTTTGGGCAAAGACGAGGATCTTCTGCTTCTATTCTCCATGTTTTAATACAAGATGTGCAAAATGATGTTTCACATTTTTCACAGGCTACTGGTAACCAGAGAAGTCCATTACACAAAGAACATACAGTAAGTTCTGGGTGTGCTATATCGGTTATACGATCTTTTGATAAGTATGGTGAATCGCGTATAAATGATGTTGCCATTTAAAAATAATGAATATTCTAAAAGGAAAAGTATAGTTATTTCATATGTATATCATGCAATTCAATTGTTTAGAGGACGTCCTTTATCTTCCTTCGTCTATCTGCAAAACGAAAACAAGACGCATGACTTTTTTTTATTTGTGCAGACTTTGCGCAGATGAATCATTATTAAAAAGTATATCAAAAAGAAAATAAATGATGTAACCAACATGGAACATGGTTGTATGATTTTTTTGTTTCTTGAATCAGTGTAAAACTTCTATGTTGATTTATAAAAATGACAAGAAAAGAAAAAAACAATACTTATTACTTGTAATTCGTATAAATAAATATGAATATTATCAGAAAATAACGTAGATATTATCGCATATAAATGAATGAAACTGATAACACATTAAAAAGATAAGACAGGGTTTTTTCTTGTTTTCTTGTTGGAAATATTGCAAACTGACGTAGAAAAATAAACTACCGTAAAAGGTGACATACAAGTTAAATAAATCATCATCTGATGTGCATCATATGACTGTAATATATATGAGTAATACGTTACTTTCTTATATATTATATTTAGTCAGTTTTTGTATTTTGTTTGTAGATACTATTTTTCAAAATACAAATATTAGCTACAATCAAAACAAAATCTTACCATATGGATAAGACTTCTATTGATCGAGAACTATTACATTCTACCCGTACTACATCTTTAATAAATACAAGTGATCTTACAGATATTAATGATGCTTCATACGACAAAGGTAATGCTTTGCAAGACAATTATTTGAATAAACTTAATTTTTTAATAGATATGAAATATTCGCAAAATGAATCATCCAATCAATTGTCTCAATCTGCCGTAACTTCTATTTTCACATCATGGCAATTTATCTTTAACGAACTTATTGCACAAAATCGTAGATTGGATGAAAAAATAGATCAACTAGAAAAAACATGTCATCAGAATCCAAACAATCAAAATGAACGATTAAACATAGCAGAAAAACAAATGAAAGACTTACACATTGAAAATAATCAATTAAAAAATCAATTCGATAACCATATGAAGCAATGTAATACATATTCAAATAATAATCAAGTTTCTGAAGAACACGACAATCAAGCACGTCTTAATAAACTAGAGGAAACTAATAACCATCTTAATACATGTATCGTTCAATTAAATATTCGATTAAATAACAATGAAATTCAAACAAGTAAATTCGACAAAGAGAATAAAGAACTAAAAGAAAAAATGAAATTATTACAAGAACAGAGTCGACAACAGCTTGAAAACTCACAGGAATTTATTGATCTATGTCTTACACAGTTGAATGATCAAGCGAAAACAATTGGAGAATTGGAAAAAAGAATGAAAAAACTTGATAAACAAATTGTTAATGATGTGTATACATCAGGTATTTAAAAATAAAATACTTAAAATCTTGTAAAAAATATTTTTTAATAACAATAAAGTTGTTTCAATTGTATACTATCTATGACTAATAAATATTTTAGATATTTAAAAATTTTATTTTCATTTCGATGTAGAAACAAAACAGATATTGAAAACAATTTCTTGTGTTGCTGACTTTGTGGATAATGATCCAAATCACAAGCTTAATAATTCAACAATAATTAACAGTCAAACTGTATACGATGATCGAGAGCCATCCGGTAATGATTTATTTTAAAAATAAAGATATAAAAACTACCTAGAATGTTTCTCTTTTCTCTATTGACATCTCCAAATAGACTAGATAATTTTATTCCAATTAAATTTGTATGCATCACTTTTTTCTATGACCTATTCTTTTATTAGATGTTACAATACAAATAAATCGTAACGAAATATCAAATGATGAAAGTTTTTATATGAGCAATTCAATGATCAGCGATGGACAAAAACAAGGTATATTTATTAATAGAATACTGTCGTTCGAAAGCGATAGATGAATCTACTTTTACGATTGTTTATTCAGTATATAATATGAAAAGAGAATCTTCTTATCATTTTTAGAGACTGTTATTCCAGATAAAATTGAAAGAGTATTGCAGACAATTCAACAATATAATGATCGTTCATTAATGGATTTAAGAAGACAAGAATTAACAGATCAAGATATGAAAATTGTTGTTCAAAATATTCAGATTAATACTCAATGCGAACGACTTTGGTTAGATTATAATAAAATTACATCAATTGGTCTTTCGATTTTAGCTAATGGATTGAATAATAATAATAATACATTACAACAATTATCTCTTTCTAATAATAATATATCTGATGATGGTATTCATTCTCTTGTTAAGTCACTTTCAACACATAATCATAGTCTTAAGGAATTACATCTTGGACATAATAAAATTACAGATGAAGGAATCAAATATCTTGCTGAAATGCTTAAAACAAATCAAACTTTAACTCATCTTTATCTTCAAAAAAATGATATAACTGATAATGGTATTCGAATATTAGCCGATGTTATCGAAAAATACAACTCAACTATAGAAAGTTTATCTTTATATTCAAACAAATTATTATCGGATTTAAGTGTGCATTTTCTTCTTCAAATGATTAGAAATCATCGATCGTTAAAGAAAATTTATGTTTATGATTGTAATCTATCTCAAACAGGCAAAAATAGACTTCTAAGCGCACAACAATCAAAGCAAAATTTTAAAGTCTATGTGAACAGCTTGAATGATTGATGTTAAAATATTGTATATAACAGTCGAAAATGAGAATTAAAAAAAAGAAAAGATTAATTGTAATTTATTTTGTAACTTGAAAAATTTATATAAAATTTGAAAAGAACGAAATTGTTAATAAAATTGTAGTCAACATTTTTCATTTATGGTTACCAAATAATCATGTAGATGTATTTTTAGGTATGATGATGTTATTAATCTGATTACGCAAAAACAATTTGTTCGTAATTGTCTCTAACATTACGCAGATGATATTCTTCAACTGAAAAACACGCAGACGAGGAAGCAGTTTTGTTAATACCGTAGAAGCTCCCAGTTGCAATAAATATTTAATTATTTTTTTCGACAATAGATTTTCTAGGCGTTCTTTCTTAATACTGTATCAGACTTTATGCATATTGATGAACGCATTTTATTTGGTAAATAAGTAAACTAATAAAAGTATTTATATCATTCTTTTTATTTTCTGAAAAAAATATGAATCAATAATTATTAAACTAAGCTGATTAATAATACTTCATTTCAATAAAATAATGATCTAAGATCTTTTATCTTGCGTTTTCAAGTGTTAATACTAAGAGGCGGAGGAAAAAAGGCGGCTTTCAAAAATTAACAATTCATTTTGCTAAATATGAATATCAGCAGATGACACGTGCAGACATTTTTATCGTGTATCATGTTATATAACAGAAGTTTAGAATAGATATGACACTTCTCAAAACTATTTCTATAGAAAAATATTTGGATAATTTTTTAGTATTTTTTAAGAAAGTAATACAGAAAGTTTATGCATATTATATTTCTCAAGACTTTGATCTAAATAGTACTTAGCAGCGTTTATTCGTATATAATTGAGAAAGTAAAATATATTTTGTAAGACCTTAATTTTATTTTACTTAAGTCAGCATAATTGTCTATAATATTGTTTGTCTACTTTTGTAAAGGTTTTGTACGACAAGTACATTCAATAGACACAATTATAGATACTAACTCATATGAATTTCAGAATGCTCCTATACTAGATTAAAAAATATGAATGAGCCAGAAGTGAAATATCTATCCCCGAACACCCACTCTATTGATTAGAAAAAGTTATGTAGAAAATGAAAAACTAATGTACCGATTTTTAATATAATCATAATCTTATCTTCAAAGGAAAGAGTTATCAGCAAAAATACTTCTAGAACTTTCTTGGTTTCTGCAATTAACTAAGTGTATCGAGTTTTCTTTGAGAGAATATGAAGGGCTATGCCAACGAATTGAGATTTTCACGTATTTTACAGTGTACCCGACTACAATATTTAAATAATACGTAATATATAATAGCTTATTTAATTATTTTTTCAATTATTATTGCATTGAGTATAAAGGAAGAAGGAGTAATGCCTGTAAAAATTAAATCTGCAGTTTTAAAATTCATGAACATTCTATAGTCTAGAATATAATAAAAGACGTAAAAGTTCATATTGTCATTCAGGGCAGATAGATGCTGCAGGAGACATTGACATCGGCTCATGTATATATATCATTTTTTACATAGGTGTTCTTTGACATGAATATTAATTAAGTTAGAACAAGGTGTGTATGTCAGTACTCGAATAATCTTTAGAGAATAAAGAAAATTATTCTTCTGTTCATATTCATTTTAAATTTTTTTAATATAAAGATATGTCGACATCAACTGATGCAAATATAACCGTATATTGGAATAATGCTTCATCTAGTATGAATCGTTATTTTTCAATATTTCTTTTTCTTTTTGGTACAATTGGAAATATTCTTAATATACTTGTTCTATTTCAACGTGAACTTCGAACAAATTCTTGTTCATTTCTATTTCTCATATCATCAATTGCTAATCTTGTTGCAATACTTTCCGGTTTAACAACACGAATGTTATCAGGTTGGGCTTTAGATTTAACAAATACAATTGATTGGTTATGTAAACTTCGTGCTTTTATTGTATTTGTGTCAAGAAATATAGCTTTATTATCAATTATGTTCGCTGCTCTTGATCGTTGGCTTTCATCATCTATTAATGTTCATCGTCGGCATATGAGCACATTAAAAAATGCACAGCGTGCAGTCATTCTTCTTCTTATATTTTCTAGTATTATTTATAGTCCAATATTTTACTGTTATAAAGCAAATCTTATTAATGCTCCTCTTAAATGTTATGGTGAAACCAATATTTGTCGTATTTCAAATGATTTAATTTATGCATGTTGTACAATATTATTTCCAATTTTACTAATGTCTCTATTTGGTATAATGACAATTACTAATATTCGTCATGTACAAAGTCGTGCCAATATGACAAATTCTATTGAACGATTACCAATATCAAAGAAAAAAAAAGTAGATCGTCAACTTTCTCTCATGCTTTTCATTCAAATTATTCTTCTTGCTTTATTTACTCTTCCACAAGCTATACAAAAATTATATTCGACTATAACAGCAAATCAAATACTAACGCCAGCACAAAGTGCTTTCAATAATTTTCTATTTAATTTAGTATTATTATTAACTTATGTTGCTAATGGAATGCCATTTTATATTTATACATTAAGTGGAGGAACAGTTTTTCGAAATGCATTAATACAATTGTTTCGAAAACTTAATCAAATACATCCATGATTTAATTCATCGAAGATATAAAAAGAAAACAATTTTATGTTTAGATTTTGTAATTGTTGAAGCGTCCATAGATGTGACTAGGACGCCAACGTGCATTATATATATATATTTATATTTATATTCAGTTACTTGTTGTTTACCTTTTTCTCATAGTCACATCGTGATTTTATTCTGTGTTATTCTTCTTCATTATTATTTGTTATATTTTCTTAATTATCATCAATAAAATCATTATTATCATCTTCCCTTTACTTACATGTTCAAGATAGGTTAGGCTTTTTTCATTGTGAGTTTCTGAAGGACTAGCAGACTTAGATCGTGGATTTAGTATTTCAGCCTACGTCGATTACGGAGGTGGAAATCATTAGTTATATCCTCAAAAAGAGATCCTCACAAATAGAAATATTATCTATACAGTATTATATTGAAATTTCTTCAAAATTTTTCCATTGTCTTTGACAGATCAACTATATGATTCTATAGAGCGAAATCTCCTCTAGAAAAGCTACTATGTCATATTTCTCTAGAATCGAGTCACTTTAAGATCAGAGACTTGACTTTTCCTGATGTTTTCCCAAAAAAAATGGGGTTTTAAGCTATTTTACTATGTTTTTTACTTTGACTCTAGCATCGTTATTTCTCAATGAAGTTCCCAACTTTTTGTTACTAAAAATGATCAGCAAAAAAAGTTTCACAAAGTCTGGTAAAAAAGAAAATTTTCTAAATACTTTTTGCAGTTTGTGTTTGACTATCCATTTAAATATCGATTGTTTTAATAGGTTTTATTGAAAATAGGTAACTGTTGAATATTACACAATTATAACGATCATATCTATTCTGAGTTACACATTAAATTTGTTGTGGTAGATGGTGTGGCGAGTAGATTCTTTTTGTTCTTTTATTGACCTTTATAAATACATTGTAACCTATTCTCTTATCTTTTTCTATGCAGGTTCACATTTAAATTGGTTTCATGTACGTGTTATTTTTTCATTTCTTTTTGTTCATTCTGTAGAATCGTTGTCGAGAGAATAGAATCAATTTTTGTGTCTGGTAAGAGAAAGAAGATTTTGTAAGATAGATATTAATTAAAAAGTGATCTAAGAAAAATGGATTATCATAAAACTTTGATTAAAGCTTAAAAACGAAAACGTTTTAATTCAAAATCGAAATGAAATATTACAAATTAATTATAGAAACAGTAAACAATGAAATTAATGAAAAGATAAATTCCAACAGATCTAATTTGGTCTTTGAAATTTTCATAAAACTGAAACATTTCTCTTGGTAATATAATTCTCTACCGCAGTCAAATTTCTCATCAGGATAAAACATTTCTAGTATTAAAAAAGCGAACTTAGAAATTTTTGAATATGATTAAATTTATATGAATATTTCCTTTAAGGATTTCGATATTGTGTGATCAACATTTTCAAGGTGACATTAATTATCATTTCATTCAATGAAAAGTAAATATTTTAATTAATAAAAAACAACGTTTAACTTTCATTTGAATTTTTTTCCAGAAAGTCAATTCTATATTTTATTATTTGGTACAACATTAACAAGTGTTATTATTATTTGGAATTATTTTCACAACAAAAAGAAGAAAAATAATAAAGATGAAGAACGAGTACCTTTATTTATTATTTAATTATTTATTTATTTTATTGTTTATATAGAAAAATGAATATTTAAAATGTAAATCTTTATTTGATTTTGAAAAATTAGCTAAAAAATCAATGAAATCCCATCGTTTCTATTATTATAATTATAAAACCGGTCAAGGACATACATATCAAGCATGTAGAGATTATTTTGATAAACATTTAACAATTCTACCACGAGTTTTGATTGATGTTACTCAGATTTCGTTAAAAACAACAATATTTGGGTAAGAAGTGATCGAAACATATTTTAAACTTTGAAGATTTCATTAAAAAATAAAGATTTTCTTCCATTCAAAGAATATAGAAGTGAAATAGTGAAGATTGAATCTTCGAAATTCATTCTAGACATACATACGAATCTCCAATTATCATTGCTCCATCAGCATTTCATTGTCTTGCACATGTCGATGGGGAAATTGGAACCGCTCGAGGTGCAACAGAAGCTCAATGTATTTATACGTATAACTGGATGTATTCAACTATGCCAGAAGAAAAAGTTTTAGAAACAACTGGTAAATTCTCTATAAAAGTTCACTTTGATTATTAATTTTATTCTTAATTTAAGGTCCAAAGTTTTTACATATTTATTTCACTATTCCGATAGAAATATTAGAAAAAGTTGTTTCAAATGCTGAAAAAAATGGTTATCGTGCTATCGTTGTTACATGTGATGATCCAACTTATCGTCTTCGAGATCATATGTTACCGTTATTTGAAGAAGCATCGAAGAATATTGATCCGGATTTAATGAAGACTATCATAACGCCAAATATGAATACGGTTGATATTAAAATTAAGGAAAATTTCAATAAAGTTTCTATAACATGGGCAAGTCTTCAATGGGTAAGAAAACTAACAATGTTACCAATCATTTGTAAAGGAATACTTTCACCGATTGATGCTGAATTAGCAATTAAATATGGAGCAGATGGGATTATTGTTAGGTTCGTCTTTTTTTTTTGTAAATTGAACTAATAAAATATCTTTGTTTTTTATATTTTCTTCTAGTAATCATGGTGGTCGACAAGTTGATACAACAGTACCGGCTATTCAATGTCTAGAAGATATTATCAATCTCGTTAATGGACGTGCAGAAGGTAGATTTGAATAAATAACATTTTCTCAAATCGAAAAAAAATTACGAGAAGATATTTTCAGAAAGTGACAACCTTTTGCTCATCATATATCATTCATAAGTAATGTTTAGACTTGGAAAAAGAGTTTTCTCGTATATTCAGAAAGAAGAAGAGAACTTTGTATTATAAATATTACTCCGTAGAAGCTATTTAACTATGAATTAATTTATCTCTTGGTATGCAATAAAATTCTACAGAAAATAATCAAAAGGATTTTCAATGCCTGAACAGCTCATGAGCTCACAACTTTTCAACGTTGACGAGTCCATTTAATTTTTTTATTCAATCTTCTAATTGTTGATTTATCTTGTTTAGTATTTGTTGATACTGGTATTCGAAGTGGAACTGATGTTTTAAAAGCATTAGCATTGAGTGCACGAGCTGTTTTTATTGGTCGACCAATTTTATACGGTTTAGCTTGTGGGGGACATGATGGTGTGAAGAATGTCTTAGAGATATTAAAACGGGAATTAGTTTATGATATGGCTTGTTGTGGATTGACAACAATCGATGAAATTACTAAAGATATTCTTTATAAACATTCATAAATATTTTATCTTGAATAAAAAAGATAAAAATTCGAAAATCTAATAGTGGTAGAACGGATTTTTTATCTTTGTTTTTCAAATTTTGATCAAGGGCTGCGTAATTTTTTCAGTTTCATTTTTATATTAGAGATAGTCAGACGAGTTTCATTTGAAATATGAATAAAAGAGAAGAACATTTTTGAATTGTAACTTGTCACATTGAAATCTCAATTAAGTGAATTATTAATTCGGAATATGAGTTTTTCAACTAAAAAGGATTTATCGCAGAAAAATTAAAATGATGGTATTTATAAATTGATTGTTTTATTGGAAAAATTTGTACCAATTCTCCGAAAGAATCAATCAAAAACGAGTACCATTCTCTACTTTGTTTTACTAGATTTCTATTCTTTTCATCGTTATTTTTTCCATGTGATACAAACCGATCGAAAAGCGTCGGTTATTTTTGTGATCGACGATTAACAGCGGTTATTTCCTTTACTTTCGTGATTTTACAGCGTGAAAATCGACGGTTGACTGGGTGTGTCTCTTCTTTAACAACACTCACTCACCACACCCACACCCTCAAGATGGTTTCGAAATGCATTAGTACAATTGTTTCGAAAACCTAATCAAATACATCCATGATTTAATTCATCGAATGTATAAAAGAAAACAATTTTATGTCGAGATTTTGTAACTGTTGTAACAAGTTTATTAAATAAAAATTAGATTTCTATTTGGTAAAACTAAGAAAATAATTGGATGAGATAAACCTGTGATCTATCGAATTTTAAAAAAAAGATTTTAAACACTTCATTAATTGTAGAATACAGAGATGTACCTTTTTGTGAATTATAACTTTAAAATAATGAACTTTAACAATAACGCGCGATGCAAATGTATCCGTACAAATGTCAAGACCTATTGTATATAAACGGAAAGTACTAGAAGCCTAATTCTTTCACTCATAGATAGAGCAAAGTTTGTACTTTAAAATGTGTATTTCCAAAAAAAATTAGTACGTACTTTAAGCCTTCGAATTTTAAAACTTTTAATACCATTAAAAATAGCTTGTAACTTTTTAGTTTTTTTTGAAACTTTTTCTTGTTTTAACTTACATTATATGGGCTAAATAAAGAGTTGAGTGAGTTAAAACTTGGAGACAGAAGTCTATACACTCTATACTATAGATTCTAGTTCAACTGACACTATATTTTCTAATTTTTGCGTTATCATGGTAGTCACTAGTTAGCATTTTACACGAAACTGATAGATTGTATAGTTTTTGACAATAAACTTCTAAAATTTGTAACGTCACAAATCTTAAAAATGTCCGAAAGATGTGGTTTTTCAAACTCTACAAAAATCTGTATGAAACGTTAGGATAAGACATTGCATTCAGCTCACGAAGGACAGAAGACAGAATGAGCGCAAAAACAGTATCTCGCCCCAACTTTGCCATATTTTGGTCATAATCAGACGCTTTTAAAACTCGACAGGAACAGATCCATTTGGCATCAACTTTTCCAGTATTAAAGCTACGAAGCCGCTGACTATTTATATCCAAGTTTAAAACATTAAAACTAGCACAAATCGAACGCATGAAAAAAATCCCAAATTTTACCTTGGTTACAAGCCATTTTTAATGGTATTAAAAGTTTTAAAATTTGAAGGCTTAAAGTACGTACTAATTTTTTTTGGAAATACACATTTTAAAGTACAAACTTTGCTCTATCTATGGGTGAAAGAATTAGGCTTCTAGCACTTTCCGTTTATATACAATAGGTCTTGACATTTGTACGGATACATTTGCATCGCGCGTTACTATCATATCGTCTGATAGTTAAAATATTTATATTAATATACCCATCATTGTTAGCGTATTTTTTCCCAAATATTTAATGATAATAACTTGCCTGAGGACAACAGAATAATTCATAAAAGTGAAAGTAGTAAAATTACATTTTATTTTTTATGAATAATAATAATACTTTCAGCAAAGATTACATACAATACTACTATAGTTGGTGACCACAAACTTACAATCGAAATAGTACGAATGTGCAAAGTGGTACATTATTAATACATTAGTATATTTTCTATTAGATTCATTTTCGAAAGAAATACATTATAAAGTATAAAAAGTATTTTTTGAAATTGTACACGCTTAGAATATGCTGGATTAAAATTAGACACCGTCCTCCGTGTTATCGTATTTTCGTCCACAATAGTTTTTAATCACATTAATTTTCATGAATCATATATTGAACTGATTTTCTTCTACCTATTATAATCTTCATCTATACCTTTGATTTACATATATTTATTTTTTAAAATTTGTCAATGAAACGTTTTCTTTCGTTCTCTAACTGTAATTCCTTGCCTTATATTTTTTCGAAAGGATTTTATTTTTTGTATTTCTATAAGAATACCTCTATGAAAATATTTATTGTTCATATAGTAAATTCATAGTTTAGTTCGTTTATCAATCTCATCATGTCACATAAAACGGCTAAAAGACGTGACGTATCACCTTCGATAATGTAATAAGAACTTTCCTTCGTGTAAATACCAGTAATCTAACCTGTATTTATTGATGCCACACGACGTCTGCATAGGAAATAATGGAATGTATTTTTATAATTTTCTTCATCACGTTATGTTAATAACTTTCATTTCTAAAACAAAATAAGACGTTAAATTTCAAGTTATTTTCTCTTCATCTGACACTTGAAAGTCTGGACTGATAAATATCTACCAAGTGCTTCGTTTAACTAAAGAATATTCGCAGAAAAATGAAGAATAAACAAGTCATCCTTAAATTTTTATCTCTTACCCGTCATTGCGTTCGATCACCTAATTTTACTCTACTTTTTTAAGATGATTTATTACAACAATTTCATATTTTCAGTGATATAGAGAATTAAGTCAATGCCTCTATTAACAAAAACGCATTTTCTAGATGACGTAAGTCCTGAGAAAAAGTTTTTTTTATCGCATAAAACTCGGGGAAGCACACAAATTCATTTTATTGTTTTCATAATGCTTTACAGTTTACTTTTTCGATGCACCTTGAGACTTCAAAACAGTGCCACTTTATTTTCTTCTTATTTACAATAACTTATAAAATTGCTTTTTGTTTCCATAGTTTCGAACTTGAGTCATAAGTTGAAGTTAATAAAACAGAAAAAAAAGCTACAACGCAATTCAAATCTCTTCCTCTCGACAGTTTATTAAAATGAATCATTCAGTTAAATTTTTAACACACATATTATCAGTGTTTAAGTAAACTTTCTTCCATATACATTCATTTCAATAAAATTTGATATAACTCATAGGGTAAAAAAAACATCGCGTTATTTAAAAGAATAATTTGTTGTCATGCCTTTATTTTTCTACTCTTATATACTTGATGTACTGTCATAATAAGAAATAACAATCATATTTATGATTCATTCATGATAATATACATATAAACAGTTATAAAATTGTATTTTTTCAGCATTTCGTATTTTAACTAAGAGAATGACTGATGATAGTATATGGGATGCAGATCTTATACGTCATGCTGATATTCGTCTTTGTTGTTTATGCATATGGCATAATTACGACGGATTTGGTTGCCAACTTAAAGCTGCTCCAGATCCACCACATTTTATATATTTAGTTGAATCAAACAGTCCAGCAACTGCAGGTGGACTTAAAATGCATGATGTCATTCTTGCGATCAACGATCAAGATATGACAACAGCAGATCTTCATGAAGTGGAAGCAGCTATAGAAACTTCAACAAAAACTAAAAGTAGTGTCGACTTACTTGTCGTACAATCCGATGTATATAAAATATTAAAAGAGAGAAATATACCTATTGACTCTATTTCTGCCACGGTTATCTATACACCAGTTAAAATGCCTACTGAATTTAGTAATTTTCCTAGGTACACACCACGCCTATGCAAGATGCGTTTTAGAACTGATGATACGTCACTTGGTTTTGATATTGTCAATGGAGAGAACGATATTGGTGCATATATTCAAGTAGTGCTGCCAAATTCATTGGCTAGTGATGTTGGCTTACGTAGTAGTGATCGAATTATTGAGATCAATGGAGACAATGTCAATGAAAAGTCAAGTGAAGATATACGAAATATATTAGATACAGCGACAAAAAATGGTAAACTGTACTTACTTGTTTACGACACGGAAACATATGGATGCTATATGAATAATAACATGAAACGCAATTCGAAAATATCAAAAACAAAAACTTATAAGGTAGATCGAAGAAAGACTCCAAATTATACAATCTACAACAACAGTAAGTATAGAATTGAATACATATGTATACTGTAATTTGGTTTTAACATTGATGTTCATTGATTAAGACTAATACCAAAAAGAAATCATTTATTAGATTAGATCGGATATATTATAAAACCCATTCATAATGGTTTTTAACATGTTTGCAATATTATCATCAATTTATATATTATAATATTTTTATTTAGATATCATCGAAAATGATGATAGTTTATGTCGAACACTTCCGCAAATAGAGTGTCCAAACAGTACTACAATGAAATCCATCAATAATTATAATTCTATGACATTACCGAAAAAACTTGATTCTAGTAGCAAGCAACTAGATGATATAGAAATCGAATTGGATAATGAAAATTTCGTATCAAATGAAAATAGTAAGTGTTGTCTATTTTTCTAGGAAATATTGAGAAAAAAAAAATATCTTGTTTAACTGTAATATTATCGTTCACTAACATTTTTATTTCAACAATGAAGTATGTGTATTCAGAGAACCTACAAAAAGAATAAATATAAATTAAAATATCTGTCTATATAAGTATGCCTTATGATGTTAAGTAGCTGAAAAGAAAAGACTATTCAATGTAAAAATAGACATGAATTACAAAAGTTTTAAATAATTGTTTTTATATAATCTTATTTTAGATACCGGTGGATATGTCAAGAGCGATCATACTAATACCTTTAGTACAAGATTTGATATCAATGAAAGTGTTGATGAGACGAAATATAAGGTAATAGTAAATCAACTTTCATCATTCAGATGACTAATAAAACTTCACATTTCTTTTTGCTGTAGAATTTTAAGAATGATTATGTTCGGCCGAAAACATCTTCGACAAGAACTGGTACGTATTAAATATACAAATTAATTAGATAATTTGACATTTTATTTTGAATTTTATTTTTAGTTGTAAATATATATAATGGAAGTATTCAAGTTCTTCGGGGAGATTTAACAAGACAAATGGTAATATTTAGTTTGAAATACCTATCTTATACATCTAATATTCCAAAAGCATTTTCATTAAATTATACGATGATTCATTATACTTGCCTAAGTAGAAAAAACAGTTTAAATAACTACCCAGAATAGAATATAAACTTCTACTGAATAATTTTATGCATAAAAACACTGTTGATTTGATTCTGAGTTTGTTGTTATCTTTTATAGGTAGACGCAATTGTCGTCCCATCCACATCTGCTTGTCTTACAGCATATGTCTTACGAGAGGCCGGAGAATATGTTCAAACAGCATACGAGATAGAAATGCAAAATAATTCAATGCAATCAATCTCGGTTGACTGTGGTGGAGTATTACTATGTGAGAAGATTTATTTCATACCATGTCCTGATTTGCTATACAATCCTGACAAATGGACATTTCGAAACTTTATTTCTGAAGCTATTACAATGGCAACAAATGAAAAATCAGGTACGATTCGATCGATTGCATTTCCTGCTATAGGCTGTGGAAAATATAATTGTAATTCTGATTTTGTTGCTAAAACATTAATTATGGCTGCTGCGTATGAATTGGAACGACAACCTTCAGAAAAACTTGACGTCTATTTTGTTATACAGCAACACCAATACGATGTATTTCATGCTTTTGAAAATGTATTAAAATTCTTAGATATCAATGGTTTATCCAATATGAATGATCAATTTCGTACCATTGAAACATATTTACCATCGAAATCGACAACACGTCATAATAATAAAAATGGCTTTATTATAGAAAAACGTCTGTTAGATTATTCTAGTAATGAATATGCTATGGTAGTGCAAAGTTTCTGTACTACAATGACAGAAGGATTATGCAAAGAAATTTTACGTATTGAACTTGTGTGGAACAATCGATGGTACAAACAATACGAAATCCATCGAGATGAATTCAATCAAAGATTAAAGATCAATACAGAACAATATTTGTTTCATGGATGTTCTCAATTTGCAGCAAATAATATTATAAAAGAATGCTTTAATCGAAGCTATGCTGGTCAACATGGTACGTACGAATTAATATTCTTATTGATTAGTTTAATAAAAGTATACATATGTATCATAATTATTTATCATTTAGGTACCAAATATGGCCATGGTGTTTACTTTTCATCACAAGCAAGCTATAGTCATTCATATACAGAACCAAATACAAGAGGAGAACGATGTATGTTTTTAGCACGTGTACTTGTAGGAAACACAATAATAGGTACTAAACATACGAAAATTTGTCCACGTGGATTCGATACTACAACAGATGGAACTCATATATATGTCATCTATCATGATGCACAAGCTTTTGGTCAATATCTTATTACATACAAATAAACATAATATTTTTTTCAGTTAAATAATTGTTTTTCTAATTTTTAGTATACATAAGAGTTTGACATTTTCTTTTTTTTTGCTTTTAAGAGATATCGCGTTGTGAAAGAAGGAGTTTATGATGTTATCAAAAATAGATTTTACATAGAGAAAAAAACAAGGTCTTCGTTGCATAGATTGTGAAAGAGATAATAGAATTTTATTATTTGTTTTCTTTCTCAGTGCTATATTATAATTTCATATGTCAGTAACAAACAATCAACCATCTTTAGAATCTTTTACTATTCAACAATGTACGGCTGAAGATGAAGATGGTGCTATTGCTGTATGTCTACAAACAGGAGATTCAGGGAATGATGCAAGCTTATTGTTTAATGATCCAAAAGTATTAGGACATCGATTTGTTGCACCGTACATTCATTTATCTCCTGATCTTGCATTTGTTTTAAAAGATTCGGAAGGAAATGTATGTGGATATGTACTTGCAGCTTTGGATTCTGTATCATTTTATACACAATATGTGAATGAATGGCTTCCAAAAATGAAACAACTATATCCTAATATTCCATCAGGTGATAACAAGAATGTTTATTATAAACTAAATAATAAATATTAACAAAAAAAAAGGTTCGAGTACTTATATTTATCTTTATAGAAAATGAAAAATTAAAAGAGGATTGGGAAATAATATATGGTTTTCACAATGATAATTTACAATCGTTTAAACTTTTTGATGATTATCCATCGCATCTTCATATTGATTTGTTACCAATAGCACAAAGTTAGTTGATATATTTCGTCAATGATACACATATACATTATAAATTATGTAGGAAAAGGCTATGGAACAAAGATGATACATCATATTGAAAATGAATTACAACGACGTGGTTCAAAAGGAGTTCATTTAGGTAAGTAAAATCTTATCAATGTACTTTACTATTATAATGACATATTGTATAATTAGGAATGGCGCCAAATAACACTAGAGCATTGCATTTCTATACAAAACTTGGCTTTACTATTCTTGCTAATGGTCAAGATACAATGTGGTTAGGCAAAAAATTAGTATAAAACGCAGACATTTGTTATTCTTTTATTTACTTAAATCTTATGGTCGTCATTATTTTTATGAAATTAATTCTAATCGTTGTGATATAAAAGAATCCTACTATTTTCTTTTACTTATAGAAATATATGTGTTTCTTGTTTATCATTGATTTAATACATTTAAGAAAATTGAATTAAATCAAACAGTAATTAAAACCATATATATGAGTTGAATTGATATGTTTCATTTTATTTTATAAGAAGAATATAAATTGTTACAGATATGAAAATAAAAATGTTTTAGTTTTTAACTTATTTTTTTTTGTTATAAAAAATTATATCAAAGTGATATTATTTCAAAGTACATTGTTGTAATGCTTGAAGAATAGTTTCATCACTTTGATGAAGCATTGTCTTAGGTGGATGACTCATAAAATGACCAAAAGCATAATTGGAAAGAAATTGTCCAAAACGTTGATCAGGTACCTGAGGCCAAAGCTCTGCAATTTTATTAATGACATCTTTTTGGAGTTGAGTTAGTTCAGAAGTAGATGATAATGATGCTTGCGCTCTTTTTATAGACTCATGCAAACGTTGTTCAGTTTGAGTATCTTCAGGATGAAAAATATCGCCTCTCGATGCCATCCAATCTGTCCAAATCCATTTTTCTAAAAGTCTTCCTAATGTTAAAGTATGATCATATGTCCATAATTGTGATACAAGATCAATAATTCGTTTAATTCGTTCTAATTCTCTCATTATTTTTCTTTAAAATAAAATAAAATTTCGATTAATCAGTAATATCAATATTGTTTTATTTTACTAACCTATATGACGATAGTTAAATATAAAAACACGTGCAGACAGAAAAGAATAACACATTTTATACTGTAATCATTTCATCACGAGGTATAGTAATGATGAAAAAAAGAATAAGAAAACAATGTGTGCGATAGCTATTTTATGATGTCAGGTCATATAAAGCGATGAAAAAAAAAACATTCTTTTTTTAACAACGTGCCTTGTCTACGTGTAATAAAAGTAGATTTTTACTAATACACTGTCAATCTTTCATATTTGTCTGAAATATATTATTATGAGTCATTGCATTACTAGACGTTATACTATTCAAGCAATGTCTACATGCATAATAATCAACATATATATTAAAAGACTTCAATTTATTATTATTCTAATAAATAAAATTATCTTACAATTTAGTTTTGCATCTTCATCATACGAAATATACAGTTTTCGTAGATTATATTTTAAGGATCATTCAAGTGTGATAAGAGTAATTTCAGTTTTCGATTGTTTTAATCAATTGATATGCGTTCTTTCGATAGTTGTTTATAAAGATTTATAATAATACTTTAAAAAAAAAACTTAACTCTTAACCAATAAAATCTATTTCAAAAGATTTGACATCTATATAAAAGTGTCATTTCATCATCATTACATATAGTTTGGTTTGTGTGCGTTTCTCATATAATTTTTATGTAAAATTAAAAGTATTATACTTTTCAGAGAATACTTGAAATATTCTTTTTTTATCTTTAAAGGCTTTTTATCAAACGAACAATATCGTGTCAACCATTCATAATGTTTTTAAATGGATGATAATAGGAAGTAATAGCTGTGAACGATCAAATAAAATGTTTCTCTTTTGTTTTGGTAACAAATAAAACTAGTTTTGTGTTGTCATTGTTGCGAAATTCACATAAATTAGATATTTTAATTTGAAACTTTTCATATCTGCGTTAGAAATAGAAAAGATCCTTATTTATAATTTAACTGATGCTGTATATTCAATAATGACCGCATTCCATGAAACTATATATTACACAAGTTTGATTTGTTTTCTTCCAATCACACATCTATCTACTACATATATATCGTTAAATAGTAGATATCACTTTAGATATTTACAGATAAAGCTACATTGTCGAAAGAAAATAGCCTTATCGACTATAAATTATGATCAATACCCGTAGATCTATTGTATTCATAGTTCATAGACCTGAAAATATTAATAATCATTTGCGATTTATAAATAGGATAGTATCAACCTGTATTTAGTATTTAAAAAGCATTTTTTTGTATACTCAAATCATTTGGTTGAGACTTTTATCATGACAGATTAGAATTCAATGTCTATCAGTTTTGATTCCTTTTTAGCAGTTTAACATTATTAATCTAAAGTACATGTGTATATTGCTGATGAAAATATACTATTGTGCAATAAGATAAAGAGTCGCGTAACTTCTAAAGTAAAATATCGTTTTATACATATTTTTATAAGGTTCGACAGAGTATAACAAGTTCTACTAGAATATGGATATGATAATGAATTTTAATCCTATTTCTACTACAAAACCAGAAATATGAATAAAAATCTCGCCTATCATTCATTACGATGGAGGTACTTAATTCTCAATGGTTTCATGGTTTTCTACTTATCTATTAGGCTTCATGATAGGATAATCTATCTTAAAATTCTAATGCTTCATAGTTGTCATTATTATTAGTAATAAAGAATAATAGGGTGAGATGCAAACGACGCTATTTCTTAAAAACATATAATTGAATGTAAACTAACTTCATCAAAAAATGATTACTCAGCAGCTATTTACATCCATTTGCTTCTCTGCGTCCATTATCATTCAAGTATTCATATAAAAGAAAAGTACATGAGAGCTGCTCAATAATGTCGTCTATCATTTTATTTGTAGCACAACATTATCGGTTCAATTACACTAAATGTGAGTGTGACCTTAATAGAAAGAGAAATAAATAGAGAAAAACATCTTTGGAAACCATATCATTAGTAAAATGTTTTCAGAGTTCATACTTGTCTTGCTTGCGTTTGATTTATGTTCATCAACAACACCTATGGTCACATATAATAACGCACAATTCGCTCCGATCAATGTAAACTTTACATTTATAGCTCTTTCGTCGATTAATTCATCGACCGAATGTGCTTGTCAATGCTTCACCGAACCGACATGTATTACAGGCACCTATTTTGGCATTAATCAAAGTTGTTCGTTTTTCTCTGTACAACTAAAACCACAATGGTTGCAGATTGTCACTAGTGATATGAATGCAATCGTTTTCAGTTTTACAAATAAGAGTCTTCCTGGTAAGTAACAATTTTCCTTTGTTTATTAACAACCTACTACTTTTCTCTTTACATATTGCGTTTGTCGTAATATCTACTTCAGTAAGATACATATGAAGAACTATATCTAACTATTTCCTACACGACTATTTACAATGATAAATAATATAGTCGATTTTTTTCTGATTCAGGCGATTGAATAAATCGAAATCTTTCTCTTTCAGAAGATTCTTAGATGTCTCTTGGAAAATAAATTTTTTTGATTTAGTCAGATAATTGTAAAAATCATTTGATATGATACTATCTAGACTTGACATGTATCTCACAAGAATATTTTTACTTCTAGTTTCCGCAACGATCCAAACATCGACATGGCAAATGCCGATCGCAACCACAAGTACTTGCAGTAACACGGAAGTAATACCAGCTGGACGATGTACGAAATTCTTTTTGTATCTTGTAAATCTCTATGAACTTATTTTTCTTGTAGCTCCGACTATTGCATGGTACTTTCAGAATAACTTACTCGATCGTTTTGGTGTTTATAATGGTTTTGGTCGAAACAATCCAACTTATGGAGTGGGTCGAAATGGTTGTGGAAAATGTTTAAATCTGAATATGTCATTATACCAATCAGTCTTAATTAACGCCACACCCTATATTGATTTGCGTAATATCTCTTTCTCTGTCGAATCTTGGATAAAACCGGCGGTTGTTACCGATGGTTTAGAACACGTCATTTTTGGTCAGTGTCCAGCGCTAACTACTCGTCAATGTATGCGTACTTCGATCGGTAATCCTGGTGTTATGAGCTTCCTCTTTTTAGCCGACAACCAAGCAGGCTCCCACATCATACCTAACAATACTTGGTCACATGTGGCTTATGTTTACAATATAACAGCGAAAACAATGTCACTCTATCTCAATGGAACTCTTGAAGTATCAATTGGGAGTCATGGGCCCTTTCAGGGAGTACCATACTCATTGGAAATAGGGAATGTTATTAATTATGGTTCCCTTTCCTTCTCAGGCTGCATTGATGAAATATCATTCTATCCATTTACACGAACGGTCGCGGAAATAGCTGCAACTTTTGCATTGGGATAAGTAAAGCGTATCCCTTCAAATTAGTGGATATTATTAGTTTTTAGATGAACTCATATATATATATGTATATATACATATGTATTTATTCTTTGATTTAAGTATATTTCTCATTCGTCTTTTCCTTTTTTCTGTTCATTCATATTCACTTCAAATAAATCAATTATCTTTACAAAAGACATCTGTGACTTTTGAAAAGTTATTCAAAATAAGAAAAACTATTTAACTGCTTGCAATCAATATTATTCAGTTCATTGTAGAGTTAAACAATACGTATAGTTTCTGTATTCCAAAGTCGTCAACTTTCTCTAACAAACTAATACGTGTATTTCATCCATTTCGATTATAGAAGATCTAAAATGAACTTTATACACTATACGCCCATATAAGAAAAATTCATCAATAATATTACTGACAATTTTAGCCCTAGTTATTATGAAACATGATAGTTATAAAGAATCAACATAACTAATATTGTTTATCATGATAGAGAACATTTTTTAACAGTCATTAAAAGTTTATATTTAATATGGTTTCAGGCATTAAAAAAAGTCTTAAACGCGTTTTACCTTACCAGCTTGAAGAATTACATGACGTGAGGATGAATAATATGATTTGATTACTACTTGAAATATCACTTCTTTTACTTACAAAAATCGATAAAAAATGGTGTCAGAGTTAATGATTCAATGTCAGAGTTTTTAAAAATCGACTAGTAAATCTACACTAACAGACAATCTTGAATTAATTTATATTATTTATGATAGAACGAATGAAATTGAAATGATACAGTCAGTGTTAAGTTTCTTTTTTGAGTTTTATAACTAATTATGTAATATTCTTCGAAATCTAAGAGTAATATTTTTTTTCATTCATAGTTCTAATTATATTCGTTTTATAAAGATATAAAATCAACATTTTCTTCTTAAATTTAGGTTATTAATACAATATCTGAGTGACTTGATCTATAAGTTGAAATCAAGATTTATATTCAAAACAAAATTTGGTTAGATGTGGAATTAACACAAGAAATATATTTATTTTTACTTTGACTCTCATGAATGCACCTACAACAGAATATAATGTCACAGACTTTTTTACATTTGTCTGTATTGAATTAAACTTTTTAGTAGAGTTAAATCAATGTTGCGTTTAGCGCAAAGGGGTAACAACTAGAATTCAAGTCAATTTTGAAATTTAGAAAATTAGTTAAAGTCATTTGAAAATTAAATATAATTTTAATTTATTTTTCTGCTTTTACTTCCTCAGTTTAATTTATATATTTTTAGAAGGAAATTTTAACATGTAATCTATTAATTTTAAAACAAAGAAATCAACTGAATTATTTAATTATAATCTTTTTTTCCAAGTAATAATAATTATTAAAAAAATTCTTAATATTTAACCTAAAATATAAAATAAAGATATACTAGGTACGTTGCTCATTAGTTGTTATAATGACATATGGGATCAAATAAAAGTACATTCATACTTTTATAAGAAATGTCAATGATAGGAATAGATATTTGTAGATTATATTTGAGGAGCATTTTTTGATCTTTTTAATTATTATCATTCGTACAAAGTTGTTTTTGCTGTTCTCAGTTTCCAATAATTATAACTATCATCAAAGGAAATAGATTCATCCAGGTATCTTTTTTTCTATATCATAAATGATAATTACATCCAAATATCAAAGTCTTTTAACATATACTGTATAATTTCATTGTTATTTATTTGAGAATACTAATTTACTCTCTAGTCATTTTCTGCTTATCTTGAAATTATTCATCTTTATATATATATTATTTAATCTATACTGTCTCGTTTATTAATGCGCGTGCTTCATAATTTAATTATCATAATTTTTTTCTTTGACGTTTGTATTAATACTAATTTTTCAGAGTTATTTTTGTTATTCATTATGCAGTAAAGCCTTTTATAGGCATGATATAAAGTATCAGATCTTTTAACAGTTTTAATGAAAAAAATATGTAATCATTATTAAAGTCACATTCTTTGTTGTACAGAACACGCAATGTTCTTGAAAATCTCTTTTGTTCTATTTATAAGATTACATTTCAATTTTTTTCTTCGTACATGAAAAGTAGTGAGATTTGCTTCATTATATCTTCTATTCTATTACAATTGTAATGATGGATATATTTCAAATTGTTACATCTGTGTTTATGCTCTTATGCAGTCTATTAGGTGTTGTATGTTCGTTAATCTTCATTGCTATAGTCTTCCTCGATCATCGGTGTCGCACACCTATCGTCGTAATTAGTCTTAATACAGCAGTTGCTGGTTTTATTATTAATACAATTTATGCTTCTCAAGCAATCTATCAAATGATTAGTGATAGTTCTGATGTTTTATGTGTATTTCGAGGTTTTTTGCTACATAGTTCAACCGGTCTTTTTTATCAAAGTCTTTGTATTCAAGCAATTTATCGTTTATTTGTAACTGTTTTTGCACAACGACGAAATCTTCAATCGAAATATGTTATTATACCCATTATTGTTATTCAATGGATTATTTCTAGTACATTTGGCATTCCTATCCTATTGATGAAACGAATTCAATTTCAAGAAACAGGTCGAATTTGTCAGGTATTTTTAATAAATATATTTTCTAATCTAATAGATTATTATTCCATTTGTAACAAAAAAATGAATATTTATTTTCTGTAGGTAGCCATAAATGATATATTTGGTTTTATGTATCTTGCAACATTTATTTATTTTCTTCCTGTAACAGGAATTATTTTTATTTATATTGCAATATTGAAATATACTAAAAGAAGTCTTATTATTGCTAATGTTCGCCAACTTGGACTTGAACAAACTCGTTATCGACGTGAATTACGATTTATAAAACGTATCCTTATTCTTATTTCTATAATTTTCATAACTGGAGTGCCTTATTTGACATTTTTTCTACAAGTTAATATCAGCCAATCACTAATGCCATCATATGGTCATCGGATAAGTTTTATGTTTCTCTCCTGTGGACAAGGTCTAGTCATGCTACTTGCGATATTCTATGCTGATGATGTACGACAAAGTCTTCGAAATATTTTATTAAAAAAACTGCCGTGGATTAGAGGACGACGAATTGGAAATATAATATCATGAATATTTATATACAAGTATATTCAATGACAAATTTAAAAGAATATTGTATTGCTAAATTTTATGTTTATTTGTTTAATGTTGTTAAAAAAACTTCTTCGAAAATGACGAAGTTCTATACGAAATTCTTTTCGGATTTTTATAAGCTGAAACATTTAAGATGGCGAGCTAGCTATTTCAATTACAAAAAATATATGTGATCGTTATGGAGCAGTTATAGAATGTATGTACAGAAAGCATATTTTTCCGTCTTGGAATGACTTTGTAAGTCACTTAAGGTTTTATCAGTGACAGAGTTCTTTTCAAAAATGATTAGTTAAAAAGAATACTTCTAGTTCGTTTCTGACTTTGAAATACGCTACTGGAATGAAAAACGCAGATGTATTTTTTTCAAATATCTATTGAAACTGTATTCGCAATAAAATAAATGCTGAGATAATATGCGTTGATTTTGCACCGCTTTTTGTTATCTGTTGTACAATTTGTATATTTGAAGTATTGAATATTATAAGAGAAATATGCCTTATAGGATTAATTGTACCATTTTGTTCAGTTTTCAATATTGACCCTAGTAGTATATAGGAAGCTCAAAAATTATGTATCATTACTTTATTTCTCTTGTTATTATCAACATCAACATTAGTTTAATGCTACAGACGTCATAAATTATTAGTGAGAACGGAGCATAGTTTCTATTCTCTTTACTTTTAACAACTAACTCTATGAAAGAACTCGTAGACTAAACAATTCTTACTTTCTTTTGTTTTATAGACAATTGAAACATTAAAAATATATCACATCTTTATGTGCATTTTATTTAGTATATCAACAATTATTATAGAAATTTGTTTGGAAACTTCTTAATATTATGTTTATATCTAAAAGATCAATCTGATTTCATCTAAGATCTTCAAACGAATCACATGAAGATTATTATGTAGAAACTATAAAAGATTTTAGAATAACTTACAAAATATATATGACATGCGTCATAATATAAAATTCAGTGAAACACCTTTTAGTTCATACAGAACAGATATATATCATTATTTATAGATGATAGAATATTGTTTATGAAAAGTAAAAGGTTTTTAAGTTCATTTTTTTTAAATAGAACTACTAGATAATTACATTGAATTGTATCCTTTAATATCGAGTTTTTTTCGAAATAAATTGTATTTGGAAAAATGTTCATATCTGCTGTACAATTTACAGTAAGACTCATTGAAATCACATAATAGCTATCTCTTTTTTTGGTACTACAATATATAAATAGATTTTTCTCTCTTATTAATTATTTATAATAATAATAGTCAATGCTCAGTGCTTATTTGATATGATTATCTATTCTTTCCTTCTTTCTGACTATTTATATTATGGTACAGAGTCATAAAAAAGATTTTTTTACATAGAATTAGTTTCATCATAATTTTTAATAGCCAGAAAATTCTAAAGCTTTTTGTTGTCTTTCTTATTATTGAAAGACAAATGAAATTTTTTGAAATATTATCATCGATTTTTATGCTTTCATGTAGTATATTAGGTATTATTTGTTCATTATTACTTATTAGTGTAATGATTACTGCTCGTCGTCATTGTACACCTATCGTCTTAATTAGTCTTAATACAGCAGTTGCTGGCTTTATTATTAATACAATTTATGCTTCTCAAGCAATCTATCAAATGATTAGTGATAGTTCTGATGTTTTATGTATATTTCGAGGATTCTTGCTACATACTTCAACAGGTCTTTTCTATCATACGCTTTGTATTCAAGCAATTTATCGTTTATTTGTAACTGTTTTTGCACAACGACGAAATCTTCAATCGAACTATACTATTATACCTATTGTTGTTATTCAATGGATTATTTCTAGTAGCTTTGGAATTCCCATTCTCTTAACGAGACGAATTCGATTTTATGCTGAAGGTCGAATCTGTCAGGTAATTATCACTATTTCAATATCGACGAAAAGCAAGTTTAGACGAGTTTCCTAACTTAATTTTCAAACATTAGGTAGTAAATTCGTCTAATTAATTAAAATCTATGGATGATTAATATTAAATGCTTTTGTTATTTACGACATGTTTTTATTAGAAGTCTTAGAAGTTCAAAAGTTGTCGTGACATTTATAAACATGCGTAGTTTCCATTCTTTTTATAAATTTTTTTATTAGAATCGTTTTTTTACAGTCTTGCACATATTGACGTTTTTCATATCATCTGACAGTGGTTTAGAGTTCATATGATAAACGATATCTATTTTCTATAATACGTTACAAATCTATTCATTATTTTAGGTGTCCATAAATAATATATTTGGCTTTATGTATCTTGGAACATTTATCTATTTCTTACCTTTATCAATAATTATCTATATATATATTACAATATTAAACTATACGAAACGAAATATTACAATTCCAGGTGTTCGTCAACGTATGATTGCACAAACACGTCATCGACGTGAACTACGAATTACACGGCGTATTCTTATTCTTGTTTTCATACTATTTATAACTGGATTTCCATATGCTGTATTTTTTCTCCAAGCCAATGTATATCGATCATCATTATTACCATATGGTCATAGAATAAGTTTTATGTTTATTGCTTTTGGTCAAGCATTAAGCATGCTATCTACATTAGTCAGAACTTATGGTACTAAATGCACACTTTTAAAAACCTTATCGTAAAGATAACTTGGAAGTTGTATTTAATAAAATAAAATACGACAACTGTTTAATTATTGCTAGTAGCTGATTAGAAAATATTAGCTGTTGTGAAAGAATCAAAACTGAAAAATAGCTATACAACAGCTATTATTTATTACTGTGACTGTTTTATCTTTCAAAGGGTTTTCGTCTGTGATCGTACAAAGTATATTGATTAGCATATGTGATGATACAAGACTGTACAATAATATTGTACTAAGATATACTATCTTTTGAAAATTTATTTGTTTATGCGTTGGTTAAACCAGCGTCATGTTCGTCGCGTCATATATCATCGTTACTTCTGTTATGAAAATCTTGAAAAACTACAACATAATTCGATTTTTTTAACCAAATTTTAACTATGAAAAAGTCTTTTTTCTTTAATCAACCAATCAACATAGTCTACTGTATTCGTGGAGAGATACTTAAAATTCGATTTTAAAATAATCATTCAAGAAAATCAACAAAATTTATTAATATAACAGTTAAATCATTTTTTTCCTTTTAGATAATTTCATGGCAATGAGTAAAATATTTTTTATAGTCTACTTCATTTATGAAAATCTTATATAAATTATAATGACAATATATTACGCATTTAAATTTTATAATAAATTTATTAGATGACAAACATGATAAACACTTTGAATTATAATGAAGTAATTCACACGTTAAAAAAATGTACATAAATAGATTTAGCCTAATTTTCCGTATTTTGTACATCTTTTTTGAATATGTTTATCGAACCGATTAGTTTAATAAAAAGAAGCGTGAATCTTCATAATAGTATATAATTATTCATATATATACGCTTTGTTTGCATTGACTAGTACAACAATCAATGATTAGAAAAACATAAGCTTATTTAAAAACAGAATAATCATTTTTACAAACTTTGCAAAAATAAAGTGGCAACGTTATGATATATGAGTTAATAAAATTAGATCTAAAGCTAAAACATAATTTCGTTATTTTTAGACGACTTTTTTTACAAAGAAAAAGATATCTTCAGTCTTGTTATAGATGTGTCTATCAAATATGCCGCCTCAAATTAAAAGTTTTTAATTATTTGTTAAGAATACTGGAAAAAATTAAATTAAATTAAATATTCAGACATTCGTATGCGCTTAATTACTCTCCTTTTAGTTACATAAACCTATTCATTTATTGTCTCTTTTCATGGATAGTTTTTCTACCATAACTATTATCAATGAATACAAATACTATGGATATTGTAATTATCTTGTCTAGAGAACATTTATATTTTCAAAAGTGAAATCTAGAACAATAATGAGGTTTGTTATAAAAGTGAAAATAGATATTTATTCAATTAAAAATCATTATCAAGTATTTTAGCGTATGATAAGCTTGAAGAATAGTCGAAGTGGTATATATACCACGCCCCATCCCCAAAAGAGTTAAGGTAATAGCTAGAAAACTGAGTTTGCCCCCCATAAATAAATATATAATAATTATAAACAGAAATGTTTTTCCTATGACAGTCTACCACTTTTTTGACACCTGATTAAATATGTTTTTTATCTATACAAAATTCATTACTCTCATTAAAAATATATTCTTCATTTTTTTGTTTTTACAAAAATCTCATACGCTTTAAACTATAGAGAGTTAGTTTAGTATCCTATAATATGTCACCATGATTATATTTATTTGAAAAATGAATAGATTAATAGACTGTACAGGTAGTAATAATATATTTTTCATGTCTTCCTTCATTTTAGTACGACATAATTAAAAATAAAATGTAGTGTTTATACAAATACAACCTTTTAATTATTTCTTTATTATGAAGATTACAAATACGATATTTAGAACGGTTATAATTTAAGACTTACGATCATGTAAAGTATAAAAGAGATAAGAAAATAACTGTAACATAATTTTTCTTCATAGAAAGTAATGACACTTGAACTTTAATCTCTTATATAGGTCTAGTTAAAATTTAGTTACATGTATCATTAAAATGAATGCCTAACTATGAATACGTGATCATTATAAGAACCTTTTCTACAAATTCTTTAGTATAAAACAAAAATAGAATTTAATTACACTATAATATTGTTAATATACATTTTTATTCGTAATAAATAAATCTGTCATTTAATTCTAGATACGAATCTATTTAGTACATAGATCTACATTGAACTTAGATATTGCTTGAATTGTATTTATCATGAGTGCAATAAATTCCAGTGTCACTACTAGCGTTGATCCTGTATTACTGAAGGTACCATTTCAATTAAATATTTGGCTTGGTTTATTTATTTTTATTACGGGTAATATCAGTACAATTGGAAATTTTACAGTATTTACTTCTCGAATGTTTCGTAATCGAGCTTGTTCAATTTATTTAATAGCAGAATCTATATGTACATTTATCTATTTTGATTTTGTGTTAGTTACACGTCTAATTCAAAAAGGTTTTAATTATCCGATTATAAATCTTTATGATCCTATTTGTAAAGTACGTCAATTTTTTTCGGAATATACACATCAAGTAGCATTTACATTATTTGCATTGGCTACTATTGATCGAATTTTATCTACTCATCGAGATGTTGGTAAGTACAATCAAATATATAGAAAATATTTTCATGATAAATTAGCAGAGTTAGATCATAATGTAAGATTATGATGATAGTGCTGAAGTTTGGTTTCCTGTTATTAAAAATAAGTTTCTTTATGTAATATAATCAATTATATTTGTTTTTATATTTTAGCCTATCGACGATGGAGTAATTGTAAGACTCTTGCTTATAAAATAATTCCAACAGTTGTATTTACTTGGTTCATATGTGTATGGCATCGATTATATTTTTATAATATAACTAGCGGAAGTTGTAATCCAACACCAGGTATTTATGAAAAGATCGATAGTTATTTCGAAGTAGTTATGTCAGGATTTGTACCACCTATACTTTTGATAACACTTGGTTGTTTACTTTTACGGAATGTTCGCGGTGTTGTACATAGACGAATTGTACCCGCTGGTGTAGTCTCACAACCAATCAATACAAATCTTTCACATATTCAACAAATTGATAGTCAACTCACGGCTATGATCTTGTTACAATCATTTGTCGCTATACCTTCTTTTATACCTTTTGGAGCACAAAATCTTTATACGAGTCTATCTCGTGGATGGTATAAAACACCATTACGATTAGCTTGGGAAGATGTTATTATTGAAACTATACGTCTTTTTTCATATTTATTCTATAGTACAAGTTTTTATGTATCATTATATTCAAGTCGTGGTTTTCGCAAACAAGTTTTACATTCATTGAGAATTAAAAAATATAAACCACAGCCTCATATAACAACAACATATCAGTAGCTAATATGAAGAAATAATATTCATGAAAATAAGCAATTGTTAGAATGAATAATTTTTGCAACTTTAGGATACATAGTAGCAAGTGAAAATATCAAAAATCATATCTGTAATTGTTGTCATATTTGTAGTAACAATGTAAATATAAATAAATATTTTTATCCATGTATTTATAATTGTTCGTATTGTCAGTCGATTCTAATGTAATTTCTTTGTATGTTCTATCTCATTTTCATAAATATTTCTAATATGATTAATTGATATAGAATATCCATATTCTAATTATTTTCCGTATCATTTATATGATTGAATATTGCTCTAAAAGCTCTTCTCATGCAGTAAGTTGGAAGATTATTTGCTCATGTTGCTTTGTAATTTTGTCAAATTAAAAAAGATGAGAGATCAAAGCTTGTACGTGTAGATGATAGACAGCTTCAGGTGAATAAATCGTGTCACATATTACCATTTGTTTCGTTTTATGACTGGACGTATAATTTATCGATTTACTGATAAGTTTTATAATCATAAAGTTCTTGCTTTCGCATTGTAAAAGTACCAAAATTTCTTTACTGAATTCTATTCACTATCATCATATATTGAAAGTATTAGTTCAAATAATAATTCATTAATGCTTCATATAGGTCTTCTGTTGATAAATAACAAACAAATGGTGAAAGATAAATACTTCAATAAGTAAGTCAAGAAGAATATTCAAAATTTCTTATTCTTCAGTTTAATAGAAACAAAACAATTTTAAAAGTATATCAATAATGTATTCTCTTCCAAACTTTATAAACATAAGACAGACTGATAATGACAATAAATATTATGAAACATAAAAGAGATTTATTTTCCATCACATAGATTAGTAGCAATGTATCATTACCATACCATGTTCCACCACCGACACCATCAAATAATTTTCCCCATAACAAATTATTTGGTATATAATAAAAATTATCTTTAAATGGATATGTTCTATAAATCCCATAAAGAAAAGTCGGGCCAGCACTCAAAATAATTGTTAAATGATATAAATAAAACCATCGATTTGCTGATTTAAGCCGATTAACAGCTAATTTAAAAAACGGATGATGTTGTTTCGATATCATAATATCTGTATTTGCTGATATACCTTCGGTTCCCATATGTAATATAATATCAGGTTCATAATCTGTTTGATTTGTTGGTATCATAGCAGTAATTATATCTTGAACATTACATTTTATATCAAGATCAATATAAGCACCACCGAAATGAAATAATAATAAATATTTCATTGCATCTATTCGTTGCATATCATATTTATAATTTTTATATAATGGTAAAAACCATGAATATTCAGTTTGTAACCAAACTAGAATTTTTTTATGTGTCCATAATGTATAATTATAATTGGAATTTAATTCAATACATGAATCGGCTGCTTTACGAAATTTTTCAGTCATGTTTTTATTGTCTGATGATATCCAAATTTGATGAAGATATCTGGGAATTTTTCTTTTCGATATATAATCATTCGGAATTTGTTGCCATACACTCATATCAAGTTTAACCATATCATTAATCTCTTCAGTTTCAAAAAAATGTCCTATTAAAAATCTTACAGTTTGTATTGTATGTAGAAATAAAAATGTAAATATAATTAATAATATGATAATCATTATTTTGTGATTGTATTTTACTCTAATATATGAAAAAAATTTATTTTTGAAGAGATAAAATTCGCTTCTGTTGTTTGAATACATTCTAAACAATAGAAAATGTATGACCTCTGCGAATACAATGTACTTTTTTTTCTATTTCTCTTATCATCACTCTTCAAAGTTAATATATTTCATTCCCTTTCTGTCGCAGCCATTTTCATTGTATCGAATAAAAAAGAAGTATGACTCATTGTATCAATCTAGATTTCTTTCTTCTTCATTAATTGATTAAAGAAAAGAAAAGTCTTTTATTTCTGATGTCGCCTATGGGGATGGTTTTAGGATAGTATTTCCGTCTATCTAATGGAAATTAAAAGAAATGTTTACTTATACTAAAGGATACGATGAATGCTTGGACAAATGAAAAAAGAAAAAAAATACCATTCATATTGTCCTATTTCGCAGATTGTTGAATAGTATTAACTATTGTACAGTATATTTTTTTTAAACAAGAAACAAATATTGACAATTAAATAAAAAAGAAATCAACCACAACTAACATAATTTTATATTCTATACAAAAAACTGTACTTAACTTCTAATAAATGAACTTTTGTGGAACTCACATAAATTTTTGAAGAAAATCGTGAGTATAAGTTTTAAGTTCAAGTTTTCCAGTTCCCCTCCCCCTCCCACGCAATAAAAATCAGCAAAACTCATTAAAAATAGCTATAAATTGCAGGATTTTCTATAAAAAATAAGCAAAATGGGCAAATACAGCTATAAATTAGTAGAATTTTAATAAAAATAAGCAAAAATAGTTAAAAATAGCTATAAATTAATTAAATTTGAGCAAAAAAAGAAAACAAAGCACTTAAACGCGATCAGATATTTTGATGCGAACATACGTGAGTTCCACATTTTTAGCCCCAACGGGGCGCGCTGATAAGCTTTTTAAACAGAGGTGCAGAATCTTCCTCGTGCTTCCCCGCGCGGGGAGGGAAAGTTTTTTAAAACTGCATTTGTCGGAGAATTTTTTGGAAAATTTTCCTGGCGAGGGAAGTTTTTTTGATTTTTAGGAAGATTCTGCACCTCTGTTTTTAAGACAAGTACCTAATGGAAAGAATTACCCTTCTTTATGTGATACTCGTTGTATGAGATAATATAGATTAAATTCAATCACACAATTTCTTTTAGTTTAATTTAGATTTTTCATCATATAATCAATGGTTACATTATTTTCTAATTAAAAAATAAGAAAAATTCGGTGAAAGTATGGCGAAGTCAAAGACAAATTATTAAATGAGGAGATGTAGAATAAAAAAATGTTTTTCTGTTTTTTTTCCATATCCAGCTGAGCGCGAGTACATATGTAATACGATTCTATAATGATATCAAAGATTAAAATGATCTTTTATACATTATAAATTAATAAATATATTCACGTCATAACCTTCTGTAGACAAAGTTATTCTTCTTACAAAATAATTAAGTATTTGATTAAAATTACAATGTGAAACACAAACACTCTTATTGAATAAATATTATAAACATCCACGGATAAACTTCATTTAAAGATAATTTTGCTGTCGAGATGCACATCTATATAATTATAAGTACTATTCAAAGTTTTATATGTCTCAAGAAAAAAAAATATCATTGGAAATTGATTTTTAATAAAATATTTCTAGATTAATTCTATCGAGAATCTATTTCCTCAATAAAAACATTATATACCAAAAATTCTTATTATTATGAAATTATGTAATAATGAATATAAGACGTATAACACCCGCATCTGTTTGAATATCGTATATTTTTTGACAGCTGCACCATTCGGCGATGACGTTTCTTTTACGTTCGAAAAACAAAAATACTCGACAATAATATTTACACAAAAACAAGTATAATGACGACTGAGAACAAGCAAAACATACTATGAAATACAATAGTAAATCCATTTGATACCAATTAATAATAAATTTACGACATACTGTAATTTAAATAAATCGATTGTATACATTACATAAAATATCAAGAATAATTGAATATCTAATTTATTAGGAGAAGAAGAAAAAAATAATTACAAAAATATAATAAATGTCATCATAATTTTTATTGCATTTAAATCATAATATGTTTACTCGTCGAAATTAATTTTGATAATCTAAGAGAAAATGAAACAAGTGCTATCTAGAAAAAGAAAGATAATTTTTTATATTGAATTCATATTTATATTGAAATATTTACTTGTAAAATTAATGTTGCTATACATAATACAATTGAACTAATTGAAGCAATGAGAACACGAGTATCAATCATATGAAAATACATCATAGTTTGAAAGATTGCCAGTAAAGAAATGATAAGAAATACTCCAAATATACATACAAAAATTGTACTAACCCATGCGAACTAAATTAAAAGAAAAATTTCATATTAGAAAATAAAATTAACATTTAATTTACTAATAATAATCCTCTGGAATAGTATCGATAAGTAATTAGCAACCAAAGGCCATCATAAATAAGAGAAACTAAAGCCCAACTATATTCATAATTATGATTAAAATTTTGACAAAACCATATATTTGCATATTTCATACAAGGTAAACTAACAAAAACTAAATACACTAAACTTGAAAACTAAAATTGAAATAACAAAAAAAAGATTAATTTTAAATTAGTAATAAATTTATTTACTTACAAACATAATTAAAAGTAGTGTAAGAAGAATTTTTCGTAATCGACATATGTTTGGTTTTTGGGAAATTAATGGTAAAGATGAATGAAGATTATTAACGATGACAGTTTGTTGAGCAGTTAATTCACTTTGCATGTTCTTTGTAAGTATCTTCAGAAGTAAACTGAGCAAATGAAATAGGAACTAGACTAATACTCTTCTATATTACTGACATATTCTAATCTGTCTCTTGATGGGTGTGTTGTCTTTCTCCGAACTATATACCATTAGAAATAATCCTTGTCAAAGCAAAAGAAGAAAAAGAAAAGTAATCAGAAAAAGAGCGAAAGAAAGAAAAATAGCAAGTCTATCATTATTTATAAATACAAAGAATTAAATACGAACTATTGACTTCTATTAATTATGACGAAGAATATAGAATCTTTTAGGGTTATTTGATACTTAATAGTATCTAGAAAATTCTATGTATACTTATAGGAAAATACTCTAATCTTTACAAATCAATTATTATTCAAGTTATAATGTTTCTATCATCTGAAACCATATTTAAATTTCAAACTTCATTCCATATACCGATTATTTCAACAAATTCTATCCATACGATGAATTATTTGTAGGGTCGAAGAGTTTGAGCATCGCCAGCTATGTTCATGAAGAATTATGTTCGGTAATTTTGACGTATGAGACTGGAGGGAGATAAGACTGTCTTATCTCAACATTAACTTATGACAGGATGTTTCACTTCCGAATGCAATAACAACTATTCTCACAGGAACTACATCAAAATGTTAGTCTAAAATTTATTGTATATATGAATTGAATGAAACAGAACGGATAAAGTTATATAAATGATTCAATAACATATGATACGAAGTCATATGACCTTCGACTATAGCTATAAAATTATATTCCCAACATTGCTGCTAAATAATAATTTATTACTTTTTATTTAATACAAATCAGAAGAAAAAGAAAAATACAAAATTTATGTAGAATACTTGCACTCATATTTAATTACTACTTAATTTCAGATATTGATACTGATTCCATTATGTTATGTTGAAGATTCTTAATTAATTTCGATAGTCGAAATGATAATCGAAGACTAATGTACTATAAAGAAAACAAAATATTTTTTGATAAATAAAATATAAAAAGATTTACCAGTACAGATGTAATAGAAATCCAAAAAATAACAAATATAACATAACGAGATGAAGTTTTTATCCAATTATTTTGTGCTGATTTTATTTTCTGAATTTGCCAAAACAATATATGTCCAAGTGCACAACAATTCAAAATAAGAAATATTATTCCAATACATGTAAACTAAAAGTATTAAAAAGAAATTGTCAATAATAAATAATTAAATGTAATAAAATACCACGCGTAAACATATTCGATGGCATAGATAAGTTGCTATTAAACCAAAAATATCATAAACAAGTGAGAGAAGTACCCATAAAAGTTTATAGAAAAAATATTCCTTTAGCTTCAAAGGTTCATCTATCGGTCGATCAGTTTTATATAAATGAATAAATGCAAATAAGGTAACCAAATTGAAAGTCTAAAAAGGGTTTAAATAATATTACAATATAATTGTTGTTTATGACTTACGAATAAGATATCGATTAGAACAAAAAGAATTTTTTGTCGTCGATATATTTCAGATTCTTGAGAAAGTAATTCTGGTGAAGGAGCCACATTAGGATGATCGATCATGATTATTTATTTTGACGAATTGCTATATAGACATGAAAAACGATTTTTTATAACTATAAACTAGTAAAAATATTCAGAATGGGAAAGATTGTGTATGCAAGAAACGTGATGGTATTTTATTCTTACCCATATGACTAATAAAATGATTTATTCTATAGATAACGAATTAGACGAATATGTAGATCTTGTACAAATATAGATAATATCTTTTCTTTTATATTTTGTAAAAGATGAAGAAAGAAACTTTAATATAATTTTTTTATTTTTCGTGATACTTGAAAATTAAGAAAGAGTTATTACTAAAAAAGACACAGGTGTACATAATGATGAAAAAATTAAAAATAATAAATTATAATGTTCGAATCATTGTATTTCGATTCTTGTAAAGTAAATTCGATAATTTAAAAGATAATAATACAATAATAAACTAGAAAAGAAAGTAAATTAATTATATATATAATTAGAAAATTTACTAGCATAATTGAAGTTAGAATAAATATAAGAATAAAAATGAGAGGACCAATTATATCATCATTATCATCACGAGTCTTCACTTGTTCTTTTGTATAAAAAGCAATAATACAAATAATTCCGATCATCATAATTGATGAAATTAAAGATATTGTTCCAATCCATGCAAACTAAAAGAAACAGAATAGATATTCTTAACAGAATATCCAACAATTATAAATTACCACACGTAAACCTTTTCGAAAATATTGATAAGTTGTTAATAATCCAAAAGCATTATAAACAATGCATGCTAAAGTCCATAATAATTCATAGTTATTTTTAAAATAATGACTAAACCATGAATTATCGATATAAGCATGAACGATAAAAATTAAGTAAAGTAAATTGAAAGCCTGAAAATTAATTTTACTGTTAAAATTATATATTTATTATTTAAATCACTTACAAATAAAATACTAAGCAGAACAAGAAGAATTTTACGTGTTCGATTTATTTTCACATGTGTGGAAGATGAATTAGTAAGATTAGGATCTTCGATCATATGCATAGTATGAACAGGCTTGTTATCTGTCATATTTAATTATCTTTCTTTTTTTTTGCCGATCTGTACTTATAAAACTAGATGATGTTGTAGTTATAAATAGAAGAAATAAAACAAGCTGACACACACTTCTTTATGATTTGTAAATCAATAGAAAAAAAGAAATACAAAATTATTGCCATTTATAGTGATATAAGAGAATATCTTTTGCAAACAGTTGGCTTCGAAATAAAATCATTTTTCAATATGAGAAATATATAATATCAAGAAAGTTATATGTTATAATAATAATTCAAGTGGATGAACCCAGACATAGACAAGTCAGTTTTTGACTTGATTGACTTGAGTTATGAATTTCTAATTGACTTGCAACTTGACTTGACAAAATCGAGAAAGAGTTGGCGTAACTTGAGACTTAGAAAAGTCGCGACTTGCCCATCTCTGGATGAATCACATTTTTATGTTATCAAAAGAAGTCGTTTGAAAGTTTATATTTTTCAATATTAAATTCTAAAATAGTTTTTTCAGGTTGAGTATGTATAATATTTTCGGTTTTTGATTAAGTAAGAATAACTAAAAAAAAAATCTTTTTTAATTACGAAATATATCGGAATTTTTTCAAATAGATAAAACCAACAAGGGAAAAATCAGCTCTTTGTTGTATGATATATATCGGTACCTCATAAATTAGTGTATTTTTTTGTGCTGGTTAAAACTACAGTTGTTCTTAGGATTAATATCTCATTAAAGGATTCATTTACGAAATCAGTCGTTTCTTCTTTGATAAAATCAATGTTCAAAAGAAAAAAGAAACTTCATAAAATATATAAAAAGCGTTAATATTATTTTGTACGATGAGAATATTTATAAAGAAAAACATGCAGCTGCATATACTCGATTTTTATAACAATTCATATTTGTACGAAATTCTTCTTTAATCCATGCTGATCGATAATCACATATTTAACTAGTATTCGAATCTTGAATATCTAATAACTTCGATGAATGTGTTGCAAGAAAAGGTTGAAATATATTTTCATCTAAATAATCAATACTTGTAGTATAAATACATAATAAAATTTGTTGATTACGAAAACATGAAGCATTTAACATTACACTACTAATATAAATATGTAAAATTTGATTTATATCATTCGTATATGATACTGTTCGTCTATTCATAGCCAATGAATATTTAACGATATAACTAATTGGTTGCATTGTTTTTGCACAGGGAACACCTAACTAGATATCATGGAATGTTGTGATTTTAACTCGATGGAAAAAGCTAAAATAAACATGATTGTGATAAAATTTTAATGGAATGAAAATTAACAATCTGTCTCGTAAAACTATTCTTTTTTCTTATACACGAACTAAGTAGAAGCCTAAGCAAACTTCTACTCTTCAAAGTCGCAAAGAAAACTCAAGGAGCTCTATTAATAGTTCTGTTCTTCGCTCATTTCATAAAGAGTTATGGTATTTATCGCATTCCTGTATCTCATCATCGAGATCCTTCTCGTCGGTTAAACTACATTATCATCTAACTATTCATGTCGAGAAAGTAGTACTACCGTGCAATTTACATTATCAGCATAAAGTTTCTCTTTGCAACAATGTACTGTAATTTCAATTGATAACAATAATTGTTCTTTATCACCTTCATATTGCTCTAATTATCTTACAATGAACAATAGTAGTTATTGTGCTCCTGCTATTCAATGTTCAATTTTAGAAGAATGTGAGAATGTACTATATAACTGCAGATCAAATGATTCAATATGCATTGTTAATTCATGTTGTTTATCATCAGCTGGATATTTATCTGTGTTGACAACAAACATCTGTTCCCAAGGTAAAAGTAAATTCATAAATGAATTATAAGATACTAGCAGGCAATGCTTGGGCACGCATGCGAAACAGAAGTAATTGTCTCTTCGATGTGCTTCCACAACAGAACGAGTGCAGATGATTCTGTTGAAATAACTGATGATTGCAAAAAGAGTTTTTTACACTTTTAAAGGTTTATTTTCAGATCTTGAAATTAAGACTAAGACTAATATTTGTAGACGTATTTGGGTGAGGATGAAGGAGTTGATGGGTGTAAATGCGAGAAAATATAGCATCCACAAACACATTCAAAATGATTTCAGAAGAAAAATACGCACTAAGTAAATAAAAATAAATAATAGTTAAATGAAAAGGTTAGATAATAGTTTTCAGAAAAACTCTCATAAGTGGTGCACAATGCTTACAGTTCACAACTATCAAAGTTTATTTTTGATCTCATTGATGATTAAATCGATTTCGTTCTGATTGAGACCATACTTCGTCAGGCGCTGGCGACCTTTGTCTACTGCTATAAACCAAACACTCTCTTGCTTGTCATATTTTGATTCAAGTAGAGCAATGGCAAGTGCTGTTGTAGTAACATCTTTATCTTGGTTGATTGTAGACATGAAATAGCTGGTCGATTTGCCTCCTGTCAATTGTTTTACGTTATCATCCGTTAAAATCCATGCGCCATCAAACGACTGTTGCTGGATCAACTTACGAATGAAATTCGTCGCAGCAGCAGCAGACTTTCGGGAGTCCCTGAAATCAAACAATTGAAATAGTTTTCTTTATTAATATAAAATATATTCTATAGAATCCACTGATATTCGTGATAAAATTGCTTATCGTATTTAATTACTTTCGTCAAACTTCACAAATATTATAAAATGTATTTTTAAGATGAATCTCGTGATTCAAATTGATTAAGAGCGATTTTCTGTTGAGTGTCCTTCCTCCCAAATGCGCTTTTCGATCTGGTGAAAGATTATTATAAGAACAATGCGAATACTTACGGTTGACTGTGGGTTACTATCGAATCAAAACGTGTCGTGCTGGAAGTAGAAGTTTGATGAACGGTAGACTGTTTCTGCTGCTGCATATCATGTGATGCATGTGCACGACCGACCATCCCTTGAGGACCTTGTTGATCATAATACTCTGCCGAAAGAGAAAATCACAGTTTGAAATCAAAACGATTGTGTGTTAGTTAAAATTCTCATTTATCATACACCGACATTATTTCAGAGAGAGAGAAGTCAAAAACTTACATCAATAAATCCTACTGAAGCAGTATCATGATGTACGTAATAATGTTAAAGTGACGTCTTTTCAATTCATTCTTACCTGATTGGTATTCCGGGATACTATATGATTGTCTCGCTTCCGGACGATACGGCGGTGGTGGTTCGGCTACACTTGCAAGAATAGGTTCTTGTTCATCATAATCGTTAATAAAATAAGGCTGTTTTAAAAGCAAAGTTGGTGTGGTTCTTGTTGGAAAGTTTACTATCGTTGATGAATGCGTATGGACACTTGGTAACGTTGTGGACTGTTGGGATCCAAGAAAAGAGGAATGTTGATGGGGGAGATTTTCACCATCTCTCGATACTTGAACAGGTACATGTCGGCTTTGCAAAGCATTGCTTTGCCCAGAACGACTTGTTTCAATACCAACGAACGCTGTGTATGGTGATAAAATTTGATGAGCCAACGAGAGTCCGATAATACGTTGTTTGACTGTCATATTGGAACTAAGGAGAAAAGATTGATAGATTCACTAATGGATTTCAAAATTAGAAAAATAGACAAATATTAACGAAGAAAACGTGAGATGAAATTTCTGCGATCAAAACTTTAGCAGCGAAATTTTGTCGATATCGGTTTTCTAGTAGAATTTCGAAAATTTCTAGAATTCTACAAGAAAATCGATCATGACAAAAAAATTTCACATAGTGTAAAAGAGATTCAACTTACTTAATGTATTCTGTGTCTCCCTTATGTAACAATTCTTGTATCAAAGCCTTAGCTGCTAAACGGCGAATCGTATTGCCATTGAGTATATCATTGCGGTTCAATGAACTATTACCGATTAAACGATTGTTAGCAGAAAACTTTACCGACGCAGATTGCCCATAAAAGTAGAACTTGTCGAATAGAGTATAGACAAGTACACGATCATTTTTATATACTGGGGGTATAGTTTTTGGTGCTTGGTAACCATTGGGCCACAATCCAAGCCATTGCAATTGACCATTAACAAGTGATGGCTGCAAGGCTCGATGAAGCTGAGTCCTAACGTCATCATCAACCGTATCATTCGGAGCAATAAAAACAAAATGACCATTTGTCGCACGAGCAATACCTTTCACCAGAGATCGAGAGGATGTAGGGCCAAGACCAAATGAGAAAATACGTGTAGTCAACGCCATCGAACGACATAATTCAATCACCTATAAATAGAAGAGAATTTACCACATTAACCAAGTAGTCTCATCAATTTTTCTTTAGTATGTTTGTACGATACAAGTAGGACAATGTTTTCTTCCACTTCTATTTACCTCATTTGTATTTGCAACTTCACCATCAGTCAAGATGAACACTTGTCGTGATTTACCACTAGCAGGCGGATGATCTCTCAAGTACTGTAGAGGTGTCAATAGCTCTGTGCCACCTAAATCGGCTTTCATCGTACGCGCAATATCGTCGGCTTGTTTGGCTGTTTGTTCATTGTATACAGTCGTCAGATGTGTTGTATAAGGAAAAAGAATTTCATAGTTTGTTCCAAAACGAATTATATTAAAATGTGCATCTGGAGGAATATTGCGTATAAACAAATGCAATGCATCTCGAGCAAGATTAATGCGATTTTCATCGTCCATAGAATAAGAACAGTCGACTAAAACGAAATAAATTTACTGATGTTATCGCTAGACGATTCTCGCAATAAAGTTTTTAGAGAAACTAGTCATAATTCGCCAATTTCTAGTACTTTCACTGGAAAAAAAACAGAACATACCGATGAAGATAAATTCGGTTGTTGAAACAATTGAATTATTCCCATCATATATTGAGAAAAAACGCCCATCATTATGATTCAATACAGTAAGAACTGCAAGATTTGATGCATTATTGTATTGTTCGGCTGCAATAAGTATCGGGGACCGATTACTTGGCAGCTCAATATCCAAGATAATATCGTGATCGAGTGCAATGCTTTCTGAAGAAACGTCGATTGTTTTAAACGATCCGCTGTAATTGACCGGATGAGACATATTAGTCACTTCGATAATTTGATCTACGAACAAATTTATGAGATAAAAAATCAATTTATAGAACATTGCGAATAAGAAGCAATATGGCCCAATAAATGAATACGATTTTATCTTGCTGTGACATTCAATTTTAGATATCTTTTGTGACCGCTGCTTGTTGAACAATATTGTATTTCAGAGATTTGTTACTTACTCTGTCCGTATCGATCAATATGAGCTCGAAATGACATTGTATACGAAGAATTTTGAACATATTGGGTTTGTGATCTATCTAGCGATTGCGCTATGTTTGGTTTTGGATCATATCGAGGTGCAATGGTAGTTGGAACAACAAATCGAATAAAACATCCATCAATCAAATCTAGTTCTGTCACATAACGAATCTTGACTATACATTCTTTACCTGGCGGCAGAACTCCGACATTTACCTATATATTCAATAAATTTATGATTTCGGTGTTGCATATTGCAAAACATTCAGCCATCATTCTATGGCATTCAACTTTTCAATGACTTACTTTGAAAGTATCGAGTGTTCGTTCGTCTTGTCGAAGTAACACTGCCGTTTGACCCCGTTGAACTGCATCCTCATACATATTCTCAGCAGTTTGTTTTTCTTGCACCATAGCTTTAATCAATCGGTCGTCGATGTGAGCCGTAAATTCATAAACTGCTGCGTTTTCCTATGAAAAAAACGCATCCTAGCTGAATTCGAATGATTTATACAATTTAAAAACGATTTCAATAATTGATTCTTTTTATTTATTGCATAAAAAATAATAACTATCTTTTAAGAAAAATCAAAATAGCGTTCGACAGTATTCGTTGTCATTCAAAGAAGTCAATTGACTTTAATTCGAAATAATGCCTATGAACAGTTTTTCTTACGAATATAATTTGTTTTAGTGCCGTCTATTCTATTCGAAAACTACTTATTTGACAATATTCAATTCAACAGTGTCTATCGTCGATTATATGTTCTGATCTTATTACAAACAGTGCTTGACAAAGATCCATATAGATATGTTAGGAAAATTGTGTCAATCAATGCAAGAAATCATTATGAAATATTAATTTTCACAGTTTGAGACCGATGTAAGTCATACCTCAATAGGAAATATATAGACTGCTTCAACTGGATAGCTGTTTTCATTATAATATGTTTGCGTTAGAGTGACATCAGCTGTAAATGAATGAATCAATGCATCTACATATACATGACGAATTGGTATTGTCGTTAGATTATCCACTCTTTGTAGTCCGAGTCGCATGCTACCGTATTGTTCATCACGTGTAGAACGATAGATCGGTGTAATCACTCTTCGAGGACTACTAGTCATGCTCCTACCGATAAATAAAAAAGAACAAATATTTTCAATATCTAAGAAATGTTTTACTCTTAGTCGACTAATTCTGTGAAAATATGTTTTGTGACCTGTTTTTTGCCATGAGTTTAGAATTTTTAAGTAACGCTAACCTTGATTTAATTGTGTTTATCGAAAGTGCTTTTCAGGAAACTATGATTTTGACACTGCCTGTCCTCAAAGTAACACTTTTCGATATTCTCAATTCTAACGACTGACTACTCTTTGTCGCTTGTCATTGATCATTTTTCGTTATTATCATTCTTTTGCAAAGTCCTAGTCAACTGCCAATAATCTATTAGCGAATCACTCTCAGAAATCGAAGAAAAAACATCTACACAGCCGAGAACGCTTACCGTTGAATGACTTGTTCATTGACACAAACTTGTTGGAGATGATCGTATTTTACTTTCGTCTTGCCACAACGACAGAAATATTTTCCATTTTTCCTTTTTCGACATCCATCATATGCGTCACCTTTTGATGCAGTTCCTTGTTTAATATTTGTTTCACTTCGCTCTGTTGAACACCGTACAACGATTACGAAAAATATAATAACCAGAGAAAACAGAATAGTTTTCATTGTTGTTGAAGTTATATTGCCTCTTCTGAGTCGTCGTATTTTTGTAAGAAAATACCGAGAATACTAGGTATTTATATAGTTCTAATGGCATATTTCTTATCTACATATCATCACTTATTGAGTGTCACCTGTCGACAGAGACTGCTTTAGACGCTAGACGATCCGCTCTTTCATTCTCTTATTAATACATTATTGGTCTCTTGATAGGTGCTATTTACGGTTTCTTAGATATTTGCGATGAAATGATGATAAATTAACTTCAATGAGATTCAGTGTTGAAATTTGAGATAAAACGATGATAGGTCAGCTGGAACAAGATTCAGTGTTGATATTTGCGATAAAACGATGATAAATTAACTTCAATGAGATTCAGTGTTGACATTTGAGATAAAAAGATTTCCCACTGTACGAGACAAGAACGCGATGGTAGCGATACTGGGTACAAGAAGAATTTACTAGTAAAAATAAAGCGTTAAAGCATTGATATGACATAAACAAGAAAAACTCAAAAGTTGTGGTATGATTTGAGTTCAGAAGATATAGATTAAAATTCTGATCATATAGATTTTGTGAACTTTTATATTTGATTAACCTTTGATGATGAGAAATACATTTTCAGTTACATCTATATGATCAAAGAAAATCTTCTTACCTATCACCATTTTTGTTCATATTAAAACTTACCGGTTTCTCTTTTTTTTGCTTTTGCTTAAAACGTTTTTTTTAGATTAAAATCATCAACATATACATTATTACGTCAAAGTAATACGATTATCGATATAAAATAAATACAATTTTGAAGAATAGATTATTATCATCATAAACATTGCCTTGCAATATCTTTATAACAATAGATAAACACAAAATTGAAGAAATATTTTCATTTTATTACAAATTTATACATTCACATCTACCTCTGTTTAATGCGAGAAACAATATCTACACCAACTAATTTATCGAAAAAAATACAATATAAATCTATAAGCATTATTGAAGCTAATCAAGAATTGTTTTGAACAGTATGAAAATAAAGTTAAAATCCATTATTTTCATCAGTCTTTTATATATACTTTCTCAAATGGATAAATAAAATTCTGCAATGTTCACATACATTTTTTAAATATACCTGATTTTCAGAGAAAAAAAACTTATAGATAATTAATGTATTTTTTTGTTCAATTTTTAATTGTTGAAAATAACGAAGCCCAGTTCTAATTTATCGCATAATCGACATAACCATTCTTCTGATATTCGCGTAACTTTTCGACATTTTGGCGAAGCTGCTTCATTCAACACAAACTTATTTATGTTCAACAATGATTGTCTACTATAAAATAAATAATTCAGCATTTCATAAAATTTCAATTGTTTTCATATTTGTTTACTTAACAAAATATCTATAAAATGTTTTTATTTTCTTTTAAACTCCTTAAATTAATTTCATCGATTTAGAATGTGTTTTTGAAAAAAACAATTTCTATTTAAATCATTTAAAGTGATAGTAAAATACTACTATATCTACTATTGTATTCAATCTCTATGATTGTTAATTCAAACCGAATCAATTATTTCACATGAAACTTATTTTATATCCTCTTATAACGAATTGTTTCATATTTTGTTTTTTGTCGAAAGGAACAGGATGATAAATTAATATATAAAATACCGATTTATTGGGCGTAATAATATTTTTTCTCGTAGTAATGTTTATCCACCTGAATTAATATTTCTCATCGAAAAGAATATTCTTTAGAATAATTGCTGTTTAATACATTGTTTGTGTAAAGAATATAAATATTTAACTTTCTTGTTTTGCTTGAAAAAATAAGGAAAAAAGGAAGTTCATTTTCACACAAAATAAAAGATTTATGTAATCCTGTGGGAGTTTTCTTCATTTTTCTTTTCTGAACGATAGTGATACTGCTAACTCACAAATCACATCCTCTTTATGATGTAATCTCCACGTAATACATATTTTTCTCTCTCATGTTTATTTGTTTCCATCCACACTCCTCTCACTTGTCGTTTTGTTTCTGTTCTATTTTTTGTTGTTCTGAGTCAGAGATCATGGGTTGGAACGCATATATGCATGAGACAAGACGTTGACAACGGTAGATATTGTTCTGCTGTGTGTCTGATGGGTGATGTGTCATCATTCTTTTTATATAGATTAGTGTTCGCTTAGGGAATAAACCAACATCTTACAATATGTTAGTACAATTTTACTTGGTGAAATATAAAGTGGAATATATATCTATATTATTTTGACGTATCATGTTATGTTCTGAGGGTCAAATACATAAAAGAAGACTTTGATTTTTTGAAAAAAAATAATTAATTAATTCTGAAATGCGGGAATAAAATTTAAAAAAGACATCGCGAATAAAATAGCACAATACATTTTTCTTCAACAATGCATATAATATAAATATAAATAATTATTGATATTATTGCATTTAATAATCAAAAATCGAATAGTGTTCATTTTCGAAAATATCTATAAAAATGCCATTACCATACAGTACATTTGTTCACTCGACTATTTCCTTGACCCGGTTCACAATTAAATGCTCGATCAAATTCAACAAAGTTTGATGTAGGACCATTGACTCTATAAAATAAATAGATATATAAATATATATATACATGAATTAAGATTATCATTAATATAAATGTTCGTACCTGAATTGTCCTAATGAATGAACATCGGATAGAACACGATTAAGTGCATATGAATCAGTCATTTTTGTACACGATGTATATGCATGATTGATGAAAAACATTTGTGTAGGTGAATATTTTGAAAGACCTGGAAGTCTTTTATCAGCATTTGGATTAGCTTCTGTGAATTTTTGATAAGCCTTTAGTTTAGAATAAAACAGAAATATATCTTTTCAACTATATACAATCTAGTGAACTAACGTAAAAAGCTTCACGTAATCCACCATTATCAGCAATATCTTCATCTTGTGTTTGATCTCCATTTGTCTAAAGAAAAATATGTTCAATCAAGAGTTTCAAATAAAAAAATAAATTCCTACATGGATATTAAGATTGGGTACAGTATAATTACTATACTGATCAACAATACATGTCTTACGTTCACCAAATTGTTTTACTGTTTCATTTGTCCACCATGGAATTTTATTTCCATCTTTATCAAACTCACGACCATTATCATCAAATCCATGAGTTATTTCATGTCCAATCACAACCCCAATACCTATAAATAATCGTCAATCTTAAAAAATGAACAAACAATCAAAAACAAATTGAAAAATATTTACCACCATAATTCAAATATCTACAAGATTTGAAATTTATCAAGTATATGACAAAAAAAAGGAAAAACTAATGAATTTACTTTGGTGCATCTTTATGAAAAAATGGCATTTGCAGAATACCAGCTGGAAAAGCTAAATACAGTAAAAACGATGTAATTGTATATTCGCTGAATCAATAAAAAAATAAATTTACTAATTTGATTTTTTGATGGCATATAAAAAGCATTAACAACAGTCGGTGGCGAAGAACCCCATCCTTTGTGATTAACATCTTTTCGAAGAACTTGAAATTCTTCTTTGGCTTTTATTTGAAGTAATTTTAAAATATTATCGACAAAAGATGAATCGAAGACATACTAAAACATTCAATAATACAATATGAAATTATCATTTTCAATATATTATACATACGTCAGCATATTGTATTTCTAACTGTGTAACATTATCACTAGCTAAATAGTCTGGATATCCAATTTTTTCATCAACGGCTAAAGCCTATTAAATAAAGTTCCATTAAAACTTTATTAGTATTATTAATTCTACTTTTTCTATGTTTTTATTTTTTGACATAGTATCCATCCATGTTGAATCTTCAAGCATATCAATAAATGCTTTTCGAATATTAGCAATCATTTCATATAACTTTGAATATAGCTATTGAAAATAAAATAAATATATATGAATTTTGTTTTACTTGATTTCGAGCATTATCATCAAAATATTTTTTTATATAAAGTTTAGATACAGCAAATCCCATGTTACTATTTACAAAACTTCCACATTTAACTGCACGTGCTCGTTCAGCAGTAGTAACACCAAATACATGATTAAAATTTTCTTTAATGTTTCGAAATTGTTCTGGTAAAATACCAATTAGAGGCATCATAAATCGCCATATAACATAATTTTGTAATGTACGTGGTGACACCTGCTCAATAATTGATGAAACATTATATAAATAATCGATTTCTCCAACAATGACAAGATCACTATCCATGAGAGTTACATTAGCTGATGCATAAGCTGAAGTTAAATAATTAGTGAAGTCAAACTAATGAAATAAGAAAATAATAGATAAATTAATTTAGAAAAAAACTAACAGTTGTATTCAATAGTTGTCGTAATTTTCCAACGGTTGTACGAATTGTTGCATTTGGTCGATGTTTTTGTTCATCAGTTGTCCAATAATGCTATTAAAAAAAACAGAATATATCTTATTAGTAAGTCTATGCAACTTCTAACCATTATTTGCACTAAAAATAGAAACCAAAATTTTAGACTCTTTGTATCAAATCTTTATAAGATAAAGAATATTCAAAGTACTATAAAGATCGTATGGAAAAATGACTGACAATCATTTTCTTCATGATATACACAACAATAGATTGAATAATCTTTAAAAGCAGGTAGAATTCAAGATTCTATACATAAACAAAATATAGAATGACTTACTTTTGCAATTTCTTTTTCGAATTCATACATATCTTTTACATCTTGTTCGATTGTTGATGTATCATTTGATAATAATGATGCTAACTCAAACATATATCGTCGATTATCCACAGTAATTGATTCATTCATAAAATATTCTCGCTGATCTAGTGCAAGATAAGCTTGACCAATCTAAAAGGATTCTTATAAATAGATAATAGGTTTTATAGATTTTATGAATTACTCTAAGAACATATTCTGTCGAATTCTTATCATCAATTGATGTGCCAATATCAAATAGAATATTATTATTATATTTTCGTAATTTAAGTAAAAGATTTAATAGATCAAATGCTGAATTGTCCCATGAACTTTGTACAATAGGCCAACCACCAAATTCATTATTAATCAATGAAAGTAGTGGATCATAACCTTCTTTTCGAATGTTATGATCATTCATACATGAGTGATATAAACTACGAGCATTGGTTACTGCGTTGGGCTCGTTTGTATCATTAGTTGATGATGATGTTAATAAATCTTAATAGAAATAATATTTAAAAGGAAAATCATAAAGAAATTGAAAAACATACCAACTACATTATAATCTAATTGTGTTCGTAATAGATCGAATACAGTTGCTAGAAATAGAATTAAAAATATTTTATTTATTTATCGGAAATATCTGTTCATACAATCATCAGGTATTCGATTATTTTTAATCCATGTGCCACAAACAAACTGATAAAAATCTTCACATGGCTCAACTGTTTCATCAATACTTTCAATTAAATAATTTGCTAGAATTATATAAATTAATGCTAACACAGTTAATAATATTTTGAAGAGAATCTACCTGCTTTAACACAATATGGAGTTACACATAACTCATTATTCCCTAAATTGTAAACAAAAAAAAATGATTATCTTAAAATATTATTTTCAAAATATACCAATTGTTTCAGTTGTTGTTCTATTGTTTATAGCTAATATAACAGCTAAGACAACTGTTGAAAGAGCAAAGATTCCGACAAGAATGCCCAGTACAATAAAAGGTCTCATTGAATGAGTTTGAGATATTGAAGAATTCGTAACTAAATTAATAGAAATTAACATAAACCTAGTTGATATATTAGATAATTTACAGTCAAACCTTTTTAATGTGCCTTCACTGAAACGAGCAGCCGTACCTAAATGCAACGGAAAGTTGATTCAAAATGATATGAAAGTCTTTTATTTTTTGTTGTTTTAGAAGTAACACTTGAGTATCATGCGGACATAAGCAAGTAAACTGATAAGATAAAAAAAGGAAGAGAGCAATATGATTCATATCACGTAATGTTTCATATTTTGAAAGAGAAATATTTCAAAAGATATCTTAACTTCTTAAACATCAACAAACGTAACTGATGCATAGTTCTCATGTGATATTATACTCCAATAATTCTAAGAAACCATTTATAGAAAAAAAAATTTCTACAATTTCACATATTAATGTAGTTAATGTTTAATGGATTATTCTAGAATTTATGTAAATAAAATTAATTAAATTTAAAATTATTTTGGACTATTTTTTACAGAATCTTTAGTTTTCCTATTATTTCAGATGAAAATAGAAGGTTATTCAAACATAAATAAGTATATTTCATTGTTAGAAACTGCCAATTCAATATACTGTTGTAGAAAGGAAAAACGTGATGTTAAATGTTATTTCATTTAAAATATTTTGAGGGGTCTGGGTGGGTGTGAGTGTGGAGAGAGTATGGGTATTTGCTAAAGGAAGAGATCCCTACACCCACACCCTCAAGAACTAATTGGTTGCATTGTTTTTGTACAAGCAACACCTAACTAGATATATTCAAGTTCAGTATGATTAAAAGCATAATCTAGAATTGTTTGTAATTGATCATTTTCGATACTAAGAAATCTTAAATTGTTCTATTATAGCAAATAATGTATTATTATCGGATAAATTTATATTTAAAGTTTTAAATACTTTAATAGAATTTCTTGTAGTATTAAATGTATTAATATCAATAGACTTCAATAATGAATTATTAGTTAATATAATAGTTGAAAAACTAATATCTACAAAGAGATTTTTTTATTATTAAGGTTAATAAAAAATAGTACGTAAATTAAACATGTTAATTTTGTTCAGTTTATTAATCTAGTTGAGTAATATGATAGAACATTTGTTTTCTAGTATATATATTCTGATTAGCTTTAGTCCTGTCTGACACAATTAATAAATAGATAATGATATATGTAGAATTGTGAGCAGGATAAATATTTCATTCTTTATTATTGTGACAGTTTCGCATAGCATATGATTAAATTATGCAAATCTAAGATTTATGTTTTTAGAATGTATCAATACTCGTAGCAATCGAAATCACAATTTGTAAACAGAATAAATATATTTATCAAATGATGGTTTCATCAATCATAGAGAATAGTCAATGAGATTTTTATTTTATGAAAGAAAAAGATGTATTCATATTGGCATTATAATGTGAAGTGTTCCATGTGATTTCTACATACAATCAACTTCTATTAAAGTATATATTATTATGTAGTGTAATCCTTTAGAATCTATTTTCCCATTAGTTTATTCTGCATAAAATAATATGAATATCGTATATAAAATTCATCAGAGACGTACAAATATGACACATAAATTCATTAAAAATTGTTTCTGATCAGTATTATATAAAGTTAAACAGTTTATATAATACTGAAACGAGCATCATAGAAAGAAAAAGTCATTTAAATATCACCTTAATTTATTTATCGAATAATTCGGTATAGTATACAAAGCTAAAATGACTCCACAATATTTTTTGTAAATAAGGATAATATTAGATGGATCCATTTTGTCTGTACTAATAGTTTGCCCTTTAAAAAGAAGATACGCATTATTAAATTCATATCGAAATATCTCGAATAGGACGTGAAGTAATAGGTTTTAATAAGTATTATTATTTAATCAGTAATTGATATAAATCGAATAATCGCGAGAAAAAACAAGACTGTTATTGATAAAATTACTAGAATATACATCTTTATTCTCTTTTCAATTAAGACTATATTTGTTTTCCATTTACCAAGTTTGTTATCTCGGAAAAAAACAAGATTTTATATAACTATTAATATAGTAGAATCACGTAACAAAACAAAGCTGAAAGATATCTCTTGAAGAAAAAGAAACATATGTTATTTTTAGGATAATCAACATATATGGACGTTTAACCAGTCTACAAGATAACTTAACACTATATTTCTGTCTCTTAAAATAGTTCTTGTCTTTTGTGTAATGACAATATATATTGAGTACTGTTATCCATGTGACAGACGCCCTCTTGCTCTATCAACATATACTACCGTCATATATATATAACTATAACGATGAAGTATTTTTCATTCTCTTCTTTGATATTTTCTTGTACTGTATTATTTACATGTGTATACATATATAATGAAAAACACGAGAAATAATATCTACAAAAACAGTAACTAGACAATAATCATCTACTATTATAATATTCGTATAGTCTATTTTTCCAACAGATAGAAGTTTTAACATCGATTACAATGTTAGGTAGGTTATATTTATCTCTTCTAAAGAAATGATACTAAATACATATATTTTAGAGAACAATGATTTATTTATTTTCTTTTGTACCGTTGTAAAAATTCTTATTTTTATTTTAGAAGCAATATCGATGCCTGCAATGCATTTACCTTTAGCACAATCAAATAATCTTGCTGTATCAACAACTGATATCAGCCTTCATTCAATAATGGATCATCATCATGAGCCACTATCATCTGGACACATTAGAACTTTGTTAATTATTATAGGTACGACCGCTGCAGTAATTGTCCTTTCAAGTACTATTGTTTTCCTTCTTCCTATATGGAAAAATACAACAGGTATGAAAGAATATTGTCTCTTATCATTATGTTTTACAATATATTTATTTTTTATTTGTAGAATGTTCAGATTATTGTGACCATAATATTATAAGTAAGCATATTTTTTAAAGAATACAAATGATAAAATGAACATTTTAAAATCATCGAATTCATCTCAATATTTGTTTGTTTATTTTTTCTTTTAAGATTCATCAACGTTACCATCGAAAATTCAACAAATTGAAGCTGATTTTATAATTATTGGTGGAGGTACAGCTGGATGTATAGTATCTGCCAGATTAGCTGAATATGGTTTTCAAACTTTATTAATATCCAGTGGTTCAAATGATACACAAAATCCATTAATGAGAGAACAAGCTTCTTATAAACAACTACTTCATAATACTCCGCATTTTAAACATTATTTACCATTAAGTTCATCACCAAATCTTAATAATCGAACATTAGATGTTATTGTATGGAATACTCTCGGAGGAAATAGTATTAATGGTGGCGGAGCACAACGACTGACGGAAAACGAATGGAATTATTTTATTAATGCTACAGGTGATTCATCATTTTCGAAAGAAGCAATGTCAAAATATTATAAACGAACTGAAAATTATATAACAACTGGACCATTTTCAAATTTAAATCTTCATGGAAATAATGGTCCGATTAAAATAACTCAAGTTTATGATTCAGTATTTAATCAAATATGGAAAAATGTTGCGAATGAATTAAATGAATCATTTACTAATGATCTAGCCGATAAGATTGATTATGGTTTTTCATTTGAATCTTCTTCATTTACAAATGGAATTCGAAGTTGGAGTTGTGATAAATATTTAAGTTCAACTTTAAATAAATATTCAAATCTTAAAGTATTAACAAGTAGTACAGCAATTAAATTTGATATAAATGAACAAACTAAACAAGTTAACAGTGTCTTATTTATTTCAAATGATGGTTTATTCAATGGTATTGCAAGAAAAGAATATATTTTATCTGCTGGAACATTCTTTAGTCCACATATTTTAATGTTATCGGGTATTGGTGATCGAAAAATTCTTCAAGAAAATAATATACCAGTAAAACATGAATTAAAACAAGTAGGAAAAAACTTAATGGATAATGGAATGATAAATATTAAATATCAAACACAAAATTTTTCCATAGGTCAATCAATACCAATGGCTGTAATTAATAGTCAAACACATACAACGAATAATAATTCTGATACATTTTTTCTGTTAAAAATGAATTCTAATACAAAAGATTTGGATATTTTCGTATTTAATGCTTTACCAAAATCAACAGTTGGTTTTCTATCATTACATAATTCTAATCCACTTATGCCACCAAAAATAACTTTAGATTATTTTAAAGATTCAAATGATCTTAATATATTTATTAATGCTATTAAATATGTTCGCAAAGTTATGTCAACAGATACATTGAAACAATATGCTAATATAACTGAAATTTTACCAGGATTACAAGAAATAAATTTAGCTACGTATGTTCGAAATACTTTAAATGCAGCTGGTCATTTTTCCGGAACATGTGCAATGGGACAGAATGCAGAAAATTCAGTGGTTGATAAATACTTTAAAGTTCATGGAATAAGTAATCTTCGTGTGGTTGATGCATCTGTATTTCCAGCAAATTTTGCGACAAAAACTGGACCTTATTTAACAGTTCATGCATTAGCAGAAAAATTAGTACATATTTTACATGAAACTTATTTATAGGTATTCGATTTATGTATAGTTTATATTGATTAAGTAAATAAGAAAAACTCTTTATACATGCCATATAGAAAACTGTATGATCGACGTCTTTGTAATGTAATGCAATAGACAGTTTTTTTCTGTTTCAGTGTGAAATAAATACGTGAAAATATTATGCTAAAAGAAAAATATAAAATGATGAGAATATTCAACAATTTGTTATTATATTATATATATAAAGTCTTTATTTATTAACCATATATTTTATAATAATAATTGATGACTGTTAAGTTTCATACATGTATAATTTAACAACATAATTGTCATCTCTTAATTTCATTATAAGATGTATATAAATCATGTTGATAACAAATATCATTATAATAGAAAATAGATATATTTTGACAACAATACTTCTGATGCGGTAGAAGGCGAGTCATAGATTTCACGAGGTAATTTAAATAATTTACTATAATTGTCATTAACGGTTTAAATACATACAAAGTGTTTCATTAATCTTAAATTTCGATCAAATTAATTTATAAATAGATGATTTTCAATTTCTAATCAAACACATCTAGTTATATGGGATATTAGCACTTAAAATCATTTTCCTAACAATCTATTATTACAGAAGACATCTTATTTTTTTAAGAGAAACGTATATGTACATTAAACAGAGAAAAACATTTAATTGTTTTCTTTTTATCAAATTACTCGTATTTTCGACGAAGAATTAGCTAAAGCTTAAATAAGCTAAGTTGGTCAGATTCGCTGTGGATGTTAAATGGGAAGAACATCCATACTCATCCTCTCTTTAACTTGTGCTTTTCTTTCCTTAGATTCTCATCCATAAAATCGATAAGTAAATATGTAATATTACTGTTTTCGACATTTTATTTTTCAATATTTACGACTTCCGTTATTTTTACTTCTGACATTCTTTTTCGACATTTTCCTTCCAACATTTTTACTTCCGACATTTCACTTTCGACATTTTCCTTTCGACCTTTAGCCACTTTACCCAAAAAGCTTCCCATTAACTAAATACGATGAAATTCAAACACACTTTCTAATCTTCCATACAATTTCCTATCCATGATTCACTTCCTTGTTTTTGTTCTTATTCTGAATTCAATTATTTAATATTATCATGAAATTCGACACCTGATTATAAACAAAATCTACTTCTCTCTTACTCAGTATAAATAGATCAATGATTTTTATTTGAAATAGTAAACAAATTCTATTGAAAAGAAATGCATCGTATTCTTCTTATTTTGTCTTATATTGTTTTCATAAGTTCTATCAATGGAGCTTCGGTTCAATTACCAAAAACAATTAAAAGAGATGCTATCGAATTGGCTGACTTGATGGAAAAGTTTTTGGCTTCAAAACCTGCTGAATATAATAAAGTAGAACCTTTTATATATTGCAAAGTTTTAGACACATGCTGCGAAGAAAAACAACGTAAAAAAGCAATACCCTTGGTTATTTCAGACCTGCCCGATGATAAAAATCGCTTTAAAGAAATTGTTGGATCATGTGTTAATTCCACAGAACAAAAATGAGGAGATAAATGGTATCAAACATACTCTCAAGAGATAATCCCACCAGAGGATTTTGAGTCAAATTCCCAAGTAATACAGTTTGAACAGTTGTTAAACAAGTTTGACAAAAAAGTTAACATATTCGATTTCGGTACAACGAAAGTTTGTGGCAATGAAGAAATGTATGCTCTTATGTGCCTATCTAACAAGAAATTAATCCAAAGATGTGCTCAAAAAATGCTTAAAGATCTGATTAAACGCTTTGGTTACAAGTCCTATAAAAAACTTGTAATGGAAAACAAACAAGCAATGATCGATATTAATCAAGAATGGTCTACAATATCTATAAAAGATGAAGAAACAAATTAAATTCATCAAATTTTTCTTTTGTAATCACGAAAAATCTTCATATGTGAACTATGATTTCCATATGAAGTTCAAATTGAAATAAAATTATAAATAAAAAAAATTTATTTTATTAATTTTTTTAATGACTTATTTGGTTATAGATGCATTTTCCTAGATACATCAATAGAGGTGATCTTCAACAGACAAAGCGATAAAATAATTCAAATACATATATTATCTTTAGGGTATATCTCGAGAAAAATGTAGAATATTTATTTATTTACATTTTTTGATCAATTATAAAGTATAACTAGTTTAGCCGTTTTGTTTGATTCTCATTTTACTAACGAAAACATCATTGTTCGATAATACAATAGTTTAATATTTTGCTCTATTTTACTTTTATTCATTAAATGAAAAGAGTAAAGTAATCATTTTAATATATATTTTTTCTAAATTTGAACAACTCTATTAAAAAGTAGTAAAAAGACGCGGAAGAAATTGTATTTATCAGATACAATGTGTATAGTTATTTAAAGTCTATATGAAAATCGAGAAATACAATAATCACTTTTATCATTATGAGTATTCAAAAAAGCATTGAGAACAATAATGAAATTTGATATTAACTCAACGGTATACAAAAAGCTTTTTTTATTAACTAAATATGATGAAATAGAAAAAACACTTTTTAATCTTTCACACAATTTCCTATCTATGATTGATTTCTTTTTTTTCTTCTTATTCTAAATTCAATTATTTGATAATATCATGAAATCATATACGTTATTATAAACAAAATCCATTTCCCTTTTATTCTATATAAATAGATGTGTTTGTATTAAAAATAATAAACAAATTTCATTGGAAAGAAATGCATCGTATTCTCATTATTTTGTCTTATGTTGTTTTCATAAGTTATATTAATGGAGCTTCGTCTCGATCACGAACATCCGTTAAAAGAGATGCTATTGAATTAGCCGACTTGTATGGAACGTTTTGGGCTTCAAGACCTGCTGTATTTAGCAAAGTAGAACCTTTTATATATTGCAGAGTTCTGGAAACATGCTGTGAAGAAAAACAACGTCAAGAAGCAATACACTTATCTTTTTTCACGTCTTTTGGTACTGATGATAGAGATCACTTTCTAGAAATTGTAGGATCATGTGTGAATTCAACAGAACAAACTGGAGGAGGTAAATGGTGTCAAACATACTCTCAAGAGATAATCTCATCAGAGGATCTTCGATCAAATGCTCATGCAAAGCAGTTTGCACAGCTGATGATACCATTTCTCCAAAAACTTAGCAGATTTGAAGCCGGTGCATCAGACTCTTGTGACGACGAAGAAAAGTATGCGATGATGTGTCTATCTAACAAGAAATTAATCCAAACATGTCTTCATAAAACACTTAAAGATCTGATTAAACGCTTTGGTTACAAGTCCTATAAAAAACTTTTAACAGAAAACAAACAAGCACTGATCGATATTAGTCAACAATGGTTTACAATATCTATAAAAGATGAAGAAACAAATTAAATTCATCAAATTTTTCTTTTGTAATCACGAAAAATCTTCATATATGAACTATGATTTCCATATGAAGTTCAAATTGAAATAAAATTATAAAAAAAAAAGATTTCATTTTAAATATTTCGTTAATGATTTATTTTGTAATAGGCGCAGTTTCATAGATACATCAATAAAGATGATCTTCGAACGATAACGCGATAAAACTAATTCAAATATATATTACCTTCAACATCTATCACGAGAAAAATGTTGAATATTTATATATTTACATTTTTTGATCAATTTGAAAGTATAACTAGTTTAGACGTTTTGTTTGATTCTCATTTTACTACCAAAAAACATCATTGTTTTGATAATGCAGTAGTTTGATCTTGTGTTTTATTTTAATGACCATGTACTCTGTGAAATGAGGGTGTGGGTGACTGGCTGGTTACGGCTGCAGGAAGTATATTCATGTCTCACACCCACACCCACATTTTCACCCTTATCTACATCGAGATCCACACTCATACCCACACCTACATTTTTTTCTGTATTCTCTATCTATACGATATTCCAGAAGGTTGGCTCCTCAGATAACTTATTGAAAGCAAACTATTAGTTAATCAACAAGAATTTAGAAGAAAATACGAAGGAAAATATAATAACTGGAAAGAAAATCAGTATTGTTTAATAACGACATCTCAGAAGTTTTATTTTTTTAAATGATCGTCACTTTTTTTCGGCGTTTACATAGTAAATCAAGCTTATTGAAGTCAAATAGCTTAGGATGGGTGTGGATATTAAATGAGAAGAACATCCATACCCATCCTGTCTTTAACTTGCGCTTTTCTTTGCTTAGATTATTATCAATACAATTGATGAGTATATATCACATTATTGTTTTCGACATATTCCTTTCGACATTTTCCTTTCGACCTTTAGCCACTGTATCGCACTTTAATATTGATCTATGTTCTCCTTTGCTTTCTTTCAATGATATTTTTCTTTTGATATTGCTTACTTCGCAAATGTTAAGCATATTTACTTTGATGCTTTTAATAGTTCTGTTTTCAAATGATTTTTTTTACCATCTTTAATACTCAGCAGACTTTTTCCTCTTGGCTTGCTCATATTTACTCTTCTGGGTATCTTTTTTGCGTCGTTTTTATACTTAAAAGGTGATGCATAGACTTATTTGTTCTCATTATTTCTCTTTTCATACATTCTTTTGTCTTATATGGTAGAGTTTCGATAAAAATCAGAACACACATACCGTCTTAAAGATGAGCTTGACTGAGTCAAAAACAAAAACATCATCCATACCTGTACTATTTCACCTTTTTCAAATATGTATTTATTATTGTTTTGCGCTTCAATTAATCTTATTATATTGTAAGTATCGAGATTATAATAGTTGGTAGTTTATTATCTTCGTTATAACAGAAATTTTTGAGTATGTAGAAAGGGTATAACAGCTACCCTTTTCTTCAAGAACGAAAATCAGTAGAAATAATATTGACTGATAAACTTTGTGATACTATCAATTTAGATCTACCAAATATTCCTGCGACTATCGTCACTCTGAAAAACAGCAGTTATTCTATTATGTCTTACTCGATAGTATTTAAACATCTTTTTGTCACGCGAATTCTTATTGGATTGATAGTGGTCTGTGCTGCAGTGGCTACAAACTATGTTGATCAACAAAAAAGAGCAGCACTTTCTGATTTAACATCAATCGAGAAACTCAATCAAGAATTTAGACACCAATATAAGCAAGCAACGGAGGCATTTTGGCGTTCACAAATTGAAAATGGTTCTGTTATTATGGTAAACGGGAATTCAATTACTTTATTTCACAAAGGAGTGCCTTCTTCGAGTTCTCAAACAAGTCCAGCGGTTTATCATCACTTAAAAAGCATTGCTCATATTCCAATGACTATTCGTTTTCTTCTTATTAATAATTCATCAACTTTAATGAATGACACACTGAAACAGTACTGGCAGAATTTAAATAATCTACAAATTCCCGAGTCGATACAATCAAAAGAGAAAGCTTCTGTTGATCATATAGTTTCTGAATCTCAGAAACTCTTACGAGAAGAAATGGATAAAAAAGGTTCAATTGATCGAGAGATGCTAAGAAATTTCTGTCAAAGTCTCACTCATGATCTTACCATTCTGTTAGATGCAGCTGCAATAGCTCAATTGAATGAGATGCATGAAATTATTCAAGATTGGATGCGTGAATACAACTTTGATCCAAAAGATCCATCATTAAAAGTTCTTATTATTGGTCCTCGAGCAGCTCGTGAGAAGAATTTACATGCTACTTACTTCGAACGACTTCTTGGCGACGAACGAACACGAAATATTGTTTACATCGAAGAACTATTCCGAGACGAAGAAAAAGCCAGATCGATTTTTTCCAGTTGGTTTTTAGCTAGAGAACTAGGTGATAGTTTTTTTAATGATAAAGACCGAATGCATCGTGATTTACTGATGACTGAATCTGCTCAAAAACATATCAATCAACTGATTGCCTCATAGAGACTACATTTATGATTATATTTTATTAATATATGGGGAACTGATAATAATATAAACAATTGAAAATAAAAATACACTGTTCTCTTAACGATATTTAGAAAAACATATTTTGTATGTTTTAATCAAAAAGAATATGACTTAATAATATTTATAAACTTTATCTATACCAATAAAAAGTTCACATAGTGTCTATTATATAAAAAGATAAATATTCAAATACATAGCAAATGCCAATATTCATCGACGATTATAATTTTTTATTTTTATCATACACATAGAATTAATCAATTTTATGTTTATAAATTATATATAAAGGAGATTAATTACAGAAAAAAAGAACTAAACGAAGGACTAGGCGAGGATATGGATGTGAATTCATCTTTCCTTTCCTCTCTCTTATATCCACATCCACACCTTCAAAATGGTTTACCATAGTAAAAATGAAAATAAAAATCACGAGGGAAATAATCTTTAGAAAACATTATATTCATACAACAACAAACATTCTATACAGTTGTTATGTCGATGCTGTCATTTTATAGTTCACATTATTCCTTTTCTTTCTTTCGCTTCAAAAAAGTAATTGCAACATCATGCGAAATCAATGACAAAACAAAAATCTACTCATTTATTCGAAAGAAAAAATAACAATACATTATATAAATCTACACAGCACACATATTTCAGCAACAGTCTATGATGACAAATCAATGCATTGTTACCTTCGTTATGTTACCGGTAGAACTTGTCTACCGAATTCTGGATCATCAATCGGATTTCACAATCGTATGCTCAATGAAAAACGTGTGTCAACGATTGAACGGGATCGTAGACAGTTATCCTCGATATCAGGTAAAAGTTCTTCTATCATAACAGTCTAATTTTTATCTATTGATTCTCGATTTAAATAGAGTGACTTCCATAAAATATACGTGAATAAATTATTTGTCACTCAGAATAAACCATCAGCTATCAGTCTCTTCACAAAAATTCATTTTTTCTTTCTTTTTAATCTCATCTAAATATTGCACGTTTCAAACGAGGTATGATGTCATATAAACATACAATGTTAAGGAAAGAAAACAAAAAAAGGGACAAAATACTGTTATTTGCTTTTAAAGTGTATCCAGACACTTCTTTTAAGCAGCAACTGACAAGTCAAATATTCCTGTACATGTATCGCTCTTATTACCTTCTTTATAACTCAGCTTTTCAGAGGACAATCATGAGTACTGTACAGCATTTAAAATCATAAAGTCATTCCAACGTTTATCTCATTAATCTAACACCAGATAACAGCGATCAACTATTTTGTTTCTTCATCTATGCTATGCCTTTACCACCACTTATTCATTTAGACACTAAACACACTAGATCTCGAATCTAATCGAATCGGAGATGTTGGAGCACAACACTTGGGTAATGCATTACATCACAATACAGTAATTCTTATTCTCTCTACAACTATATCATGGTTTTAGCCTGACTTTTTCATCTAGACACTCACCACAGTCTGTCTGCGAGAAAATGACATCGGACGTGTTGGCGCACAACATTTGGCTGATTCACTGCAACGCAACCCAGTAATTTTCATTTTAACTTCTATTAGATTGCCTGTTTACCTCAGCCTTTTCATTTAGACACTAAACACACTAGATCTAGAATCTAATCGAATTGGAGACGTTGGAGCACAATATTTGGCTGATGCACTACGACGCAACACAGTAATTGTTATTGTCTCTTCAATTACATCGTCTCTTTACCTCAAATATTTCATATAGACACTCACCACACTATGTCTCCGATATAGTAGCATCGGACGTGTTGGAGCATATCATTTGGCTGATGCACTACGACGCAACACAGTTATTGTCGATCACTGTTCAATTATATTTTCTTTACCTCCGTTTTTTCATCTAGACACTAAACACCCTAGATCTTCAAGGTAATCACATCGGACGTGTTGGAACACAACATTTGGCTGATGCATTACGACACAACTCAGTAAGTCTCATTCTCTTTTCAACTATATCTTGTCTTAAATTACTACCACTTTTTCATCTAGACACTCACCACGCTACATCTCGGAAGTAATCTCTTCGGAGATATTGGAACACAATATTTGGCTGATGCGTTACAACACAACACAGTAATTCTCATTGTCTCTTCATATATAATGTATCATTACCGCCACTTTATCATCTAGACACTCACCACACTAAGTCTCTGGAATAATCAGGTTGGAGATGATGCTATTAGGAAACTGAATAACTTCATTGAACGCAATAAGAGAAGAAGAAATCCATAATCGCTAATATTAGATATATTTAGATGAGGAGTAAATAGCGAGTGATAATCATGCGAAGATATTACTTGTTTGTTGTACTTTTTACAGAAACATAAAATAAAAGTCGTTGCTTTTAAATTGAATTTGTACTGTGGTAATAATATTTGTTTAGTATTTTCAATATATGCTGATAAGATCGATGCTGCTGTGAAATGCTAGAGGTTTCGCAGAAATATTTTGTGACTGTGAAGTACGTGCGAAACCAAGGCCGAGATTCTATATAACAATAGTAAAACTATCTTTGAGGGTGTATAAATAACTTGTTTTTCTAATTAAAACTGTTCGCTAATCTGTTTGTGTGATTGAGATTGAATGATCGATGTTATTCCGTACTCTTAACAAGTATCAAGTAAAATATATTCAAGTTGTATTGAATCATTATATTGAATTTGAAGAAAGCTTCTGTATCATAATAATAATATTATTGGTTGTATTAATGTTCCATTTAAACATTAATTCGTTATAATACAAGTAACGCTCATCTGGAGACTAGCTTAGCTATTTTTCGTAGAAACAATGTGTCTTAACTATCAGTAAACTATTTATTCAAACAATTTCGAAAAATAACAGTAGATTCGAGTTTCTCCATTTCGACGACCTTTTGGTCGCACTTTTCAAGAAAAAATCCATTTTAGTGGTTCCATTTTTTTCGACCAATCAAGCAACCAGACAATTTATGTTTGCCGGGCTCTTCTCTACGAAAAAGAGAACTTAAAAATTTGACTGATTATTTTTATTAAATGTGTATTATCACGTTACTATATTCGAATTTCGACTCTAATAAGCATAGAAGTCTCTAGGTAAGCTAGTAACGATTATTTACTTCAGATTACCCATGTCTGCTAATAAACTGACTACATTATGACATGCAGCGAATGGTATCAGAGTAGGTGTGGGTATGAGTTTCGATTATCATTAAATAAAAATATTCAAATAGAATTTTATCAAACACAAAATCTTCTCCTCGAATAATTTCTATATAACTTAATTCAAAATACAAAATATTTTGCTTTCTAATTTTCCGCAAAATTCAGTAAAAGAGGAAAAAATTAACGTTTATTTGTTGGAGTTTTTTAATCAAAATTATCAAATTAAATTCAATTTCCAAGAAAAAAATCCTCAAAGACTTATCTTCGTTCTTTTATTCAAAATCAAAATTTCATTCAAAAAACTGTTACAAATTTTTGAATTCGATGATTTCGACTATCAGTAACATAAAGATTTCCTTCATCATCAAAAGATAAACCTGTGGGATAATTCAATTGATTTGGTTGATTTCCTTCACCATTTCCACCAACAACAATTTCACCTTCTTCTTTTCCTTCACACCAACGCATTACTCGATCATTCATGGAATCTGCCACATAGATCTGACCCAAATCATCCACAATTACTCCTTGAGGATAAAACAATTGATCGAGATCGCTTCCATCATCATTTCCTTCGACCACAACTGTTCCTTCTTTTGCATCTTTTCTCCATTTCACTACACGATTATTATTTTGATCAGATACATAAACAGATTGATCTTCATCAACGAAGATAAAAGTAGGATGATTGAGTTGGTTGAGTTGATTTCCTTTTATATTTCCACCTGCCACTACAATTCCTTCGTTGTTATATTCTCCCATTTTCCATCGTCTCACTGCATTCTTCTTCCAATCCGAAACATAAAGAGATCCATATTTATCTATTGCCAAACCAAAACAATCAATATTATCAATGAGAATTTGTTGATTCTGATTCAACCACCGAATCACTCGTCTGTTTCCTTGGTCAGCAACGATGATTGAATGATTTTGCTGATCAACAATCACATCTGTTGGAAAATTTAATTGATCCATTAGATTTCCTTCCCCATTTCTACCTGCAATGATTTGTCCTTCTTTTGCAATATATTTCCATTCAACTATACGATGATTATAACAATCAGCAATAAAAATATTTTTCTTTTCATCAATAAAAATTCCATAAGAGGAATTGAGTTGATTTAATCCACGTCCTTCTCCATTTCCACCAGCCACAGTGATAGCATTTTGTTTCCATTTGTTGAATTTTGGTTCTAGAAAATGATGAAAACATAAGATTTGCATGAAAAGAAGAAGAAGAAAAAAGTTTGTTTTTCATCGAAATTTTGAAGAGAAAGAATTTTTATTGAAAGATAGTTTATTTTCGAAACAAATTGACAAATATTTAATTTGAAAAGCAAAGAAAAATTGAATATGAGAAAAGATTTGTTGATTTATTTTTTGTTACATAAAAATTTGAAAATAATTCAATTATATTTTTATCAATCAAACTATAAAGAAAAATAATTTTTTTAATTTAATATTGTTTCATATTCTATCATTCTTTTCCTTTATATACGAATAATTGCATTTTCTATTAATATTATTGTTATTGGTTTAATTAATAAATAAATCAATACTACTCTCAATATTTATTCTCTTCTTCATCATTATTTTTCATTGTATTATATTTTTTTAATATAATTCCATCGAAAACTAGTATGTTTCTTTTAGAAATAATTTCTTAAAAACTTACTTTTTGATGAAATAATTGAAATCTCATTGATAAATACTTGTGATCCTTGTTGAATAGAAATATTTGATGGATTATTTAATTCTTGATTGATTTTCATTAATTGATTTGTTAAATACTTTAAATTAATTTCATTAAATTCATTTTCTTCGCGAATTTGTTTTATTTGTTCACTTAAATCATTAAATTGCTTTTCAATATTATTCAAAAATGTTTGTGATGATTTAATGACAATTTCTCTACATTCTTTTGCTTTTTGTTTTATTTTGTCAATTGAATTTATTTCCCATTGATCAATTTGGTCTATTAAAGAAAGATTATGTGGATTTTGTTTTCGTTCATTAATTAGTCTTTCTTCAAATTCATTATAATCATCAATAATATGATTTAATTCTTCATTTAATCTTTGTTGATGTTCCGGTAAATGTATTAAACAAAATCTTTGTAAACATCCGTCACAAGAATATGTTATTTTATCCTTATTACATGTGAAACATTGTGTTTTGTTATTTGTCATTGCCATGTCTTTGAATATAAATTTATAAAAAAAATGAATAATCTACTTATCTATTTCTATGGATATAAATTTAACGACTCAATGATAATAAAAATGTTGCTCAGTGTGAGTAGAAGAAATCGAAAAAGAATTTTTCTTATGACGAAATCTTACTGATAAAGGTGATTTAATATGTAAGATAGTTGAATTAAAACTGGAAATTAATTTCGTTTTAATTTTAAATAAAAAAATACAAAATAATTTTTTTGATGTTTTTTCAATGAAAGAATGTTTTGATGTAAATTTGGGTGTAGCTGAAGATTAAATATATTTTCATTCTATTTTTTATATTGTTTCAAAAAATTAACTTACCAAAATGAAACTATTTCAAAGAATTGAATTTTTAAACTTGTGATACTTTGTAATTATTTCGATATATGAGTCAGAATTCCGTCTATATCACTTGTAAGCGAACAAATAAATTATTCTTTCGCTTCATTAACCACACATATGAGCACGTGGTATTTTCTTCTATATATAGTCATATAGTATTTTTTCCTTTTCGTTATTGTAATTCGTTTTCTTCTGCTCTTTTGACTTATATCGAAATATGTTATTTCTAAGTTATGAACAAAGGGATATCACACAAGTATTTTCTCAGGATATATTGTATTTGGGAGATGAAAATAATCAGTACTCATCGGATAAATAACTGCGTTTTCTTTTTAAATTAACGAACTAGTACTATGCTTTCAAACATCATCATTTTCTTCAACCTTCAAAATAGACTGTAACATCACTTTGAATTTCTCTCTTATTGATTAAATTTATCTAACTATTTTATAAAAGAACAATATTTGGTGTTTCATATGTTTTTTCCCAACTATATATTTAATTTGAAAAAGAAAAACTATCGAAATAAATAAGTAAAATAGGATCAAACTTAATCATAAAAACGAAAATATTGTATATAATCGAATATCCCAAAACTTTTTTTTATATATAAAAGTTGCAGAAGAGTAATAATACGAAATATCTACGATGGGTGAAATTAATCATCATTTTCATAATTAAAACAAAAAATATTACATAATAAAACATATTTACAAAATGATTTATTATTTAAAATGAATTTAAACCATTATCATATCATATCTATGTAAAAATTGAATGTTCGTTCAAAATAAACTTTTTATAATTTTTAAATAAAAAATATATTTATACGATATACATAACTAAATTCATTTTATTTGTAAAATATTAACTAATTTTGAAAGATTAAATTTAATATTTTCAATGATTAAATATTAAAATAATCCTCAATATTTAAAACAAAATCAATTTAATTGTTTTAATCATAAAAGATAAATAAATCAAATACATTTATTTTTATTTGAAATCTTATTTATTAATGAAATAAAATGGCAAAATATTGATATTAAATTATAATCTTAATATTTGTGTTTATTATTGAACAAAGAATGATGTGGTATATTGATCATTATTGTTATTCTATTGAAATCAGAATGATATTTTTAAAGGACAACAAACAATTTGTTCAATATTATTTTTATAGGAATATCATCTGAAATGAATCTTTGAAAATCCAATAAATATTTTGAAGAATAAAATATGATTTTTGTAATATTTCTTTGTTATAATTTATAATGATTGTATGTTAATTATTAAATAATTAACATAGAAATAGAATTTATGAAAATGACATATCTTAAGATTTTTATATTAAAAAAAAACGAATACTTAAAAGTCGATATGAATAGTAATAAAAGAAAAAAAACAAATATCAAAATTGAATATGATGACCTTTTATTTATGGAACAATCAAATCAAGGAAAAAGGAGCTAAATATTTAGCAAATGCATTAGAAATCAATAGAGTTATTTTAATTTTGCTTTTCGTATCTTATGTTCAACTTTCTTCTTCATTTTTTTTCAGACACTTACTACTTTGGATATTGGATTTAATGATATTGCTGACAATGGAGAACAAAACTTAATCGATGCAATACAAATTAATAAAGTAGTTTTCTTTCTTCTTAACGATTTTCATTTTATGATACTTTTTCTTTTGCAGACATTAACAACTCTTAATTCTAAAGCTATTCTTTTACTCATCAGCTAATACTATCTATTAATAAAGTATTCATGTAATGAAAAAAAGAAATTCGAAGAAATCTTTGTTACTGAAAAATATCATTTTCGTCACATTCTAGAGGATGTGGATGATGGGTATGAGTTTCCTATTCGCTCCACGCTCTATATGATAAAGGTTTAGTAACTAAACAAGAAATTTGAATCTATTTTCTCTTGATTTATAACTTCTCGATGGCTATGAGCTTATGTTGTTTCGATTGTACATAATGAAATATACATCCATATGAATACTGTCAGTTATACGAATAGGGAAAAATACAAAAAGATACTGTCATTAACTATTGTAACCTTCTCGATAAAATTACAAAATTGAATTAGTTCATGAAATTTTATATCATTTTGCTTGCAAGTCATGGTATATTTCTTTCTTTACACAATATTAAATATCTATAAAAGAATACATGGAAAGTTTTGTTTGTGCTTTTGGTTATTTCTTTGGTTAAAGGAAGAAATTAATACTCTATTTATGAGCTATTAGAGAGTTTACAATAACAATAATAATAATTGAATGTTATAAGAATATTTCAGTTTTTGTGCATTGTTTATAAAAACTAATTAAACGAAAATTCAAGTCTTATCAGCGTTATTCTTGTAAGATCAACTCAGTGGTTTTAAAGAGCGAGACGCAATCGAGTTATTTTCGTTCTCGAATCTCGAATAGACGAATCGAGAAATATGATTTATATGAAATATTCAATAATATATTCCAAGTATAAATTTAACAGTTATTCACCATTTTATTTTTTGACACTTATCTCGCAAGACAAAATAAATAAATTGATATATAGTAAATAAATATTTTTCAATGTTGCTCGTTCTTTTTTTCAATACCATCAGGGTATTCAATAATAATTTATTACAAAATAAGAAATGCAATAGGAAAATAATGTAATAATAAATATCGTTCAAGTGATGTCCATGTCATCAATACAATACTCAAGTAAAACAATGAATAATTTAAAGTAATCCAAATTGGACATATAGTTTCAGTATGAACATCTCCTCTATATAGGAAAAAAAGAGTAATAGGTAATTCAATTGTAATAATTAAACCATTCATAATAATAACAATTCCATATATTTGAAATGATATAGTCTACAAATTTTTCAAGAGAAAATTATTTATTTGTTTTTTTTGTATAAAATAGAATTTACATAAAAAATATATAGGCAAGAGAAGAAACTTGTAAAGTAAGTAGTATATAAAATTTGATCGTATGCTCGAATATTGTTATAGTATTGATTATTCGCATTGATTGTCATTGAAAACTAAAATACAATGAACTAGATGACACACGAGTCGAGACTCGTCTACAAAATGCGATGCGAAGCTCGATTTTGAAATCACGATTTTAAGACTTTTACAAAATTATCTAGATGATTCCTTATCTATTATCAACTGCACTTTCAGCTGTAGAACAATGGCACGTAACTTTTGCTTTTCTTTTTAAGTTTCTCGAAATTTAAAAAAGATAAAATTGTGTTTTTGCGACACTTCCTATAAATAAACAAAAAGCTCCTGTTCAAAATCGGAAAAAATGTAATGTCAGTTCGATCTTGATATATATATTGAGCTCGCGTTTAAAAGAGAATTTTTCGATGTTCCATTACTGAGATCATTGTAGTATAAAATGAATTTTTTTTCTACATATCATCGAAAATAATACGATTTTTCGTATATATGACTGTAAAACGTCGTTTTTTTTGTCAATATCCATCTGTCTAAGTCTAGGTATACACCCTTTATCGTCGATAAACACACGTCAAAAGAAATTATATTTATCTGTAATTTATCATCAAAGCAGGGCTAATCATCGATGTCAACAAAACACTAGACGCAATTATTTTTCGGTGCGTTCTAATATAATACATCGTAATATTATTTCATGCTTTGGTAGATAAAAATCATAGAAGTTAATTTACGTATAACATCAGTAATTACAAGGTATTATTTTCTTTTGAATAAAAATTTTGTATCAACGAAAGAGCGACAGTACTCAAACAATTTTATATATATTTTAAAAGAAGTATGAAAATACTAAATATTCGAAACTTTTTGCCAACAGATTATTTAAATAAAAAAAAATAACGAATAATATTTTAAAGTTGCTCATTTAATGCGGAAAATTAGTCTTTTAGTTTCATGAAAGAATATTGGTGCTTTAATTTGGAAAGCACTTGTGTCGAATATCTAATTTCAATTAATACAATAATTTTCTAACTAATAAGAGCAATATAAAGCATTTATTTATGAAAAAAAAAATATAAAATACTTTTTTGTTAGTCTTCGTAATTAGTAATTTGAAAAAAAAAAATTAATATAAAAATGTCTTTTAGATTATGTTGAATGATATTTACCATATTTATTAACGAAATGTTCAATTAGTGAATAAATATGATAAATAGTTTCAAACGTAAAAAAATGTTCTTTGAATAACGTTAACCGGTAAGTTTAGCAGTAGCTGCAGCAATCGGTGTTGTTGTAGTTTCTAAAATAATAAAGATTATGTAATATACACATCAAATGTGTAACTTACCGTGAGTTAAGTCAAACGGATAAGCAGTAGATGTAAAAAAGAACGCAAAACCATCTTCAAAAATCTCGATATTGATGAAGGTGATTAATGTAGTTTCGAAAAGTAGATCGAAGTCAGGAGTACTACATTCGGGAGCAAGTAAGTCATCAAAATGGAAAATAATAACGAGGAATAATATAACTTGACGACGTTCACGCATATTACCGCTTTAATAAAGTAAATTAAATTATACATTTGATATTTTATTATTTGGTTGAATACTTACAATCCACGTCGTCTACGTCTCTTGCCTCCTGTACCTGTACTTTTACTCATAACCGTTGCACTATCAACAACAACTGCATTAGGCTGTAAATTCATCTTCTTTGATATCTATAACAGTATATGAATTTATAATAAAAATTTTGATTTTAATATATTCAGATATATACTTACGACGGCTTCAAGGTTAGGATATGACTTTTTATCTAGGGGGCCAACAGGTATGCTGGTGTTAAGAGGCAGATTTAGTTCAAAACTGTCAGAATCGTCTAAACACACAAAATATGGTAGAGAAAAATATAACATAATATATTTACCGTAATCAACTGGACCAAAACTATGATCTAAAGCAATAAATTTTTATATCTGTGATATATTTTTATGCTCCACTCACCTATTAAGTCTATACTAGCATCAAATGTATCGGTGTACGGTACACCGTTGATGTTAATTTCATCTGTAACTGTGAAAGATTTAATGCTCTCAAGGAATCCCATGTTACCACATTGATTACATTTTAATACATTAAAAACAAGTGTACAGAGGACTGTGGTACCATCAAAACCACGTTTATTACGTAAAGCTCGGCTATAAAAAATGAAATGAAATTACACATTCAATATTTTATTATTCAGTTCAGCACTTACGATTGTCTTCGTTTACGTTTACCATTTGTTGCTTCAACTGCACCTTGCTTAACTTGAGTTGAACCAGATGGTAAATTTAACGCTTTGTCCACCTACAATAGTACATGCATTTATGATAAGATCTTGAATACTCTTATATTCAAATGTATATTTACTGAAACGCCAACGTCGGCCAGTGATGGAGAATCCAAATTGCCTTCAGGTAATGCCACTGTTCGAGAATTCATAGTCAAAAGATAAGTTGGAGTAGTTGTCCCTTAAAACACAAAATATAATAAAAAAAATAAAAAAATTTAGAATAAATAATATCTTTACTTGGTGTGCCACCACTTCTTTTTGATAGATACACAGGTATCAATGCAAGAACAATCGTTGCAGCAATCATAAAAAGAATAAATCCAAGGCAACATATAGCCAAAATAGGACTGCTGGCAGCTAAGCCAGATCTATTTAATAAAATAAGAATTTGTGATAACAATACGAAAGATTCAAATTTTATTTATTTACCCTCGATTACGACGAGCAGGAACGGATGGTGGAGGAGCATACATCTTTGTAACTGTCGACTATTAATACTAAAATCAAGTAAAACTAAAGACACAATGATAGGTCAAAAGTCGTACCTTTATATAAAGTAGGGTCACTACATTTTTCTTTTGTTTTGGTTTACCGTAGGCGCAAATATTTATCGTATTTTTTTATTCGGAAGCCTTGAATAAATAAATCATGTTTATTAAATCTTTTTTTCTCTCTATCTTCTCTAACATATAACGTTTTTGTTCTTCACCGATTCGCATGACTGCTCGTATTTTATCTAAGTAGATGTGTCTATGGGAGTATAATACATCAAAATATTAAGAGAATAAAACAAATCAATGCGAATTAATCGTATAAGTAAGAAAAGAAAAAAAACATCGATATGTGACAGGATGAGAGCTATGTCTATTCGTGTTTATGTATATAACCGTCAATGTTTAGATATACTATGTAACGAAATAAACAACATTTCAAACTAATTTATGTAAACTTTAAAAATTGCTCGTATGATAGAAATTATTTCTGAAATATATATAAATCTTTTTTAAATATTCGCTTTTGAATAAATGTAAAATTTACTGTTGATTAAGAATGTCATACTTATTGTTACTAAAAGAATGAACAGACAATAACGAAGAGAACTAATTCATTTATGTCTTCATTTATAATCAAAAGTTGAATAGACTTACAAAGAAACGAAATTTTTTTGTATTGAAAATGTTTATTTTTTATCAAGAAATCTTTTATCTATATCTCTACTCATAGGGAGAAGTTTAAAACATTTGCATATTGATACTTCATAGAAAAATGTCATTTTCTCTCTTATGACAAATAATAAAAAGATCAAATTTGAAATGATAGTCAATCAGTAACAGGTGATTATCACTTTTAACTTTCTTAACTTTAGCTCGGGTGATACTGAAGTTTTTTTTCGCAGATCATAATAAAGTAAATGATATATTTTTTATTTTCCTGTTCAAATTTCTAATATGTTCCTTTAACAAGCAAAATATGCAACGTGAAAAACTGTAGTCTACAAAAAATAAAGTTTTACATTTATTTTAAATTATCAAAATGAATAACGATAATGAAAAAAAAATTGTTGTACATCAATAAATAAATTTTCGCTATACTTCTATTTTCTCAATTGAAATTTGTCTGTTTAAAACGATAAAGATCCATTGAAAAAAAAGAAATTTTTGTAGATTTTGCTTGTTAAAGGATTATATCAGAAATTTGAAAAAAGATAAAAAATAGGGTGTCATTTAAGTGGTCAGTAAATAGAAAAAATGAAAAGTCAGTAAATATACTGAATGGTCAGTAGAAAAATGAAATGATCAGTTATTAACAACATTGGATGGTAATTAAATGAAATGGTCAGTAGATAAGCTTTTTTTATCAGTTGGTAAAATGAAGTGGAAAGTAGAAAAATAACATTTTTCGTAGTGTTGTCCACTTGATTTTTTTTCTTTCCTTTACATGTATATCTATATGGTATTTTCCTTCATATATATAATTATATGGGATTTTTCCTTTCGTTTTATCAATGCGTTTTTTATCTGATCTTTTAACATATATTAAAGTGTGTTATTTCCAAGTGATGAATTAAAGAATATCACTCAAGTATTTTTCCTAGAATATGTTATACTATAAGAGATGAGAATAATCCAAATGACCATTTCTTGTCCTATCATTACTTGCGTTTTCTTCTTAAATAAACAAAATATTATTAAGCTTTCAAACTATCATCTTCTCCTACTTATCAACAGCAAGACCATAGTTTTTCTACTGACCAAAAATCTATTTTCTACTGACCAAATTTCTTTTTTCTACTGATATAAATCATATATTTTTACTGTTACTTACAGCAAATAAACTGACCACTTCATAAATATCTACTGCGATTTTCAATACTGATCAATCAGTATATTTACTGACCACTTCAGTTATTTTACTGACCGTTTAATATATTCCCTAAAAAATACAGCTATTATACAAAAATATCATTTACTTTATTACCATCTAGTTTTTCATCACTTTTCGATATAGTTTTATTCAATTATAAAAATATTTACTATTACTTTCGTAAATAGAGATGCAATTAATAATCAGTGTAACATCATCTTTCTATATAAGTCCAGCGGAGTTCAGATATGCTTCCTAACTTACCTTATTATTCTCTCTGAATAAATGTCTAGAAGTTCCAACATTCGTTAGTACTGCTCACTTCTTAGAACATCGGTAGACTAATATAGCTTTCAAAAGGTCGCTGTTTTTATTGTATTCTAGTTGAAATATAAGATTTTCAAGAACAGTAATATCTTTGTATTGATTACTACAAAAAACATGTTTTCATTTGAGTTATATAAAAGTTATGGATTTTTAAGATTTCATATCTCGACTATCATGCATTGAATACAAGAATATTTGAGAAGTAGTGCAAATCCACTGACATCGTAATTTTATATAAAATATGAGTGTCCTCAATATTGTCATTATCTGGAAAATTCTCTTCTAACTTATATATTCCTAAATATCTAGTAATTCAGGTAGACTACGTTATAGATATCTTTCAAACAAGTATATTTTATGTTCACTATACACCTAGCTAGTACAAAACTAATTTCATGTTAGCTTGATCTTTGAAAATAGAATAGAATAGCAAATAAATTATTCAATGGAAGATAGTAATGAATAGATATATTTTCTTTAATGTGATATATGAAGATTTTTTCGAATAAGTTTCACTATTTAATAATATTTTATGTAATCTATATTATAATATACAAAGTTTCAGTTCCGGAACTTTAATCTGATTGGTCCCAGAACGGAAAAAATAATATATGCATATATATATACATATATGCTATTATTATTATCTGCGCATTCATTAAAATAAAATAAACGAATAAGACACAATAAAAAAATAAAATAAAACAAAAGGAAAGAATAAGACATAATAAAGTTAAAAATCTGTATTAAAATTTACAAGTTTTCTTCGAAAACGTTTTTTCTTATCCAAACTTTTTACATGTATGTCACACCTCACACTTGAACTTAAGCATTCAACTATCCATCTGCAAGAAGGTGACAGTTGAGGAGGGGGAGAGTAAACAGGAAGCATGGGTGAGCGTAGGGCAGAATAAGCATAGGGTACATGGGTCATGGGTGAGCATAGAGCACAGGAATAATATGAGTAATGGGGACAGGAGTGATTAGGCACGTAGACCATCAGTGACAATGAAGGGAAGAGAGATACAGAAAAAGAATAGTTTAGTACTTGAAATAAACAATTGAATTCAACTTTCAAGTTTGACACTACTTGCTTTTTATTGAATCAGTTTTTCTTATAATATGAAATCCTCACTCTTCATAGGGGCCTCTAGTTCAATAATAATGCTGTTAAAAAATAAAGAAACTTTGCCAGAAGTATTTTATGAATCTTGAGGGGTGAGTGTGGACGTTGGTTTTTTTTGTTCAGTACCACACTCATATCCTCAATTGTATATATTTGAAAAAAGAAAATACTACTCCCAAAGAAACGAACAAAAAAAACTAATTCAAAAACAGAACGCGAACATATCTTTCGTATCAAAAATAGAACAACGAAAAAGAAAAAGAAAAAGAAAAAGAAAAAGAAAAAGAAAAGAAAAGAAAAGAATGTTATTTACAATAATATTCTTACAGATGGAAAAAAGAAAAAAAAAGCGAGAGCAATGTAATCGCTAACAATATATTTCTTATTTCGGTTTGTAACATTTAGTTAATATGGAATTAGTATGATTGTTTATATTTTCATAGTATGTTAAACTTATTCCAATCAATCATGAATTACTTTCTTTAACAACCAGAATAATACCAACCAGCATAATAACAACCACCACCACCATAATAAGTAGAAGGGCCTTGACCGGCGCAATTAGGACAATAAAAATTACCACTTGCACTGCCAGAATTACCGGTACAGTTACAGGCAACATTATTGTAAACACAAGGAGTAGGACCAAAGTTGCAACAATAAGCTTGAGAACAAGTAGAATTATATATAAACAGCATAGTAGATGTTGTGGTAGTTGTTGTGGTAGTTGTTGATGCTGTTGTGGTAGTTGTAGTTGTAGTTTTAGTTGTGGTAGTTGTAGTTGTGGTAGTTGTAGTTTTAGTTGTGGTAGTTGTAGTTGTGGTGGTTGTAGTTGTAGTTTTAGTTGTGGTGGTAGTTGTTGATGTAGGTGTTGTTGTGGTAGTTGTAGTTGTGGTGGTAGTGGTTGTAGTAGTTGTAGTTGTGATGGTAGTGGTTGTAGTAGTTGTAGTTGTTGTAGTAGTTGTTGTGGTAGT